TCAGTAGGATTCAATAAATGGTATCAGCGCACTTGAATATTCACCAGAAGTATGCCCCGAATGCTCAATGAATTTATTGCTCAAAACAATGCTTACTGTGATACCGTCAGCTGTGAGATAGATCGTCTCGACGTATATGAAGGACCCTGTCTGTTTGTTGAAACTGCATTTTGGAGCGCGGGGTTTCCAATCTCGAAGTCCGCCAGGTAGCTGCGACACTGAAGGAACAGAAGCAGCAGTGGATCCCGGAGAACGGAGATAGTATTAGTTACGTTTACTTAGACCGCATGTATTAGTCATTATTATGCCCACATAAATTGCCAGATAGGGGCTTTACAGCAATGCAGACTTGTTGATATCCAATTGGTGCGCGGTATGATTTGCTAAGTAGTATTTCCGACTGTTATGAGCCCGATTCGCTAGTAAGAGGGCTATATTCGTTAATTGAGTTGAATTGAAGCTATACGCAGGTTTACCGCGGTGGCGATACCGGCCTAACGACTGCCCCTTACCCCTTACCTTCCTATCGATCGAAACTGTATAAGAACGCGATTAATATAGAGTTAACCGCTGTTTTCGCTATGAAGGGCGAGAAACTGAAGGATCCAACGCAATAGAGGAATTAGTTCGCAGGAATTAAGATATATACACGCTACAAGGAGATATAGGATCTTATTAATCCCTATACCGAAGAAGAGTATCTTAAGTAACCGAGTCGAAAGCTAAGAAGGCCTTAATACCCTAAAGGAGGTAATAAAACAGCAAAGCGAGACTAGAGGGACTGTATAGATCTCTATAGAAGTAGGTGAGCGTGGGTGATCTGGGTAAGAATCCTTGCTCTATTCTCACCCGCTCTCACCCCGTTCTCACCTCTATCACCCCAGTCTCCAAACTTCTCGCCCATATCACCCACACTTACCCTAAGGCCAAATCCGGCGCCATTTTAGAGCGCAGGGCGCATTGAGAATTGACTGCATACTATAATAGGCTTAAGTACGGCTGAGCGGACGGGAAGCCCTGTTCTCCACACCCTATGGTCGTATGTGCTAGAATTTTCTTTGAAGTAAACTATATAGTGCAATGAGCACATGGTATGTACAGACACAGCATCCCTTCAATTTAGTTATGGATGTATGGGGAACATGCATCATTGGCTAGAAGTTGAGGTCATCGTCGCGGCACTGCCTCGTTAACAATAAAAGTATGAAACTCCTTTGAGGCCAATGACTCGACACTAGTCGTGAAGGTCAGCTTTTGGGGCCACAGCTCATTCATGGGCGTGTTTGGAATATGTGCAATTTTTTCTTACACTCCTCTACAGCTGAATACTTTAAGATACCCACGAGAAAACAGCCTGCTCTACCTGAAATTTCATTCGCAATATGACGATAATTGGGGAACCAGATGGCTAGGAGGAATTTGTGACAGGATGGGGATGAGGTAACAAAGAAACTGAGTGTAGTAGATGTGTAGATGAGAAAAACACTTTCCCCGTGGCTTCCCGATAGATTGCCCGAGAACATATCTCAGGAACTAGACGTGCTACGATTTACTCAGACAGTAAACTAAGGCGCATTTCGTTGTTTTAACAAGAGAAGAGTTTGATTCATGTCGCATTGATTTCGCATATACTATATCCAAGGGTTGCATGCCCATCACACACCCATGCATCAAATCAAGAGCCCCCGTATTCTCAAAGGGCCCAACTAACTGTTCGTACAAAATTTCATCACACGCCAGTGACAGTCATAATATCCAATACAAGCAATCCAGCACTTAAATCAGATATCTGAAGCCCTTCCGCATGCGCAACGACTCATCCGCACTCTCCATAAAGGCCACATCGCCCTGCTGCTCAGAATTCTGAGCATCCCACTCCGCCTCCTTGATCTCAAGCTTCTTGTTCAGATTAACAAGAATCATGCGGAAGATCCAGAACCCGACAATGGTAATGCCGTACATGGCAGTGACGATGCCGTAGCTCTTGCGGTACCCGTTCTCCTTGAGACCCCAGACGTAGGAGCCGGCGATGTTGCCGAGTTGACTGAATGCGTTGATGAGGGCTAGTGCGACGGCGCGCTTGGCCGGGGGTCGGGGGAAGGAGGAACTGATCCAGGAGTAGAAGACGATGAAGCCGGCGTAGGATCCTGCCTGCAGGAAGAGGGCGATGTAGCGGGCTGCGACGTTGAGGGTGGACATGCTGATTATGAAGCCGACTAGACCCATGAAGATGGGGCCGTAGATGTGCCAGATCTGTGAGGGGTTGGTTAGTTGGGTGGATTGGGTTTGGCTGGGGCTTGGGGGCTTGGGGGTGAGACTGACCTTTTCTTGGGTTCTGTCGGCATGCCAGGCGTTGACCAGGGAGAAGATGCAGGCGAAGACCCATGGGGGAGCACTCATCAGAAGAGTGGGAACGTAGGCAAAGCCAAGAGTACCGGTGAGAGTAGGCTGTTGGGAGAAATGGTTAGTAGCCGTGACAGTAAAGTTCTGGGGTATGGGCACTCACGAAGAAGGCGTTGAAGGACAATCCCACAACATAAGCAGTAAAGGCCAGCATCATCAGGTAGATCTTGACATCCTTCAGAGCCATGATGAGACCGGTGAAGGGGCTCTGTTCCTCAGAGTCGGTATCGGCCTCGCCAACATCCTCCAGGATACGGAGCTGAGCCACCAGAAGCTCTTCCTCAGTAAAACCACGGGAGTTGGTGGGCAGGTCGGGCAGGATAAAGGCCGCAGAGACGGCAATGGTCATGGTAATGGCACCCTCGATCCAGAAGAGCCAGCGCCAGGCAGCGTGACCCAGGACACCGTCCATGTTGGACAGCACACCCGCCGCAACAAGGGACGAGAAAGCGTTGGAGATCAGGTTACCACAGAACAGGACGGCGTTCCGGGTGGTCAGCTCTCGGCGGGTGTACCACTTTGAGAGGATGAGAAGAGCGCCGGGCAAGAAGGCAGCCTCGACGAAACCCAGCAGGAAACGGATAGCCACCATATGGCCAAAGTTGCCAGCCAGTCCGGAGCAGGTCGAGATCAGACCCCAGAGAGTCATCGCGATGGCGATGTAGATAGAAGGCCGCTGGATGCGGTTGATGAACATGTTCGAGGGAACCTGCATCAAGATGTAGCCGACATACAGAATACTCAGACAGGTCGAGTATTGAGTATTCGTGAGATTGAGATCCTCCTGCAGACCCTTCAAACGGGCCGCCGAGATGTTGTTACGATCAAGATAGTTCATGATATAAATCAACACGAACAGACTGCACCGAGCATCCAGCTTACGCTTGAGGCTCTTCTCAACGACGACTCGACGAGCCGGGTCGATGTGAGGCACCACATTCCGCTGCTCGGCCACATGTTCGAGATTTTCAATCCGCTCCTTCTCAATCTCAACCTCGATGCGGTCGTTGTTGTTTCGTGAGATATCGTCCGCCATTGTTGTGTATATTGTGCTTGGGAGTTTCTATGCAACCAGGCCGGAATCTCACACCGAGAAGAAAGAAAAATCGACCGAACAGGGGCGGATTTTTTCCCTTTTTCTCTTTGCACATTCCCCAACCCACTCCAGAGACTGCGTGCAAAACCCCAGGGAACCCCCACGCTAAAATTCTCGTCAGTTGCGGGGGGGTTTTCAGTGGGGAATGACACTGGATCCTGGCCTATGGCCCGGTTGGAGTCGGGATGCGCCACGGCAGGTTTTTTTCTTCGGTTGCAAGGGTTTCCGGCGGAGTCGGGCTCCCCGGCCAGACCGCAGTGAGTGTTTTCATTGGCTAATCGGCCCGGCACCGTGCGTAGGGAGTCGGGTTGCATTTGGGGGGTGTTGAGAGCAAGGGAAATTACACCACGTTCTGGACTTCGGGGTATTCTCGACAGCTAGCATTATCCTGTTGAAGATATAAGTATTCCAGCATCTGAGAGACTCTGAAATAAAAATCCCAAACCTGGTCCAAAAGGGCGCTGTTCAAATTTCTCATTCTCCCGAACCCAACGGGTCGGTCGAGGGATTGCGGGTTCCCGTGGGGGTTTCGTTCGGTCACCTGCCGGGAAACTTGGGAACATCCCGGCAGTCCCGTGATTTTGGGATCTTTTCGTTCCCCCGGAGAACTTCCACGCGGGTCGGGATTTGGGCAAATTAACTGCACTCTGGGGGGAAAAACGAGGAGATAGGGGGTCTCGGCAATTTGACTCGGCCAATTGAATTGCTGATCTCAGACCACCCCGGCTTGGAAGCAAGGAAATGTTTAGCCGAATCCATACGTCAGCCCCGGGGGAATCCTTGAGAGTTTGGGGAGCATGGGGGTTACGGGGGTTGTGTTGGGGACCCCAAGATTCTTCTCGTGGCTGAGTGAGACGTCACTAAATCCGCGGAGATCAGGAAAAAAAAAGTGAGACATGATTAACGAGGTCCAACCAAAAAGCTCTTCCAGATGAGCTTATTTGACTGTGATTGGTAACTCTGATTCTTCTGTTTATACATAGTGCCTCTAGCGACCACGTGACTTTCTCCTTCCAGGTGCTGAATTTCTCGTCTTAGCTTCCACTTGAATGTCCTGAAGTTGATCATGTATGTGTATGTGTAGGAAATTGCGAGTAGGAGTAATCCAAGAGAAATGCTGAATCAGAAGGACAATCGATCCAAGGCCTGACTCTGCCAAAGGAGAATCTCAACAAGGGATACTTCAAGTCACGTGACTGACTGTAGCCCATGGTAAAATCTGCGACTACCTTGAGGCTTTACCTTGACAGTGATGCACCGAAAACAAAAAATTATGGGCACTAGGAGATAGTGGGAAGCCCCAAAACCCAAAATGGTCACGATGTATTGTGAATGCTATCCGGGGCCCCCGTCCCGTTTTCTCGGTGAGATCTGTATGTAACCGCAACTTCTCCGCACTCTCGGCTTCGGCCGAGGCACACATCCTCGTTCTTGCCTGTCAGCTCCGACCACATCCACCTTGGTTGGCAACGGCGATTTGCCTGAAAATGCAGTGACAAAGATGCCGGCATGCCAGCGCTGCTACTCTCGTAAAACAAGATGCGACCGGCGCACTCCCAATTGTACCTCATGTGTCAAAACTGGCTCCTCCTGCCGATACCCCGATAAACGCCGAGACCGACAACGGCAGCAGGAATACCTCAAGTCTGTTGAGTTACGCCTTCAAGAACTTGAACGAGAGAAAGAGAGACCGACTCAGCACTCACCTTCCGATCATGATTTGCAGGATGATACCAATTCGATCCGTACTGGTGAAGGCCTGCACAAATCACCAAACCAGAACTCTGGCCTTGGAGCTTGGCAGTCTCCAACGATATCGATGAATTCAACACAGCATACTCCATCCGAAGAAACCCGATATCTAGGGTCTAGTAATGGGGTTGGCTTCGTGGATGTTGTTGAACGAGTCGTCGAGACCTCTTCGACGGGCGGGCTATTTGATCGACTCGCCAATAGCCGTTCTACATCCGAAAAGAAAGCATTACCAGTTGTCAACGACCCCGCAAGACTCGTCGACAGGAAATTGGCTATTCCATTGATTGAATCCTATTTCGAACACTGGCATGTGACATTTCCACTATTGTATCGACCAGGATTTATGATCATGATGGAGGAGATTTACAACAATCCCAATATTTACCATCAAAGTCCCACAAAAGCATTTGCATTTGACATGGTGTTGGCGTTGGGATCGGTCTCTTCCAAAAAGGCATGGCCTTTTACTGACACGGAGGCTCATTTTGCTAGAGCTTTGGCTCGGCTGGATGAACTTTCCAAATTTCGGGATATTCGATTTTTGCAGGCCCTTCTTCTCTATTGCAAATATGGAATTCATGCTAGTCTTCGTGATACTTCTACAGAGATGTGGGAGATACTGGGCAAGGCAACGCGATTATGTGTGGAGCTTGGGCTGCATGACGATGTCTCAGTGGTTTCCAAGAGGTGTGAAGTTCACCTCACGGGTCAAATACCTGCTTCGTTGCTTTTGGAGATGCAAAGAAGGTGCTTTTGGTGCTATTATAACTTGGAAAGGTGGGTCTAGGATATCCGAGACAAAGTTTTTCCGCTAATTGTGATAGGATTGTGACCGTTTCCCTGGGCAGGCCACTCGCACTCTACGATGATGATATCCATGTGCCATTGCCATTGGTGATAGAGGATACATCACTGGACAAATCTGAGATTTCGGTGCACTTACCACGGGAGACATCTCCATTTCTACATCATATTCGATTACGCACAATTCAAGCTAAAATACACCAGTCCATGTACACGAGTCGATCCACACAATCACTTCCCCTGCGTGAAAGACAGCTTATCCGGAGAGATCTCTACAACCAACTCCAATCTTGGAATGATGATCTACAGCTCCTTGCCTTACCAACGGTGGATAGTGCTTCACGTGCACCCTCTGTATTCTTCCATGTTAATTGGTATCACGCCCTATATCACAGCGGCTGCTTGATGCTATTCCGACCATCAGCCACATTCCCCGCAATGGAAGGTCTGAACGATGACGAAGACATTGACGATGTTCTACTAATTCTCTGGAACTCATCCCGCCAGGTCCTGGCGAACTACCTTGAGCTTTTGCGTACTCGTCACTTGAATTACTCATGGTCCTGTCTGTACATGATCTTCATGGCTGGGCTGGCAAATGTGTACTGCGTAGGCTGCTGTGCTCAGCGGAAAAGACGAGGCGTCGCGGCTTTTGTGCCGTCATATTGGGATGCCATATCTGATTCGCGTGATTGCTCGAATCTTTTGACTGCCTTTTGTGAGAGGTGGAATGATGCTCGTTCGTCGTGTGATATTTTTAATAGACTCAGTATGAGTGCTTTGAAGGGGTTAGCTGCTGTGAGCTTTTCGCAGAGCAATGAGAATTTGAATAACATGAGAGTCGTTTTGGAAGAAGATCATATCTTCTCTCAGGAACCGTTTGGGACTGTGACGACTAGAGGCGGATCGACTTGTGCGACTGCCTCTTCTAATCATGTGAACCAAGAAACAAGCACACGTGAATTTATAGACACAAACGGATGCCTCGGAAAATATCCACTCGGCTCTCCCGGTGACCTTGATCCGATTGTCGATTTCCAGCAAGTCTTCCAGGACATGCAGAATTCGATACACAGGAGTGATTTTACGGAAACAAACGAAGTCATGAGAGGGTTCTCACAGGATTGGTTTTGATTGTTCAATTGTCACGAACTGGATGTCAATTGATGCAAGTTTTTAGCTTAGGCCTAAGATCTCTAAATGAAACTCCTCTGATTTTTGGGACTACAGCTCTATATAGCTCCTTTCTTCCGAAGATTAGAAATAGTAGCAGAGGAAATGCCAACTTCTTGTAGCACATCATCCGTGTGCTCTCCCAGGGCTGGTGGACCACATCGGATTGAAGGTTTAGACTCACTAAACTTGACTGGCATGCCTATTCAACTCGATAGAAATGAATTAGTTAATGATTTGAATGAAAAGTAAAGGGGAAAATCACCAAGAACTTGTATCTTCCCTGATACCGCTGCATCTTGCTCAACGGTTTGAATCATATTCCGGGCAATAGCCTGGGGATGTGAAAACACCTTCTCCATACTATTAATAGGGCCGTAAGGCAACCCACTGCCGTCAAACTTATCTTCCCAGTAAGAAGTAGTTTTCGAAGCGAATTCTTCGTCCAGAATGCGCTTCAACTCTTTTCGATTTTCGATTCTCGACTTGTTATCCACAAACCGAGGGTCTTCGGCTAACTTGGTATTCCCTAATCGTTCGCATAACAAATTGAACTGCCTGTCATTGACCGCGCCAACAACAATGTATGCATCTTTTGTCGTGAATGCCTCGTAGGGGACAATAGTTGGATGTCCCGTACCCCATCGCTGTGCTTCTTTGGCAAGATTTAACCACGCCATGCCCACGTTTGCTAGGATGGAAATAGTAGTCTCAAACAGTGAGGTGTCAATCTTCTGACCAAGACCGGTTTTTTCCCGGGCAAGTAATGCGGACGCAATGGCGCCGTGTAGATAAAGTCCCGTGCACATGTCTATGATGCCGACTCCTGGCTTGGTAGGTGGCCCATCTCCCTCCCCTGTGACGTGAAGCAATCCACCCTCGGCGGCGCCTATAACGTCATATCCTGCACGTTTTGAATACGGACCATCAGCTCCGTAGCCTACATTGAAATTAGAATCTTTGTGAGCTATTTTGAGGGAAGATCATTAATTGACACGTACCGGATACGCTCGCTAAAATAAGAGATGGATTGACCTTCTTCAAAATTTCATAACCGAGGCCCAGACTTTCAAGCTTGCCAGGTACGAAATTCTCAACGCTGAGGGTTGATCAAATAAAAGTTAGAGAGGGCTGCATCTTCTCTGATGTCCCAAAGAATTCGCACTCACACGACGTCCGCGTTCTTTGCGAGCTGTAAGACCACAGCCCTTCCCTGCTCATGCTTCAAATTGACCGAAATAGAACGTTTATTGCGATTGATTGTATTAAAATAAAGAGACGTATCTGTGGCAGTGGGCTTCCAGATAGCCTCCTCTCCTGCCTCACGCCAAAGGCGGGTGTCATCCTGATGGGTATGTCAATTTTGGTCCTCCAGGGAGAGGTGTTGCTCCCAAAGGAGAAGGTAAGATGTGAAAAACTCACGCCACCTTTGGGATGCTCAACTTTGATCACGTCTGCACCATAGTCGGCAAGGATTTGTGTACAGAATGGGCCCTGACGGTGTCAGTCAAATAGTCTCTCAAATAATGTGTGCGTGCTTACTGCTAGAACCCGCGATAAGTCAAGGATTTTTACGCCTGCTAAGGGCCCAGGCTGATTGTGAGAAGTCTGTGCGTGGATTCTGCGTATCTTGAGGAAGCTTGGAGATCGAGGCAGTGCGAACGGAGATGGTCGTGACGATAATGTGCGAATTAAAGACGGCATCTTCATTGATCCAGATAAAATCAGCCAGACCGAAAATAGTGCAGTCGTCAAGTATTAGAGGCTATGTCAAGAAGTCATTCAAATGTGAAAGTAAGAGCTTAGAGGGAGGAATAGATGAGCGCTATTGTTAGCTTGCCACGGCGTTCTTTATCCTCGGGTGCTCAATCAAACAGGGTGACTGAAAATCAAGGATTACCACGTAGCGACCACCGAAATTCAACACCGAGGCTGGCAAACGGCGAATCCCCGCAAATAATCTACTTGGGAACCCTTGAATCATCGTATGTAGTGGGGCACCCTTGTCTCTACTGGCTACGCAAATTCCGTATGTACAACGTAGTCCGGACCTCGGGCGCGACATGCGATCGACGGGCGGGGTTTTCGGCTTTTTTCCCCGACAACTTGGTTGTATAATGATCAATACTAAGAAGCATGTAGCCAAAGATATTCTCCCAATTTTTGAAGTCTGATAGGAACGTCGAATTTCGAAATCCCCGAGATCTGAGAAAGATAAGGAAAAATGTCACTTCCAGCGCGCAGACTCATCGTGCGTCCACCTTGTGCAATCTCCCGGTCAGAAGATGTGAAGAAGCTGACCCAATTAAAATAGAACCAACCTTGGAGTAGACGGCCTCAGTTACAGCTCGGCCTCCGTGGGAACCATCTGAGGTTTCCGCGACGTCTTCATGCCCGTGCAAAAGAGTATCTGCAAGCTCACGATCCCGACCTCACTGATTCACAGCGGACTGTCCGCGAAGCCATCGTCAAAATCTGCGCCAATTACCCTGACGAATATTGGCTAAAGCAAGAGGAAAAGAAGGAGTTTCCAATCGAGCTTCATAGAAAGCTTGCGGATGATGGGTGGCTAGGAATCTGCATCCCGCCCGAGTTCGGGGGGTCAGGCCTGGGCATATCTGAAGCTGCGATTATGATGCAAACTCTATCGGAGTCGGGAGGAGGAATGACCGCTGCTTCTGCAGTACACATGAATATATTTGGCCTGGAGCCAGTGGTCAAATTTGGAACAGAGGAACAGAAACGTCGCTGGCTCGAGCCATTAGTTCGTGGTCGAGAGAGGGCATGTTTCGGTGTCACGGAGCCTAATACTGGGCTCGATACGTTAAAACTACAGTCAACGGCTCGAAGAGATGGTGATCATTATATCTTGTCGGGCCAGAAGGTCTGGATTTCCACGGCACAGAATGCGCACAAGATTCTAATTCTTGTGCGCACGACCCCTCTTGATCAAGTCAGTAAACCCTCACAAGGTCTTTCACTATTTTATACCGATCTTGATCCGTCCATCGTGGAAATCACCGAGATTCCCAAAATGGGTCGTGCGGCCGTTGACACAAACTCGCTCTTTTTCGATAATTGGCGCGTTCCAGCGACCGATATGGTCGGCCAAGAGAACGAGGGATTCAAAATGATCTTGCATGGGATGAATGCTGAGCGCATTCTAATCGCGGCCGAAGCTCTTGGCCTTGGATATGCTGCTATCCGACGAGCAGCGAATTATGCAGGCGACAGACACGTGTTTGGACGTGCTATTGGACAGAATCAAGCGATTCAACACCCGCTGGCTGACAGCTGGATGAAGCTCGAAGCGGCTAGATTGATGATATACCATGCCGCGCGGCTATATGATGAGGGGTATTCATCCGGGGAATATGCCAACACCGCGAAGTATTTGGGCGCCGAAGCAGCATTTCAAGCTTGCGAGAGAGCGGTCATGGTGCATGGAGGGATGGGGTATGCGAAGGAATATCATGTGGAAAGATATTTGCGTGAAGTGTTGATTCCTCGAATTGCACCAGTGAGTCGGGAGATGATCTGTAATTATATTGCGGAGAGGGTGCTTGGGCTGCCAAAGTCGTACTGAATTTGAGTCTAACCTAGCGACTCACTCCAAACACGATCCTCGATTAGCATAGAAATCGTTATTAACTGGCTAGGTACTGTTTCAGCTATATCGAGGCCTGTCCAGCGTTCAACTCAACAACCCCGCGGGATGTCAATTATTTCGTCAAACAGTGAATTATGGTTGAAGCCTTCCTGAAACGTGTGTTTACACCTGAGATTGTGGAGAAGTGTTCCTCACCTCAAGACGCTATTGAATGTGATCAACCTTGCCAAGATCCAGCGGAGCGGGAATTGTCCTCGTGCTGGTGATGTAAATAGCTGCGCCTGTCATCATTCCCAACGCCATCGTGCATGATGAGCTTGATGACGCAGAGCGCAGTGTTACATCAATGCCTTGACAAGCGATGCCGACTCAAAAGTCTTCCAAAGCTAAAAATGACTGGGAATATCGAAAGAAATATTTCAATTCCTAGAGCCCGGAAATCGACACGTTGATGGACATGGTCGGACTAGAGTCAGTGAAGGAAAAGTTCTTGGCTATCAAATCAAAGGTCGACCTTTCGGTTCGGCAGAATGTCGATTTGAGTCGGGAACGATTTGGGTCTGTGCTGCTTGGGAATCCTGGGACTGGCAAGACAACGGTAGCCCGTCTCTAATACTAAATTCTTGGCAGCGGTAGGGGTCATTCCTGGCTATGAATTTATCGAAACGACTAGGTCTAGGCTTGCAAATAAGGGTGTCTTAGGATATAAGAAAACCATCGAAAAGCTTCTCAGGGATAGCGGAGGGGCTATTTTTATCGATAAAGCCTATCAACTCGTTCAGGGTAGTAGTGTTGTAGGGAGCCAGATCGTCGACTTCCTTCTGGCTGAGGCCGAGAACCTAACAGGAAAAATCGTCTTTATACTTGCCGGATATCAGCGACCGATAGAAAAGTTGTTCGGTTATAATCCTGGACTACCCGGTCGTTTTCCACATAAGCTGAAATTTGACGACTTTAACGACATGGAGTTGATGTAAATCTTGTAGAACAGGATTGAAAAGACATACAACAAGCAAATAAAAGTGGACGATAGCCTTAGGGGTCTCTACTGCCGCATTGCCGCTCGTCGAATAGGCTGCGGACGCGGGCGTGCGGGCTTCGCAAATGCAAGAGCTGTTAAGAATGCTATAGCAAAGATTTCCGAGAGACAGTCTGAGCGGCTAGCCTAGCAGAGGCAGCAAGGTGTCTCACTAGTTAACGACTTTTTCTTAGATAGGCAGGATATAATTAGCCCAGACCTATCACAAGCACTGAAATCATCCAAAGCATAGCAAAGACTGCAAGATATGATCGGACTGGGTGCTGTAAAAAAGACACTCAAAGCCCTTACGGATACACTGTAGTTTAACTATCGACGTGAGCTTAATAAACAACCCCTAGTAGAGTACAGTCTTATTCGAGTCTTCCTTGGGAATCCTGGAACTGGAAAAACTTCAATCGCAAAGATCTACAGGCAGATACTCGTGGATATCGGGTTTCTATCCAGTGGTGAAGGTAAGCAGAACAGCTTGATCCTTAGTGTTATATTATTAACTAGTCGTGCAGTGGTCGTGAAGAATCCGTCCGATTTTGTGGGCAGCGTGATAGGAGAGTCCAAGAAAAACACGAAAGGGATTCTCGCGGCTACATTAGGAAAGGTTCTCGTTATTGACGAAGCCTATAGTCTCTTTACTAGAGGAATATCGGATGGTACAGGGGCCAGAAGTAACTAATTCAGGAGTGCTGTTGTTGATACCATCGTGGCTGAGGTACAGAGCACACCCGGCGATAACAGGTATGTTCTGCTCCTAGGTTACAAAGACTAAATACAGCAAATGTTCTAAAATATCAACCCTGGCCTCAGCCGGCGCTTCCCCTAGACCAGGCATTTGTCTTTGAAGATTTCACCAAGCAAGAGCTGGATCTTATTCTGGATCTTAAGCTCAAAGCACAGGGATAAAGTGTTACCAACCGTGCTCATCGTGTGGTCTCGGAGATGCTAGAACGAGCTCGAAATCGACCTGACTTTGGAAATGCCGGCGAGATTGATATTTTGCTCAACGCAGCAAAGATATGCCAGCAAAAGCGGCTCTCCTCGGGTAGATCCACCACCCGAGTCTCCGACGCCATCCTGGACGCAGCTGACTTCGATGAGAACTTTGATCGCGCGAACAAGAATGAAGCGAGCGTTCCAAAACTGTTTGAAGGGGTGGTGGGGTGTGAAAACACAAAAAATAATAATTTTATCATTAGTTTTCTCAAATGCCATTTTTCTGTACAATATGGTGTATGTTTCGCGGCCTAATCAATTGTCTCTCTTAGGCAACTTCATGGGTTTGCGCGCCTCATTTTTGGTTGGTTGTGTACATCACTAATCTCAGATACATAGTTGGCGTCTTGAGAATAGAGCAACGCTAAGGCTGAACGTTTGTTTATTCCCAGCGAGAGCTTCTACTTCACTGTCAAGCCACCTTCGGTACCGAATGGATTGACTTTGCACCTCAGCAAGTGTTCGTGGAGATCAAGAAGATGACCAATAATGATGATTATTTTCACGACGAGCTCCAGGTTCCTCCTACACGCCATGCGGATGAGTTTTTGTTCTCGTGGCATTTGCGATACGGATGAAGGTTGTTCAATTCGACTTGCCATAGGTTTGTCACGGAAGGGTTGGATCTTGATGTCAGGAGTTAACCTCTACATTCGTGAAGGATGTCTTACAGATTTCTATCCTTTAATCCCGGAGCTTGGGAAATAACATTCACTTTTCGTCACACATTGGAACATACAAGTCAGGGTAGAGGCCTGTCAATCAGGTAGGAGAAAGGAGTCAAGTCAAAATTGTCTAAGAAGTCAAAGACTGTTTCTTGAGGAGTGTAGAATCTCCTCATTATCATACAGGATCGAGAGTAAGCTTCACTTGGAGTTCGCCAAATTCGATAGCCACCTCGTCGATGAAGCAAGATAACCGAAGTTTCGTCTGACCAGATTATATTCTTACAGTCTTCAATAGTCCAGTGTTGACGTTCTAAGGCCCGTTCAAGTCGAGCCTTCTTCATCCCCGGTGTCAATCCAGGCTTCCGAGTCGGCTTGGTCTTCCGAAAGCCGTTTTTTTAGGATTCGGCGAACGGTTTCGGCAGATATGTCGATCCCAAGCTTGCTAAGATCACCAGCAAGATCAGCACAGGATTTCTCCCGTCCATATCGATCAAATCGAACTTTCGAAATAACAATATCTTGGTTAGGGCATCCTGCTTAGTTGGTCTTCCAGAACGTGGTTTATCTTCCACATAACGATCATGAATCATAGGATCTTCGTGTGAGTTAAACCCCCGCTCTATAGCTCGCGCGTATATGCGGTTCACCGAGCTGACAGATAGACCAGTCAATTTCGCTACTTGATTTAGTAGTGAAGGCCCTGAGTGCAATGACCTGCGCGCGAACTGCCGTTTCGGTATGCATGTTGGTAGGTTAGTTGATGAGGAGAAAAAAGCATACAGGAAGTTAGGAGTAGTGTGTTCTAATCTACTGTATTCGGTAGTATTTGATTACCGCTAGTAATGTAGGTCGACGCAATACTTTTGAGAGCTAAAACAGGAGAATCGCTCCAAGCAGTCTGATCATACCAATACAGGTTGAGGCAAGAGAGAACAACCAACCTCAGCAGAGTGACGGCACGTAGCTGTACGGGAGAGATCATGCGTAAAGAAGAATAGAATAAGATTCCAGCAAACCCGAAAGATGAGTGTTTTCGTGTGTGTATTGAATGAGTGTCCTTGTACGGAGTAGTCTCTCCCTATTCCTCCAACATGAACAAGCGAGATAGCCAAAGCAGTGCAAGCTATTCAAACAGAACGGTCCTCGTATCACTTCCTCAAATCACTAAATGCAACAGCAAAACAAGAATAAAGTGTAATCGAATCCCCCACTACACTATGTACTGCGTAGTGGAAGTTGTCCGACCCACTGAATGTTTTCTTGCTGCCCTGTTGGTAGGCTCTGTACAATCATATCTCAAGCGTGGCAGACCTAGGAGTAATAATGTTCCGACCAACGTTCAAGAACACCGCTGGCGATCATGCCAGTTGCCAGAAATGAGATTCCAAGAGATGTTACGGTACTGTAGTATATCGATCATTCATGTTATCGTTCCAGCTGAATACAGCCATTACTGATAGCATTCTGCTAGAATCAAAATGCGGTAGCCTGAGTAGATTAGCGCATTTCGGATTATTTTTCCGGGAAACAAAATCGCATGAGTGTGGAGGTATAACTGATTTCGAAAATCGGTGGTACTGTAAGAGCAAGCATCTTTGCCGGTTGCATTGTGATCTTACACAGGCTGTGTCATCTAAGTCTTCGTAAGGCGGATGGGAGATTGCTGCACGATCTCGCTGGGTTAGGACTTGAACTTGGCTCTTGTGAAGCTCTAAAATTGTCTACTAGGAACTAGGGAAACGCAGGCGTGCTTATAAATCAATATCCTTCAGTGCTGGGACAACAGTACCCGTGGTCTAGATAGCTCCACAGCTCTGGAATTTGTTGCTGCTCGTGGCCGAATTCGAGTCCGAACTCGAATTCGACTCCGACTCAGCTGTTGCCCATCTCGAGAGAAACCTCACTTAAGTTCGGCATGGCTTCCTTAAACTCGTCCAAATACCCTTGGTCAATATCCAGTTCCCACGGCCCCATACACGACTCCCTCTCCCCAAAGTCGATCCTCAGCACGCGCAGAGTCGCCCCGTGACGCGCCTTCAGCTCATCTAAATGCCGTCTCGTCGGCGGCGAGTGCGGGTTGCCCAGTGTCTTGCGGATCCCCTCGTCAAAGTCATACGGAACCCAGCAGAACTCGTGCAGCGGGTGCATCGTCGTGAGGGCCTCCGGCTCGAACACCAGGGAGTCCTCATCGTCGCTGTCGTGCAATATGCCCTCAAAGATGAGCGCCTCCAAGCACGGTAGCTGGGACTCGGAGAGGGCTGTCGCGAGCCCCTTGGGTCCGAGAAGGGGCGTCAAACATCCCTCTAGGTGGAGACGTCGGAGGAGCGGGAACTTGGGCGCAGGCGGCTCGACCCATTCATGGAACGTAGCGTACGCGTTGGCGGTCATATTGGTGAACATGTCGATATGGACGTAGTGCGTGAAGAAGTCGAGCCGCAGCTCCTCCAACCCGGCGAACTTGTCCATGGCCTGCCTAAGGCGTATGTCCGTTCCCCTATTGTACGAAAAAGGGGGATATGAGTGAAAGGGCATTTGCAAGCAAAGGCGATGCAGCTTCGACGGCAACTGCTCGAGCAACTCTGTGGCTTCCTCGATGTCCTCTTGGGCGGTCTCATCGTCGCGCGGGTCGTGCTCATAGTCGTCGTCTGAGTACAGCATCACTGAGAAGTTTCTCACTTGTGAAAGTGTCGAGCCTCCCATGGACTCGACCAGGTGTCGCAGGTCCCGCGTGTCGCATACACTAAAGACGGCTCTGCTCAGCAAGAGGGAGCTTGCGATGGCGTTGAGCCGCCGACATGTCAATAAGAGCGGTATGACGGGCGCTGCCCTCTCAGCATGCTCATGAAAGACGCGCTCCTTGATGCGAAAGGTTCGCCTCGAGTTGATTGGAGCGTCTGGAGCGCCGAGGCACAGCGACTGCTCGGCGATCTGGCTGAGGACCTCCTCGGGGAGGCCCAGCAGTGAGGGCATGTTGAGCTTGTGGATGAATTTTTGATGAGCCGTTTGTATTTAAGAACGAGGGTCCGCTAATGGCAAAATTCAGAGGAAAATAGTCTGCAACCCCGACTTTTGGGCTGCGACGCTCTCTCAGTGATGCCTCCGACAAGGGGATGGGACGTATTTGGCGGGGTGGTGCGCAACTTACGCCGAAAAATAAATACGGCATGGCTGATCTCAAACGCCCCCTCCCCAATCCACCGGCCCCTGTGTGAGTTTATTCAAAAGGGGGTGTGAGGTTAGCCATCCTCTAAATCTAATACCCCTTTGTCTGCAATGAGGGATACATGGAGGATGATCGTCTCTTCTGAAGGAACAGCTCGCAAAGAGGCTTTTTCAGCCTCTTCAAACGATGGTAGTTCGCCAATTGCTGAAATCAGCCTCGCCGTTCATTTGGCCAATCCTGGGTTAGAATTCAATGGATCTGCAAGTGCCAAGAGAGCACAGTTTCGGCCTGGTTCTATCTCTAGCCTAATGACAACATCTTGCTATCACAATAGAGTGCTATTTTTCTGTAGGTTGGTTGCCAATAATTGTTGTTCTTACTAGTGTACGAGGAGAGAGTAAATTGCCAATTCATTCTCCATACGATCTAATCCAATGAGATTAAACTCAACCCGCCAAGTCCCCATCACCCCACACTGCTTCAGGTTACAGTCCAATCGAGTGTAGAGTGTATAGCTGGTATCTATTATTGAAGGACCCACCATCGAGAGTGTGTATAGCTGGTATCTAGAGTTGGAGGATCCACCATCGAGAATTAAAAAAGGCACTAAACCATTTTCGGAAGCAATTCTCGAGGTCAGCTCCCGAAACAGGCTTAGCGCAATGTATTAAACAGACGAATACGCACAGTAAGATTCCTCCTTGATTATTCCATTAAAATCGCACACCACTCATTACACGGCAGAAATGGCTTCTCAGCACGGCCAATTGAGTGCGCTTGATGAGGAGAACGACCGACTGATAAGAGAGCGAGAAGAGAAGGAATATACAAGTCAAGTAAGCAGATATTTGCCAGATATCTATCAAATATCTGGTAGATATCTACATAAACGGTCATCGCCATCTCTCTCCCTACCCGCTCTAATGAGGCGGTCATTTTCCTCATCGAGCGGATTTAGCTGGCGTTCAGTAGCCATTGCTGCTTTCTGATGCAATAGGTGTGTGTGTCCTAAGGGAAGTGGTGTGCGAGCGGGGTTAATGGGAAAATGAATCTTACTGTGCGTATTCCGCTGTTTAATACAAGACGCTAGTCTACTTACAGAACCTCAGCTCTACATTAGATTCCCAAAGGGGCTTAGCGCATTTTAGGTTGGTGTCGATGGTGGGGCGTTTTCGTGTAGAGGCCAGCTATACGGAGTACACTCCACGATGTGGGTGCGTCGCAAGATGTTCGACAGTAGACAGGTCGAGTTTTGGTCCGTTTGATAACGGTCGACGAACAATGCAGGCACCCGTCTACGGGCCACAACCCTACGAAGGCGGGAGCACGCACAAGGGACGAATCAGGGGCTGAGAAACCGCAATCAGGGCTGGTTACAATTGACAATAGAGTATAGGTATGGATTAAGAAGAGAACAAAACCGGCGGTTGGATCTGGCCAATGAGTTAATATCTCTCGCTTCCAGAAAATTCCGCAACCAAGAGGAGCAATTCAGCTGGCAAAAAAGAATCATCGTTTTCCTCTTTAAAACTCTGTTCCGAAGTGCTCTGGGTCGCAAAGACTAATGCCGAGTCGCTCCCGCCTCCAATTTGACTATATGCACTTAGATCTAATCACCCAGACTATAGGCAATCGGGTTTTTAGTATTAACGTGTCTCAGGAGGATAGAGCGTTTTGGGGAAACTAATCGCTACAAACGTTGAATTGAACCTGTTGGCAATATAGCCTACATCCCGCAATACAATTTGCCCATGATTAAGGGGGGCCGCTCACAAGATCACTCTCGGCCTTCCAGACAATATTAGCGTTTCAATTTTATAGTGCCGTATTGTCCTTAATCGGCGCTATTTCAATCGATCCAGGTTCAATAACAAGTAACAAGTTCAACGTCCTTCTCCAAGTGCCGGCTGCAGCCGGTGCACGCTTTTGTCGGCGGTCCAATGCTGAATATGCTCGATCACAAACACATTGAAGACAAGCGATTTCAAAAAGATTCACCTGGGAAGTCAACTTGACAATTCACAGATTCACAGCCAACTATTTCCCATCCATCGTCGCACATCAGAATCCAACCGCCCCCCACGAACTAGCCGTGTATTCACCCTGTTGGAATTCCCAACCTGCCATAACACTGGTCAAGTAGTCACTCCCGCTATACCATCCATTGCTAATGCCATGCTCGAAGAATGGAGACAGACTGCCTGAGAACCAACCTGAGTTAGTGGGATCGACGTAACTCATAGTCAGATCGCCGGTAGGCCAACTATTGACTATGTGTTAGCAGTGTCAAAGGCTGTCATAAATGTAGCATAACGTACTGGAATAAGTAAACATCCCATGCCTTGCCTCCAAGGTTCACGTTTTGTGCCCACGGAATCGCGACACCTTTCGCATCGTAGTGGTCGGACAGAGGAGTATTAGGGAGCTGATGGGCTACCCAAATCATGATCTCATATTTCCCATTGCGGTTAGTTGGCGCATAACTTGGGTCAATGAAGATATCATAGCTATTTCGTTCAATTGAATGAGTTCTCGATCCAGTGTCCAGGGGCATAGTGTCTTACCAAGCATCATATCCATGGCCTGCTGCAGGGGCAGAGGTCTGGCTGAACCAGGTTTTGTGTCCGGGATTAAGATCGTTGATCTTCTTAGGCAGAGTATGAACTGGCGACCAAGTGCCCCAGTCCTCTCCGGTAACCATCACGACAAATCCGGTACCGCCTGGTGCAGACACTCCCCACGAGTTGTCGTTGTTATACCATGGATTGATACTTCCAGAAGTATTGAAGTGCTTGAAGTAGTAACTGCCTGAGTCGGCGCCATAGACAGGGCGACAAACCCCATTCAAGAGGATAAAACAAGTGGAGATGAAACGATGAAACCAATTCATTGTGACTGTCACAAGCCTTTCTTTTTGTCTGATCACGGATCTGAAGGCACCCTCGTTGACGAAATAGAAAGCAGAGACGGTATATATACTTTGTAGAACCCAATGAGAGCCAAGAATGATCGCAGGTAATAATAAATCTGAGAATGTCTCCTGAACTCACCTACTCGCTCGCTCTTTACCCCTTTTTGGAGAGATCGACATACTCTTGCGAATAATCTGCGCCCAATTTATCTGATACGGCTGATATTCCCGATCTACCTCATACCCGGCATTAAATTAGCCGCGATGATAAAAAGGAACAACTGTGGGATTCAAAGCTTACCTATCATGAGGAAACCTCTTCAAGAGCAAGAGAGATAGCTGGTTAATTTATTCGGCACGGAGTGTGTCCGAAATGTCTCATACTGGCATCACGATATGACTTGGATTTCGACTGAAGTGGCGTAGTCCTTTTGCGGTGGGATTTTAGGCCTCTTTGAAATTGCCTAGGAAGCTAAGTGGCTTGGAACGAATTCGTCAATGAAAATTCGAGGGAAAACAAATCCCTTGAGCTCTCCGCTCTTCTAAGACACGGCACAGTCCTGCCTAAGCGCCTTATGTGGGGCTGCTATGGTGTTAGCCTTCGGGATGTCTTAGCCATGCCACGTTCAAGCATAGATATTGAGTCGGACCCTCAAAAGGTTAGCCTCGGTCTCTTAGATATTAAATATTTCTTCATAGGACGGACGAAATTTCCCAAAAGGCCAAAGGGCATACTCCGGATCCGCCGGGCAAAAAGGTGGGATAGTGTGCTCAGGGGAACTCGTCACTCCGTACACATGGCTTTCCTGACGCGAGAGATGAGTGTGATAAAACTGGAGAGGGAGCCCCTAGGTCGTATTTTCCCCACAGTTTATAGCGAAAAAGGAAAATTCGAAGGAACCGACGCTGCGTCAACGCTACTTCAGGGTGTCGAGCCTTCGAGAAGCATCGCATTGTGTAGCAGAGCGGGTAGAATCTCGCCCGAGATATCCGGGCATGTTTAGTGACCGGCCCCTTACAAAAATTACCATTTATTGGTGACCTCACACAGTCAATAGGAGCAAGAAGAGTATAGTTTGGCCCTAACGGGTCACCTGTCGCTGCGGTCGTAGACCATAGCGTCAGAAAGGGCCCATCCGCGCTCCGGTATAAGGAGGCAATGTGTCTGTATTGTAGTGGATTATATATACAGAGGGAAGGCGGGAGGATAAAATCGGACTAAAATGCGTGAGAGATGACGAGCTACTCGCAGAAGAAAAGCAATTGACTTTGGTGAGGCAGTTGTAGGAGGAGGGAGGAAGCCGTCAGTAATGTCGGTGTATATATCACGTTCGGGCGACGCTAGGCATTGTGAGGCAACCACATTAAAACTATAGTACGGAGTATATATATCCACATTGCTCGATCGGAGCGTAATTTTGGGAATGTTTATAATAATTATTTTTTGAATATATAAAACATGCCGTACTAATTCTTATGCTAAGAGATCATAGCGTACTTGAATCAAGCCAGAGCATCTTCTCGTTGATTTATCATGACTGAAGAAATCGCATCTGGTATGGGGTTTTGGGGTGATCCTCTCGGTCGTGGATTATGCTACCCGTTGGCATTGAGTTAAAGATACCCCTGCGGCATTTACAGTAAGCCAGGTGAAGAGGTAAAAGTCTGTTACCTTCAAACCCGTTCAATGGCTGTCGGTATATTTCGAGGGATTTACGTGTCAGATGATAGTGAGGAGTGATTTCATGGACATGACGGCTTGCATACACACACTGTAGCCATGAAAGAGAGATTATTTGTGCAGAACCCAACATGTCAGTCTCGTCCTGTCGGGTCAATTCGAAGCGTCCACCGAGGTGATCGTCTGGTTCTGGCTTTGAGCCCCTGATCAAGCAGTTGGCAATCATATTTCGCATTTCTTGCTGAGACGCTCCCGATCGGATCATGTTAACAAGATGCTGCTACCTCGAATCATCTCTAATATTTCGGCCAAGAATGTGCGGTAGTATTCTAGTCTCTCTTGGGCCTCTTTCTGGGTGGCTTTGCGGTGCTGATCAGAGGACTGATCGACAATACACTCACGAATGTGCCTCTGGCATTCTGAGCATGGCGGACCATTCTTACACTGATAGGAGAGGTCAGAAGAGAACAGGAAACAGGCTGTGAGGCTGGTTCCGAAAAAAAAAGTATGAGCAAAATGTACCCTTGTCCGGTGTCTTCGGCACTCTTTGCAGGCAATCGAAGCTCTTTTTATCCTCCCCACCTTTTTTGCTGATACTGGCGCTAGCATAGGTCCACTTAGCGATACTGGCCAAGGCGCAATGACTGGAAACGAACCCGAAAGGCCTTGTTGGTCCGTTGGGAAGAACCATGGAACTGGTAGCTTGGGGAGAAATAGATAGATGCGATTGAAACCGAGAAAATTCTAGAAGAGAATCTGACCAAGCTCGAGGGAATTCTGGCCTGAGAAATTTCTTCATAGTATCGACCACACTTGAGCCTTCGTGCTGGGAAGAGTGTGTGAAGCTGTCACTTTTCGGGTATCTCACGGATTTAAGGTTTCAGCGGGAGAGCGACGAAAAATCGGTCCTCGCTACTTGAAGGGTCGACGACTGGTTAGATTTGCAAGGCGAGTAGGATTATTCTCCTAGAACCCGTGTGAAACCAGAGAGGGGGCGGGGGCGTAGCTTGGCCGATCGATCGGCGATAATACATCCTTATTTATTTTAATCCGGTGCAGACGGCCAAATGGAATTCTCCCAACTGATAGAAACGTAGTCTGGGGGGTCGATTTCTGATACACATAACTGAGTTGCTTGAACCCTTCGATTACTCACTTTCGAATTCCCCTGGTTGTTAACGATTTGCGGTGTGCACTACGAGCGGATTTCTGTAATAGGAAGGGCTCTTTCCAAGAATATTACTTTTCTGTCTTACGGCTACCAGACGATCTACGATTCATCTTATAGTATAAGGACACGATCTCGTTCGGGAGATCTCGGTGGTAAGGAGCGACTCATATGACGCCGCTGAAATGAACTCCTATAAAGAAAAATGGACCCGGTATTACGCCCACAACTAGTTGGTTCGCCAAGTGTCTACGCTTATATACAGTTTATGATGTTCGTTAACGTTGGGGAATTCAGCCATTCCAACCCCGAATCCGGCCTCTGTTAGCGAGGACAACTCAGCGTGACCTCGCCCATGCTCAATTTTGTAGTTTCTTAATTAATCAATTCCTCTTGTTTGGGTTGGTTCCACCTGATCCTCATTCGTCAGAGTGTACACTAGCATATACGATTTCATCCCATCTTGTTAAATGTTTAATAAATCTAGGTTCTCGTTTGATACAATGTGACCTGAAAAATCGTGTTTAGTATGGTGTTTTGGGGTAACCCGCTCGGCCGTGAATTATGTTAACCTAGGAGTTTACGAGGGGAATAATATACTAACACAGACATATTTCAAGGTGTTTGAGTGTACGCTATTCTCAAAGATCATCACAAATCCTGTCTCGGCGACGTTTCCAGGGAAGGCAAAATCCCGACGGAATAGCTGCGACTACGGCGGGCAATAGGGATTGCGACCCACTTTGTGATACGGACTGTTCCCCACAAATTCCCCAGTTAAAAGGTCAAGTCGGAAAATAGCCGTGAAGATCTCGATTGCTGAAATGCTAAGATATTGGACTGCGCCAATGATTTCATGCGACTGAGGCATTTGTTCGCTCGGATATGTCGAAGTCGAAGTCCACTGTCGAGCTACCTCCAGGTTAAAGGTAAGGTATTTAACCTGTTTATTGTGCTCTCGTTAACTGCTTCCCAGTGCACTTTCTCAAACACCATAATCTTATCATGCGATCGCCCCTGGCGAAGATAGTCTTGCGGTCATCCGTTGCCTTGCTACTGGCATCGGTAGGCACTGTCGTGGCAAGCTGCAGTCTCCCATCAACCTATAGTTGGACATCAACTGGCCCGCTAGCACAGCCCAAGTCAGACTGGGTCTCGCTCAAAGACTTCACCAACGTGGTTTACAATGGCCAGCATCTCGTATATGCTTCGGTCGCCGATACATCGGGCGCCTATCACTCGATGAACTTTGGCCTCTTTAGCGACTGGTCCCAAATGCAATGGGCAAGCCAGAATCAAATGATCAATTCTGCTGTCGCACCGACATTGTTCTACTTCGCCCCCAAGTCCACCTGGGTCCTCGTCTACCAATGGGGTTCGACCACCTTCTCATACCGAACCTCGAGTGATCCCTCCGATCCGAATGGTTGGTCATCGGAGAACCCGCTTTTCACTGGTAGTATCTTTAACGGGGCCGCCCTCGACCAGGCCGTTATTGGTGACTCTGAGAATATGTACCTCTTCTTCGCAGACGACAACGGCAAGATCTACCGCGCCAGCATGCCTATTGGTAACTTCCCGGGGTCCTTTGGCAGCGCGTATGAGGTCGTCTTGAGCGATTCCCCCGAAAACTTATTTGAAGCCGTGCAAGTCTACACAGTCTCAGGTCAGAACAAGTACTTGATGATTGTTGAGGCGAGGGGTGAGAATGGGCGCTACTTCCGCTCCTTCACGGCCGATAATCTCGGCGGCTCGTGGAATGTTCAGGCGGGTACGGAGAGCCAGCCCTTTGCTGGAAAGGCTAACAGCGGCGCTACCTGGACGAATGATATCAGTCACGGCGATTTGGTTCGCAACAACCCAGATCAAACTATGTCTATTGACCCGTGCAATCTGCAGTTCTTATACCAGGGACGAGACCCCAATGTTAAACCCACGTACGACCTTCTACCTTATCGACCGGGATTGTTGACGCTGAAAAATTGATTGTCGTTGCGTGTTATTTCTTGCAAGTCAATTGGTGGTCATATAGAAGAGCGGAGGTTGCAGAGCTTCGGAATCAGGGAGACCGCAAGCGAGGTTAAAGTATGCTCCTAGGTTGAATATGGGGTAGCTCAGTACGGTGCGTTCGAAGGCATGTTTTTGTCCCCTATGGTTCCCCAAAGGGTTCAAAGAGCCGCTTTTGCCACACATTTTAGCAAGCCTGTTTAAAGACAATTGACGGAATCATTAGATCCCGTGCCATACCTGTCGTCACTAACAGGGGCATCCATAATATCCTGAGACTTTTGCAAATAATGTGATTAAACAAGACAATTTCAATAAATAGGTTTTTTGACAGTATCTTCATGCCGGCCGACCAACAATTTAAGATACAGGGATGGAACTTTCGAGCTTCAAGGCTAGAAGAGCTGTTCTGACGTATCAGTCAAGCGACCACCGCCTCTTAGCTCCGTCGTATTAATGAGACTTACTTTGCGCCATTATGGAAGGTGATATTACGCTTCTCCCCGTAGACTGGGTGAACATCGATGCCTCCGGGGTGTCTGTAAAGTTTGATACCATCAACCTCATAGGGGTCATCCTTGTTGGGTTCCGGCAATGAATTCTGGTATGTGACAGTGCCACTCTCTTCGACAACAGTGCCATTACGAACCAGGTCTAGGATCGAGACTTTTTCATGCTCTCCCGTTGGGGCTGCCTGGATACCAAGTGCATAAGCGGCCAAAATCAGGCCTAATGCTCGAAGACCTGCTTCCAGCACGGTCCAATACACACACATACACTAATACTAATTCCAAGCCGTTACAGAGCACAAGGCACATTGAGAGTTGACCGCGTACTCTGTGGCTTGAGTACAGTAGAGCGGACGGGAAGCCCTGTTCTCTCAGTGTTCCGAGACGATTCTGTACATAGTTTCAGACTCTCGGTAGATGGAGGAAATTCCACAGCTTTTCCCCTCTTCGTCTGCGGCCTCTGTCTTCATCTATGTATATAAGTTCGGCGTACATGATCCCCTTTCTACTGGAGCCGGTAAACATGTTGAAGTGCTTTCACGCTCAATCCTAGATCGCTCTTCAAAGCCGTTTCAGTATATTGTTGGGGCCAGGAATTTCCTATACCCTTCATAGTCATTGAATATCAGCAAAGGCTCGATCTAATAGCTCCTCCAAATACCTGTCTCCCTAGGTGAATTCACTATGCTAAAGTATCCCGAACTTTCGAGGTTCATCCGAAGCTCGCGGAACTTGCTCCTTTTTGCCTTCCGATCGAACAAGATGTCAATCTCCAGATAACTCAATCCAAAGGTTTCCGGCAGTCTCCAGTAGGTCCAGGCGAGGCACAGAGCTGTAGTGCCAGCGAAGAAGAAACAGGATTTCCCCTTCCAATCCCACGCCGCTGGACTCAGCATACGCGGAGTCATCCAATTGATGAGAATTCCGGCAAGGTTGTAGGCAGTTCGAGCCAGGACCACAGTTTTGGTGCGGAGTCGAGTCGACGGGATTTCCGCGACTAGAACATAACACACGGGTCCGATCGTCATGTCATATACAAATGTCAGAATCAAAAGTAATGACCCGAGAGTCCAGAGTTGACCCTTAGATGTTGGAAGAGCCCCGACAATACCCCCAACCAATAGAATAGTTAGTAGGGCGGAAAGGCCGCAAAGGTACAGCCTACGGCGTCCGAAGCGTGACAAGAGTGTCCATGAGATCACAGCGCCAACTATAGCCAATGCGTAAATACCAAGAGACAAATTGAAGGCGTTATCGATACTAAACCCAGCCTGTTCGTAGAATGTTGACGCCCAGCCCATCAGACTAGTTCCGCATATCTGCTGTGCGACCCAAACCATACACGCAATTTCGGTTCGCCGGCGATCAACCCCTTTAAAGGCATCTAAGTATGACATGCCTTTATCATCTTCTTTCAAGTACTTTTCGATTTCGTTCGTATGTTTCATCAGAGCCACAGTCTGATCGATATTGATCTTGTCCTTCCTGGTCAACCTCATCAGAGACCTTTCGGCCTCACGTTGGTTCTTGTGGCGAATAAGCCACCAAGGGGACTCCGGGGCGAATGCGACTGCGACAAGAATAGGGAGACAAATAGCCCACTGAAGCGCAAAAGGGATCCGGTATGACCATTGGGACTTGTTGTCGACAAACTTCCTCTGTATTCCTGTAGCCAGAAATTGGCCAAGGACCCAGCACAGATTGACGTTACTGAGTAAATAGGCGCGCAGCGTGATAGGCATTACTTCCGCTGCATATGTGGTTGATAATGTTTGGAACACGCCCCATGGAATCCCACACAGGATTTGTGCTGCCAACAACATCCGGATGTCGAGCGCGAAAAATGACAACAAGATACTCAACATTAGAAATATCAATGCGGAGACCATTGTCCAGCGATAGCCGATTCGATCGGCAAGATAGCCATTTGCAAGTAGCCCGACTATCTCGCCGGCTTCTGCTGCAGTTGACAAAGCAAATTGCCATGTTGAAGAAATCTGATACCCTGATTCCGCTGTTGGCGTTCCGTATCTTTCTTTGAATGCAGGGAAAGCAAAGAAGTTAAAAATTAGAAGTGTATCAAATCCTTCCATTATCAGCGTGGCTGACAATATGAACGACCATGCTATAGCTTTAGGGTATAAGCGACAACCATCAAGAAATGACAGTTCCTGTTCTGCCCGGGTGGCCGCCCTAGCTGGAGCATGGAGGGGTCGTAAACTAGGTAATGCCGTAGCCAGCTGCTCGGTGAGAACGGCGGCATCAGTCTGGCTGAATGTCGCACTAGCGGGGCTACTTTGCTCCGTATGCAAACAGGATGGATAGGTTTCCAAGCCGCAGATGACCTCGTTCTCTGAGCCCAGATGTGGAATATATTCCACATGGTTTGAGGGATGCACCCCAGAGAAAGAGTCCGGACCAGCGGCATCCTTTTCCATCACACTGGATATCGGCATCATAAAATAACGTAACGAGAATTCAATTAATGCTCCGATTGAATCGTCGTCCAAAGGCGTGTGGCTCGATTGACAGACCTACTTGATGCCGTCAAGAATCATTCGCCTGCCGAAACACTGATGTATAGGTGGTAGCAGGCTTGATACTTAAAACATCTCAGGCCAACGTGGTGCTGCGGTATATTAGAGTGGACATTCCTCGCCACGCCAAGAAAGCAAACCAATACCTTCCCCGGCCGAAAACAACCTTGGATTACACAAGCCACACATCCGTCAATTTGATGGGTAACCCTGGACGTGACTCTTTTCTTCAGAGCTACTCGATTCACACAGCCTTGGCGTCCCAAGGATGGGGAAAACTTTTGTCAGTGGAGTTGTGATTCCGGCACGGTCTAGACGCTGAAAGAAACCTTAATAATGCCCGGTGCCCCACACCACCGTTTCGGGTATTAACACATGAAGGATTACTTCATCCTTCCGGAGTGGCCTCAGCTCCCAAGTCATCGCATCACCCCGGACTAGCCCAGCTCTAATCACCAGAAGTTGCTGATTGCATGCTAGCATCCCGTGGTCCTAACATTAGAGAAAATTTTACGATCAATTTCCTAGCGCATTTATCATTTGCTAGTCTTGTCACCGAATCCCTTCCAGTCGTTCTCGAAAATTGGCGCTATTTTAAAAGTTCGGGGCGCTTTACGAAATTAGCCGTGTCCTACAGGTATCTCAAGTATACGGCTTAGCGGAGGGGAAGCCAAAAGCATGGTTTCAACCTAAAACAACCATATGGCGAGACTTCAGATAAGGTCGCCCATAACCTTGCAAGGTTGGGAACCAACTGTGACCTTGAGCTGCGGCTTTTAAGTTCGAAGGTATATTGTTGTGCATGGATAGGTAATTTGAGGAATCAGCGTTCATCATGTACGGAGTACAGCGTACCTAATATGTTGTTCCTTAACAGATGAGAAACTATATTTCTGAGCCCTCCACAGGCCGCAACGCCTTCCATTCCAACCACTTAATAACTTCTATTTCACTACTTGCCACTCGTGGATTTGGTTATTCTCATAAAACTCGTTTAACAGCGTATCCTCCCTTTGCCTATTTCTAGCTCACCGCCACCCGAGCAAAAGTCCGATATTTCTCGATACAACGAAACGCCCGAAAAACTCAAAAGACAGGATCTTAGGTTTTCAGAAGAAATAGCTGAACGCGGGGTTTAAGGGCTATATAAATATGACGAGCGGTAAAACAAGAGATAGCAGCCCAAACTGGGCACACAGATAAGGGAGCCAGTACAGTTATCACAAAACCCTCGTCTAATAGCAACCAACAAGCAAGTTATCCGAAAATCAGGTTATGGGCTGGTTCAGCGGTAGGATATATGCATATTTTATATTACTTCTTATCGCGGGCTCTGACCGAGTGAGATGACTCTGATCAGGCACATGCCTGGGACAAGTCAATCAGTCCCCCCATAAAGCTGAACTTTCTCCTGAACTTTCTCGGCGCCGACGCATCATACGATGCGATGATTGCATATTAAGAATATTTTACAGCTAATCACCGTGCTCGTAGAATGTAGGCTAGTCGATATTAAATTAGACGTATCTATATCCTCCTTTAGCTCGCGCTCACCGCTATATACACTACACTTCTACTAACTCTCTTGATTCTACCTTACAAGGCTTCCTGTAAGTCTCTTCTTCCTACTCCTTACTAGACTTTACTACCTCAATTCGATGATTCACTATATCACAGAGTCAGATCTCTTAGTTCTCCGACAATTATCTTTTATCTGTCTTTGAGGATAATCCTTTAGACAGTCTTTCCTTCCTTTTATCTGATAGTACTTAGCTATTAAACCCCGATACACTATATAGCTAGAGGCCTATCTCCGCGCCCGGCGTTAACTTCGCCGAGTCACTACTCCCGCCCCCTATCCCTAACGCCCTCGAGTGCGTTAGCCCAAAGAAACAGAAGAACTACGTCCTTTAGTCCGAAATAGTAAATGATGAGTTCGTTGTATAGTAGTTAAACACTAAGTATAGTAGTCGGATAAAACGCATTATCTTCGAGAGTAAGCGCTAGGCAGAATGTTGGCAGTATTTCTACCAGATAGCGGCTATACAAGACGGCGCCCCTAAGGTTATGCGCAAAGTATACGATTATACCCTTAATCATCCAGCGGACGGCCATCGCGGAATATCATCTATGAATAAACACTTCTCGCAAGGGGTTAACTATCGGAAGGGAGCGCTTCGCTCTAAAGATATTAGAAGGCTAATACAAGACGGTGTATATTAACCTATTTATCCCTATTACTCGCTATGGTTATGAGATATAAAAAATCTAATCTTCCGGCAGCAGACAGACAAATTCTCATCTTCACATCAAGTTCTCACATCTTCAAAGAGACTGCCTAGTCCATCAAATCAAAAACACCTCTAATACATCCCCATCACATATGATGCCTCTCATCATGACGATCGAGGTCAACGAGGACACTCGTGGTAGGTTGAGAGAACTTCGATCCATTTCGTCTCTTCCAGATGTTCCTCACAAGAATCATTACACCGTGGGGCATGTAAGTCAAGACCTTTCAAGAAGTCCTTCTAAGTCAACCAGGAAAAATGCTGACCAGGCTGTGATAGGGACATGTCATTTCCTTCAGGAACTATATTGCTCAGCAACTCAATGCCTCGAGAGCATCAAGGGCTTACTGCATCTCTCGTCAGTACGACAGTCAACTACTCCATCTCGCTGGACTTGGTTTCGCAGCCACAGTGGAGTGGCATGTGAACGATATCGGAAACGACGTCCTGAAGGGTCACAGAGGGGCATTATACATGGGTATAGGGCTTGCCGGGCTTGGCTAGATAATCTCCTCCTGCTATTCATGGAGATCATGGCAGAAAAAAGGGGAGTCTTTGTAGAGCTTGTTACTCACATAGTGGCAGCCTAAGATGATTGGCGTGCGGGTTCAATAGAGGGTTCCAACCCGTTTTTAGAATAAATACATCTTGCCCGGTTCAAGGCAATATTGAGCGAGCTGATCTAGGCAAGGGAGTATTAGATGAGTGCCTGAGGCTTCAATGCCCTCGACACAACCAATCAAGACTTAGCTCGTATATTGCGAATGACTCACATACAGAGCTCACGGTGACCAAATCTCCCTGGTTCTTCACCTTAGGGTCGATCCATCATCGCCCAAGTAGTGATCGAGCATCCCCAAGATATTTTCATCCGATGGACCATCCTCTAAATATTCCAAATGGCTGCGCAGCCGTGAATGTTTCGGTCATTGACAGGTAATTCAAATCCACACATACGCGCAATTTACAAGCCCAGGCCTGATTTTTAAGCCTTAGTCTGGAAGACCTCAACTAATTAAATTGAATACTGACATTGAATCAAAGCACACGCATGCGACTTCCATGCTCGCACCTACTCACACCGGACATACCGCAGCACCAATATCTCGATCTTCCATCATTTTCCTTTCTTATTGATCACCCAGGATCGCAGCGCAAGATTCTGTTCGATCTTGGGCTTAGGAAAGAACTCTCAAGTCACCCACCAGCAGTGGAAAGGTTTCTTGTCGAGTCTGGTTGGGACTTGCAAGTGACAAAAGACATTCCCGAGATCCTCAAGGAAGGCAACCTGTCTCCGACTGATATTGAGGCTGTGGTCTTCAGTCACCATCATTTTGACCATGTAGGGGACCTGAGTCAATTTCCATCAACTACTACAGTCGTTGTTGGCCCTGGCTTTAAAAATGCCCATTTGCCCGGATGGCCTGTGAATCCCGAGTCGTCATTAATTGACGATGATTGGAAAAGGCACAATATTCGCGAAATATCCTTTGATGTCGGGCCTGAAGAACTCTTCATTGGTGGATTTCCGGCCGTTGATTATTTCGGAGATGGAAGCTTCTATCTACTCAATGCACCTGGGCATACGATCGGGCATCTTGCTGCTCTGGCTAAAATATCTCTGGCTTCTGCCTCATCTGGAGAACATCCAAGCCAACATCCAAGAGATAAATTTGTGTTCTTAGGTGGAGATATTTGCCATTATCCAGGCGTTTTTCGCCCCACGGAAAGTTCACCTTTGGATACTGAAGCCCAAGCGGCTTTGTACACCTGTCCAGCGTCTTTCTTCCTCGATGTCCATCCAGAGAAAAGTTGCGAAAAACCTTACTATAGGATGCCAGCCCATTGCACCGTGGATGAAAAGGCTGCCGGAGACTCAATCCGAAAGCTGTGTGCATTCGACGCCAATGAGGACGTTCTGGTAATTATTGGCCACGATGCGTCCTTGATTGGAAAGATGGATTTCTTCCCGAAACCGATCAATGTATGGGAAAAAGAGGCAAAGGATACCTTGCAGTGGGCTTTCTTGAAAGATCTCTGCCAAAATACTATTCACAACTAGCCTTCTAGCATGAAAAAAATCCAGTATCTGTTGGGGAAAATGTGATATTTGTAACTGTAGTTCAGACAAGAGGTAATAATCAAAAAGTTCATGGGTCTACTAAGTTTACCCCTCAAGTGGTCAGTCTACCTACAGATTCTAGCCTCACGCTGGTGCTTAGCATAACCACCTAATTTTCAAGTCTGAGACATCTCCACTTATGCGAAACGCGTCGCGTCGGGTGTGTGTGTCTTGTGGTGATACAATCTAGGCAATTGAATGTTCTCTCCTCCAATTTAAGTCAAAATGAGGTTAATTTAAAGGAGAATGGGGTTCTATTCTTACCAAATTTTGTTTCCGGGACCCGTCCTAGTGAACACTCGACCTGGTGGGGTAACCGAGGAATGCTACCTGAGGATTCCATCAAAATTTCGAGACAGCAAACAGCACTGCAGAGAGATACAATACATCAATCGTACGTAAATCTCATATGGAAAAATCGTACAGTGATTTTCCAAGCCTGTCAATAGTGTTATATTGCTTTTGAATGCATTCAAACACGGAGCATGGTGTGGCTGATCCATCAAGTCCCGCAATAAATGAAACACTGCGGAAAAACTAGTCCTTGACCCATGTCGAGACCCTAAGCTAGTCCGTCCCTTCTGAGAGCATATAATCTCGAAAAGGTCCTACAAAACCAGAAATTCTCATCCGTTACACCATCCATCTAGCATTTGATTATTGCATAACATTCATCATGCCCAACCTTCGAAGTGTTGCCATTCCGTCCATCCTGGCGATTCTTGAGTTCTCTAATGCTCAAGAGACTGTCGGATTTGGGCCTGCTTTCTCTCTTGGACCTGTTTCCTCTTCATCCTGGATTCGGGAGTCTGTCACAACTTTGGTTTTACCGGTGATTCCTTCTCCCAGCGCGGATCGCCTGGCTTTATGGCCGGGCATGGGTACCAGCGGTGGTGATCTCATTCAAGCCTTGGCTGTTTCATTCGCTGATCCCAACGCGTGAGTGAAATCAACAAAATTTTGGAATAACAAGTTTTAATTCTTTCTAAGAAACTGTGGTGCCAAGGTTGGGCAGTGGTGTACTTGGGCTAGTACTCTGAAAGGTATAATTAAACGACCATGAAGCGTCTAGAAAACATATTAAAGGAAACAGGCGAACAACTTGGTGGCAAGCAAGTCCCAGCAAATCCAGGCGATAAATTGACGATGCACTGTAAGTTAGCTCCAGCCGCATACTTTACTAATTCCCTCGCTAAGTACTTTCGGAGACAAATACAACGACAGCACTGGAAAATATGACCAATCGGTTGCAATCAACGGTTCAATCGTCTCCACTCTCTCAACTGGTATGTTCATACGGTTTTGCTATTCTCCTGGGAGCGATAATTTTGACTAACAATTGTCAGATGATGGTCATGCTCAGGGCTGGGGCACTGCTGTCGAGTGTCAAGATGATGCTTGCAAGAGCTCGGTCGCAGCGCATCGTAAGTGTCCCAACTTAATCCGACTCAGAAACCTATTTTGTAACAATTTGGCCACATTTAAGAGTATCTGTCGACCAAAATTATTTTGGACTCTGCCGACGCGTCCTTTGGCGACACCCTCGTTCTCACTGAAGCTAGCTCTAGTGGCTTGAAGACAACTGATGGTGGCAAGACTTGGGCCGTTTCGACAATTAGCATCAATTCCCACACGTTCAAATAAAGGCTGAGCCAAGATTGAGTAGCGTTGATTCGGTGCCGATGATATTTCCCTGGACATAAATACATACCAAGCTTCCGCTGTTGTCAGATGCGCTCCATATTGAAAAAGAGATGTGTGCACAACAGACAGTTTTTCCGCTCAGTGATCTTACGAACAAACAGATATGATTTTTGTGGATTAAAACATCAACTCGAGCGCGGAATTGAATTTTTGAAATATCTCAGGGACTAGATGATGAGACCACTATGACCGAGGAAGGGGAATAGAACAATGCGCTAAATAGCGTATTGGAGAGAGTTATCAAAGGAAGAGGGGATCGGCAGGAGCCTTAAAGACACGGACGGCTCCGAGCAAGCCAATACTGAAGCCGGCGAATCGGCTGGACTCGTAGATTATAGGGAATCATAATGGTAGATTATGGCCTTCGAGCGAAAACTGAAATTGTGCTGGTTTAAGAATGCTGATTGAGAAAGTTGGCAAGGGAACTCCCATAGTTCGTCATAGACGTTGCGCAAAGGTCACTTTAAGAACAGCCTCCCGTTCCCCCTCTCGTCAATATTGTGCCGCGAGAAAGTAATCCTCAATGTGGCCCCCGCTCGAGAACGACGCTATTAATTTGGTCAAGGGACACCTGACCCGAATCACGTGCGGGACGCTGATGCAGAACGTCGAATCCTTTCTCGACCATCGTCTCGCGTTTCGGATCCTGTCGTAATTGGACCCTGGGCCTTCTCCAAATCATCCAGTCCATTTTGGAACTTCCTGTTTTGCGAGGTCTTTTGCCTGACCCACGATCACCAACTATGGACACCGCAGAACTTCCGGACAGTACTCGCCATCCTCGATGGGACGTTCTTTATTCCGCTCCAGGCTTTTTCCCCGCTGTTCCAGCAACCATTAGCGATCGAGCCAACGAAAAAAAGCAATATGCTGAATTCGGGTGGTGTCACAGTACTGAGACTATCTCCTGATATGGTCGTGAAATATGGGCCACAAGTCACCACCAGCACCGAAGCACAGAGCATGATGTTTGTGGCAGAGTACACAAAAGCGATCCCTATTCCGAAAATTTTCGCGTATTGTACTTATGGCCCACTCAACAGAGACATCGATGACTATGGGAGCCTTTTCGACACGTACATATTTATGAGTTTTGTTAAGGGTCAAACTCTCGACTCAACTTGGGACTCATACGATGAACTGACGAAGACCCGTATTGCGCATCAGCTGAAAACATACATGAACGAGCTCCGCGAGATCAGAAGCGAACCATACATCGGGTCTGTCAACAAAGGACCTGTCAGGGACCAGATATTTGACAACTTCTACGTCAAAGGTTTTCCCCCCTTGCATTAACGCTGTGAGAAACAATTGCTAATTTATTATCTAAGGACCCTTTGAATCAGAGGAGGCATTCAACGGAACAATCATGGACGTATACCAGGCAAACTCTCCAAGACGACACATCAGAAGTTTTCTTGCGGGCATGCTCTCCCAGAAAAGGCATAGTATCTGTTTTACTCATGCCGATGTACGTCCGCAAAACATCATGGTGCTTGGCGGGAGTATCACTGCTATTATCGACTGGGAGTTAAGTCGTTGGTATCCAGAATACTGGGAATTTGCAAAAGCGCTCTACGTGTGACAGTGGCAGAACGACTGGGCCGATTACTTGACGAAAGCCTTTACACCGTATTGCACTGAATATGTACGCTGTCCATTCGTTTCTGGCCGAAATTTTATGGTGATACAAAGATCTTGCTATCGCTGAAAATATAAGCAGTCTTTCATCGATGGCTTGATCCAACTCATCCATCCTCCACCTGTCGACAATTCCTCAGACCAACGTGCGAAGTGTGTTGGAGAAATTCAGATCAGAGCAACTCGGGGGTTGGTAGTTTGGCCAATGATAAACGGTTTGTAACCGCCAGTCCCCTTGCCGCAGGCCCTTTGAAGTGGCCCCCAAGACTTGTACTAGCTCCATTTCACTGCTTCGAACCTGCTCAGATATCCTTCAATGACGGAGTTCCCCGCTTGACATCTAAGCAGAAGGGCTATTCCGTGGCCCGTAGGCAAACTTATAGGCACTTGGCGCGAAACAGTTACAAAATATTGCGAGGTACGTAGCCAGCCACAGGCCCTCGATATCGTCCAATCAACACAGTCCTTCTCTCCTGTCTAGACTGTATCTACCCCCTGGTCCGGCTCTCTTTGTATGTAAAGTCTATTATAGTATGCTCAAAAATTACCTTCAAGTTGCAGAGTATCACAGAGTACAGGGTACCACCTCGGGGGGGGTTTCATCCCAGATTTGTGGTAACATCATCTTCTCATAGACATTCAAGTCTACCTGAAGAAAAAGCAAGGAATTGAAAGGTGAATTGGTGGTCCATATTGTCACAGATGATGCTGTGATGATGTGTTATTCATTGCCTGGAACTCGACATGGCCAAATATTATGTCTGGAAATTTCTTAGATTTTCCTGGCCAATCCTGCTCCTGAAGTTATTAAGAGAAAAATATGCAATATCTTGCTTTGATTAGCTTCGTGCTGTCATGGCTGAGATGCAGATCCAGAATTTGGCAAGGGAGCCCCACAATGATTGGCTACCATTGTACACGTCGATGACCGTCAGATGACGTCTCGGGGTTCACCTTGCCTACTAAAGGGCTGAAAAGATCCCCAAGATCAGAATATAGCATAAAGGTATTGAAAATGCTACTTCTATTTTCACGCTCTACTCGTCTTTCAAATATTTTCAGAAGCACACCTCACCGGTGCTTTATATCAGGAAACATCAAGATGGCCGGCATAAGTGCAGCGATCAAGAAAGATCACCGCGATATCGAGGAATACTACAAAAACATACTCGCTTCATCTACAGACAAAGAGAAGACTCAGTGGCAGAACCAATTCACCTGGGAGCTGGCTCGCCACTCTATCGGCGAGGAGCTTGTCGTCTATCCTCAATTTGAAAAGAATCTACCTGATGGTCAAAGAATGGCTGACAAGGATCGCCAAGAGCACCTTTCAGTAAGCCCTTGTTAAGCTGGACTTTTCGATTGAGAGACTTGGTCTAAAATTATACTACAGATCAAAGAACAACTCAAGACTTTCCAGAATATGCAGCCTAGCGATCCTCAGTTTGAGCCTACCCTTAAAGCTCTCATGAAAGATCTTTCCGAGCACATCAAAGAGGAAGAAAGCAATGACCTTCCCAAATTAGAAGACAGTATATCAGCGAAGGAGAGCGATGATCTGTCTAAATCTTTTGCCAGGACTAAGATCTTTGTTCCCTCGCGTTCACACCCGAGTGCTCCGGACAAGCCTCCATTCGAAACAGCCGTTGGGCTTATGACGGCGCCTATCGATCATCTCGCGGATTTGTTCCGGACGTGGCCACATACGTCCGGCATGCCAAACCCGTCTACCAAGTAGGTTCAGTGGTTAGCTCTACGGAATCCAGACTATGGGTTCTGTCATGTATTTTACACGCGTATGATGTGGCTCTAAAAACCAGCACGAGTTACCCCAAGCCACTAAGATGAGATAATTCCTTATCTGCCACGGGTTTATTGCGATTTATCATCTTCCATCCTATCTTCTCAGCTCTGGATTTAGTGGTTCGATTAGGTATAAATGATATAAACTTGGTCTAAGTCTCTAAAAGTGTTTTCTTGTACTTCGTATCTTGGCAGTTCTCCTGGTCGGCCTGCGATAAGCGTCATGCCTCAGGCAGCACAAAGCGGGCGAGTCCCACTGAATCATCCGCCGACTTCGTTTCCCCCGCACTCCACCATAATAACCGTCAACAATCAGCTTTCACACAACTTCTCATAGCTCTGAGAATTGCGCACTGCAAAGTATCATGGCCTCGGTATCAGAGAAAAGATTGGAATCGTCCTCAACGGGAGCATTCACCATCCACTACTTCGCGACCGCATCGCAATACACCTCCAAAAACACCGAGCGTCTCCCCGCGCCCCTGCCTTTGTCCGAGCTGTACCCGCTACTTGAGGAGCGGTACCCGGGAATCCGTGAGAAGGTTCTGGGCAGTTGTGGTGTCAGCCTTGAAAGTGAATATGTTGATATCCAGGAGGATGCCCACAAGGTGATTCAAGTGGGGGACGAGGTTGCCATTATTCCGCCTGTCAGCTCGGGGTAGGAAGGCCTGGTGGAAGCTGGAGGAATGACCAAGGGATTCCCATCAGCACTATTCTGTATATGTCCAAGAGTGCGAAAGATAGTCAGTACGTGCTCAAATATACCCGAGCCTCGCACAAGGCTGGCATCTTGCTGACATTCTGGTTGGCTCAGCCGCATTCTTCCAACTTCTTATAAACCTCCCAGAATCCAAAATCTTCCAAAAAGAAATAAAAAATAAAAAAACCTCTTCTTTAGCTACTACAGTTGTCAAATATCATAAAAAAACGATGGAGTCCCAGAAACCAGTCCTTGTCATCGTGCCAGGCGCTTACCACCGGCCTTTCCATTACCGCAAGATTATCGACCCACTGCGCGCCCAGGGGTATGAAGTGCTTTCTTTTGACTTGGCTGTATGCGGAGAAGACGTGGACCCCGAACTGAGCTTCTTCGACGATGCTGCTTCTATCAAGGAGCATTTACTCCCACTACTCGACGAAGGCAAGAAGGCTGTCATCATTTCTCACAGTTATGGCTCCCTGCCCGTGACCGCGCTCGTCGACGGGCAAACAGTTGCTGAGCGTGCTGAGAAGGGCTTCAAGGGTGGAATCGCTGCAGTTATCAATATAGCCGGATTTGTGTTCCCTATTCGCGGCAAAAGTATCTTTGGCAATGAGCAGAACCCCCCTCCACCCCCTTACCAGATCTGGAAGGTAAGTCATGACAAAAAGAATGGCTTGATCCGAGGTTCTCACTAATTCCCATCCAGGATGGGATTGCACATCTCCAAGAAACGGCCAAATCAGTCTTCTATTCCGATCTCGCTCCCGAGGAAGCCGATGACGCATGGGCTCACCTACACAAGAAACAAACTACGAAGAGCTTTGACACATGGCCTCAGTGTGTAGAGAGTGAATACCGGTGTCCGAAGACCTATATCCTGTGTGAAAATGATACAGCGGTGCCTCCTATGTTCCAGGAACAGATGGCTGGGCTTGGTGGGTTCGACATTGTCCGGGTCAAATCAAGCCACGCCCCATTCTGGACTATTCCCGAGGAGGTTGTGGCAATCGTGACGAAGGTCGCTGAATCTGTCAACTAGAACAAGGGGCATATATCCCTAGCGAGATGAACTCGGTAGATCTTTGCAATGGGGCGCTCGCTGTGTTGTCTGTCCAACATATTAGAAGCCCTTTTAACTGGCCTACGAGATTATTGGGGAGAAGATATAGTATCTTTTTCGAACCATAGGTTATCATCTATAATCAAAACGATGTGTTCATTCGGCTGGCCTTTGTTTTCTGTTACCATTTTCCACTTCAAACAAAAAACTCCTAACGCCAAAGTCAAATCATTAGTACGCTGGGTAGACAACCATAGGAAAAAATCACAATTTTGCTCAACCCCGCCTCCCAATGCCTCCAATTATATCCATCATCGTCTCCTTCCTCGTTCGTTCCAATCACACTGCGTGGATGCCTCGTTGGAATCTTCCTTGAGGTGATCACCAGTAGGCCCTTCCCAGGCGATTACTTCTCCGCGTCAATCTTAGCCTTCTTCTGGCGCCAGAGGCAAATATTGCAAATGACCGAAAAGAAGAACAGGATACTGTGGTCGAGTCAATAATTTGCAGCTTAGAACATTGAAGATTCAATCACTCACCACAAGGCAATGCCCAGGCCCCAAATCGCCTTTGTCTCCAAACAGATAGTCTTCGAAGCTCCAATCCACGAGCCGAAATCGATTTTTCCGGTAATGCTCGCCTCAATGCTGGATAGGTGCGACGTAAAGGCGTATGTAGTCGCATCCTTGAAGTTCAGCGAGGATAGCGAAGCGCACTTCAGATATGAGAGGGGCTTGCCCATGATCACAGCCACGACAATAAGTGCGATGAGTAGAAGGAGGTCCAAGATGGCGCAGGGAAGGAATGGAAGGATGTCATCGAAGAACAGGATGCCGGTAATAATGCAGTAAATGACGGCGATGCAAGTCTGCATTTCTGGTTAGCAAATCAATTGGTAGCGAGAAGATTTACTTGAGACTTACCACACTGATGACTCCAATGAGAATGTTAGGTGGGGTCTTGTCATCGTTGACAATTGATGAGATGAATTTGGCAGTCATGCCGATGATTGCAATGAGCGAACATGTTTGGAAAATGCGCGCCAGTTGGAAAGTAGCGCCGAGGGCTCCGTAGCGAGGTGCCATGTTGATTATTAGGAAAGACGAAGTTTTTAAAATGTACGTAGAGAGCAAGAAAAGAAAAGGTCGATATGAGACGCGGTCGCTGGCAATGGAGATTCGGATGTCCAAGGAGCGAAGTAATTAATACAAATCTCAAGTGAGAGAAATGTCGAATTGAATGAGTGAAAATGGATGAGTATAGTAGAAAAGCCTAGGAAAAGAAACAAAGCGCTTTGAAGGAAAGTGTTGCAGTGTTGATTCAGGAAACAAAGGGACTCTTCAGCCCAGACCTTATATAGAGCCCGGGTACAAAGAGATCAACCTTCAATCTCGATCAGCCAAATAAAGAACGGCGATCTAGGCCCGACAAAATTAGAATTGTAGCTTAGATCTAGACCCTCAACCCAGAATTGGAGCCTCCTCTGACTTCATTGTTTGGGGAATCGCTGAATACAGGCGCCACGCGCAACGAATCCCAGCTCCACGATCAACATAGCTGCGGCTTTAAAGGTGGGACCTGCATCAGTGCGCAACCCTTGCTTAGAAAAGCTCCGACAGCTCAAAGACCAAACGCCTCAAAGTAGGACTTGATAAAATTGGGCTGGGGGTGGAGGCCCACTCTGGCGCTTGGAGGAGATCCCCGGATGTTTCGGGCGCTTCTCAGCCACTCGCTGCGTTGTTGGGCGGCAGATCTGACGCAGGCCGCTACCACAGTGAGTCAAGTACTGACTGGGGTGGACAATGCACGGTCGATCATGTTTCATCCTTGTCGCTTTGGTCTTCTATTATTTTACTGGGCGCCTCCGGTGTTTTGAATAATCTAACCTGGGCGGAGCGAGTTTAAAGCGATCTTAAGATGGTGGTTCATTTATGATCTATCATCTTTCCGCAAAAGATTAGTTCTTAGATCAACGACAGCTATTCGATCTTCAAAACGCATGTTCAAAGGGCCAGATAATTTCTTGTCCTATTTTTGAAATATGCAAAACTTTGAGGTAGCACATGGTCTGGGCACTTTGTGTGAACAACCTGCCACTAATAATAACAATTTTGCAAGTTTCAAGTCCATCTGTCTAATACAAGGGACTTTGCTGGAGTTCCGATTCTTCAGCTCCTGCCCGCCCTCGAGCAAGCCACGGCTAGAAAACTAGGCGAGAAGAGCAATTAAAGTGATACTTCAATGGAAAAAGCTCCCAATTCAGGAAATCACTTTCTATGTGGTCTTCCAAATCCTAGAACTGTTTTGCTCCGTGGCCTCTTGAAGAAGCGAGTTTGTTCTTTTCTCAGGTCCAACAATCACCAAATCAATTACGTAGACGCTACCATCAGTGTCCACTTAATTCCTCTGATTAATTTCCATTCTTGACGGAGGTTGAGGCTTTGGAAGGCCCATTGCTCGGCTCGGCATCCTTCATATCAGGCTCGCTCTCACTGATCTTCCCGGAAATCCCCACGGAATTTTCTTGAGGGGGTTTTCCGTTTCCAGACCCAGCGTTTGTTGGCCGTTTGCTGATTGCCTTACGGCTATAGTAGCATCACTTTCCTGCTTCCTCTTCTTCCCCTTCTTGAGATTTCTTAACATATCTCGAACTTGGTCTTTGTTGCTTCCCTTGTACCACTTCCTTGCAAAGCAGCGCCGAGTACGCCAACGATTTATGGAGCTTGATCGGTCTTTTTCATTTGACAGTTGACCTTCGACTATTCAAAATGTCTCCTCGATACCATCCCTTATCCGCTAAGCTGCCTGCAACGAGCGAAGACAACAGCAGTTTTGTGGCCGACACCTTTGCGAGTGGTACCATCACCCAAATCACCGGTGTTCCTAAACGGTGCACGCGTAATCTGATGAATATTGGACTTGTTGACTTCAACGGCTTTGACACCTGGCTAGACGATGTGACCCGCGTCCTTCGTCAGAAGAATTTACACCGATTAATTGACGCTGACATTGAGCACCCTCCAGCAACCTCTCCCCACGCAGCACGATGGGAGAAAGTATCAAAAGACGTTCGAGCATGGTTGTTCCAAGCCGTTTCGGAAGATATCAACGGATTTGTGTGTTGTCGCCCGTACCGTTGCGATTTTGCCGACGAATACATCGAGGCTTTAAAGAAGACCTTCAAAAAGACCGGTTACCTTGCAGCATCAGCAGACTGTGTGACCCTCTGGACTATCCGGCGCAATCAATACTCTACCAACTCCGAATTTGAGGAAGCCTTCCGTGACCAATATGCAAAGCTTGGTCAGAGAGTGACAATTTCCCCATTCTTTCTTAGTCAAGTGGTCCTACATGAGATCCGATATGACAATCCAACACTGGTGACTGTAGAACATGCGATCTACGACAGGACTTACACCAATGCGGAAGACTTCAGTGCAAAAGATCTACTCAGACTTTTCAATAACTTGATCCGTGAACTCCAAAATGTTGAGAACTCCCATGCCGCAGCATCAATCAAGAACCCCAACTCCTCTTGAGGAGTGGGCAGGCTGGTCGCATTCCAAACGAGTTCGACGGGGAATCAATAGATTGAGGAATTAATTCTTCAATATTATGGACAATTAAAATCCGGACATGTACAACCTGTATAACCAACAGCATGATGGTAGTCGCTAATTAGTTAAGTCTCCAACCACCGCTGGTCCGCTTCTGGAAGAAGCCATCCGGATCATAGCGCAGTCTCGCCTCGAGCGCCGACTTCTTGGACGCGGGATCAATACGACCCCAGTAGTCCTGGCGGAAGTACAGATCGTTCATGAAAAGCGGTCGATACACGTCGGGAAGTAGGCCCTTGTCGATGTTCTTCTGTACAAGGTTGTCTAGGCCCTGGTAGAGATTCTGATTGGCTTGATCGATCTTGTCATCGTCGAGAGAGAGTGCGTAGGAGAAGTCAAGCTCGATGAAAATATAGTTGGTGTCGGTGGGAACGTTGAGGAGATCCTATGGTCATTAGCTTGTGCTGATCGTGATAGATACTGGGGTTCTTACTCCGCCACGGGCCTTGGCCTTCTCACTGAAGGTCTTAGGCACCGGCTGGAAAGCGATGGATCCCAGAACACCGGTAACTTCAAGTACGCTGTTGGTCACGTCGAACCAGTGGTCGTAGTACTCCTGGAGAGGAGCAGTTCCGACGGTGCTATTTGGCACAGGCGTGGTCTCGGTGGCAATGGTGTAGCGTTGTCCACTGAAGGGGACGGTTAGTATCGAACAACAGAAAGATCAGCCAATCTCACTTACTGCAGAATGAAGAAATCGTTATTTTTGAGCAGGTCGTAGTAAGTATCCCATGTCTTCGTGGTAGATGTATGCGGGATCGCGGTGAACTCGTCGAACACGCCCGCTGGAGGCTCAGGGCCATCGTAGAAGAGGAACATGATCCAGAAGTCAATCAACGCGCCATGCTCCGATGTCAAGATAATCGCCGCCTTGTCATCAGGATAGTCATCCGCAAAGTTTCGCAGGGCCGTTAGCACTTTGGGTGTCTGATCCGCAGTGAAGACATAGTTGCCGCCCCAAACTTTGCCAATTGGGTGAGTCTGCATGGTGTATGCCGTAACGACGCCGAAGTTATTACCGCCACCCTTGAGAGAAGCAAAAAGGTCTGAATGCCATTAGCATAGGCTCGTGATGGTTTGAAGGGGTATATATCTTACCGGTGTTCTCCTTTGCATTGGCATTAACCACCGTACCATTGGCCAGGACAACCTCAAAGTTCACAACATTGTTGGCTGCCCAGCCGTATTGAGTGCTTAAGAAACTCATTCCACCTGCATGAAAACCGTCAGTGATACTCATGGAACGAACGATTCCTCTGAAGCTCAGCATACATCCAAGCATATACCCTCCAATTCCCACACCTCCAAGCCGTCCTCCAACAACAGCCCGTCCAGTCCCCTCGAGTCCCTTTTGTGCCTCTTCCCACGACAGACCAGGTCCAATGATAGCTGTCTCATCATCCGGGTTATAAAACACCTGATCTAAATTCTTGGTTGAAACCAGCAGACCATCTTGAATACTAGCAAAGCCATTATTAGGCATATGACCTCCAGACTTCACTGCGAATAATGTCTCAACATTGTGTAGCTCTTTGATCACTTGCGCCATCTCAGCCGCACTGGAAGGCGCAGCAATACATGTCGGCTTGAGATCACCACAGGCAGCAGACCAATATTTTGTCAGGTCGGACGAGTAGTCAAGCGACAATGGGTATTCGATGTCAATGCCGCCAGCTGCAAGGGTTGAGCAAATGTCAGCGCGCACGAGAGGAGCGATTGTGGCCAGAGATAGCGCTAAAGCGCGCCAGCCGAGGCTGGAAGGCATTCTATCGGAAGTATTGTAGGCTTTTTTAAGATATAGGCGAGGCTGAAATGAAGTACGCGGAGGATATTTCCGATAATTAAAGGCGTATTGTATCAGGGTTTGCAGGTCTTGAGACTCAAAAATGAGTTTCTAGACGGGCTGGCCATGAAGACTTACTTATATACCAATTGCACGGTCCCCGGTCTAAGTAGCTCTCTTAGTGTATCCACTAATCCATCAGCCATCTCTCTTGGGAGTGGAGTCGAGATGGGACAGAGTCTGCAACGTCAAGAGCCGAGAACACCCCACAGGGTCTGGGATCTCTATCAGGCTCGTCTCCAAGAGACATCAACCCTGGCACTAATGTCACGCAATTCCCCAATTGAGTAGAAGCATCAAGCAATACTCGCGAATGCCAGTAAGCTGACTCGGAAATCCTCATTTCGCTTTAGCTATTGTGTGGAGCCCAAACGCGGGTGAATGAGAGTGCACATGGTATAGGAGCAAGTCTTCCCTCCGCCGAAACCTCGGGTTGTTGATCAGAAGATGCATAACGGCCCTTCAGGGCGAAGATCTTGTCACTCCGCTGTTTAACCGAGAAGTCAATCTCGCGGCGATCGCAAGAGAAAAGACGATGCATTCCTTGAACAAGGGTGTACACGATGTATTGCACGCACTACTCCGTATGTATTCGGACACTGCACTTTGGTGTCCGAGCTTTAGGAGACAATTACCCACTAGCCGTGGAAGCTCCGTGATAGGCTGCGAGTCAGAATGCATTAGCATATCATCGGTCCCATTGGTCGACTAACAGCACAGTAGCCGGACCCACCGATCGTCTTTTGAAATGGGATTTGACCGAGATAGGGGGCTGACAATAGTTCAGCCACCACGACTCAAATATGTCGCCAGACCCTGGTTTTATCACATACATATCAACCAGGTTTCCAACAGTGATGTCAGAAACGGGCATCAATAGGGCGCATATAGTGATCGGGTGACAATATTGAGGCCGGAATCTGATTATTTGCAGCGCCCTTTTTTCACAATCAACTTTCACCACAAGTCCAACAACAAAGCCGGAGTCCCAAGGCATGGATGGTAAGCCGAAGTGGGTTTGTACGTACAACTGGGATGTGTGGGGGATCATCAACCGGCCCCTGAACCGTGCCTGGACTAGGCAGTCTGGCCGACTTTGTTGTCAAGTATTAGACTAAAAAGGCTAAAAGCCAAGCTCGCTTAGACCATTTTAGCAATGATAGTCGCCGTCTGTCAAGTTTTTGGGTGTTTGCTTTTGTGCATACCGGAGGTTTTGTCGTCGTCGCATTGGATCACATTCTCAAAGCGGATAATAGAGTCCGAGACAACGGGAGATCTTCCTTAAGATGCAGAACTACAATCATCACATGAGGCCATAGCTTCCGAACCTGCCGAGGAAGACGGCAGTCTGAATAGAAATGCGGAGTATGAAACGAGAGCGAATACGCTGAACACGACAATATTGTCATGCTGCTAGTGAAGTGGGATGTGATTATCATTGTAAGAGAGATCATAAAGCAGATCCTCGGGCTCTGATCATGGAAGCCAAAGGAGTGGGGAAGTCGGAGAATTCAAAACACGAGGGCAGATGTGACAAGCCATTCTCCACGTTTTTGTGATACGTCGAAGGGTGCGTATGAGCTTGAGCTGTAATTCCATAGAATCTCTTTTATTGACTACTACCGACTACCAAGGTGTAAGGATCTAGGAAAGCCATTTCTAGTTCAATGCAACAAAGGCAGTTCAAGAGCGGTCCGGGTCAAATATTATCATCCAGAATGGTTTTGAACCGGACGAACTACTAAATAAATCGCGGCAGATGCCGTCGACCCACCATTCAAAGGGATCTTCTTACCTGATGCTTTGCTGATTGCCATGAAATAATCCCTGCTTGTGGCGGGAACTATTGATTTCTTGGCGTATGGCGTAGTAGAGTGTAGAAGAGGATCTGATACATCCAGAAGACAGACACGCATCATTTTTCTTTGCTGTTCGTCAAACCTGAACACAAAATGAGATAATAGATTGTCTGATCGAGCAACCATTCAATTTTAATGAAAAATATGATGCTTTGTTCAAAACACTGTGGTGTAAACGCGATCAACTGGTGACGCGAAAAGCGTGAATACACCGCCCCACGGCGGTGGACCTATTCTGCCGGTATTATGGTCCAGCTCCGGACATGCGACAAGTTCGCTTTTTCGCAGTCGACATCAAACGGCCATGGTGTTACCGAGGATAGGGCTGTTGCAGAGGCTAGCCAATGCAAGGCAGCTCTATGCAAGAGGCTCTGTACATCAAAGGCGAGCAATATGTCTTCCCCTGCGGCCAGTGGCTCGCACCACACCGTTTGGCGGGCGGCGACTGTTATCGACTTCAAGAGCGCTGAGGTCAGTGACGGGTGAGGAGGTCAAGCACGAGGTGAGAAGCCACACAGTATCTTCCATGTTATTCCAGCTCTTTTCGACTCACAATTGTGTCTTACCAGGATTACCCGACCGGGCAGGACCCAGTTAGCGCCCCCATTGCCGAAGAACAGGCTCGCTTGGAAGCCGAGCTCGAGACGTATCGCGATATTCGAGAATACCTACGAAAATGGGCAGAGACCAATCCTAGCAATCTAGACCCCTTTCAAGAACTGGGCAGTGCAATGGTCTCCATTGACTCGGGTCATTTGGTTAGCACTATGCTTAACGGCCGCGAAGCATCGCAGTCGCTCTGGGCCAGCACGCAACTCTTCAACAAAGACGATTTTGACACCTCAGAAGAGTTTGAAGGAGATCATCTTGAGCCGGGCGATTTGGTGGGACAACTCACGGCAGATGGTGTCTTTAACCTTGGGATATATGTGCAGTCCGTCCACAAGCAGAAACACATATATACCACTCGTGGGAATTGGCGGATCTGCTCTAATCGTGACATTGATTATGTTGTGAAGGGATTTGCGCCTACATTTCTTATTGATCCGATCAAGCCGTATTTCCCGGATCGACCTGTCCAAGCTTTGTCCGAACTTCAATCTGTGCCTGAAGGTGGACTCCCGAGGCCTCTCGGGCGGCCCCTCATCGAAATGATGGCCGATTTTGAGCTGCAGATATTTGAGTTCTACAGACAGCATGCGCAAGTACTGGATAGTATCCACGAGTTGGTCGCAGACGACTCAGAGTTTGTGCGCATGACTCTTGAAGAACTTGCCATGAAGCTCCTGGGCATTGACGAGCCGCAACTAAATAGGGTGAACCTGTTTGCGGTGCATCAGACTGTGCGACGTCGTCCATTCGCCATCGATAAGGACTTCAATTCTTCCTTCCACCCGGTATACCTGGTGCAGCCTAAGAGAATTACCAATGTGGTCAACCAGGTCACGACTTGGGTTCACGAACATCAGGAACTTTTGGTTCGAGCAGCCATGGCCAAAGAAACACATGGTTTCAGGGACCATCCCATGCAACAGTTCATTCAAAAGGCACAGCGCTTGATTCGTCTCAGTCGAAAAGTTCGGTCTCCGACGGTCATGTCTAGCGTGGGGCCTTCGTCTCAAAAGTTCCAACCTGGGCAAGATGGCAAAGCGATGGTGTTTCGCGAGGTTCTGACTGAAAAGTTTACAAAGACGGATCAGACAATTATCGAGTATATGCAACTGTACGCGATACCGTCGGTGGCCATGCCATCTGGTACACTGCGATCGACTGCGTCACACGTCATGCGTGCCACAGGAATGTATAACACTCTCGGACTCAGTGAGTCCTCCACTCGTATGTTCCTACAGGAGCTTGGAGTGGTGGCTCCATGGGAGAACCTCAGTCTCCTAGACCAAAACATCTTGCTACCCGGCCATGGCATGTCCTTGATGGAGGACATGAAATGGGAAGAGATTGAAGAGTCTTGCGCGACCCTCTCGGAATCTTTGACAGATTCGATGAAAGTCTTACGCAGGGATTGGGGAGATTTGCCGGTCTATTGTATCGATGCGGTCACAGCGCAGGAAATCGACGATGGTGTTTCATTAGAGCGGATCTCAGGCTCTGACGATACATTCTGGGTGCGCATTCACGTCGCTAACCCAACAGCTTTCTTGAAACATGACAATCCCATCATTGAATACGCCAAATCTCGACTCAATACAACTTATGCCCCGGAGCGTACATACCCTATCTTCCCCAAGACTCTCACGCAGGATCATTTCAGTTTGGTGAATGGTCGTCCCACGCTGACATTCAGTGCCAAGATGAATCTTCAGGGAGAAATCCTTGATACCGAGATTACAAATGGCACGATTCGAAACGTGATCAGCTTGACCCACAGTACGTTACAACAGTACTTGGATCCCGAGTCAAAGCGTTCCTCAAAATCCGAATTTCTCACTGTCGGTGGCGAGTTCATTGAGCAACCTCTGCCCGAAGGCAAGATTTTCCGCGAGGACCTCACCGCAGAAGACAAAGAGAATTTTACCATCCTGCGCAATCTGATGCTAGGATTCCGCACTCAACGTCAAAAAAACGGGGCCATGGACATCCAGTTCCCTCGACCGGATACCGCCCTCTCCGTGCAGATGGGCACGGTGCCTACGAAGCCATACGAGATCCAAGTCACCGAAGGCCGGTACTATATCGGTGACCCGATCATCCAGCTTCAAATGCAAGACTTCAACCCACACGAAGTCCGGGATGAGTCGAAGCGGTACCTCGTCTCGCTCCTGATGAATCTGGCCGGCCACATTGCCGGGCAGTTCTGCGCAACCCGTAACATTCCCGTTGTCTATGATGGAACATGGTATGATCCTGAATACGGACACGTCACACGGGAAAACATGAACGAATTCGGCGGTCAGTCCTTCTACCATCTCGCCCTCCCCAAGGCCATCTCTGCATCTACGCCTCTGCACCATCACATGCTTGGTTTGGACGCGTACGTCAAGAGCACAAGTCCGCTACGTCGCTTCAGCGATGTCATCGCGCACTATCAAATCGAAGCAGCATTGCGTTTCGAGCATGAACACGGTCGCCAATTCGACGCTACAACTGATATCCCTGACGAACCTGTCGAATTCGAATCCGAGACTCAATCCTCCGAACAAACACAAACACCAACAGTCTCTCCCCTCCCATACTCCCACCTCGACCTCGACAACCACATCGACTACTCCCAGCCCCTCCTCGCCCGCCTCCGCGCCATCTCCGCATACTCCACTCAACACTGGGCCTGCATGCTCCTCTTCCGCGCATTCTACTTTGCCGAGTGTGCACTCCCGCAATCATTCCCCGTCGTCCTGCGCTCCATGCGACTAGGCTTTGCCGATGAAGGGACGGTGTACTCGGGCATTATCACTAATTTGGGTGTTAATTGTGTGATTACTATTCCCGAGGGGTGTCCGGATAAAGAGAAGATGGATGTGTTTGGGGTTGTTGAGGCGGAGATTACGGCGGTGGATATGGCGAGTTTGGAGGTTAAGATGGAAGCTAAGGGGTTGATTAGGTCGTTTAAGAGGGTTGGTGAGTGGGCTTGAGGTTGAGGTTGAACTTGAGGGTAATCACCGATGGATATGATAGGTGGTTTGTATTATACTGTACTATATTTGTATATCACGATCGAAAATCAGATGAAATAGAACTAATCTCCTTGATTCCTGTGTTACGACAACCTTTCCATAGTGCTCGTGATATTCGTGTCTCAATTTGCATTCGAGATGTCATCCACCCCAAAAAGGTCTATACTGCAAACACTGCTCTGAGCTCGAAAATATTGATACAAACTGAAATTTACCTATCATACACGTCCTTGACCAAGAGAAGAGAGCCTCCAAATCCAACAAATCTATCGACCAACAAACCACAAACACCACTTTTCAATCTCAATCCCCAATCTAAACATCAAACACCTGCTTGACCAACGCCTTTTTATTCACTACAACAAACCCATAATTAGCAATCAACCACACAATTCATCCCAACAAGACTCCCAAAGCAAAACACAAAAGACCTAAATAAAAGGGGTATGGTATGGCTTACCCTTCCCCATCGCATTCCGTGGAATCGTATCCAAAACCTTCATCTCCTGCGGAATCTTATACCCAGCCAATCGATCCTTCAACGCACGCCGCATATCCATCGGTCCCCAGGATACACCGTTTCGTCCGGTGGTATGCGCATCGGGATGTAGGACTACGATGGCGGCGACTTTGCTGCCCCATTGTTCGGAGGGGAGGGCTACGACGGCTGCTTCGGCGATTTGTGGTCTGTCACCATACCATGTGTTAGCATCGAATATTCGTAGCATGGTAGCGAGGAAGGACGGGTTAGTAGAAAAGGAAAATGGGAAACGTACAGAGAAAGCAACTCCCGCTCAACTTCCAACGCGCTCACTTTCTCTCCGCCCGTCTTGATGATGTCGACGCTCTTCCGGCCCTGGATGAAATACATCGGGCCTCGGGCCCAATCTCCACTTGTCCCCTTCCCAGCGCCAGGGACGATACGTCTCGTCGCGACATCGCCAGTGCAAAACCAGTGTTCCCCGCCATCGCCACCGTCCACAAAGCTCTCCCGCGTGGCTTTCTCGTTACCCCAGTACTCTTTGAAGATAGTAGGACCGCGCAATTGAATCTCGCCCACGCGCTCGCGGCCCTGCGCGTCAACTTCCTCACCGAGCGGGATAACTTCGTTCGTCTCTGTGTCCACGAGTCGTGCTTCTACCTGTGGTAATGGCCAGCCCACGCTACCGTCGACGCGATCTGTAAAGTCGAGGCCACAGCTTAGCGCCATGCCGACTTCGGTCATACCGAAGCGTTCGAGGAGAACGTTGCCGTTGCTGAGGGTTTGCCATGCTGTTTTTGTGGGTGTTGGTAGAGCTGCGGAGCCGGAGATGTTGAGGCGCAGGTTTTCGGGGGATATACCCTTTTGACCTGCTGCTTGGATTTCTTGCGGGAGGGAGGGGAAGCTTATGCGGAGGCGGTTGTAGACTGTTGGTACGGCTGTTAGGAAGGTGATTTTGGACTTTTGGGGGCTGTTTGAAGGGAGAAATGGTGCTGCGAGGCGGTTCCAGACTTGGTCTGTATTGAAGGGGTACATGAATTCGATTGAGGAGCCGGCGAAAAGGGGGGGTTATGATCGCGTTGACGACGCCGTGGATGTGGTGTAAGGGGAGGAGATGTAGGAGTCGGTCTTGTGGAGAATATTTCCATGCTTCCAAGAGGGACGTTGCTTGTGCTGTGAGTGCTCGTTCGGGAATGAATACTCCTTTCTGTTGTTGATTAGCATGTACGCTCTGATACTGGATGTATGTATGGAGCCAGTCACATACCGGACGAGCCGTTGTACCAGACGTATATAGCATCATGCCACCTGCTGGCAGCTCAAGCGAGCTTTTTGAGTCTTTCAGTGAAACAGACTCATTTCCAGAACCTCCCACAACAAGTTTCTGTCGAATATCAAACAGCGGATCATGCTGCAAGCCTGCCTGAAGAATATCCTGGGCCTTGTTGGCGTATTTCTCCGTAGCTAGGAGGACCTTTGCTTCGGAGTTATCCAGAATGTACTGCAATTCACCCGTGGGAAATGACGGGGATAAAGGCAGAGCAATGGCATCACATCCAAAGATAGCCAGAAGCATTACTATCAGAGCAGTTAGCCTCGAATCTTGCAACGATGAAACCTCAGACGAATAGAAAACAATACGCACCCACGTAATCATAGCTATTTTCCGCCATAAAGGCAATTCGCTCTCCAGATAACTTTCCCTTCGTCTGACCCGCCTTTCGCAGGAGATCTTCCTTTGCGCGGAGGACATCGGCGGTTAGATTGCCGTAGGTGAATGACCGACCAGATAAGCTATGCACTACCGCCAAACTGGCCGGGTCATGGTCTTTGATCGCACGGAAGATATGTGTGTTCGGTAGCTGGGTGAACAGCCTCTTGGCCGTTGAGAAGAGTCTCGCATGGACGATCTGCGCCGAGGGATACAGTCGCGCGGAGCTCACGCGTAGACTCGGTCGCCCGAGTCTCGAGACGAAATTGCGGCCGGACATGGCGAAATTATCGTAGCAGATATCAATCTGAATCTCTCTTGTATCTCTTAGCAAGAGTAGACCATAGTTTCATGTCGAGTCTGCTCAGCTTCAAGATTGAGACACAATGGCTGTTGGAAGTGTAGTTGATGTCATGTGGATAAAGTTCCGCGGGAGGCCTCCAAACTTCCAAACCTCCGAGTCAGTCACTCTCCGCACCGCACTCCTCTATACGAACTGAACTTTACGCTTCCCCCTCCTCCTTCCCCCTCCACATCCTCCGTCTTGCATCTATGCTCCCCCGCATCCTCCCAGGCCTGCTACCGCGCCGCCTCTTCTCCGTCTCTACCAGAATGGCATCCATGACCCCGATGGAGGATGTCATGCGCGACAAGGTACCCACCCCCGCGCGATTTCCATCACCACTCCTATCTGTCCCTGCGATATAGCTACACTATACCAGATATATACATATACTAACAATTCTCAATGTACAGCTTACCCACGCATTCACCCCGTCCACCCTCCTCATCCGCAACGACTCACATAAGCACGCACACCACGCCGCAATGGAAGGTTCGACTTCAAAAGAGACACACTTCCAGTATGCGATTTCCCCGGAAACCTCTTAATACACTTTTACAATATCACTAGCTTGAGACTGGACATATGGCATCATATTCTAACCTACTGCTATAGTGTGACGATTGTCTCCGACGCCTTCGAGTCGAAAATGCAGCCGGCCCGACACCGGATGGTGTATGCTTTGTTGAAGGAGGAGATGGCTAAGGAGGGTGGGATTCATGCGTTGCAGTTGAAGACGAAGACGCCTGCGGAGGAGGAGCGGGAGAAGGAGAGGAATGCTTGAAGAGAACATGGATAATGGAGGTCGAGGTGGATTTATATGTGGTATGGATGGTGTGATATAGAGGCGCTCACTAGTTACTGCTTAGCCAGTTGGCGCAGCCAGATTCAAATACAGATACCCCAAGAAGCGAGGACAATAATAATCTTGTCCACGACGGCATATACTCGACAATACAATGTCTACTATACCCGAAAGATAAAAGTTCAGACAGAAGGGATAAATTATTAGACGGTATTACATAGGAATCGAGTGCCAGACAAAAACAAAAAGGGCGCCAACAGGCAAAGCAGCAAAACAATCTAGTATGTACATCCCAGAGCACTGAAGCAGCACCCTCGACGGCAACGTGTTCGAGTGCCCGGGAGCAGGATCAAAAGCACAATCATCATCATGGAACAGTCGCATGCAGCGGCTGTACACGATACCTGCAGCAACTGGAAGAACATAAGGAAAAGAAGGCCGATCGAGAATTTGCTTTTACACAATAGAGAGAGAGAAACAAAAAATGACATGCGAGAAGGTGGTATAGAAACGAAGGGGGAAACAGGTGGGGAGGATTGCTGGGTGACGTGTGTGAGAACGGTGGGAACGAGCGCGGCGAGTTTGGGATTCGAGTCGCGACGTTTTTCGTTTGAGAGGAGGACGGAGTGATAGGTTCGTACATGGTTGGGAGGGAGACATGGGGGGAAAGCAAAGCAGACGCTTATTTGCTGCTCTTGTTGGCCTCGGTAACACCGACTGCGACACCGACAACAATAGCAATGATGATGACTGGAAAGATGCAAGGTTAGCTAGAGATTTTCGAGATTTTCGCAACAGGTCAAGCTGCGAAAAAGGCAGGGTTGAATGGCCACTCACTAACGATGATCAGCGCATACCACTTCCAGCGACGGGCGTTGCGGGCGCTAGTAATAGCACTGTCCAACTTGGTGTTGGCTTGCTGAACATTGCGGTGGGTCTCCTCAGCACCCTGCTGGATCTGAGTGACGGCAGGCTCCTGCTGGATGACAAGTTCCTGAACGTCAGTGAACAGCTGAGCCAGATCGGCCATATCCTTCTCGATCTTCCGGATAGCAGCGGAACGTGCGAGGGTGGCCTGGCGCGCATCGTTGGCCTGGCGAGAACGAGTTCCGGGGGTCTAAACAAAAGAGTTAGATTCCGATATACAATATATCCCGTCTAATCCGCGCGAGTCCAACCTACCATGAATGCCTGCTCCTGGCCCTGCATCACAGCCTGAACACCAGCCTCGAGCTGATCCGGGGTGGCCTCGGGATTGGCCATCTGGTACCGACGGCGCACCTGCTCCTCCAGGCGCTTGTGGAAGTTGGACTGATCGCCCTGGTAGGCCGTAATCTCATCCTGCAAGCCCTTCTTGGCGATTGTGTAGTGCTCGGCGGGGCCCGCAGTACCGCAGCCAGGGGTGTCGGCGATGCGCTTCAATTGGTCGCGCAGGTAACGCAGAGCAGTGTTGATCTCGTCCTCGATATAGTCGACGTTCTGGCGCGTCACCTGGTCCTCCTTGGCGGTGTTGGATTCCAGGAGAGCAGCCTGGGCGGCGCGGAGCTGAGTGGTACGCTTCCTCTTGACATCCTCAATTCCCTGCTTGAGCTCGTTGATCCGGGTCAAGAGCGCATTCTTATCGGGGACTTGCTGCATGTTGTTCATTTCTGTTGATCAAACGGAGAAAAACGAGTCAGCGCGTCGCGTTCCGAAGGCGCCCGAGGGCGAAGAATCGCAATTCTTACCATAACCACCGTTGCCCTGCTCCATGGCACCGGCCTGACCGTAGCCGCCACCATATCCGTAACCCTGCTGGGGTTGTTGCTGTTGCTGGGCACCGTATGGGTTCTGCTGGGCACCATAAGGGTTGTATTGGCCGTAGCCCCCTTGGTTGTTGTCCTCCAAGTTCTGGTACTGACTGTTGTCAGAAAAGGGGGGAAATATAGGAGGAATTCGCGGTCGGGTCTGGGGAGGTATCACTCACACTCATGATGGCTAAGGAGGATATTTAAACAAAGAAAGTCAAGGGAGCAAAGAGAGGAGGGGAGGGGGGGGAAGAAAATGAAGGATGGAAGGGTTTGTTAAGAGGAGAGCAAGTCAGAGAGTAAGACGGGAAAGAGGAGAGGCTGTGGCGCGGCAGAAGCGCCTGGCGGTGTCACTTTGGGGGTACTGGGAATGTCACTTTTCTTACGGAGTACTCTTGGTCCCTTCGAACGGAGTGGCTGAATTTGGAAACACTGTAGCCTTATTGGGGACATACTCCTAACTATGAGTAGACTACATGATGCTCTACAAGTATCTTTAGAGGATTGAATGTTTACCATTTCCATGAAGCGCCCTTCAAGTAGCAAGGAGACTCGGGCGGCTAACAAAGACGTTTCACCCTTCCTACTAGTTTCGACCACCAGAATTAAACTAATCAAACCCAAGTCCTAAAGTACCCCGTAATTGAAGTGATAGTCAGGGGTCTCCCTCTAATTTAGCTATGACACGAGCCATCTATGTATCCTACCATCCCACCGAGAGACACAGGTCACCCCCCAGAGTCACCACTAGAGTTTGTCGAGATGCTTAAAAAAAAAGTTGTTCCTGCGCAGCCTCCTTACAATCGCAAGTGGAGTGGTGCAATTGACCATTCACACGGCGTGGCTGATGCGGGTTGTGTGCTATTATTATTTCTGCCTGTGCTGGTGCTGATCATTGCCTGCAGCTATGGTGGATCGGGTCCCTTATTGAGTGGCAAGGAAACCCTTTCCACGGGTGGTATATAGTATACTGCATTGACAGCTGTCAGTTTGTTTTATAATAATTGACTATACTATATAGCATATAGCATACTGTAGTATAAAGCATTTATTATACTCCATAAAGGGAGTATAGGCTGCGGTACCTACACCCGTGGTAACACCCCCGAGTCTGCACGTCATGATTGCGGTGCATGGTCACTATTCATAGTGGGAATAGGCGGCGAGATTCTTCCGGGTCGCGGGGGTGGAAAAAGGCTAGAAGCCTAGAAAGGGGTTGCAGAACACACTATTGCAATTAAGCTATGAACTATAGACTGATACATCATACAGAAGAATTAAAGTATGTACTAAAAGGAGGTCGGGTTCGATAGTGTCTGAAGTATGTAATTATGTATTCCGAGTTATCTGGTCGTAACTTTTGACTTGAATTATCTACACAACCATACTGTAGAGACCAACAATGACTTGAGCATTATTTCAACATGACACACCCCCACTAACTACCTGTGGCAATGTCCCATGTCCCATACGAACCCGCCAATAGTCCTCTGCTTCCGCTGCATCCCGCAGTAGTCTAGTTTAGGACATCAATGGCCTATGCTGGTCAGCCCTGGCTGAGTCTGCAGGGGCCGGGGGCTGCTAGGTACTGTTAAGGGTTGAGGGTAAGATCAAATGAAATTAATCCTATCCAGACTCTGTCAGGTTGTCCAAAACTATGAGATGGGTCTCTATACCTCCCAATTCAAGGTCCACTAACTCCGTACCTAATGTACGGACAAGCCTTGAAACCAAGAACGGCCAATCCTACACTCCCAAGCTATTTAAAACCAGCCCGAATTATTACAAGATAAAGATCTTCCATCTACAGTACAATATTCACACTGGGATATTTGAGTAAAAAACTATTTATAAATTTATAAATGTATATATACGAAAGATTACATCACCAGACACATCATACATAGACTCGTCTCACATAGCCGCCCAGCAGCCCCAGCCCACAAGGCAGCTCCAGACGATGCGCGCAACGCAACGCAATGCAAGTTCGGATATCATCAGAAAAGAAAACAAATCAACAACAAATAGATCACAGATCTATTTAGCAGCCATCTAATGCTAGGCCTAGTGCTGAGCCTGGGAAGCACGACGAATCTCCTCCTCATGGGGAGCCTCGGGCATGGGGTCATCAGCGTCGAGGGCATTCATATCATCCTCCTTATCGTTCAAGTGACGGAAGATAGTGAAGAAGATGATACCGCACAGGAACGAGGCAACAGCCAGACCGACGAACATCCACATAATCGCCGGGTCGAAGGCGGCGGGGGTCAAGGCCTCGGCGAGGGCGGAACCGAAGGCGTTGGTGAGGAGGTACATAGACTGGACGAAGGACTTCATGGAGGGGGAGCCTTGGTGTAGGCGTACTCGAGACCGGAGACGGAGGCGAAAATCTCCGAGATACCGATGAACATGTACGCGGGAGTCTGGATGGCGATGTGCACGTTGTTACCGTAGGCGGTGCCGTCGATTTCGGACGCAGCGCAGAGCGGGTGGCCGTAGCAGGGACCGGCGGAGTAAATCAGGTGCTGGACGATGGCGGCGTACATCATGGCCAGGGAGGCGACGATGAAACCCAGGGAGATACGGGTGATGGGGCGGAAGGGGATGCGCAGACGGCGCATGAGGGGGTAGACGACTGTCTCGAGGAGGGGGATGAAGACGATGATGGAGATGGGGTCGAAGTTCTGCATCAGATCGTTGGGGATGCCGTGGCCCATCATCTGGCCGGCCTGGGTGACGAAGTTACCGGAGAACTGGCCGTAGACGACCCAGTAGATGGGGTAGAAGGCGAAGACGCGGCAGGCGACGAGGGCGCGCTTGAGTTCGTCGATGAAGTGGTCGTCCCAGGGGAGGGTGGCCTCGACGCCGTTGTGCTCGAGCTGCCAGCTGGGCTTGGGAGCGTCCATGTTGCGGTTGCGGATCATCATCCAGAGGGCCTTGAAGGCGTCGGTGATGATGGAGCCCTGGGGAGGGCGGACGACGTAGTACTTGCGGCCCAGGAGGAGGACGAGAGTACCGGCGGCGAACATGCAGAGACAGAGGAGGTAGCCGGACCAGAAGCCGATGTACAGCTCCATGTAGGGAGTGGCCAGCAGGGAGAGGGAACCCAGGTTAATGCAGCCGTAGAAGATCATGTAGATACGCTGGATGGTCAAGGCAGGGTCGATGATGACGCGCTCGCCCTTCTTGGTGGTGGTGAGAGCCATCTTCTTCCGCTTGTACTGATCGGCAATCAGAGGAGCGACGTTACTCTTGATACCACCGGTACCGAGGCCGATGACAAGGATGGCAACGATGAAACCACCCATACCAGCACCGTGCTCCAGAGCACTAGGGATGGAAGTGCAGACCAGAATCAGGAGACCAACGAGATAGACACCGCAGAACAGGACAATAGTCTTGTACTTGCCGAGGTACTGATCAGCGACAATGGCACCAATGATGGGAGTAACATAGCACCAGAACTGGAAGAAAGTGGTCAAACCAGTAGCACCCTGGTGGCCCATACCAAGGGCACCACGGCCCTGGCTACCATCGAGAGGACGCAGGACATAGTTCTGGAACAAACCAGACATGCCGTAGTAGGTGAAACGCTCGCACAGCTCGACAATGGCAACCAACCAGGCCGAGACGGGCAGGTTCTCGGCGATGTGACGCAGAGAGCGCTTCTCATCCTCGGTGGGTTCGCCGCCATCGGGGGTCATGGAGAGGTTCTCCTTATCCAGATCCATGGCGGCCTTTTCGTTCAGGACGACCTGCTGCTGCTCAACGGGGACGGTGTCATTGTAAGTAGGAGGGCTGTCGGGGAAATCAGTTAGACAAGCTCAATTCTAGCCGAAGAAGCAAGCCCTAAGCTGGGGACACCTGCGCAGCTGAAAGCTTTTGCAGGATTTGACGCCAGTAGGGTACAGGGCAAAGATATCCTGTCGACATACCGAGCAACCTCGACCTCGTGATCCGCAGTCGACATGGCGATAGTAGGTCCAGGAGATTAACCTTCTCTTCCAAAAGTGACACAGGGACGAAGGGAAGAAGAGAGAAAGAGGAAAAGACGACCGTGACCAGTATACATATATAGCCAATTTTTATTACCCAACGGACCCGAGGTCGTGGTGGAGAAAATTCCGGACGGTTTCTTATCGGCGGATGAACCGAAAGAAACCAAAAAAAATAAGTAAATTAAACGACTAAGAGACTAACAGGATGTAGTCAAGCCGAGTCAAGCTCTCTTGGTACAGTGGTAACAGTACAAGGGGCCCCCGGGGTTTAGAGTGGAGGTTGTATTTCCGTTCCCACTTTTGGAAGGCGATAAGTCGTGAAAAAAAGGGAAAGAAAAAAAGCCCCAATCCAATCCAATCCAATAATCCAACCGTGGATGCGATCGGCAGGATCAGTTCGAGTTGGGGCGAATGGCCGTGCTGCGATGGCCGATAGCCCCACGAATTCAACCAATGTAACCCCAGAAGGGACACTCGCACGGAAGCGAACAAGTTGCTTGCTGATATGAGATATGCTGAGAGATGCTGACATGCTGATACGTTGATATCCTGGTTCGAAAATTGGCTCATAAGACAAACAAGCAACGCTGCAGGGTTCAGCATGTTTCGTCTGCAGAGTCTTGGCAGTCGGTTGAAGGCGCTGGTGGAGGTTCTCGAAGGGAAGAAAAAAAATCAAAAACCCGTGCCGTTATGCCGTCCGCCGTACCTGAACTACCAGTACCCCAAGGCAGGACTAGTGCAGTGTCCACTTTCGAATCGTCCACAAATCACATCACCCGATGCCAGTCGGAGAATGCCGGTGGGGAGTGGAAATTTTGGTTTCTGATTCAAGCTGCTTCCGGTACCAACGCCGCCATGCCACATACCGATGAGTCGAAAACGCTCTCCGGGTTCGCCACGAGGCAAATCGAGGAGAAAATGGATCACTTTCCATAGAATCTTCTGATCAGACACGCTCTAGCCGGAGTCCACTCTCCGGAACTCCGCCAAGAGTCCATGATAGCCGCGGTTTGGCTCATCGGGGGAGATGATTCGGCAATTTGGAAGCGGTTTGCGACCGAGTGGGAAAACGATTCGAGTCATGGAATGGGGACTGAATGGACTGTGGGCGCGTCTGTCTACTCCGGACGCTGGTTCACTGTCGGGGACTGTGCGAACTGTGGGCAGCTAGATTAGAGTCGCTTGTACCTCCTTACAGCGGGGGTCATTTTCGGCTTTGAAATCGACCTGGACGAATGACAGATCAATCATGACAGCCGACGCGCCTCCGCGGCCCGCGACCGAGGCCAATGTTGAGGCCCGAAGATGACAGTCTTCGATGATAGGAGAGGCGGTCCAAAGTAATTCCCAGTACATTTTCAGTACCGGTTCCAATTTTCCATAGTGTACTCCGTACTCCATCCATCGTACTATCCAGCCGGGCTCATATGGTCTGATCCGCTTAGGCCTTTCTCCCAAGAGGGTCTCCGGGCAACAACCGAATTCGGATCAGAGTAGAGCAAACACCGACCAGCACTGTCGTGCGGGCGTTGTCTCATTGTCTCATCACGCAAGGATGACCCTCGGGGATACCGGGGTAGCAGGCAATGGGGCACTCGCCGTCAACTTGGGTCAAATCGTTACATGGCGGCTGATTGCGCCAGGGACTTGCCAGGTTCAGCTGGTTTTTCCCGCCACCCTGTGTAAACCTGTAAAGTCCAGGGTACAAGAATCGTACAGGAGTCTCCATAGTGTGTATCTGTACTGCAACGTTGGGGCCGTTCCCCGCGTCCCCCCAATCCCCCCAGAGAGCTTATCAGTTGGTTGACCAGCGAATCAAACACATGTGAGTTTCGACGATGTCTCAGAAACCTGTAAGCCTGGCACGATACTACCCCGGAGTCCGCTGGGTATTATCGTGTGGGGAGATGAAAGGAGATCCGACGCATAGCGAAGGGCAGCAAAGCCATCCGCAGGGGAAGCAGCAGGAAGGAGGGACGATCCCCCAAGTCCTGCACAAGCCGCCAATAGCCCAACCAATGATGCCTCAAGTTGTGCTGAATGGACGGACTGGACGGGGATCTCGATCTCGGGATGAAGTTGCTGTTAGGCGTGCGGTACAAAGGACACTTCTTTGTGCAGTGGGTAGCGGACATATTATTGTACGCATGGTATGCACCCCGTACTCATCGTACTGTAGTGGTCGGATTGCAAGTTCAGGGCATGATTCCGGGGTAATTTCTCTCTCGTAACAGCGCGGTCGGGGGAGATTTGGCGACGACGGGCAGGTGGAGTCTGGCGCTGCCAAGACACCGTTCAATGATAAGGTGATTTCTGGTTGTCGTACGAATTGGTCATCGTAAAGGGTGGGAAGAGGATGACCTTATAGAGGTCACATTGTGAATGAAGTAGGGGTCAAAAAGCGAAACTTTTCAACAGCCAAGACGAAGAGTTTCAAAAGAGTCAAAAAAACCTCCGCGATCAACGGGGGGAACACACTGCATAAATAAAATCACGACAAGCCCCAATCCCCCAAGACCCAAGACCGACTCCAAGGGAAAAAAAGCCCCAGGCTATGGCTTATCGCTCCGACTTCGCTGCGGTTCCACCAACGAGAACGGCCTGAAATTGTGAAATTGTGGTGCTGTGCTCGTCGTCAGCCATCGGGGCAGTCTTGACCGGCCGTGTGCTGCCCGTTTGGCGACTAGTCACATACGAAGGGCGTAGTTCCAAGCCCTTGGCTGAACCGCACGGCTGATATCATGGTGTGAAAGGAGGGGGAACAAACTCTCATTGCGCCCAGGGGGTCCAAGGTCCAAGAGAAGCCGAGAGAATCCAAGAGGATTGGCAGGTTGGCAATTCCAACGGACGGCTTGAGCACGCCACTTGGTCAAGAGAGTTCAGAAAGTCACCAAAGTCACCAAAGATGTTATCTTCGTGGCTGCTTGAGTCTTTGGTGGCCTCCGGGGTTCCAACGGAGGACTCCGGGATATTGCCATCAGAAAGGACAATAAGCATTCGATTAAAGTTGCATATCGACTTCTTGGCGAGATGATCTATCTCGACATCCAGTCATCGACTGACGATTATTCTGCCACCACCAAAAGAGTAGTTGCACACGACTATGTACTACCCCAACTACAACTACTCTCTACAACACAAACTTATTGCGTGGCCTACCTCTCAACTCTTGACCGACTTGATCGAGTCATCTCGACCCCAACATTCCCCCCATTCATGCATCGGCGATCAATCCCTCTTCGGATACAAACAGCACACCCAATCACCTTCAGGCTGGTTGGGTACCTTCCGAGCTCTCTTGCCCATCATTGGCGCCTAGTACAAGAAACCTTGGAGATATCGGCCGAAGTCGCTGGCCCAGCTCGTTTCTGGTCCTCTCGTCCGTCGGTGAAAATTGATATTGCGACATCGTCGGCCACTCAGCATTCGTGTGGTGGACCGGGGAGTGTCGGGGATTCTCCGTAGAGTGTCTCCATTTCTTTTTTGGACGCGTTGTGCTTGGGCCAGTCAGGTACCCGTCATTATTTTGACAGACGAGTTTCATTCGTTGGAATTATGACTAACAGACGGTGTTTCCAAGTTACGTTAGATATAGACTGGCTGTGGGATACAGTAGTATGCTCTCCTTGGCTTATACTGACACAGGGATACTGACACTGGGTTTGAGGTTTAAGTATCTCTTTCAATTAATGGCTAGGGCTGCCTTCGCACTGCGAACAGTCATATCTATGAGTCTGGTGGTTCCCTCAACTTGTTAAAATTGACATCCTGTCAACGGTCAACGACATCGGTCGACGCTGCTGCCTTGCCAATAACTTAGTGACTCATTACTATATTGCTCACAAGTCATGACAATAATCTATTGGAAGAAACCGGAGGCTGCCCTCCGTCTTCGGGGTTCTTACATGCATACTAACTCCTGTACTCCATACGGATGCCGGCAAGGACCGATGCTGTCTCGGCAGTGGTCTGCCGGCAATGCATGAAGAGTCCTACTGCCAGCCCAAACAAGACTTCGTCCTCGCAGCACTAATTACTTTCTTCGCGGACATCCCTGTCTATGAATCTTGTTCTCACGATATTCACGGGTGAATACTATATGAACGCTCGTCGGTCCTGGTATAAATCTCCCGGGGAGCGTCAGGGCCAGACTGATACGTGGACCTCGAGGAGGAAAGTCCCCAGGCAAACTGACAAGGCTATGGGAATAAGTATGTCGATATCGGCGATGATGTGGAAACATCGGGCTCCAGAACAGGTGATAATTGGGGATTATGCATTCTTTGATCGTTTCCGACTTTTTGCATTCTAGTTCAGAAATACCATGCACTGTACCTCACTCAGATCTTCCCATTCTTCCTATAACACGTCGAGCAGCTTCCAATCATCCGATCAAATCGTCTCATTCAAACACACCTCCCTGTCCAATCCCCCGTTCTCCCTCTCCCGCACGATAGCACGAAGTCCCAACGGAGCCATAATCCCTCCCTGTACAAAATTCAATCTCAATCAGTCAAACTGTCTCCATTTCCCCTAGGCTAGAATCACTCACAGAAGTCAACTTCAACTCATACCCCGGATCAACAACCCACTCAATCCTCCTCACCATCTCAAACAACAAAATCTTCACCTGCAGCACCGCAAACCCCTGCCCCAAACATTTCCTCGAATGCGCATTAAACGCAATAAAATGACACTGCGTCGTCTTACTCCTTACAGCACCCTGAATACTCTTAACATCACTCCCCCATCGTTCCGGAATAAATTCTCGACAATCGTTTCCCCAAATATTCGGATCCGTGTGTGCGCCAAAGGCATTCCAGCCTACCCATGTATGATTTGGAATAGTGATTTCGCCTCCTAGAACTGATTGGGAGGTTGTTACGCGGTTGATTAGTTGGGACACTGGGGGGTATAAACGGAGTAACTCGAGGATAACGGCGAATAAGTACGGTAGGGAATTGACTAGGTCTGTTGTTGGATTTTCTGTACCTGTGGCCAGGATCTCGGCTCGTAGTTTTTGCTGGATGGATTGGTTTGTGCCTAGGACCCAGAAAGTTGAGTTGAGGAGTTGTTGGGCGTTTTCGTGCGCGGTTAGGAAGGTTACTTTTAGGTTTGCGCGGTATTGTTCTTCTGTGATGCGGTTTTCTTTTAGGGCTCGGTCGAGGTAGTCGACTACTTGGTCGCCGTCGGGGTTTTGGTTTGTCCCTTTCTGGTGTGTTGTCCGTTGGAGGACTGTTGTGCAGAGGAGGTCGCCGAATTCTTGCATGATGGTGAATGCGGCCTTGCGTTGGCGGAAGAGGAAGGGGTATCGATCTAGATCGGGGAAGTTGAAGAAGAGGGGTTTGAAGAGGGTCTTTTTGATGATTGTTTGGAGTTCTTCGAGGCGTTGGTTTGGTCGTTCTAGTGCCTTTCATAAACAAGTAAATGTATTAGCAGGATATCCACCATGAGAACGGGAAACGGATGTATATCCAACCTCAAGATCAACACCCATAAAGCTAATCCCCATACAACTCAACGCCCACCGTTGAATAATCGGATTTACAAGCACACCCCTTCCATCACCAAGTCTCCCCTGTTCCTCTAACAGAACATCCACAAACTTCCTCGACTTCTCCAACAAAGGCCCCGAATCGGTAATCCTCCTCTGTAACCCCGGCTTCATAATAGACGTATACAACCGCCAGTTCTCTCCATGACTATTAATAATATTATCCCCCACCAGCGCCGCAATGACACTCCACGGGATCTTCTTCTGACTGCCTGCCTTGGCGTAGACATCTTCGTGTCGGAACATGTCTACTAAAAATCGTGGCCGCGTGGCGAGCACGTTCCATCGTCCGGCGAACCAGATCTTGACCGCGCCGTGGGTTTCGAGTGGTTGTCGGAGCCAGCGGTCGTATATTGTGTCTTGGCCCATGTCGGACCAGAGACCAAGGAGGGAGATATAGATTGGTACGGTGGGGATGTTCCGGGGCATGGAGGAGGGAATTCGGGTGTACCAGTATAGGAGGAGGATGGTGCTGATTAGGAGGGTGAGGATGCTGCGCATCCAGTTGATCTCTGGGAACCATTCGATCATTTTGGATATCACTAATGTGCTAGATGTTAATGGTGAACGGTACAGTCGAAGCTCTTAAGAGTGTTTCTCTCAAGTGTCGTAACTCTCTCAACTCCGATCCCGATCACGTCTGACCTGATCAAGACACAGAAAAGATCGACTGTAAGGACCAATACACCCCGGCTATTCTGGGAAACCATTCTTGAGGTATTATCTAGAATCAGCCTCTGCCACATGCTATACTAAGAAGCCACGGTGACTTTGCTGACTACCGCTGCTGCAAATTCGAGGAATCACAGTCCTGGACGGGCACCTTGGGAGTACAAACTCGGACCTTTTCTTTGGACAAGGGATAGACTGATAGTATATCGCGTAAAGCTGATTACTTTTTTGTGCGACCTATTGAACGCCCGTTCCGTTGGAACACATGGATGTGGACTATTAACCTCCTAGCTACGTAGGTGTTGATGGTATTGAATATTGATGGAACGATGCGGCTTCCTGATATTTATCCGGACCCAGGGATCAATTATGGGACATATTCTCGATGATATATGTAGATTCAAATTCATCGGGAGATTATTTTGGGTTAACTTCCAGACTGGAATTAACAATATACTCGCTGTCTCTGCATCATTTCTGACCTATGCGGATATTCTTCACTTAGCCTGCATCCATACTGGGCAGTTATCAAAAAAATCTCCACAGAGACTATTTTTTGACTCGAAGTTTAGTAAAAGACAAGATCGATGTTGATGATTAAGATAAGTATTCCCTATCTGTGGTTTGTGATATGCTTGCCTCCAGAGCACATATTCCCGTGTATAATCTGCGGTCCATTTGCTAGAAATATATCTTGGTGTACCCGATCAGTGTAGCGCCTACCTGTTTCCCTCGCCATATCTTAGCCCTGGTACTTTAAGTAGGTATATCCGCGCTTGATTCTATGTAATTCACTTGATACTAACAGGGTAGTACAAACTTCAGGCTGACCTTGGTACGTACGTGCCCGAGTTCGCTACGTCGGGGCTCGTGGCCACTACCTAAACCGGACACCTTTATCTATCGGAATTTGGAATAAGCAATACTATACTATACCTACATATAGGAAAACACCGAGTACGACATATGTCTCATAAAATGCGTTTAGTAGAGTAAGATACATGTCGCAAGGAATCAGGTCGTTACTGCAAAGAAAATAAAAAAATGCAGCAGGGCGAAGAGAGACTGGGAATCATCAACTTTTTCGAGCATCATCCCCAGGCAGACAGGACCCCCGTTTTTCCCTGAAAACATCTCATAAAAGTCTATCCCCCTTCATCGTAAGGTCTCTATCTTCGTCTTCACGCTCCCATCCGCATCTGCATCTGCATTCGCATCCGCAGCTGCATCTCGTTCGTGCATACTCCCCGGCTTTGCCCCCTTTCCATCCCTGGGTATTGGCGACGGGGGAAAAGCGAACCTTCAAATAACGAAAAAGAGAAAAAAATCCATTGTTCACAACGCTTTTTTAAACGGTGTACTTGGCCTTGGCACGAGTGCTACCGCTGTGTGCGCTATCGGTGTGACCGGAGAACTCGACGACATCCGCCTCCTTAAGACGGAGTACGTCCTTGAACCGCCGACCGATCGCCTCCAGTACCTCCTTGCCCTGTGCGGGTGTGCGAGTGGTCTTGTCGCCGGGGATGCTCTTGCCCACGGTGCGAGTCCACAGACCGATACGGTAGAAGCCCTTGCGCACGTTCACGACCACACCCATGACCTCGTTGTCGCCGTCGCCCTCGAGGGTCTCGCCGATGGCGGAGAGTTGTGCGTGCAGCCACAGGTCGTCAATGGGGACGGACCGCTTGTCCTTGAATTGGTATGACCACTTGCCACCGTGCTTGTTCTGGGGGTCCTCCCATTCCGGTCGTACGCCCTTCTTGAAGAGGTGGTAGTCGGCCTTGAGGCCCAGCTCGGAGGTTGGCGTGATGTTGTTCTATAGAGAGGGGTTCTAGTTAGTATATGTAGAGCAGCCTCGGACTTTGTGGCGGAGTGTCCGATCAGGTGTAGATTTGGGGTTGGAAGCAACATACGTAGATGCCCCAGAATTCCTCGACGGAGCTGAATGTGACGACCTCCTTCAGCAGATCATTCCAGTTATCGCCCTAGATGAGGCACAATCAGCACTTCGATCCGCCATATCGATTTTTAACGATTCTCACCTTGCCGGAGGGAGGCTTGGTGAACCAGAGGGTCCACTCGTGCATAAGCGGGTGCTTGACGTTGAAGTTCTCGGGGTTGTGGAAAACGGTGATCGCCTCGTCGGATGAGGTAGCCACCGCGGGCGCGGTGTTCTCATCAGTCACAGCGTGACCATTCTCTGCGACGGCCGCCATGGTGGTGTTCGAGTTTGTGGAGAGAGGTGAGAGAGGAAGAAGGAAAGATTTAAAGGGAGGCGGGAGACTTGAAAGCAAAGGCGGCGGAGGGGAAGATTTTCGGGTCCGGAAGGCGCAAGAATCGGGGAAGAGGTGGCCGAGTTTGCGAGACAAAGACGAGAGAGAATCGACCGGAAAGCGAGAGATCGAGGATCGAGAGGTTGTTCTGCTCCAGGCAGAGAGTGATGGAGCGTGGAGAGTGGGCGACACACAAGGAAAAGGGCCCGCAGTGGAAGTTTTGAAGTTCGAGATGCGGCAACACAAAAAACTGCTTTGCCTCTTTGGGTCGGGCCGAAGCAGCCCTAATAGTATGGTGCAGTAGTGAATTTGGGGAACTATCATGAACTATTGGGACTATTTCTTGACTGCATGCTTATATCTAGAGATAGATCTCTCTTCTGATTCTATTCAAATTTATCAGTGTATTTTTTCTGATAACTCGCTGGTAAATTACAGGTCCCAAATCCCAAAAAAAGCAGCATGTCCCTTGTAGATAAACCCAAGATGTGTATATGGCACCAAATGAATAAAAACCCAAACAGCGACCGTGGAATCCCTCTATAGTAAATGCCAATGGTATCGCCAAAATCAAACAATAGATGCTGTAGTAGAAGATGGAGGAGATGCGGCACCCTTTCATTTTCTTCAATCTCCCCGGTTCACCAGTTACTCCTCGCCGCTGTTCATCAAGCTGAGGAAGCAATTCCACCCTGCAGATAAATTAGCGCTTGAATACCAAACCCTTCATAGAAAAACACATACCCAAGCTGACAATGTTGACCACCAGCACTCGCAGCTCCAGGGGAACAAAGGCAAAGTTGGCACCCTGAACAAAAGGCCAGACCATCAGGTTGGCCTTGTAAGCAGGCGCAAACGCATTCTTCCACTTCTCGATCGGATCAAGGCCCTCCATTATAGCCATCGAGGATAGGAAGCAGGTCAACTGAACAGGTGCGAAGAACATCTGATCGGCGGCGACGCGGGCGACGGTGGTACTGGCAGTGCCCTTGAGAACGACATGGCGCTGGAGGATACCGAACCAAGCGGTGGCGACGGGACCGAAGACAGCTGGGGAGAGCAAAATGATTAGCGATTGGATTGTAGGGTATCTGGAGGGATTCCAGTCGTACCTCCACCATAGAGGGCCATGCGCCCGGTGCGAGCAAAGTCGTGCTTCTCAAGGCCTCTCCGGTCAACAGCCTGTTGGGCTAGGACATCACCGCTGCCAAACAACACCTGTGTATGTGAATTAGATCGGGGCGCATTGAATCGGATTGGTAAGGAGGAAGGTGAAGGATTGTACCGCACTCGTAATACTGGCTGTGAGGATGGGCCTCTTGGCCAATTTGCTCTGGTACCTGTGTTCAAATCAGTGAGCGACTGTTTTCCGCGGCTGAGGAGGTGATGGGCGGAGAGCGAGACAAAGCAGCTTACCAGCGCAACATGGTGTGTCTGTGTGAAGGGGAGATGGAGAGAGAGGTAGAAGGTGAATGGAAGGAAAGGCAAGTCAACTCGGTGGCCAGGGAAGAGGAAAGACGTCAGAGGGTCACCAGCAAGTCAAGTTGCCAACCGGAGGGGGAACGATCTCCATCTTTAAATTGCGGAGACCAGTTTTTTGGAGTTTGGGAGTTTTGGACGGGGTTCGCCCGGCCTGGAAATTCACCCGCCTGGGGCGGCAAAGCCCCAAACAGGATTCGGATTTCTTTTTTGGACGTCTCATGTGATGTCTTTTTTTGGTTTATTGATCTTCTTATGATATCTCCGAATGGGATACCGGAGAAGGGAGAGAATTGACACCTCGCATACTGTACTTATGTATATTGTATGCAGGCATCGGATCGATACAGATAGTCATAGATTGAATACTCATGGAGGGTAAAGAATAGGATTACATGATAGTATTCTCCATAAAATATGATCTAGAACTCTGGATATACCCCTATCAGCCCCTGTGCAAGGAGCAGTCCATACTATTTGTCTTTGTATATGTGACTGCGTCACTAGTTAATGGGCTCTCGACGGGCCCATGAATTGATCCAAATCAGTCAGCTGACCCTGCCCCTGTAAAGCCTAAAGTGCACGTGCCATCTCCGTCATTCCTTGGGTCCCCACCACAGGCTGACTTCCCATTTCGGACGTTAGGGCTTAGGGCTACTTCTAGGGCTGCCACACCCAAGTTTCCGCCCGCCTCGCTTAGCCCACCCGAAATTTCGGCCAAACAAGTCCCGTCCAGATCGAACCTCCGACGACCCCATCGACATCCATTTTTCCGACAACCTCACCTGTCGCTCATACACACAACATGGCTGACGCTGCTCCCCGTGGACGTGGTGGTTTCGGTTCGCGCGGCGACCGTGGTGGTGACCGTGGCCGTGGTCGTCGTGGCCGTGGCCGTCGTGGTGGAAAGCAGGAGGAGAAGGAGTGGCAGCCCGTCACCAAGCTCGGTCGTCTCGTCAAGGCCGGCAAGATCACCAGCATGGAGCAGATCTACCTCCACTCTCTGCCCATCAAGGAGTACCAGATTGTGGACTTCTTCCTCCCCAAGCTGAAGGATGAGGTTATGAAGGTACGACAGACACCAACAAGCGCCATACACAAAATACACCCGGAGGAATTGGAAATGAATCGCATTTTCGAATGCAATTGGGAGGGACTTGCGCCATGCGATTAAGCATAGTGCAATCACACCCTTTCAAGATTTCGCGCCAATTGAAGGAACACATTCAATTTGATCTAGACCTCAGTGACTGACATACTCTTTCTTCCACCACCTACAGATCAAGCCCGTCCAGAAGCAGACCCGTGCCGGTCAGCGTACCCGCTTCAAGGCCATCGTCCTCATCGGTGACGGCGAGGGTCACATCGGTCTCGGTATCAAGACCTCCAAGGAAGTCGCCACTGCCATCCGTGCCGCTATCACCATTGCCAAGCTCGCTGTCCTCCCCGTCCGTCGCGGTTACTGGGGTACCAACCTCGGTGAGCCTCACTCTCTGCCCGTCAAGCAGTCCGGCAAGTGTGGTTCCGTCGCTGTCCGTGTATGTATACCCTGAGCTCCGTCTCGAAGTCGAATTCGAGAAGAAATGCGTGAATTGCGCAAGACCAAAGAGCCCTGGAACTAACGGAATTCATTGTTTAGCTCATTCCCGCTCCCCGCGGTACCGGCCTTGTCGCCTCCCCCGCCGTCAAGCGTCTGCTCCAGCTCGCCGGTGTCCAGGATGCCTACACTTCCTCTTCCGGTTCCACCAAGACCCTCGAGAACACCCTCAAGGCCACCTTCGTTGCCGTCGTCAACACCTACGGCTTCCTCACCCCCAACCTCTGGAAGGAGACTAAGCTCATCCGCAGCCCTCTGGAGGAGTTCGGTGATGTCCTCCGCCAGGGCAAGAAGTACTAGGTTATTGGGAATAATGCTAGCATGATTTAAAGTTTTCGAGTCTCCTCACAAAATACCAACCAACTTCCCAATTTCTCCCATCTTCTCTCGGGCTGGCAGGATAAAAATGGAAAAGTGTGGGTCTCGGGCGACGGGTGTCCATGGATGTTGTACTTATCACGGGAAAGGGTTCACAAAAATAGCAGAGTCAGCCTTCTACCAGCCAAACAGGATGGTTTTCTCGTGGTACTACGTGTCTTTATTGCGTAGTTGTAGTAAACCTGTATCTACCAGTCCTGCTGGCATTCGAATTACCTGTTTAGGTCTAAACAAGACCTACGCAACTTGTTAGTGTCTCCACGGGGCTTTCTGGTGGAGGCAGGTGGAGTATCGAAGTATTCTGGAAGGGGACGTATACTTCCCCTCCATATACTTCCGCCTGTAAGCATTCCCATCCAGGCTTGCCTATTCAAGTGTACTCGAAAGGATAGCCTCGAGTCTTCCCACGCATAATCAATGAGCGTACAAAGGGATTTGATCAAAGAATTTGCTTGAACCAGGAGTTGTCTTCAGACAAAGAGTCTATATACAAAGAGAACTGGGTCTTCCCCAACATCCAGTTTTCCGCTTGATCTTACTTTAGATGGACATGTAGTTTACGATTCCATGACTGTTATCAAAAATGTTGTCTTCTATGATGTTACTTTGAGTGAGCAGTTACATTGGAGAGGACTGATATTTTTGAATCTCGATGATCCTCACTTGTAGTGGTGCTGTCCCAAGGCCGCACCCCAAATAGGAAGGAAGCTTCACCCATTTTGAAGCGTCCACCGTCGTACTTTCCATCCTCCTCTCTTTCTCATCATCTTTATTTCCTCCAACCTCCCAACCTCATTTTCACGTCACTTCCAGACTGGCTTTTCAAGCACGACCCACCATCGTTCCTCCACTATGGAGGAGCATCCTCGGCACTGGAGACACACCCTGATGGGTTATGACTTTTGGCAGGATGCAAAGCAGTACGAGGACAAGATCAGCCAAGAGCTGGACATCGGTAAGGTAGACCACTAGCATGGTTCACAGTTCTTGCTTGAACCATCACATGTCTCGTCACTGCATTTCTGAAGCGGGCCATTAACTCTCTCAGCACTGGATCTGGATCTTCCCAAGCGCTTCCCATTCAACCTCGGCCCCGAAGAAACGCCCACCAAGAGACAGCGGCGTCTGAGTATGTCTGATGCAGGAAAGACCGGCCTCCAGCGTCACGCTTCCCTCTCAACGGGGGTATCTCGGTTCAGGGCCCACGAGCGCCGTACACGATCACCCTCCCCTCGCAAGATGATGGCATCTGCCATGAACGCTCTCTCATGTCGAGGCACCACCCCCACGATGCCTTCTGCTCTTCGACTTCGACGACCCTCACCGTGTAAACAGCCGGATCTGCCGCCAGGAGTTATCGTCAAGACCCGTGAAGTGTCCCCTTCACCTGCGCCTCCACTTTCTCGTCAACCTTCACCCCCCGTGGACGACTTTGCGACTGCGGAGAACCCATTCATCGGGTTCCGTGGCGGTTCAACTTGGTCAGATCTCCTTCTGACAAAGAAGACGCTAGGCCTGGATCTGTTCTGGCCGCACAGCGAAGAATCCGATGAACCAGTCCGCTTGGAGATCAATGAGCTCAAACCACTGTGCCAGTTCCGTTCCCTGCGCTCGCTGAAGATCACTGGCATGTTGCAGTCTTATCAGTCTTACATCTGGCAGACTGCCTGGCTAAACCTTGACCTGGAAGAGCTGTCTCTAGGAATGACACTGGAACCGAAGATTGACAGTGCCATCCACGCAGCACAGTGGAAACTTATCAAAGACGGATGGGAAATGGACAAGAAGCGATTTGCTGAGCCAGTGTACCAGTGAGTTGTCACATTACTCCAAGTGGAGACAGAGCGGGTTGCTGATAGGATAACCTCTAGTGGAAACCTCGGTGATGGTGCACTACACCCTGACATTGGCTGCGGCGAATACCTGGATAAGCACAGTATCGAAAAGGCCAAGATCCTGGCTATGGCCATAGGCCGGACATCCAAACGGCTCAGTATCAAGCACCTGACTCTGTCCGGCTTCGTCGCGGATGCGGATCCCTTCCTGAATTGGTTCGATGCAGAGAAAATGGAAAGTATCATATTCAAAGGCCAGTGTATCGATGCCGGGTTCTGGCTGCCACTCTCTATGGAGAATGTCACCGTACGTCACCCGAGAACAATTGAGTTAGGGCCTGTTGCTGTCGGGATGGTGTCTGTCGATGTGCAGAAAGAGTTGAAGGTGGTGAACATGCAGGATGGGTTGGACGTTGGCGAGAGCGCATTCCCAGCATCCGACGATGATACTCGGGCAATCCTGCATTTTATCTGAAAGGAGAGGGAGTCGTGGTTCGTTACGCATTGCTCCTGGCTTGGCGTACTCTCCGGATATTGCTACTTGGTGGCCATGATCTTATGATCTAATGATGTACGATCTGTTATTCGGACAATTGTTACAGCATAGGTTAATGCATGTATGATTAATGAGTGGTGAAACGGAGTATCTGGCTCTGAGAAATAATACACAAGGTCCAATTTTCAGATACATCCAGAGGCGAAGCATAATTCCAAAATAATGATGGATAGACGGAAAGTAACTCCAGCAAAGATACCCACGGGGCTATCAAAATCCACGATCAATGTAAAGCCAACACAACTGGCTTCACAATAGTAAGAATGTCCAGAGTCAATCAATCGTTAGTGCAGACAGCCCGAAATCCAAATTACGCGCCATCCTCCTCGGTAATGCGAATAGCCCCTTCGTTACCAACGCCCGAAGACCAGAAGCCATCCACATAGAGGGTACTAGATAGATAAGACGTGAGTAAAGATGTATAGAAGGAATAGGGGAGGATCTTCGACACGTCGCAACTTACATTCCCTGAGCACTGTCATGTTGCACCAAAAGCCAGTAACCCAGAAGTCCCTGCGTAAAGATATCCTGAATAGCAAGAAGAACAGTCTCGACATCAACGCTGATCTTTAAAGCGAGGGAACCTGCAGCGAGGGAGCTGTAGAATATCAGTTAGTACAATATCTCCACATAAAAAAAATAAGAATAGAGAAGGGTAGAACCTACATCGGGAACAAGGCAAAAGCAAAAAATGCCAACCCGGACAGGGCCGCAAAAAACCTTTTCGTCCGCACATCCTTATTTCCCGCCGCCCTCTGCGCATGGAACCCCCCATGATGCACAAGCACCAAATAAGCCAAACAAGAAATAACCAGCCAAACCCAGCGCACCTTCGTATGACCCGCAAAACTACCCAACACGCCGGCCGCAAGCATGACGAAATTTGCCGCGATCGCCGCGAATAGATGGCCGCCGGGCAGGCCTGAGACCAGGGCGAAGTTAGTTAGGATTAGCGGGGTGGAGAGCGCCCAGTTTATGTAGCGAAGCCAGAGGACTTGGCGCAGGTAGATGTCTGTGGTGTTGGGGACGTGTTTGTGGTGGTGGGTTATGTGGGCGGATTTGTAGCTTATTCCTTGGCCGGTTGAGAGGGCGAGGTAGGTTATGAAGGAGAGGGTTGTTGTTAGGGCTGTTAGGGTGTGGAAGACTCGTTTGGACTGTGATAAAACAAAGATGTGTTAATGTTGTTCAAGATTGAGATTGACAGATAAGATCGGATCAGGAGTCTGGGGTTAAGAATAAGGTTGGCGTTAGCTTACCAGTGGGGCACGAGCAGCAAGTGCGTAGAAGACCAGCGAAGAAACGCCCATTAAGACGGTAACAACCCTGGAATAGATGATGGTTAGCTGGATCTCATCCTAAAAACAAAGATAATTATAAATGATTATCCCGACATACCAAAGAGTCCTCTTCCCCGTATCATGCAGATCCTGAAAGATCGGCACACTGGGGATCACTGTGGGGATGGGAGCCACCGAAGTAGGCGTTGTAATGGGCAGAGTGCCCGTAGCCTTGGGGAAGAAATCGAATTCGTTAGGGACCATCATCTTGAAGAAGTGAAAACTGCGAAGATGAATGAAACACTAAAAGAAGATGAGATTGAGGGAAAGAGAAGAAAAAATAAGCAGTCTTAAAGAGCAAGGCGGAGGCGGAAATCAGGATTCGAGAGCTTCCCCAATGACGGGGAAACGTTGTCGTCATCGCCACCAGGGAAGCAAGAAACGGTGGATGGTTGGGGAGGGGGAGGGGTTATTATTACATATTACATATTACATATTACATTAACACTTGTTACAGGGAATATTAATTATTATTAATGGTAGTCATAAATACTACCGGATTGTGTATGACAGGAATCATGTTTTTATTCCTGGTTAGGCAGAAGCAGGGAACAGCGGGGAAAAGATGGACAGTCCAGACTACCGTAGACTATCTAGATCGCTCTGCAGATCAGAAGGATAATCATGATCGACAGTATCCGAGATTAAAATCGCTGATTCAATGATAATACATTTTGATATGCAAAGCAAATATGCAAAGAGCTGGAGAGGTGTATATTACAAGAGAAAAAGAAAAACGAGCCTTCAACCACTCGCCGCACAGATGATGATCACAATTCATCATTCAGCCAGCTTACGCCTCAAAGCCCCCAGGTCTAGACAACTGGAGATGCAGCTGCAGCCTCCAGCTCGCTGACCACCGAATCACATCGATCGCAAATCTCATCGGTCGCCACTGGCTCCGGAATGGCATACCGCCAGCATCGGCCGCACTTGGAGGCCTGTGGCGCGTAGACGTATACTCGCCCCTTCTGTCCATCAGGGAGTTCACAGTCATCCTCATATTGCCATTCGGCTTGGGCAATCTCGGCGGGAAGAGCATCGCTGGGATCAGCGAGAGTGACAGACGATACTACGAACAGGTCCGGGAGCTCGGAAAGGTACTGGTGGAAGACCGTGCTGCTGGTGACGCTTGTCGAAGGAAGAACTAGGTGCACGAATGATTGCAGGGAGGAACCGAGTTGCTTTTTCCCCGCGGGCCTGTTCCTGCAAATTCTTGATGACCGAGTGGACGGCGACAACCTCGTGGTAGCTGGTATCGAGCGCAGGGTCCTGCCATTCAGTTGCCGGGGTGGCTGCGATGCGTCGCAAGGGGTGTTCGCTCTGCGACCGGATCGCTTCGGGGGTATGGTCCCAGGTCTCTTCCACGAGGAGTGGAGTAATAGGGCCCAGCACTTCCTGGAGGTGGTGGTAGATGTAATACAGGGTGGTTTGGGCGGCACGTCGACTGGTGCTATTCTCGCCCAGAGTATACAGTCGGTCCTTGATTGCTTCCATATAGAAGGCCGAGAACTCGAGGTTAGCCCAGCGGTTCATCGTAGCAACAGCCTTGTAGAATTCAAAATTGTCACAGGCTTTTCGCGTGGAAAGGACCATGTCGGAGAGGTGTTTCAGCGCGATCCGATCCACCTGCTGCAGCTGCTCGTACGTCACGATGCATTCGGGACGGAAGTCACCCAGTGCTCCTAGCAGCAGCTTGAAGGTAACGCGGAACTTGTGCAGACTGGTGTGAACAGTCTGAAGCACCTGCTTTCCAATAACCACGTCGCGAGTGTAGTCGCTACTTGCAGCCCATAGGCGAAGGGCATCAGGGCCCAATGCGTCATACGTTGGCCCTTGGTTTTCCGGTTGCTTTTTTCCCTTGCCCTTCCGTGGCTTGAGAGGAGGCAGCAATGTTCCATCCATGATGGTCTGCGGTGCAATAGTATTACCAATGGACTTGCTCATTTTACGTCCGTGCTCATCAAGAGTAAATCCATGGGTAATGAGGTTGCGGAAGGGAGCACGAGAGGTATCATTCTGTCCCGAGGCGATCTGGTGAGAGATGTATGTCAGGAGGCCAGACTGGAACCAACCCCGATGTTGGTCGGATCCTTCCAGGTAGACATCGGCAAGGTGGCTGCGACCCTCGAGAGGGACGTCAATCTCTGCCCAGCTAGTACCGCTGTCAAACCACACGTCCATCGTGTCGGAACCTCGTCGATAACCGGCTGGATCATCCCGCAGTGAGGGGAGCACCCAGGCCGCATCATCAGCATCGTCAGTCCACCAGGCGTCGATACCACGCTCTTCAATAGTCTGCATGATATGCGACACGCTTTCTTTGATCAAGACAGCCTCACCGGTGGTCCGATGATAGATAGCAGGAATGGGCACACCCCATGCGCGCTGGCGTGAGATACACCATTCGCTACGGTTTTTGACAAAGTTATTCAAGCGATGCTTGCCAGCTTCCGGAACAAATCGAACATCCTCTAGGGCCTTGAGAGCGCTGCTACGGATATCGGCCACATCTGCGAACCATTGCTCCGTGGCACGAATGATAATCGGCTGCTTGGACCGCCAGTCGTAAGGGTACTTGTGCTCGTATTTGTGCTGCGCAAGGAGATAACCGTGGGAGTTGATGTAAGCCAGCACAAGGTCATTACCCTCTCCCAAGACTGGCTTCCCAGCTAGACGAGAGGGATCGTGCGGCATGGCCTTCTCTGTGAACCGGCCCTCGTCGTTGACAGGCGCAAAGACGGGGATACCGCGAGCGAGACAAGCTTCGTAGTCGTCCATACCGTGACCGGGTGCGCAGTGAACCAGTCCAGAGCCAGAATCCGCAGTAACAAAGTCTGCAGCGATAATTGGCTGAGGATCGGCTTGGGCGCCCTTGAGGATAGGCCGGTAGGTGGTCTTTTCCGCTAGTTCAGAGCCTAGAATCGAAGGGACAATGACAGAGAGCTCCTCTTTGAGGATGCTCTCAAGATATTCGAATCGAGACTGGGCAACAAGCAGGTTGCCATGGGTCTCGGACTGCACAATCACATACTCCAATTCGTTGTTGACAGCAATCGCGGCATTGGCAGGCAGGGTCCAGGGAGTCGTAGTCCAAATAATCGCACTCACACCATCCGACTTGAGCAATGGGTCCGCAGATAGGTGTGGTGGGATGTTCACGAGGGGAAATTTGACCAGAGCCGCGGTGGAAACGTGGTCATCCTTGTACTCCAGTTCAGCCTCTGCCAGTGCCGTGCCGGTCGAGGGCGACCAGTAGACGGGCTTGAACTTTCGATAGATGAGACCGTGATCAACCATCTCTCGAAAGATCCGTAGCTGACGCATCTCGAACTGCTTGTCCATCGTCTTCCAGTGATTCTCCCAATCGGCCATGACTCCAAATCCGCGGAACCCTTTCATCTGCTCCTTGACGGTCTGTCGGGCCAGCTGGCGCGCAGACTTGCGAATCACTGCCGGACTGACCGATCCGTCCATCACTCCCATGTCGCGTAGGCCCTGGAGTGCCTTGAGCTCAATTGGCAAGCCATGACAGTCCCACCCCGGCACATACCGCACTTGTTTACCCCGACCCAATTGTACCCGGTTGATGATATCCTTTAGGATTTTGTTGAGCGCATGCCCGATGTGCAATTCACCGTTCGCGTAGGGTGGGCCATCGTGTAGGACGAAGGGCTTATTGGCCGGTCGTTCGCGGCGCTGCCAGGCGTAGAGCTCATCGGTGGATCGCTTGAGGTATTTTATTTGGTCGGCCGGCGACACTCGCGGGGGGAACGTCGACTTGGGGAGTTTTAGAGTCGACGTCCAGGACTTCGGAAGTGACCGCGCCTGTTTGTGCATCCTCCCAGCATCTCCTCTTTGGAAGTTGAAGATGTTGGAGAAGTTAATCAGAATCGCGCGGAGGTTCAGTCGGGGTGGAGATTGGGGAACATACGGGTAATGACGAATATTACAAGGAACAGCAGCACAGATGTGATGAAAGATTAGTATTCTGAAAACTGAATGTTACAATGTACATCTCCAAGATGTTTACCAGCTTCCCCAAAGTAAATCCTAGATAGTTCCTAAGATATTCATAGCTCATAGTCACATGTTAGATTAAATGCTAGAAATGCAAAATTAATTTCCTCCATCCAACCCCAAAATAACTCCTAACCGAAGAACCGGGCTAATAAACCGTAAGGCAGCTCACCGCACCGTTCTTCAGCACTTCAAATAGTAGACCCGGGAACCCAAAGAGCTCGGTATTGCCCAGTCCACCATCATGTCCATCGGGACCAGTCCGTGGCCCTCGGGATGTGGTTTCTTCCCACCCACCAAGGAACTCGACGCTGCTCTCAGGGCTGTCGCCCCAGCCGCGGTTCAAGACCATGGGTCGTTGCATTACTCGCTGTTCCTCGGGACTGGCATTCGAGTCCTTCCAAACTTCGCGCAACCGCTTGGAGATGTCATCGAAGGGAGACTCGGAAGTCAGACCGTCTCCGGACTCGTCAAGGTGGATCGTCCACCGACTGCGACGGTGACGGTTGAACGGGTAAGATCCGGGAACGTTTCCATGTAAGATGATCTTTGTTACTGTCAGTTGTGGCAGAGAAGGCTGAGACGAGGATTCTGTAATTTCTGATGTAGGAAATGCAGGCCCTGGAGTTGTTGGGTGGGAGATGAATGCATCGAATCCGTGATGGAAGTAGTTGAAGAAGCATTCAGCAGGTAGTGAGGTTGGATCACTAATGCTGTTTGGAGATACTTCCTCATCCGAGTCATCCGTCACGCTGTTATTGGAGGAGTGGTCAGTATCTGGGATCTCCATTCCTGTTCCAGGCGATGGACTCAAACGCAGGGCATCCCCCGTTCCGCCACTGCCGGTTGCACGGTGAATCGATATCCGTCGGTCGTGTTTACGGTAGATGGCATCTGGGGGACCGAATTCGGCAATCAGATCCTGAGGAGTTGTCTCCCCCAGGATGATTTGTGCGGGTGGATTATTTCGTCGCTCTGCTTCTAATTTCCCAGCACCCAGGATGTGGATCATTTCGATCTCGTCGGCAAATGCGTCACGATTTTTGCTGATCACGGCAGACGAACGTGGATACTGGGGCTGCTGAGTGAACAGCTTTGAGCGAGCCTCCGGCCATGAGGAACCTTGGAAGATAGCCAAGGATGTCGCTGGCAATGCAGCGGAGGAGGAAAGCAGTGCCACAAAGTCACACGAGTCGGACCATGCAGAGTGTTGAAGAGGGAATGAGAAGGAGACCCCCGGGTATGACAGCACATATGTGCCGTATTGCGACTTGGGGTCGGTTGGCGGGATGTATTCGCCCGGATAGGAGGGGCCAAACAGGCGGTTATAGACATGTCGGAAGTTAGGGCCTTGCAAGGTGGCAGTTCCTTCAGTGGATTTACCCCCCTTCAACACATCCTGATTCTTGTAGACTAGGCTCCCCCGAGAGAAGTCCAGCACCTCGATCAAACGTAGTCTCTGATCGGGTCCGTCGAACCGAAGTCGCAAGCCGTTAGCGGGCAACTTCAAGATGACAGGGTTGAGAAGAGGGTCCGTTGAGGAATATGCCAGGTCGATCTCTGGGTATGTTTGAGGGTGAGACTTCACGCGAGTCAGAACGTTGTGTAGGGAGGCACCGAGTGCTGCGAAACAGTTAGCTCCCCTCTCCACGGGTCTATAGATCGGGACTTGGGGGAGACATGCTGATGAAGCCCAGGCCTTTGCCTGGGAAGATTTGAACCGGTGCCGATCGAGCGGTCATCGTGGCTGCAGTTCGTTTGTTTCCCAAGTCATCGAGGGGCGAAATGGGAGAAGACAAAGCAAAGGAGCCATCGATATCGAAGCTCGCGGGGAAATGCGATGACGCCAATCATGTGAGAGCGGAGCATGACTGAGAAACGGTCACGTGGGATCGTCCGCTTATCGCTTATCGTAACTATTCAAATGGCCGAAATTGCCAGCGTAGAAGACAACGTATAGAAGATATTTGGACTTATAGGATTGGGTAATTGAGATTTTCATGGGATCGCAGTTTCCAATAATGGAAAGCCCTAATCTTCGTGGTCCAAACAAGGCCCCCCTAGTGACTTGAAGTGGTTGCTTGTAATTGTGGGGGAGGTGGCCGAGATGTGACAGTCACGTGGGGTTTGTTTATGTTTTGCCCAAAGGGATCCTCCGGCATCCTGCCTTGACTTGCAACCTAATCGGCCACCCGATTTGCATGCACTAACCTGCTTCAACTCTCCGTTTTCGGCCTCCATACTCGACGTCGAAACAATTGTTCATCACTTGGAATATCATTGCAAGCTCCATTCAACATGCCCGCCCCAGGACGGGCATCCTCTGCCATTCCCGCAGCCGCCACCAGGCGAACGGGTTTGCGCCAACCGACTCGGCGAGCCGGGTCTGCAGTCCCTGATCGACAGGCATCACCAGCAGTTTTCGCGAAACCAGCTACATCATCCATTGCACGTGTACAAAAGCCGAGTGTCGACCAATCTAGCACAAACAGTAAGAGAAAAGATAGGGAATTCGAACGAGAGATCAACGAGGACACAAGCATCCACGTGGTGGTGCGCTGTCGCGGCCGTAATGAGCGCGAAATCAAGGAAAACAGCGGCGTCGTCCTCTCCACTGAGGGTGTGAGTGGGAAAAACCTGGATCTATCCATGGGACCGAATGCGCTGTCAAACAAGACATATGCCTTCGACAAGGTCTTCTCGCCGGCAGCCGACCAAACCATTGTGTACAAGGAGGTAGTACTCCCGATTATCAATGAGGTGAGTTGATCAGATTCTGTGCGACATGAAATGCTGCTCATGCTGACTCGGACCAATAGATGCTTGCCGGATACAACTGCACGATTTTCGCATACGGACAAACGGGAACAGGAAAAACGTACACCATGTCTGGAGACATGACCGATACCCTGGGAATACTGTCAGATGATGCAGGCATTATCCCACGCACACTCTACTCCCTTTTCCACAAGCTCGAGGACACGGAAAGCACAGTCAAGTGCTCATTCATCGAACTGTACAACGAGGAATTGCGGGATCTATTGGCAGCTGACGATAACACGAAGCTCAAAATTTACGAGAATGAGAAGAAGGGCCATCTGGGTACTTTGGTACAAGGAATGGAGGAGACTTACATCGACTCGGCAACAACTGGTATCAAGCTGCTCCAGATGGGCAGCCACAAGCGCCAGGTGGCTGCAACAAAATGCAACGACCTGAGTTCGCGCAGTCACACAGTCTTCACGATAACTGTTCTCACCAAGCGTACCACCGAGTCTGGTGAAGACTATGTGAGCTCTGGCAAGCTTAACCTGGTGGACTTGGCTGGTAGCGAGAACATCGGGCGAAGTGGTGCCGAGAACAAGCGAGCCACTGAAGCCGGTCTGATCAACAAGAGTTTGCTAACCCTTGGACGCGTCATAAACGCCCTGGTGGATAAGAGCTCGCATATCCCGTACCGGGAGTCCAAGCTGACTAGGCTACTACAAGATTCGCTGGGTGGCCGAACAAAGACATGCATCATCGCGACAGTATCACCCGCAAAGACCAACCTGGAGGAGACAATCTCGACCCTCGACTATGCTTTCCGAGCAAAGAATATCCGCAACAAACCCCAGATCAACTCCATGGTCTCCAAGAACAAGCTGCTCCGTGAGATTGGCATGGAAATTGAGAAGCTCAAGAGTGAACTCATTGCTACGCGACACCGCAATGGTGTCTACATGACGCCAGATGCGTACGAGGAGATTACCACGGAAAGCGAATCGCGAAGAATTGTCAATGAGGAACAACGCGCCAAGATCGAGTCCATGGAATCGAGTCTGCGACACAAGGTCCAGGAGCTGTTTTCTCTCACGGCCAATTTCAACACATTGAAACAGGACAACGAGAGCACACAGGCCAAGCTCAAAACCACGCGTGGCATCCTTGAGCAAACGGAATCGAGCCTCAAGAATACCTCCGAGAAGTTGGATGAAGAGACCGTTCTGAGAAAGGCTCACCAAGCTACAGAAAAGATCCTTCGTGAAGTTGGCGAGGGTCTTCTGTCCAGCTTGGATACTACCGTTGAGGATATTAATGGACTGCACGCCAAGATCGACCGCAAAGATGACCTGGAATTTGAGAATCGTCAGACATGGGAGGCATCTGCTGGTGAAGTTTCCGATGTCACGCAACAGATCGATGCGCGTGTGGAGAGCTTCCAGGCGCAGCATGCGGGCCTTCTAGACACCATGTCCAACAGGCTCCACCAGTTTATCAGTGACGAGATCGATGCTGTGCTGTCTACTCGGTCTCAGCTCGATGAATTTGCAGCATCCGTTGTCAAGGTCGAGGCAAACGCGAAAAAGCAGACTTCAAGTGCGCATGATGAAATGAACGAGGTTCTTGAGGAGATCAAAGTTCTCCGCGAGGATGTCAAAACCAAGGTTGGCGAAGGCCTGAACGGACTTTCGGCCGCGGCTGCACGAATCTCCAAAGAAGTCCTTGGCGAGTTCTCAGAGTTCCACTCCCAGCTTCACTCCTCGTACAGCTCTCTCGGCAAGGACTTCAAGTCCATGTTTGAGAATATGGCATCGCATCTGGACCAACAAAAGTCCGAGATCAACAAATTGCGACTCGAGCTTCAAGAAGCCAATCGCCACTCAGTTGAGGCTAACCGCAAGGCCTCATCGAGCCTCACCCAAATTATGGAAGAAGAGCAGGCGAATGCCCAGACGGAGCGAGAAACCTTGATGTTGCAGATTCGAAACCTACTTGAGGAATCCAATCAGCGCCAGTCTACTCGCCTCAAGAGCAAGTATGAAGCCGTTCGCACAGATATTTCGGCTTCTGGTGATTCTCTGGAGCACGCTACTGCGCAGTATGACCGTCACATCGATGAATGGATCTTCAAGGAGGAGCAATTCGCAAAGGACGTGACGGCATCCAGGGATGAGATCAGAACTAAGATGCAGAATGATTGGGAGGTAAGTTTCGCATTTCTTCTGGGCCTTGTGACAAGCAGAACTAACCGTGGTAGACTTTCGATCAACGCAATGCCTCGATTCAACGGGCCACCGAGTCGGTGCACCAGGAGACTGTGCGGATTGTGGATGCTCAGATGAGCGACATGAGCAAGCAAATGGAAGCCCTTGATGACTTTGTCGCCAAGGCTCGGTCTCAAAATGGCCGCTTCCATGAGGCGCAGCTTGATAGCCTGGATTCCCTGGCCACAAATGGCCGGGATTCGCGAAATGCCGTATATGAACAGCTGGATGGCCTCTGCGAACGTGTGAACCAGCTGCAGGATGATGTCTTCATGCATACAGAAAATCTCGAGCAGGCGACTGCTCCTCTTCACGAGGAGGTACGCCAGCCACTGTCTGAGCTGCGCGACAACATTCAGAGCCACCCCATGAAGGAGTATATTCCAACCGGAGTGACTCCCAAAAAGCGAAAGTACGAGTACAGCACGGAGCTGCCTCGTACTGAGTCACACGAGGGTATTCGTACCCGGCATCGGACCTCCAAGCAATTCACAGCTCTTCCCTTCAATGAGGAGCCTCAACTGGCCCCCATTCCCAGCTCGCCAGTCTCTTCACCATCTAAAGGCTTTGTCTATAGCGACGCCGCGGAAGAGGTAGGGACTCATTCTTCGTCATCCGGAATCAATTCCTCCAACACTGGCCTTAGGGAAGTCGATTTAAACGTCGGCAAACAACACGCGCAGGATGCTGAAGACGACACCAGGCCCGACGACAAACCTGGATCCCCTGCACCCGCCCCTACCATGGACCTGGACGACACCCTCGACAAGGACGAACCAGAGCAGCCGCCACTGAAGCGTAGCCGCTCCGCCTCCAGCAACCCGGTCGAGACCAAACTCCCGCAGAAGATGCTGTCCAAGAGGATGGCTGGCATGATGGAGGGCCGAGAGAATGTGCCTCCATCTGGTATTGCAGGTGGACGCAGATATAGGAACCGCAACGCGGAGTAAACGTGCTCGCCTTGTCTCACATCTTCCTTTCTTTCACATCTCTTCTTGTTTTATTCGTTTTCCTGTTTTGTTTCACTGTCGAGTTTAACATCTTGATACCCAATGTCGCTAGTCTTTTCTCCTTCTGGTCCGGAGTTTCTGGCTGAAAAAAACCATGTGGGAGCGTCGTTCACTTTTTCTTCTTTTGTGCAGATGGATTGGAGTTTCATATGCCAGAGGGCAGTGTTCCATATTTGGTGTTTCTTGTGTTTGGGTATTACTTGTCTCATTTGGTAGCCTCCAGGTTCCTTAACCGTGGTTTGGTCTCAATTGAATACTTGCATCTCAATCTCTGCCCCAAGCATTCTTCAATTCAAGTAGCCAAAGATAGAAAGAGAAACTATGGTATATCCAATAGGCAAATGTGCCCAGTCAAAAGATCAACTCGATAACGCCAATGTATCTGTGAAAATTTGCGCCGAAAACAATCCTCGCAAGCAGGTTGGACCAAAAAACAACAACATCACGTTCCCAAATGTGACGTTCACGCCGTATCTCCCTCCTTTGAAACCCCTTCTCCAGCTGTATGTTCATCTGTCGCAGTCTTCTCCTCAAGCAAATCCCGACCTTCTTCAATCTGGCCCCCTTCCTCAGTAGAAGCAGGAGCCACATCCGCCGCATCAATCACCATCTGCAACTCACGCATCCTCTTCGCAAATTGATCCATCATATCCTCCAACCTAGGCGTCCCCCGCTCTCCCTTATCCTTGCCCATGCCCACTTCGGAGGGGATCCCCGTCGTCCCGTAGATCTTCAGCATCAACCCGTGTCCCGGCGCGTCACTCGGATCGTGGTTCTCAAATGTCGGCGCCGGGACCATCTCGCTACTGAGTACCTGCCATGTCGGCGAGAAACTCTTCGCTGATGTTACACGGTATTGGGGTTGTGCCACGCTTGGACTTGGGGATGATGGGTGTTGGGCCGGGGCTAAGGTGGATGGGTTCGCCGGGGATGTGGACATGGACTTTGTACCACCACCTGTGCCGGCGGGAATGGCCCTGCCCGTCGTGGATGGGTCGGCGGGTGGTGTAGTTCCAGTTCCGGCGGGTGGTGGGGGAACGGGCTCGACGTCTAGCACGATGTAGTTTTCACGTACCCCCGGTATCGGCGGCGGGAGGAGCGCGGACTTGTCATTGTCGTGCTGGTGGTGGTGGTGTTCTGCGGGGTTGTGCGATGGGTTGGTTGTACGCCCTTGCCCTTCCACTTTCTTGGACCCTGGGAGTGCGTCTTGTTGAGCCTCCAAGCTGCGTAGAGCGGCTTCCGTCACGATGTCGGTGTCGTCATCGGAAAATATGTAGTGGACCGTTGGGTGGTGGTGGTCTGATGTATGGGCATCTTCGATTAGGGTGAAGAACGGCTGGAATGGCTGGTGCAGACCTGGGTGGTGGTCTGCTCCATCTTCGTGTGTTTCACCGGTTTGGTGCCCTGGGTCATCGGCGGTACCGTCGTGGGTTGAGGTGATAGGCGAGGCGTGCTGTGGAGCCTCATCTATAGGGTGGTCATCGGAGGTGCGGACGGACTGGTCGCTCGGTCGGGAAGAAGTGCTTGGACGAGCTGAGGGGTCGTTGAGTGAGGACTGTGAGGAAGGGGAGAGAGGATGGGCCGGGTTGTTCATAGACATGTCCGTCGCTACATGGCCAAAGTGGAGGAGTTGGCTGGGATGATGTCGCTTCCCCAGAGCTTCTTATCGATAGCTGCACGTGATGCCATCGGGGATTACTTGATCTACTGCTTTCAAAGGTTTGATGATCTGATATGTATAGAAAAGATATGTAGCTTTCATGGCCATATGTTTGAAATTACACTCTGTAAGATTGAGATCTTGAGTGAGAATTTGAGTGACGCAATCAGGGATTAAGATGAGTTCATTATGGTGGATATATATTCGCCATCAACTTACCCTAGGTGACAGCCTAGGTTATGAGCATGTTACCTAGAGACCTCGACTCCCGACGGTCTTGAGATGGAATCCACTTCTATTATGCAATATCCCCTTTCCATGGCGACTAGACTTAATAGTGGTGTTTTAATTTATTGATTGCGTAATATCTGGAGACACTGTATAGCTCCGTTCGACAACCCGATCCCATCCTTTGATCGAATGGATAGGTCATCAAGCCAACATGAGCAATGCTTGGCTCTCAACAAGAGTAGACAAGCTAAAAGAGACATCGAGAATAAAAAGAAACTTGAAAAGAAACATGGGGTATCCTTGAATCAACCCGTTGAACGCCTGCCGCGAGGGAATATGCAAGTATGCAAGGTCATTGAGACCGTTATTTTTCTTCTTGGACCCACTCAAATTCTGGTGGCTGTTAGTGGATCGGAATACACCAGGAAAGACAATTAGTATAAGGATTGACTCACTTTGACGGCACATCGGGCATAGTCCCTTCGAAGAGTCTTGTTGAATCCAAGTCATGAGGCAATGCTGTTTACCAGTAGACCAGTTAGCTCCCCCCACGTACATCGCGACGCGTCGGTATTCTCACCATATGAAACGAATGGCCGCATTTGCCAATCACTAGTATTTCCAGATGTGGAGATTAGTATGGATCCAAGGTAGCCCGGATTAGCGGCAATGGGCTCATCGCAGCAACTCACAAAGGGCGCAGTCATCGCCAGGGAATTTGCAGGTCGGACAAGTGCCGTCGAACTGGACGCGGCAGATACCGCACACCTCGTCCTCGGGCATGTCCCAGTGCCAGGTGGCAACGGCATTCCATTCCTTCAGAGTGACCTTCATTGCTTGAACTGCAAGAAAGAGAAATGTGTGACCAACAGCTTTGTAGAGAAGTAAAGAAGATCGTGATGGTGGGAGCAGTGCACAGGTTCCGGTCTGCTTATCGGACTATCGGAGTATCGGCTTATCAAAGTTTCGCGGTTGTTATCTTGTTTATCACATGAGACGCTTCTCCGCACCTTCCACTCCACATCTTCCGCTCTAATGTAAATCGAACTTGACATTGACTTGAAGTCTTAAGGAGACTCTTTCCCACCTGATCGACCATGGCTACGATGGCCACTCGCTTCGGTGCCTCTTCTGCTCGTCTCTTCCGTACCAATATGACCTCTACTACCCGCGCTGGACAACAGGCCCGCCATGTATCCTTCTCCTCATACTTGGTCACCCCTACCCAGCTCAATGAAGCTCTCAAGAAGAACCCTCCGACCAAAATCTCGACTTCTCCTCGAGTCATTCCTCTCTGCGCAGCCTGGTTCATGCCCAATGACCCCGAAGGTCGCAAGGGCATTGACTCTTTCCGCCAGTCCCGCATCCCTCAAGCCCGCTTCTTTGACCTCGATGCGGTCAAGGACAATGATTCGCCTTACCCCCATATGCTTCCGACCTGCGAGACATTTGCTGAGGCAATGAGTGAGCTCGGCATTCGTCGCGACGATGAGGTGGTGGTTTACGATACGGCCGAACTAGGTATCTTCAGCGCACCCCGTGTGGGCTGGACCCTGCGTGTATTTGGTCACCCCAATGTTCATATTCTCAACAACTACCGCCTCTGGACTCGCGAGGGCCTCCCTACCGAGAGCGGGGAGCCGGCTCCCGTCGAGAAGAGCAGGTACCCCGTGCCGACTTATGACTCTAAGATGGTGATCGCCTTCCATGAGATGAAGGAGCTGGCATCGGACTATGGCAAGGAGGGCGCGGAGGAGGTCGAGATCCTGGATGCTCGCTCGTACGGTCGCTGGGCTGGCACTGACCCTGAGCCGCGCCCTGGTCTTTCTTCCGGGCATGTTCCTGGATCTAAGAGCTTGGCATTCCAGCAATTACTTGATCCCGAGACCATGACTTATCTTCCCGCTGAGCAGTTGAAGAAGGTGTTTGAAGATCACAAGGTTGATCCCTCTCGATCAATTATCAGTTCCTGCGGTACTGGCGTCACGGCGACGGTCATTGAAACTGCTCTGGGGGAGGCAGACTATGGCAATCCCAATCTCCGTCGGGTATATGATGGTAGCTGGACGTGAGTTACTCAGACTGTTGATACATATTCGATAAGACTGCTAACATGATTCTAGTGAATGGGCTCAACGAGTCAAGGAATCTGACGGCCTTATCAAGAAGGTCAAGTCATAGAAAATTTTGGAAGGCACCATTCTCATGAAATTTGGGACGAGGACTCGCATGAGAATTCTTTTCCTTTGGTGGTGGCTTGGTTTTGCGTTTAGCACTGCCCTTTCCTGTTTTTAGACGATACTCCCCTCGTTGTTGAGATGCTCAATTTGAGGATCTACTTCATCTCCAAATGCATACCTCTTACATATTCCTTCCACATATCTCTGATTATCTCGTCATTTTGATCTGATTTGATCTTTCTGATCTCTTTGATCTACTCCGTACTAAGCGTTACTTTGCTCGCCAGGAACCCGCCCAGCCTTCCTCCCATCCAATCTGTAGTAGCTTAGTCAGCACCATCTAGGTCATCGTCGCAACAGCAACCTTGGAAGCCTCGTTTCCAGCGTGAACAACGCCTCCACCTGCTGCCCTTCTGGTAATTTCCCCAAGGTTAAAGATGCTGCAGATGATATCTTACTCCAAAGCTTCTCATTGTGAGTGTACTTCCACCTTCCTCCATCCGCGTCATACCGATTACCCGCCCTCAGCGCCCCCACATTCTCATGTCCCTCCATCGCCAAACCTCCTTCATCGGCTCTCTTTGTTGACCACCTCGACCTCTCTAGTCGCGGCTGTCAATACATCCAGTTCCCCGGTCTAGGGCGCCCTCGCCCTTTGCCCTACTCCCGATTCTTATCACCACCCTCAACGACACTCGTTTTCGGTGCCGCCATGTCGACCGGACGCAAGGTCTTTCATTGCGCCGTGGACGAGACGGCCCTGACCACCAACATCACCGAGATCAAGAAATGGACTACCAACGGCGCCATCGATCTCATAGTCCCTCTTTACAGTATGTATTTCGATACGTGAGGAGCAGAGTGCTTTCCGACGCTGCTGGTCGCTCGTTCCTGGCTGATCTAACTTTCTTTTTCTCCCTTCCACTTCCAGCCCTCGAACGGCTTCACGCTCTTAAGCGGGCAGGATCGCAAACCGCCATTAATGCCCGTGAGGCTGTTCGCTTCCTCGACCGAGTTACCTCTGGCAAGGACCACATTACCACCGACCGTGTCACCCTGCAGGGTCCCATGGAACAGTATGAGCACTGGGAGGATGCAGAGAAATTCTTCTTGCCCGAATTTGAAGAGGAACCCGAGGCGATTGACGATGCGGAACCTATCGAGTCTGCGCCCGAAGAGTCTCAAAGGGACAATGGAGTCTCCGGCCCGGAAGATCTGTCGCAGATGCTGCTGAGCAAGTTGAACTTCAAGAAGGATCCCGAGGCCGCTTCAATCACCTCTGCCGGTACTCCCAGCGGACCCGGATCGCGCACTTCGTCTCGTAGCTCGCGCACCAGCCCCGAATGTGCCCAGCACGAAAATGGCACTGCCAACAAAGTCGAGAAGCCCAAGTCTGGACATCAGCGCACCGCATCTGGCTCGGTCATTCCAGTCGCTCCGCCCGTGTTGCGCCCTTTGCTGAGCGCGCTGCTGTGGCGGCTCCACGGCGGCCCGGACGCGGATAACTCTGCTAAGAGCTGTATCCTGGTTACGAATGACCGCGCGACACAGGTCTGGGCGCAGAAGTTCGGTATTGGGGTCAAGAACATCCTTCAGCTGCGTACTGCGATTCAATACGAAGAGCGCGAGTACAAAAACCGCTGCAAATACGTCGAGAAGATTCAGACTCAACCTACGGAACAGCCCAAGACTTTGTTGTCTTACGAGGCCGACTCCGATGAGGATGAGCTGGTGTTTGTTCCTCGTGGCGGCCGTGGCGGTAAGGGTACTTCTCGCGGTGGCCGGGTTGGGTCCTCTCGTAAGCCTGCCCCGAAGGCTGCTCCAAAGGCCGCGCTCCCAGCTGCCGTTGAGACCCCCATCGAGGTTCCTACTCAGCCAATTGATCCCGACTCGTTCAGCCGCTCCCTGGCTGGTGCGACTAAAACACCGCCTACCGTGGACCTGAGCACCCAACAAGGTGCTGCTCGTGGCATCGCCGGGGCGTCTCGCCGCTCTGGTGGACGTCGCGGAGGGTCCACTCGTGGTGGTGGACGTGGGAGCGGACGTGGACGGGGCAAGCTCTGGGTTCCTTGAAGGTAAGGCCGGGTCTGTGGTAGATCTCGACGTGATCGAGCTTCTCCGCAGGCCAAGAATCTCCTTTTTGTGAACGAAGTGCACTCCAGAACCGGAACGGCCTTGTCTTTCTTTCCTTTACAGGACGGAATATGATCGCGCGAGGGAGACACCCGACTGTGAGTCCCTCAAGGACGTGTCAACTCTCTTCCTAATCTCTCCATCTCCATCTTCCGCCCCGTCAATGGCTTCCCAACCGTGTGGGTCGTGTCGGACCCCCCGGACAAACACGACGTGGCTGATGAACCCTGGAGGAATCGATTCGCAGCTGAACAGCTGCATGGATTGATCACTGGGAAAAAACACCCCTCGTGCTTTTTTTGTACCCTGGAAATTTCCTTGAGAGGACCCTTGGACTGCCCCCGATAGCTTTCCACCCTGACATCCGAAACGTTGCTTTTTTATGGGCCTCGTGCGCGGTCATGTATGAGAGTGGATTTGCATTTACTCAGATCTAGTATGAAACGGACGAATACACATATGCTTTGACTGCTCATTTTTATTCTATCTAAATGTGCATTGTTAGACATGGTAAAACGTGGTATAATAATATGTACTTGGTACTTTTTGGTAGATCGCATGAAAGCTTCCAATGATCCAATGAGACGGGACTTCCCCGCGTGACAGGTCCGTGGGACTTGCATGTACTCATCACTTGACGACTGTCTCTCACTCTTTCCTCTCCTCTTTCTTTCCTCCTCCACTATCTTTACAAAACCCAAGCATTTCCCAATCTCTCCTCCTCATTTCTACCACTAACCACTAACATCAATCCACTACTTCACCCACTCACTCACATCCATTTCCAAAATGACCGCCATCGACGAAACTCCCCTTAGCGCCTTCCCCCACGAGCGCCGCAACTCCCTGGAGAAACACCTCCAGACGCGCCCAGACATGCAGGACCTGAAGAACCGCCATATCCTACTGAACACCAACGTGGCACCGTACAGCAACCTTGCTCATCCCAGCCTCACTATCTCCATTCTATTAACACATTTCGCAGATCTCTCCAGTCCGCCCAGCAGGAACTGGATCGCCAGCGCGCTACGGACAGTTTAAAGAAGAACCTGGAGAAGAGACCTGAGCGGGATGAGCTGGTGGAGCGTATATCTCCCTCTTCCCTCTTTGACCTCTAGTTTTACGACCTTTTTTGCACCACCCTGTCTCTCTGTCTCTGCTTGGACATTTGACATTACTTATCGTTGCGGCTGTCACTAACAAGCAAAGGTAATATCCTCCCCGCATCCACCGCCGCACCGGCCCTACAGGCTCACGCCCGTGAACTCGAGCGCCATATGTTGGCCGATAACCTGGAGCACAAGATTCAGAATCGTCCTGAGCCCGAGTCGCTCATTACTCAGGGTATTCTGACGGAGGATGAGGATCCGCGCTCGGCGTGATTGTGATTGTGTTTCAGGATGCGTTTCAAGGGTTGTCCGGTTGGGTGACTTGACTTGGAACTCCTGCGGACTGGACACGGATACGGACGACGATAATGGATGATACGGATGGCATTTTCTTCTTCTTTTTCTTTTATCGTTCTTTGGGTATCTTTTTCCGTTCTGCTTTGCAGGATGTGTTTCTCCGCAGCTTGCTGCTCGGGTGGTGATGTCACCGTGACGCTTCTGTCGATAGCGGCTCCCCACATATTCAACCTTTATTTCATTATCGTTTCTTCCCCGGATTTTGATAATGATGTTGTTGTAGTGGCGTAAGTAATATGAGGAGATAGTGCATGTGTTGAGCTATACCTGAATAGTCAATGCCGAGTCTCTCAAATGTCTATACCATATTGAGCTTCGGTCGATCAATCTATCTTGCCTATTGGTACTTCTACTAGTACAAAATGAGAAGTCAAGGTGATTGAAAGTGGTCAGGATGACGGTAACGACCAATGAAATCGCAACTTGCACTACGGACTCCTGAAGATCTGAGTGTCCTTTGATAACCCAGCACAATGCCATATTTTTCAATCGGCGCGATCTGGATGTCTGGTCTCCTAGCCGCTACAATGATCACGCTACTACGTCACTTCGTCAGGCGGGTCTTCTCAAGGGAAGGAAAGATACCACCAACTCATAACCCTCCACCCAAGCCGAAGAAAAAGTTGTCGATTCGGGATCTACCACCAGAGTTGATGGATATGATTCAGAGCTCTTTGTCACCACTTTCACAAGTGTGTTTGGCTCTGAGCTGCAGAAAACTCTACTCGCAGTTCGAATCAATTGTGAAATCTTCTGTCTTTCGCTTTCCTTACTCGAATAGCCTGGATATACCGGTTGACCTCGAGCTTCGGACCCGGCTCCTAGCCTCGAGGATCAAGAATATTCGCGCTCTACTAAATGCTGGAAGTATTGTGCGGCTTGCTTGAAACTCCATCCCATGAAAGAATTTTATGACGTCTATCGAAACCCAAGACAACGTTATTGCCAATGGCCGGGTATCATCGTGCTGTGTCCTGATCTCAAAATTTGCCCGAAGAAAACCATACAGATCAGAGATGATCTGAACACAAGGCCTTATTCCAACAGCAGCAAGCCTGAAGCATGTGCCCAAATGGCACGAATGCTCGCTCTCCAGCCCTTTGGGAGGGATTTCATACATGCTGACTATTCTTTGTCACTGTCCGAGAAGGACGAGATATTGTTTGAATCCAAATACTTGATTAATCTGCACGATGAGATTCCTGGCAAGGATCGATGGACCATAATGCTCTGCCCCCACGTCAATGCTGATCGGTTGCTTCGCAATGTGATCGGTCCTCGCGACTTGATCTGTCGAACTTGTCACATTACCCCTTCTGTCAAGTCTTCCGACGATAAAAAAAGGTACGACATTGAATTCACACGGAGCTTCGGCGAAGTCCCACTCAGGACCTATGCACCTGGTGAACATTTTTCGGACTTTAATTGGCTTAGGTATGTACTATCCTGCCCCAACCAGAAAGACATTGTGCTTTGCATATGGCTGAGCACAAGTAGATCTGTTCTGACCTCGGACAGGAATGGTAGACCCAAACAAAGCTATTGAATTTGACCAGTGGGAATTTGCTCACCAACCTATTGTATTCAGTTGGCTAAGGCTCGAAGCTCGGGTTTGATTGCGCGTGATAGGCTTCTTGCTAGAATTTGGAAAGCCCTTTAAGGGATGAAATTCAGACAGAGTGAAGCCAATTGATATCTTGCTGTATGAGCAAAGGGGAGGCAATTCGGACAAAGTAGTATCAATTTCTTTGCTGATACAGCCTTATGGCAGCTTCGAAGGAACTAGCATAGCACATTATCCAAGAGGTATTATGAGATGCCAAGTTTCATTCAGACGTTCATTTTGTCTGTTTGTTTTCAATTCCAGTATGATGCAGAGCGATGGAATCAATGAATCTCAACTTCCACCGGCCCCGACAAATCCGGAGTCCATCCACTCGGCCGCTCGCTACCACGCACCAGAATACCGTAAGCAGCACGCTCCACCTTTTCAACACTGTTCTGCATAACCTCCTTCTTCTTAGAAAGGTCCTTATACATGAATGCGCGGTGCCGCCCCGAAACACTCAGCGCCTCGCATCGTGCACGAATAACACGAAGATCAACGAGGACACCGGCTTTGGCAGCGTCCGTAGGTGTCACCTTCCCTGAGCTCAGAGCCGTCACAGCAAATCGCATCATTTCACCCGTAAGATCGAAAATGCCCATCAAGTAATCTTCCTCCGTCACCAAGATTCCGGGCAACCGGGATGCGACTTCGGCATGGGTGATCAATGTCTCGGTTCGGAGGTAGTGGTCGAATGAGATCGCCTCGATGAACTCTTGGACACCGCCACTGATTTGGCGCTGGTAACGCCAGGACTTGATACCGATGAGGTCGGCGACAATAGAGGCAAAGTGCTTGTGGATCTGTTCGAGACGGGTGTCGTTCTCTTTTGTGATATTGGGTGGGATGGGTTGGTTTGTAGTGCGGACGCGCTGTAAAGCGAAGATTCTAGATTTTGGAAGAAAACAATTAATACGCTGTTGTTTTGACCTCGCCTTTGGGAAGGCTTACATTTTCTTGCTGAGCGCGGTGATGTCGCGACTAGCCTTGATGATGCGCTCACGGCGGTCATGATGCTCATCGAGTTCGTCACGGAAGTTCTCGAAGATTGAGAGGGTCGAACTCGCTGACTCTGTAGAGTCCATTTTGATGACAGCTTGCCCTTCCCAGGAGCGCTTTGTACCCATTGAGGAGGTTGAATGAAGGAAGTTGGAGAAAGTGGAGTTGATGTGAGAGTGGCAGAGGAATTACAGCACCGCCCGATAAGCGATAAGCGATAAGATATAGGCGATAAGGGATAAGGCATCGTCGTGACGAGAGATCAAGCAGGCAGACCTACATACAGTCATACACGCTAGCACGGAATGATAAAATGCCGTCTCCATCTCACAATTGTTGAAAGAGGACTCAGTATCCGAGCGAGGGATACCCCGCAGTAGGAAACCCAAAGTACCGTCTCAGGATAATCTGCTTATTTAGTTCGGGCGACTTTTTAGATTAGCATGGATGGACATTATCCATGAAGGAAACTTGTTCTTTACTAAAACGTGAGAGGTACGAGGTACCTAATGAGCACATGAAAGCAGCTTGTTGTTGTTTGTAGCCCTAGTAATGCTTACATGAGTCATATTCAATATCTCTCTCGTTATAGTTCTCTTCTGATCATCATGTCTAGGGAATTTTAACCACTGCTCTCCCTAGAATTGCATCCTTCGTAATCCGTTGAATGAGGTTTGGTGCCTCTGAGAAGTCAAACACCTCAATTTCAGGGGTGATGACCCCCTCAAGAGCGAGCTGTAGTAGCTCCGTCATTTGCTCCTCGGACCCCACCGATGAACCCTTGATCGTGAGTCCTATTTTGCATCAGTTACTGCAATACCAATATTCTGTCATAGACCGAAAAGCTTACCTCTTGCAGCACATACAGTGGCTGAAATAGGGAGCTCTATATCATTCCGCGGAAGACCAACGCAGATAATGTGCCCCATATTTCTCACCAAAGTTGGCGCCATCTGAAAGGCTTCCTTCGTACCAGGGACAACAATCGTCGCGTGCGCACCCTCTTCGGTAAGCTCGAGGACTCGCTTTGAGACTTTTTCGGTCTTGAAATCAATGAAGGCCTCGGCCCCAGAGGAGAGACTCAGGTCCCTCTTGTCATCACCACTGTCTACTGCAATGACCCGAAGCTTTTTGACCCGGGCAGCGAGTTGAACACCAATATGGCCAAGACCCCCACCAGATCCAGAGATAACAACCCAGTCACCGGGCTGTAGCTCGTTTTCTAGATGGGCGAGAGCACCGGCCATGGTGAGACCGGCACATAGCAGCGGCGCAGCAACCTCATCAGGCACTCCATCTGGAATCTTAGTGATGAACTGCGCATCGGCAATCGCGTATTGCTGCAAGGTACCAGGAACATGTCGACTGGTATTTAGTTGCTTGGGGCAATTCTGGAAGAAACCGCGTCGACAGACGGAACATTTGGCGCAGGCGTTGTACAACCACTTGAATCCCACGCGCTGTCCCATTAGTGATGGCGAGACATTGGGACCTGCCTTGACGACAGTTCCCACACCTTCATGGCCAATGATGGAGTTATAGACACCCCATCCAAGTACAGCGCGGACTTCCGAGTGGCTATGTGTTCATAGAACATTCGTTAGCGAGAGATGGCGTACATAGACAGTCAATAGTGCCCTACCAAATGCCTGTGCAGTTTAGCTTGATGAGAATCTCATCTGTACCTGGATCTCCGACCGGCACATTGTCGCGCAAGACAACTGTAAAGTTGTCGCCGGGGTTCTCAACCACGGCAGCTTGTTGGACCAGTGGAATGGACATTGGTGGTCACTTTTGACGCTCTCGGTGAGCCGATAATGCGAAACGGCAAATTAAAAGGAAAGTATTCACAGAACGTGTTACTAAAATTGATCAGCTGTGACCTTGAGATGATGTATGGTTCGAGAATGAAGTAAGTTGTGAATTGGCTATCGATGGCGGTTGGAGGGGCGTTCCCCACTGCCGAAAGAGCTGCCGACCCTCGGGAGAGCCCCTTGTCCTGTAGATTATTACTGACAGTATGGTTTGCCTTGCTATCAAGGAGCCTAATTGAGACTAAATGAATGAATCTGACTTGAGAATCTGAGCTGCACTCTATTTAAGATAGATGTATTGATTGTTGAGAAAGACAGGTATGCGCTTGCCAAAAAATTTCAAGATCCAGAGAGCAATTGAAGAAAGACAAGACGGGTATCATTTCTGGAATGGTATATGCCTGGATTGATCAATTCAATTGTGCCTGGCGAAAGATAGTTCAAAAGAAAATTGAAAAGACTTTAGGAGATACATTCGTATTCACCTTCTTCAAATACTGACTGACCTCTGTTCCATGACATGACCAGACTGGGATGGCGTTCATACCTTAACTAAAATAGCCTGTCATCTCTGCCACAAATTCCTCCTTGCAATCATCATCTTCCAGAATATCTTCAGTGGCATACTGAGAATCAAAGTCGGTCCAACTGCCTATGGACTTCAAAAGATTCGCTGTCGCATAAGCAATTTTTTTCGGTTAGTCGGACAGCACGCCAATACTGTTTGCGTCCATTGCCCTCAATTGAAGCCCCTGTTTCAAGAAGGAGACGAACAGTATCTATATGACCATGCTCTGCTGCGCCCTTCAAAGCAGTTCGACCATCAATGCAAGCACCCGGGGCATTCACGTTAGCCCCGAGATCGATAAGTTTGCGAGCAATCCCGATGAAACCTTGAATGGCGGCCAACTGCAATGCTGTAGCCCCGGCCTCGAAGGCCGCTTCTTGATTAACATCGGCTCCGGCTTGGAGAAGGGAATCAACAAGCTGAAGATTTCCTTTTTCGACTGCAAGCTGCAGGGCTGTTCTTCCACTGTAGGAGGTCGCTGGGCTGTTGATATTTGCACCAGCTTCCAGGAGAAGCACCACAAGGTCAAGCCGTTCTTTTTGAACGGCAATATTTAAGCATTTGGTGAGCCGCAAGGGTCGTTTACCAACGCTCCAGCCGTCAAGAGAGCTTTCACGATGTTCATATTTCCGGCCTCGACAGCCCGTACCAATATTGTGTCTGAGCGGTCACGATCTTCAACGTGAAGATTGACATCGCAGCCAAGCAGTGAGGAGGGTGTTTGTCAAGACCAAATAATAGCAGAGTTTGCGCAAGATCTAGTTTACCATTTTACAGACTAATCGTCAAGGCGCGACCTTGATCTTCACTCGTACAGGGGTATATGAGCAGATCCTGGACCATAGACTGCCCATTGTTAGATCTTGCTGCTATCTCAAGAACTGAATGAGGATGAATAGCATCTGGGATATGAGAATTCCACCAGCCAGCCTTCATGCCGCACCTTGGACCAGTTAGAATGAACGCATCTCGATTTTCCTCGATCCAATCATGTATTTCAAAGTGGTGATAAGCAATTGGCCGCCCTTGGAGATCAACCCCGGCCGCGAGTAACCGATTTACTAGTGCATGGTCCCCTTTGCTCAAAGCCATTCCTATTGCAGTAGGTGCCAAAGGCCGCCAAGAGCATAACAAGTTCCAAAATGGGAGGAAATCGACAATGTCATTCTTTCCGAGTATTCGCCAAACAAAGGCGGCGACTTCAACATCAGTGACAGATGCCCCGCGGTTGATGAAAAGCGCGAACAGGTTGAACAGTGGAGGGTCAACACAGTTTAATCAGAACTGCCTTGAGCTCTATTTGTGATTGAAAAGGGTGTCAAACTTGTTTTATTAAGCTAGGGAAACAGGCAGTATTTATGACTTTAGGTACATGGCAGAATGTCACAGGAAAAGACTGATGAGAATCCGAAATAATATGGAGGCATACGAGAGTGTTAGGAAACTAGTCGTTGCTCTTTCCAACCGATGCAGTAGTTGATAATCAACATCGTATACCATGAAGCGGTGTATCGGTGATACAGAGTTATGCATCCGATTGCACGCGCTCGCTTATTGCAGAGATATGCACACACACATGTTGACACTATATCTACGACTTTATAGCTTTCGATAGTTCTTTTCCTAGCGTGAATTTAGACTATATCCTGTTCCATACTTAAAATATACGTGATCTCCCCTTAATAACCTAGAATTAGGGTAATTTTTACTTAATCCGGATCGCCTTTACTATAGCTAATTATTTAAGCCTTATTTCCGTAGCTTTATTGATCATTACAGGAACTAAAAAGGCTTCTAATAGCGATACGACTATAGCTATAAGCGAAAGTAATACCAAAAGCACTAAGACTGTTAACTCTACTGAAACTTCGATTAATATAGCGGGGTCTATTACGATAGCCGAAAAATAGGCATTAGGAGGAGCTACTATAACCGCTACACTCTTCGCCTAGATAGCTACCGAGTATTAAAAGTATTTAACCAGTTTTATCCTATAATACATCGCGAAGAATGTGAATTAATGGATTTTGTTTCTTGCCAAGTCTTCAAAATTTCAAATCTATCAGTCTCATACTATGTATCTAGAGCGACAGCTAGCGATATATATTGTCGGCTAATTTGATCAGTGCGTAGGTTTTCTCATCGCTTACTGGGGCATGATATGACAAAGTGAGGATTACAGTCCTCTTGGTTATTTGAGAATTCATCCGGGGAATCTAGTATTCACGACCTCTATTTCGATTTCTTCTTTACATACTAAAGCTAGCGCGCCTTAAATCGATCTTGATGCTTATAAGAATGAGAATATCACCCTATTCAATCGGCAAAATACCAATCAGGTTATTTGCGTAGAAATTGCTCAATGGTATTCAAATAAGGCCCTCTGCGAGTGTATTCGCTCTCTGGTTTATGATAGTCTCTCAGATCAAATGATCTTACCAATGCTACACCGCAGGAATATCATACTTCTAGTAATACACGTAGAAGACACTGGCAGCGGCTTGGCCTTCGCTTTTGTACTGATAATCCCGAGGGAGCGTATACAGGGGAATCAGATTAAAGAGGTCCTTCGGCAACAATTCAGGGTGGTAGTATTGGAATTAATGCAAAAGACCTGCATACTTATCTTCGCCAAAAGCGCCATGTCTTTCTGCGGTATTTCTTCTGAGATTGGCATATCACAGCTGTACTACGATAGTGCCTATCCTGCTTTCTGTTCGGTCGCTTGGTCTGACTCCTTAACCATGGTATGAAACTAAGCAATTCACCATCTGTACCTCGTATCATTGATTTGCTTTGACCTTGAAGTACAGCAAGCATTTTCAAATTGTCTTTGCCTCGATGATTCCAACCAGCTGAGAAGTACTGAGCCATATGAAACGACTTTTAAGTATAGACAAGCTGCGTTTCAACAGTATACCACAACAATAAAAAGTACCAATCCATCTCAAGATTTCCTCAATGGTGATTATGCTTTCACTATGAAACCATAGATATTGTTTGACGCGTTTATATCGCCTTGACCCATAACGGTGCGATACACTCTGCTACAAGTGCCTTGCACATTAAAGAACTGGACGGTGCTAGCTCCCTGAGTTCCATACCAGCTGATCTGCGCGCCTCGCGGAATGAACACGGCTGTGCAGCCCTGCGGGGTCGATCCTGTCCATGTTTGTGATCCAGCATGAAGCTTCCAGCCGGAAGCGGCACTGAGAGTTGCAAAATAGAGGGCCCAAATTGGCAACTTCATATTCAGGGTGTGGGGCTAGACGTGAGGTTGTATGTATGAGAATAAAGTCTTTTATCCGGTAGGTTTGGCTTACAGCAGCGGGTGTTATCGATAGATTTGCCCAAGACTGTAGATAGGAAGCAGTGCAAAATAGTCTTAAGTTCTGCAAAACAATTACTCGCATCGCCAAATCGTATTTGAACCCGGAGGTCTCGGAATAATCACGTCGTCTGACGACGGCCTGTCCAAATCTAGCTCGCTCAATCACTAGATCGCAGGATATAGGATGCGATGACGAGTGCTGGTTGGAAAAACGAGGAGGTTCCAGACTCATCGAACTCTTGGAGAGCCATGGGTCCAATAGCATAACACCACAAAACCATGGTTTACCTATCACAGGGACTAAGCAGCAAAGTATTCTTTACAGGATCATTTACGGCCGATTATATTTGACTATCAAGAAAGATCATAATACTGGCGGCCAAATAACGTAATTGTGGAAAAAGCAGATCGGCAACAGACTAGGGAGGAAGGTCAGAGGGAGAGAAGGGGGGAAAGGTGAACGCGATCCTCTTATTAGGGAGCAATGGTTGGTTTGATCTATCTAATCGAGCATAGATGGGTTCCAAGACAGGAGATCAAGACGTCCAGCCAGTGATGTCATATAATAGCGGGGCTAAGAACACCTGGTGTCCTTGCTAACGTAATTCACAAGCGAGCGGATCACCTGAACCAAAATATAATCTTAAAACAAGATATCGCACCCAAAACCTATTAATTAATAATAATTTAGCGGTTTTCCCATTGATTAATCTTATGCCCAATCGTTTCACATCCACTACACCTTAGCAGAGCCCTCCTGATCCTGCTAAGTGGTCAAATCGCCCTACTTGTGCGATACTACCTTATTAGCTTCCACCGGCGATATTGGCCACTAAGCTAGCCATGGACTCTCGTCGATCGATAGGCCCCCTTTATAGCAATCTACCTAGCCCACCGAGTGCGCTCTTACAGTTTGTTTCTATACGCTACGCGTAGATCCGCGTTCTCCTGCACAAGGAGCGCACTATTATGTAGCGTATTATATAGTACCCTCTAATAATCTGATTAAGTATAGTTTTTGACGGGAAAGGCAGGCGATTCGATCGTTACTTTAATAGCTCTTTAAGTATAGAAGCTTAGTTTTCTAGCTAAATCGCTATTCTAGGCGTTTTTGGTGTGAGTTAGCTGGATCTACTACTCAGTCTGCTATTTAGTAGTTGTAAGAATATACTCAACAGGTCAGAGTGGAGGCCTGTCGAGCAGGTAGGAGAAAGGAACCAAGTCAGATTGTTCAAAGACTGTTTGTTGGGAAATGAAACGCCGCCTGCTCATGACTCTATTTATATACAGTCTTATCGCTCAGAAAACGAAGGAGAGGTAGCCTGAGAGAGAGGGGACTCGTGATGAACACAAGGCTTGTGTCACTCTATAGGGAGCCTCCCTGTAGATACTGGCTCAGGCGTTGATACGCTTGCGACCAGACTCGTCCACCGGGTTCGGCCGGCATTCGTGCCGGTGTGCTTCCCGCGGTCGGGCCATTGTTGGCCTGAGGCACCAACATGTGAATAACCTCATAACAGGGTATATCAAGACACTATACCACCTACTGTAATAGCATTGGTCATTCTCCTAGCACTAAGTGTATCTGTACAATGGGCGCAAAGAGGTCAGAAATTTTCAATGCCACTGCATTTCCTGCCCAGTAGTAAGGATTGAAAATGCTGTATATCAAGATCAAAGAAGTATTTATCCTTCACATAATGACAGAAGCATCGTCTATAATGTGTACGCATCGCTATCTTATCCTCAAATAAAATACTACGTACAGCCAACTTGCCAGACTATTGTTTTCTCGCATTACTTGCTTCCCTAAAGAGTCAATAGTGTGTGTTCCGGGATTAAGACGCAGCTTCTATAGAAAGTAGATTACGTATGCCTTATTTTATTAAGTCTAACCTGTTCTATGTAAAAAGCCTCATCAAACTGGAATGACAAAGAGCGCTTGAATAGTCAGCAGAAGCCGATTTGAAGGGCTCATGGTAGAGAGATGACCCTTAGCCGGTGATACAAGGTCCGCACGACGCAAGCCATAAAGCTCGTAATATAAACTATATAACATTAGTTTTTGAGGCTAATTTCCGAAGATTCTGTGATACCTGTTGTGTGGACAACATTAAATTATTAGAGAGAATTCTTAAAATCTGTTCCGTAAACACAGCCAGGCATAGAAACATTTAATAGCTGAAAAGGAAGATCAAAGATCTCTCATCTTACCAACCGTCTCGAAAGTTGGAAGACAGCTGCTTACACTGGGAACGCAATGCCATTGACAATAGGGTTCTTTTTATCTCCAAAAGAGCATTCTCAGTGTGGACCTAGTCGTAGATCCTGTATGACCATGTTTGTCATCTAGCAAGGGAATTCCTGTCAATTGCGACGTCGCAATCTGCGCAGTGCGAATTCCATAGCTCATGTCCACACAGCTATACCAGGGAATTTCCACGAATTGTCCCACCAAGGCGAGATGCGAAGTCTTTGGAGGTATCACCTCGGGCCGGTCCGCTACAGAGCGGACCAGTAACAGAGAGCTCATTCGAGGCATGTGTCGTGGAATTGTGGTTGTATCATCGACAGTCGAGTGGTAATTAAGATGCCCAAGTATTTCTGTGATAACTTGGGCACCGGAACAAGCTTCCATCGATTTCTGTACATAGTTGCCACTGGCTTTGGGAAACAGGGCAAAACCCCAGATGACGTGTATGTTTTCGGGCTGTTGGCCGAATACTGGCTGCATGGGTATGCATAAGCGGAGATCCCAGTTGCTTTTTGGCAACAAAATAAAGGCTCCGGCTTCTGCATGAGTTGCTATCGAAGCTAAAAACTCCCAAAAACATGTATCTGCGGTGGTGATTGTGAAGGAAGTCAAGGTGGAATCGTCCACGCGGGTGCAAAAGTTGTAGGGGTTGCCGAACGTATGGCCATGAGTAATGAGCTCTAGCCAAATTGTCCAATTTTCATCATACTCTTCGTTCAGCTCGATTGATCGAGTAGGAGGAGGGTAATTATGTGTCCCGGTCGACGAGCCCGAGACAGTAGATCCCAGCATCAGAATAACTATATCGTGTGCCCCCATATCCAATGCGACCTGGTATCCATTTTCGAGAAGATTTAATCTCGAAATTTTCTTTCGGCCGTCTCGCATGGTAGTGGTATCGATATCCCTGACTTTCGTATCAAAGTGGAAATCAACACCGAGGTTTCGAAGATAGAGGTATATAGGTAAATAAACCGATTCATACTGATAGTATCCAGTAATATCAAGGCAATTAAGAATATTCAGATGATGAATTTCTCGGAGATATTGTCGTACAGCTCTTCTGAACTCGATGGCACTGTGCCTGGGTTGGAAACCAAATCTGGAAGCGTTAGTTCAGCTCCATCAAGTCGGCAAAGTACTTACTGTGAGGTCCATATCATCCAAAAATTACTTTGGAAAAAGCTTTTGGGCATGAAGTCCTTTATGTGAATTCTTTCTAAGCTTTTCTCACTTTTAAGCATCAGCAAAGCCAATTTTATACGGCACTTGACACTCAAGTCCAGGCCTTTCAGAGGTATCAACTTTCTGCTTTCGAAATTTTGAAGGAAAAACTTTGTTCGGCAATCGCGGTTTGCAGGGATGTGATTGGCTTCATTTTTTCTGATTTCATCTAGCACTGTGGATCCGGGGGACTTTCCTGAAGGTATAGATGCAAGAAGCTCCTGTAAGGGTACCCCTACTGGAACTGGCAAACATCCTGCGAATTGGTCATATCCTTGGATGGCATCACCGCTATGGTGCAAAGTTGCTCCCATGGAAGTATGTGAATCCAATATATGCACGTTTTGAGGTAGGAAATTGGCACGCTGTACCAAGTACACTGCGGATGCCAGGGATGCAGTTCCGCTTCCGAGAATCCAGGCTGAGACCTCAGGCTGAGACGCGTTATTCTGCCCGTGTGTTTCATTCATTGTTCAGGGATAAAAAGAGATGACAGAAATTTGAGATGCTCAAGGAGTACAGATACTGCTGCTTTTGCTTGTCCAATGGAGCTGAAATCTGATCATTTTGACAAGTAACATTTAAAAAACCATCCCTAGCAATATAAGAATGCCGAAAGGACCCTCCCCTATGTGAAAGTCCAGTGTATAGCCCAGTCTGTCTGCTACTGTCATCACTCTGTAATGGATCCGCCCATGATGCTGTTGATCATTGGTGGCTAATGTGAGCGGCAAACAAACTTCGAATGTGGCGTCAATTCATAACGTCAACAGCCGCCACCCAACTGATGGTTGTGGTCCCAATAAATTTGGAGAAATGATGTCGTTATCGGAGCACCTTTGATAACCACTGAAATAGGTTTGTATGAGTCCAAGTTTAAAATGAGGAGAAGAATGATTTTAATTGGATAAAGATTGTTTGACTGTGGTAACATTTATGTGGTAAGAACCGGAGAGGAGGTGGAAGTAGCTCTATCTAAGAATTTTTCCCCGCTCTAGCAGAGTACGCCATCATCACCTGACACCCACGCGTGGGCTAGACCGCAGTCGACCAAGTCTGATTAGTTTTTGCCTTGACCAAAACGGGCTTGTCTAATATATTGGTCGCTTTATTTTCCCATATTCGAATCATCAAATCTGGCCATCACATGACGTAGGCAATATCTGTGGAAATGCAATCTAGGTGTCGGAAAAATTGTCGTGTCAAAGGTTAATCGGCTCGAGCTGGTCACATTTTTCAATCAATCAAGGTTTTCTAACAACATGGGGTTGGCGAATTCGAATTTACATATGCTATAATTTGAGGGGATATAAAAAAAACCCGCCCTGCACTGACATGTGGTGAAGCCCCCAATGCTGGGCGCAGTCGCTAGCTGGGTTACGACAATGATTATACCCCTTGGTTCATATTTTCCTATTCAGTTGACAGCTCTCAGACTGAAAACAGACACTGTCCATGAATTTGTTGTTCCAGAAACCGTGGAGTAGCTGTCAAACTTGAACTGGCCCCGGCCATGGCTTGTTGAAGGGCTAGACTCGCGCGTCAAAAAACATCTCCCCCCCTCGACCTGGCCTTCTCTTGAGAAGGCAACAGCTGCGTAGAAACTAGCCATATGAGGCACTTACTGATGACAAGGCAGCTAGGGCATCTAAGAGGCAATTTGGCAAGTGGAGCTAACTTTCGAGATGTACAGTAGCAATCTCAGGGCAGAATCATCCAGCGTAATACAAAGCTGACGGGAGATCAGTGCGTAATCGACGAGTGCAGCAACTGTGAACTCTCACCAAATGTAATCCTTCAAACATAGACCTCAATAATGATGATAATTTTGTTACCACCAAAGCGAAAAGGTTAGCGCATAACAGACGGCCGCTTCAACTACCTCCAACATGAGTCGACCAGTGGGCAGTATGGATCGTCGCCCTCCACTAGTGCGAACATGTAACTGCGACTGCGATAGCTTATAGGTCGGATAGTAAGGACCAGGGTCAGAGCTGTTCGTTGTGCCATTCCAGCAATATTGCTGGAAACATGCCGTGCAGCTCTCTGGGACAGCGGTGTTGGTGCGCTCCAGACTCCGACTCAAGATCGCACAGCCCAAGCACATAGGCCAGTTGGGGTCTGTCGTTGCGTTGCCTAGTGTAGCGACGTCATAACCGTTCTCGATGATGGAATCGCGCTCGGTAGTGTTATATTGCAGGTCGAATGTGGATACATTAGACTGGTAGCTGTACGGCGCGTTTGGGATGTAGACGACCAGCGGCGCGGAGCCGCTGACGTTGGAGCTGTTGCAGCCGAAGAACGTCGGGCGGTTATTTAGTCCCAGGTTGATAAAAGTGTTCTGGTCCGGCACGGACGGGAAGGCAAGTCCACTTTGCTGGCCCAGTGGGCTCAAGCTCCGCTGGTATGTGGCAACCATTGCGGTGCCATTAGGCCACCGTGTACTAGTATCGGCGGACGAGTCAAGTGCAATAATCACGTCCACTTTGCGCTGTGGCTGCAAGAGAGGCTCTAGAGGGATATTTTGAAGATCCTCTCCCCCGTCTACTAGGGTCAAGATGGTAGATTTGGCGTATTCAGACTGGTTGGTGTACAGATAGAACGGGTTTGGCTCATACACAGCGATATCTAGGTTGGCCGCTCCGAGTGAACGCAGTATCTGATTGACCGAATTTTTCACTATCTGAGGTGCTTGAGTGTTGTTCACCTGCAGGAATGCTTGGTTGAAGAGCGATGACGATGTCCCCATAACAAAACCAGCATTGTCGAAACCACGAACGCACTGTTGGCTCGCCGGAAGTGCCCCATTGGAGAAATTTGACCCGAGAAAATCTAAGGGCACCATTGCCTGTAGGGGTGGATTAAAGGTTCCGAACTCCCATGGGTTGAATTCAAAAACGGTCGTATTAGCAGGGATGATAATTTGCCCTGGAGCTCTTCCGTCCGCTACCACAATGGGCATTGGCATACCTCCACTCTGGAAGTTCGGGCTTAGAGCAATAGAGGACCACGTGTAGCTGACACCACCTTCGGTAGCATTGATGAGTTGGTAGGCGACCGCGCGGCCCCTTGTTTGTGGAATTAGGACCAATGTTCTTGGAGTGTAGATAACACAAAGGTGATTCCGTTCTTACCAGTAGTCCGTGATGGAAGTGTTGTACCCAGCATCAGTCTTTCCGGTCACTGCATCCTGCATCTGCGAATAGTAGTCGGATGTTCTGATGGCAAAGGTCGCACTGTCTTTTGGGCCAACAAAGATGGAATCTTGGAACAGCCAAACCGTTCCGCTATCTCGCAGGGATGTGACATCCGTAAAATTGTTAATGTAGATGGATCCTACGAGCCAACTACCCCCGCTGAGCCCTGAGAGGTATGTGGCTGACTGTAGGACACCTCCTAGATGACCCGGAAGACTGGAGTTGACAGTTCGAGAGTCAAAGGCCTGCAGGCCACCTCCACCGTTCATTAGTGCTCGGTAACCGCCACCGGACGCGGCTATACCAATATTGGGGAGTGCAGATGCGTTAGCAGAGTTTTTCTCGATATACAAAGATGCATTTAGGGAGCCGAGGTCCAGTCGTCCTAGGAAATCGATCATCGCATCCACCGTCATGTTTCGTCGTCGACCCAGCCACGAAGTTTCGTTTGTCGATATTGTTGACCCATTGCGGACAGCTGGACTTCTTGTGGGACATACTTCGCCTTCGGGCGTGTATGCATCAGGCGCGTTAGGGAGTGCTCGTCTGTAAAGAAATGGAGACCTCAGGATGGGTGAGTTTCTTTGAGGACTTGCAGATACCCCACGCAGGTTATACCTTTGATTTGGAGTACTATTAGTGTCCAGGAGGCTGTACACCCCAAGCCATGTAGCTATCAAGTGGAGCAGTGCAAGAACGTTCAAAAGATTCATGACGATAGCCGGGTTACGAGATTTAATTTTTGCGCTGCAATACGACACCTGTACCAGGAAAACTCGCTTTTTTTATGCATATCTTTCAAATTCCGGCCTCATGAAGTATTGGACGATAGATATGTCTAGATCGACGGAGAATACTACCCGTTGCGGATCGGAGTTATTTTTGGATGGTTCTGGTACATCATGACGATCAAATGTGGGAAAGCTAGAACCAGCCCCAGGGACGGAGGACCGACTATCCCCACGATGCCACAACTGGAACATACCACATGATTTATTTAAAGTCACAAGACTCTTCTTGAATGACGAGGCAGTACCATATTGAGGACAGCAGACAGGGGCCTTGGGGGACTCATCTCTTTGGCTCGGCCTCAAGCGAATGGGACCATGGGTGGCCTGGGTAAGAATGCTCACGCGGTTGTTACATTTCAACACCCCCATCTCCAGACTTCTCACCCATATCACCCACACCCACCCTAAGAACGATTCCAATACCGTTATAAAATGTCGCATTGAGTATTAGCGGTAAATTGTATATGGCTTAAGTACGGCTAAGCGGACCAGAAGCTATGTTCTCTACACCTTATGGTTGTATGCAATATAACATTAAAAACATAGACCTTTGATCAATCATGAATATCCAGATCAGTCATCGGTTTCAATTGAACGTTATGTGATCTATATTTTCCTATTTATTCTAATACTTGTAGGTAAAGCTATGTAACGTACACAGGGTTCCCAAGAGGTCACAAAGTTAGTGAGCGATTGTCGGGGTTTGTCGCCTATTTCTCTAGGTTGGCTAGAGCTTCTTTGGTAACCGCTTTAGTACTGAAAGGTCGCTAAGCCCGAGATAAAAGTAATCCCGTGCTAGTGGACTATTCCTACATTTGAACGTCGTGTCGTGAAAATTCTTTAGGAAAGTCCCCTAATATCAACAAGTGGACTACCGCCTTATTAGGTGTAGGGTAAGGCTTTACGGTACATAGATTTTCTTGTAGAACGTACGTAATTATAGTATCTAGTGGAAAACGCGAACCGTTGTTTCTAGTACAAAACTAGTTAGCCGGTAGTTAGATAAGTCCGGATATAAAAGCACTAACATTTTTTTTGCCTGCTTCCTTACTATAGCGTATAAGGAAGCTAGGGCCGAAGAAATAGACACACTACTACTAAACTTAAAAATTTTCTTTCTGTTATAGAATAACTTATAAAGCTTTCTTCTCTCTATTAATCCTAGGCTGCTTAACTATATAGGTTACTAATAGCGTTGCGTTTAGAACAGTCTCTAAGGGTTAGAGATCCCGCTAGACAACCAAGAAGTCTTGAACCTGGTAAAACTACTACGCCACGGGCTATTTACTTAATGGCTTGACCTATGAGAAGGTGGAAAGCCGAGCAACGCAAATGGAAGGCCCAATAAGTTGAGTGTAATGTCACCCCGGTGGCGGAATCAAAGACTAAAGAACTCAACAAAAGCGGATTGAAAGATGAGTGGAAAGGCGATTCATGCTTCGTAGTCATAATGTAAACAAGCAGCTACCCAAATTGTCCATAGGCCTTGAGAATGCCAAATTGAAGAATCCCAATCAAATACGAAAGTTCGGGTTGAGGGATTTGTAAAGACAACGATGGAATTTACTTTACTACTTTAAACGTGTGTATGACCTGCTTTGGACAATTTGTGAAATTCACACAACATTGGTCTATAAACATGCACTAAAGAATCATCGCATTTTGGTATGGCAAATTCATGCGATTTTGGATGAGCACAAACTAAGTGGAATATTCAAATATTTTCACTGGAGCAATGCGACCGATTCCTGGCCTAGGAACCTGTACTTCAGAGGCCGGTCACCCAATCCGGTAACATCCACAGTCTGTTCATCACCTGGAACAAGATCGATAGCGTTGTCGCTCAGTCGGACCCCCTCTTGTTCCTCGATGACGAGACACTTAACCGGCTTGCGCGTGTTAAGGACCAGGGTTGCCTGTCCGGAAGATTCACGCTTTAATTGCACGTCAAGACCTCGGTCAGATAGATCGAGGTACTTGAAGGGTTGCGGCCAGTCAACGTCTCGTGCGACGACCTTGTGGTCAACCCACAAACGGGCCGCAAGGACATGTGGCTCGGGCTCGGCGATGTGATCAATCAAACCGTCGGTGATGATGTTGGTAGTGCCGTTGGCGATGATCGTGATATCTTCACGCACGATCGGTGTCCGAATATCCCTGCCAGTGTTGACGGATAGGAATCGCAGCTCAACGCTGCCCTGGACGGTGTCTGGCTTGTTGCTGGAGATCCAAAGCTCGTACTTGCTGGTACGTGGTGGCTGGGCGTGAGCGACGCTCCAATCATGGTGCTCTCGGCGGACACCCACGGCAATGGGGTTTAGAACTCGCTTGACGGCATAGTAGGCGGGTTTGGGGTTCAGGAAGTAATCGACGATGGCCCAGGAGATAGTGGGCCAGCAGTCGTTCAGCTGCCACAGGAGGGCTCCACCACAATGTCTCTCATCGCCCCATTGGCGGCGCCAGCCTCTGTAGCCGAACATCATGGTCTCAGCTTGGACGACTTGAGTCAAGTAGATGTAAGTCTGCGCATGTTAGTTTTGAATGTCACTCTTTCGCATGGGGTAGGTCATACCTCGAGATCAGTAGCTGTCCGCAGGTTCTCCACCAGGTATGTAGCCAGCCGCCTCTCGTGTCCATCGGCCTTGTTGTGGAAGTCAATGACGTGAGATTGGGGGAACAGGTCCTTGGGGTCTTCGACGAAGTGTTCAATGGTCGACAGGTGCGGGAAAGCTTCCATGCCAAACTCGCTGTTGAACCGGCCACCGAGAGTATCAAAGATTTGATACTTCTCTTGTGTACCGTGCCAAACTATACTTCTGTTAGCATGGGAATGACCATTGGGGTTGTTTGTAGGACTCACCATTCCACTGGTGCATATCACCAACGGTAGGATCGAATGACTTCTTTCCATCACCCCAAGGGCTGCCAGGGTGATAGAAGGTGCTCGGCGAGTGCTCAGCCACAACTTCTGGGAGCAGCTTCTCGTAGATGTAACGAGCAGGGAAATCCGTCTTGAGCCAGCTCTCTGGATCCTTGTCCTCGTAATTGTAGGTCAAACCCTCTGACTCTTGCACCTGATAGTCCTCGTTGTTGCCGACCCAGATGACGATTGAAGGATGGTGTCGCAACCGCTGGACGTTGTAGATTGTCTCTTGACGGATCGACTCGAGTATCGTAGGCCATGTTGGGTAATTGCCACAGCCAAACATGAAGTCCTGCCATACCAGCACGCCGAGCTCGTCACAGGCCTCGTAGAATGCATTGTCCTCATAGATACCGCCACCCCAGACACTTAAAACATTAGCTGAAATGATTGTCTCAATGAATTGGATGTTGCATACCGAATCATGAGTTGTCGACCCTCGACCATCAACTGAATCCATTTACGGTATCGCTCCGCAGTGATGTTGGTCAACAGACTGTCCGCTGGAATCCAGCATGAACCACCACAGAAGACATCCATGCCATTGACTCGGAAGAAGAAAGATTTTCCGTGCTTGTCGGGCTGCTGAATGACCTCGGCGGTTCTGATTCCGAACTTCTTGGATTTCTCGACAACTGGTGCGTCGCCGCGGTGTAGTGACACCGAGACGTCATATAGTGTCTGTTCTCCATATCCATGAGGCCACCAAAGCTCTGGGCGGTTAACACGGAAGGTCACCTCTGATTGATTCTCAGATACAGGGATATCCTGGGTCGCAATCTCTTTTCCCTTCAGGCTAAGACTGAAGCGAGCCGTGTATTCACCACCAGCAACCGTGTCAAACTTAGCAGTAGCAGTCACCTCGGCCGACTGATGGTCTGCAGCCAGCTGCGTTTGGGGCCAGAGGTCGACAACCCGAGCTGTATACACTTCCAGGGTCACTGGACGCCAGATACCGGCGGTCATCAGCACTGGACCCCAGTCCCAACCCCAGTGATACTGTGCCTTGCGTACTGCCAGACGTGCCTGATCTCCGTTGAATCCAACCCATTTGTGGTTTGGGTCTTGGGCTCGCAGCTCCCGAGCCTTGAGCATAGCACAGTCGAATTCGATCTCGAGCGTGTGATCACCTTCTGCTTCCAATGCCTTGGTCACGTTGACGCGATGACCCAAGAACATGTTATCACTGGTCAGGATGACTTCACCGTCCAGCTTAACCGTAGCGAAGGTATCCAGACCATCAAAGACCAAGTCCACTGCGGAACCCTCGGGCACGTGTGGTCGTTGGAATGTATTGCGGTATACCCAAGACTTCTCATTGGCCCAACGAGCTTTCAGCTCATTGAATCCGATGAATGGATCCTCCAGCCTGTAAGAGACAGGTTGCAATCGTCAAATTGAGTTCTACAAGACAAGAATGGAAAGAATGGAAGCTCCTACTTGTTGTTGGCAATGAGATCTTGCTGCACCACTGACGGCACCACCGATACTGGCATCCACTCGTCGGCATCGCGATCGCGGAAACTCCAACCTGTGGAGAGTGACTGACGGCTGAATTCCATCATGACTTCAAGCGTCTTTGATCATGAATTTTATTGAATATTGAAGCTATTAATGGACTGGGGGAGACGGAGCTATTTAGAAGCAGCTGCGACGGGCTTATCGATAAGAAACCCCCCACGAGCCTTCCTGTTTGGGAACGGAGGCCCCGGGCACATGACTTTCCTGCCTTGGGGTTCGGGTGTCAACATTCCCTGATCAGGTGGTCGCGCTGTTCTCGAGTCTCACAATCTTTCCTCTTTGGTCGTTTCTGTGGGGAGGAAGTGGAGGTGGAATTATCAAACTCCGGTGGTACTACTACTGTAGGACTCATGTGTGCTGTCCCCCTCAGAAGCAGACGGAGAATGTTGACTCAAGTTGGCTCAAAGGGGACATCTGACACCCCCTGTCAGACACCCTTTCTTGGTCACGGAGTCATCTCCGTCGAGCTGCTGGCCTCAACCCCAAAGTTTCTCAGGGTCAACAGCGCCACCCTCCCATCCACACCCCCCAGGCATTGCCGGGCCGAATTTCCTCGACTTTGAACTTTATCACTCACTGATCCCCCCTCGGATTGTGACTATGATTTGACTCTGGAGTTCAGGGAATTTCGCTTCGACAGTCTACACGATCCAGCCAATTTGCATTTCGTCTTTAATCTGCTGAAACCCACTAGCCTGGGAACCGACAACACGCTAGTCCATTTGCGTGCAATGAACCCCCTCTAGCCGAGCCAATGATTGAGTCTTCTCCCCCAGAATTCGGGAAGCTAACAGCCCTTCCATACTTCGGCTCTAAAGGACACATGCCATCTATTTGCCTACCAGGCTTGGCATTCGGTGCACCCTGTGCATTTCCCCCGTGCTTCCCTCCAGGGGTTCATGAGATACATCATGTACAATCCATGCATCCATGTCTTGCGGGGTATTCGAATGGTTTCTTTCTCCACGTTTTCGACGTCACTTGTGCTGCGGAGGAAGTATCCATACATGCCGTGCAGGCCGGCATTGGGAGGTTGGGCTCGATGGGAATGCCGTCCTGAATCCTCCCCTCATCCTCCTCGGGCACTTGACTCAAAGTGGATATCGCGCCCGGAAGAATAGAGTCTCGGCATCGGTGTGGTGCGCTCTCGGTGGCAATTGGTCGGTCATGATTTGAACACGCCTCCCCCAGGTAGTCCTATTTGTCCCCGCCTGATCAAAACGCGCCTGGAACAACGTTGAGAGAGGGGCCCCGTCTTTTTTCAGTGCCGATTCCGCCTCGTTTGGCCCTGGCGTCAGCCCATGGAAATGGAAGGAAGAGGCTCACGAATTACCGGTGAGAAACTAGAAAAACAAATCATGGGGAAATTGCACTATGGCGTCTCGGTACCCTTCTCTGATTCATGCATAGGCTTGCAGGATGGAAATCATCACTTTCATAATCTCCTGATAAACTCCGGGCCAAAGGGATGCCGGGCGCCTCGCAAGTGTTTTAGACTCCAATATCAAAGAGGAGGAGGTGCCCTGGATCGGCAAGACTTGCGAGTCGTGGCCCTCTTGACCCTCTTCCCCAGACGATCATCTGGTCTACTGCAGGGCTCATTTCTCCATCCGTACACATATGATTTCTGCTCGACTTCTACTTCCAGCTAACTCCTCCAGTCTGGGGGAAATTTGCCCCTCACTAAACTCCCGGAGGGCCTAAAAAAAACCATGCCAAAGGACTCCGGCGCATGGTGAACAGACGTGTGGCGTCTGAGGAGCATGCAGCCTCCGTAATCATTTGCCTCTTTAATCTCGCTCTCGCATCCCTGGTCAGCCTGGCGCGTGGCACCGGTCAGACCTGTAGAACTGCCACCAAATGGCAAATGCACCCCAGGCACCTCATTGATATCCTGGTCCTCTATGTCGGTACTCAATGGATGATGACGAGTGTGGACGATGGGAATTTCGATCCGACCTTACAAAAGAAAAGCAGGGATATGGCCTCTAGAATCTACCATGCGTACAATGAGAAGTACACCATCCTACCTCCGCAGTTAGATCCACGCTAGCGCTGTTAATCCCGCACATCACCACTCACCGAGCGTGTCCCTGGCGCATACCCAATAAGCGAGGCCGTATCCGGGGACCCCGGAGTCGCTCTCAGGGCAGTGTCAGCGCGTCCAATGTCCCATAATCAAAACCAAAAGATGAACAAAGGGCTTCATTTTTCCCTGAAAATGCGGGGGGTGGATTTTAGGCGGATCAGGCTATTTTATGGTTGACTATCTCGCTTCCGTCTTAGCTGCCCGTTCGCCGCGCTCTTAGTCCACCGAGGGCCCTCTTTTCTGGCCCTTTTTTCCTTCTTGAACTCGACTTCATCTTTCTCACTTACTATTTCCCCACATCGGAATACATTTTCTCTTTGTTCACAAGAGACTTTGTGAGAAATTACTGTCAACTGTGATCGAAATATACTACACCAGATCACTCAAACCTTCTATGTCCAGCACATCTATAACCCGATTACTTCATTTCATTGAATAACCCCGGAATCATACGACTATCTCCGTCTACCGATTCTGCCTGATCATTCAAATCGCAGAGAAAACCCCCAAATTATGTGACTCTCGACGACAACGCCTGCGTGAATCAGTGCAGTCATCATGTTTCACACCTTTGAGGGGTTCGAAAACCCGACAGCGGCCACTCCTGCCCGCACCACTCGTCCTCCCAATCCCGAACGTCGGGATTCGGTAAGCCGCCGAGTCACAACTCTCCGTGCTTGTACTTCATGTCGACATCGCAAGATTAAATGCGATGGTGAGAAACCATGCGAAGCATGTCGGTGGTACAAGAAAGCCGATCAATGTCATTACTCGGATCCGCGTCCATCTAGAAGGTATGTAAATCCTGGTTATTTTGTGACTCGGGATCACGAGCTAACTCGAGGATATAGACATGTTGAGAAACTGTCTACCACCCTTGATGAATATCGAGGTATCCTCGGGAAGTTATTTCCCAATCTTGCGCCTGAGAATTTAGTCAACCTACCGCGCGAGAAGCTGCTTGAGCTCGTGGTTGGATCCTCATCCGTATCATCACTCCCGCAGGCTCCCGGGGCGCAACAAGCACCGCATCCCGCCTCGCCCGCCACTTCAGCTTCGGTAGAAGCGCATGTCTCGCCCTTGTCGAATGAAGATGACAATCTCGAGTCTCTCCAGAGTATGCCCGAGGAAGTCGACGACAGTCGTCCAAACATCGCCGATTTGGTCGAGGGCGTCTCTGATGATGTCAATGCGCTGTCTCTTTCAGCGCGACAGCCATCCTCTTATTTGGGTGTTTCATCTATCCAAGCCGTACTCAAGGTCATTGTCTGGCTGGACCCAGGGTGTGCCACCTACTTCTCTCGAACTCCCCCCACTCATCCACGCGATCTAGAATACGATATGCCATCGGAGTGGAATCATGGTGAAGGATCCTTGCAAGGTCAGCATTGTATCCCGCCGACTGAAATGCAGATGTTGGATGCGTATTTCTTGCATTTCCAGGCTTTTGCTCCTTTGATTGATGAGCAGATGTTCCGCGAAACCTACATGATGGGTCATCGGAAGGATGACCACTGGCTCGCGCTGTTGAATATTGTCCTCGCGCTGGGCAGTGTTGCTGCCTCAAAGCCAGATGACCAGACGCATCAAACATATTTCTTGCGATGCAAGAGCCATCTCAGTCTGAGCTCACTTGGAAGCTCCCATTTGGAGACCATCCAAGCACTGGGCTTAATGGGTGGTTGGTATTGCCACTACATCAGTCAGCCAAATCTGGCCTATTCTCTCATGGGCGCAGCCCTGCGGATGGCAGCTGGGCTGGGTCTACATAAAGAATTTGCCGAAAGCCGGCAAGTGCCGAGCCCGAGCAAGCTTGCCTCGATGGATCTCAAGCGCCGGGTCTGGTGGTCTCTCTTCTGCATGGATACTTGGGGAGGCATGACACTGGGTCGGCCAAGTATGGGTCGTTTTGGACCCAATATCACAGTGCGACCTCCACACTGTCGCGATAAGGTGCGTACATGAATTGACTCCCTATCCTTCTGGTTCAAAATCCCCCTCTAACACACAAGTCACAGGACAACGTCCTCGAGATGCTCCCATTGGTGGAAAATATCCGATTCGCCAAAATCGCAACCCAAGTCCAAGAGTCGCTCGCCGCGGCGCCACTCGTTAAACACCAGGAGATGGCCCATGCTGACGCCCAACTACTCGACTGGTGGGAAAACCTCCCGCCCGTTCTCAAAGACCACGAATCCTGCTCGGAATCCATCCGAACCGTCCGGACGGTGATGAGATGGCGATACTACAATCAGCGCATGCTCCTCTTCCGTCCCACGCTGCTGAGTTACGCGATGCGACGCGTTCCATATATCGCCCTGAGAGCGGAGGAGCGAACCGCGATCGAAAAATGTCGCGAGGTCGCCGAACAATCCATCCAGAACATCGCCATCACAGCACAGCTCAACCAGCTCTGTGGCTGGAATGCAGTCTGGTGGACCTTCCAAGCATCCCTCGTCCCGCTAGTGGGCCTATTCCTCAACGACCCCACAGCCGACGATCCTCGCGCCTCCATCGAATCCTGCCAAGCGCAGGTTGAAATGGCGCTGGCCACTCTCGCGCGAATGCAGACATTCGGCCACACGGCGAAGCGCTCGCTAGACGCTATCGCCCGTATCTACGAAGCTAGCAAGCGCGGACAAGATATCGCTACTTCTAGCAGTGCTGGGTCTGTCCAGTCGAACATGTTCCCCGCCAGTCGAGATACGAGTATGATGTTCTCGCCGCCTGAACCCGCCCGTATGGGCATGACGCTCGGCGAGAATGGTCTTGCGGATCCTCTCGCCACGCCTTTTGTCGATGACTCCGGCCAGTATCTCTGGGAATATCTCAGTTGGAGTGATCAGAGTATGTGGCCGGGTCTTTCGGATGTTGATACTCGCAGTGAGGCTATGGCGTTGCTCACACCTGATCACGAGAAAGGTCCGAAGTTCGGGTCACATCCGTACTTTGAGCCTATCCCGGATTCTTATTTTGTCAATCCGCCGGTCTATTATTGATTGATGGATTGGATGGATTGGATGGATGTTTGATGTGATGCTTTCTTTGGGATTTACTGATGAAGCATTGTGTATTGTTGATTCGTTCATGTATGGTTATTTTTAGCGGATACGAGGCTACGCGGGAAGTTTTATGTTTTTGACGTTTTAGTTTGAGAGCTAGTGTAAATATATCCCCTTCTATGAAAGCAACAATGTTTTTGAATGCCATTGAATACTTCTCCCTGAAACTCACTTCATTACCTGCTATAACAACTTCCAATAACTCGTACCTCACATTTGACGTTTTGCTTTCATGTTTCCGGCTGTTTATCTCCGTGGAAATCGTCTTCAGTCGCGACTCTGAGAAAAGACGATCTATTCCCAATCTGGAAATCGAACTGGCGTGCTGACTCAGCCGATCTTTCGTGGCGTTTGGCTGGGATCGAATTCTGTAAACATCTCAGGGAACTCGACGAGCAGCATGGCCAGTTGAGCCAATCGGGTCCTAAATACATCATTTTATTTATTGGCCAAGGTGGTGATCTCACTCCGCTAGCTTTGAGGAGTGTCGTTGGTGAAAAGGAGGTTCTCTGCTCCCCCATCGGATCAACACCCAATAGGGAGCTCCCGGACTCCCTCCCGGTCGTCAACCCTGAATATTTCTGCTCGCCAGGGTCTGGCAATTGTTTCATCAAGATGGGGCTGTTTGATTCTGTTCCACGTGTTTTGCTGGCTGCCACGGCGCTACGCTTGATTCTGCTGGTCTATGGTGGCTGGCAAGATGCCAATTCTGCGGTGAAATACACCGATATCGATTATATGGTGTTCACGGATGCTTCGCGCTATGTCGCCAAGGGTCAACCACCTTATGCGCGCGACACTTATCGCTACACACCCCTGCTGGCGTGGATGCTTCTCCCGACTGCATGGGAGGGAAGCGGACCTCTGGCTTCCGTGGCCTTTGCTTTCGGCAAGATCCTCTTTGCTTTGGCTGATGTTGTTGCCGGGTGGCTCGTCATTCAGTTACTATGTCGGTGCTACCAGTTCCCAACTGAGCGGGCGCTGCGTTACGTGTCCGCTATTTGGCTATGGAATCCGATGGTGGCCAACATCAGTACCCGTGGAAGCTCGGAGGGTCTGCTGGGCGTCCTGGTCGCGGCTTTACTCTGGGCCACTTTGACTCGGAGGGCTGCTCTTGCCGGTGCAATTTTAGGATTAGCGGTCCATTTCAAGATTTATCCCTTCATCTACGGAGTTTCGATCCTTTGGTGGTGGGATGCCCAGCGTGACGGTGCTGCCCCTGCTAAGAGCTCCAGCCCGCTTTCAAGGGTACTCGGTTTTATCACCTCATCGCGTGTGATCCTCACCGTTTCGGCGCTTATCACTTTTGTCGTCTTGAATGCTGTCATGTACGTCCAGCATGGCATGCCATTCTTGCATCACACCTTCTTCCATCACCTCACGCGGATTGATCACCGTCACAATTTCTCTCCTTACAGTACACTGCTGTATCTCGCTTCTGCGGGTGGAGCAAGCTATCGATTTGAAACGCTTGCTTTCCTTCCCCAGCTCCTGCTTGCGGTCGTTGCTATCCCGTTGGTGTTGGCGAAGAGGACCCTGGCAACGGCTATGCTTGCACAGACATTTGCTTTTGTTACGTTTAACAAAGTCTGCACTAGCCAGGTACGATTCACAGCCTGTTATTGATTGATATGAGCTAACTTGAGAAACAGTATTTCATCTGGTACCTTATCCTTCTTCCATTCTACCTACCATCATCGTCTCTTATCCGCAAGCCAAGGTTGGGCATTGCGGCAGCCATTTTCTGGGTTCTCGGCCAGGTATGTTCTCTTTCAAAAAGATCACTTTTTCTGAAATTCTATCCTAATTTGTGCATGACAGGCACTTTGGCTTTCTCAGGGGTACAATCTGGAATTCCTTGGCTTATCTGCATTTGTGCCTGGCCTCTTTCTATCCTCACTTTTCTTCTTCGGTGTCAATGTCTGGATTCTTGGCATTATCGTCCGCGATGGAGGTAATGCCGAAGATGCGGAGACTGATCTGAAGGCAGTGCAATGAAAGAAGTTCTGGGTGGATTTGTACATAGCTCCTTCATCAAAATGCATTCCCTTGCTATGGTAGTGATGTCAACAAGCGATGAAATCCACCGCCACTATGCGACCACCGCGGAGGGTCGTGTAGTGGATCTCCCGAGTGTACTAAAAATATCTACCACTAAGCCCCAGGGCCTGGTAAAAGGCTAGTAGAATAAGCATGTCTCAATATAGACCTGTGAGACAGATATTTGCGAGTGTTGTCTGCTCACCATCTGAGGCTTCTTTTGAATCGTCTCTCTAGATTTGAACACAGAGCCTCACTATGAAAGCAGAAATCTTATCGACATACGGAGTAGGTGTTACGGCAATGAAAATGCAAGATTAGAATAACATGTAAAACAGAACTGGCAAATATTTGACATGGTCTCATTCTCCACCCCAGATATGGTACATTTGAAAACAAACTCAACATCAAACCACAGACGTCACCGCGCCTTTGGGATATGGTATCCTCCTCCAGAGTCATAGCCTACTGAACCTAGTAAACTACGGGTTCACACTGGGGTTCTTCTTCCGAAGTCTATGAGAATAATATATTAGTAAAACTCTCTTATCCTTGTGGCGTCTCTGCCAGACGTACCGAGGCAACTGCACAACATGAGGCCTGTTTGCCCTCAATTTCACATGAGCCTTTAAAGCTCTCTGAGTCGCTGGCTGGTCCACTGAGTAGGTTGCATTCCATTGCTGCTCCAGAGAGTTCAACGGAGCAGCATTGTGGGTTGCGATATAATTCATTCTGGCAAAGATCATTACCGCGTTGTCGAAGGAAATTCGTTGTGACGCGAAGACTGCCGCAGAAGTGAGGAGAACGACGTAGAGTATGTTGAGCATGATTATAGGCCAAGATTTGAGAGTGGGATGTGAAAAAAGGGTAGAGACGGAATTTGACGAGTTTCTTTTTCTCCTGTGATGTTGTATAGTGTCCAAACTGTGCAGAGGAATCAGCGGCTTAAATACATGCGACTACAGTAGAGCCTGACCACCGCTCAATGCTTCAATATTGTCTAAGCCTAAATCTTACACGAGTCTTGCATATCAATATGTACCTCCGCCGATCAGTCGTACAGTTTCCTGCCAATCTGATTCATATCGCGATCTGATGTAAACTGGTGGCACTTAGTCCAATACGAGTAAGGAGTGTGGGTCACAGGAACGGGCCATGCTCAATTATGTAGTTCAGTGAGTAGTGACTGCCATTTGAACTAGTGCCCGTAGATCACCAGAATTTTGATAACACACTTTCTATGGTGGACCGTAGATAATCCACAGTACGGGGTATATCTTTTAACTTTCATTTTCCTCAGTCCACTGATTGATTACTTCTTGACCTCACTCGGCTTTGTCAACTTCAAGTCTCTCGAAGACCTGTACGGGCGACAATATCCGCACGGGAAGGACTAAATCACAATTTCCGGGAATGACAAAATTAATACAATTGCTTAAATATGGAAAGGCATGCCTCAGCGGCAAAAGGTTCCTCTCGTGGGTAGCTGCTAGGATTTGCCTTTTGACACTAGAAAGAGCCTATCAACTATCGGCTCCATGTGGATGGTTGCAACTAATGTGAGGATCAGTGGCTTCCGCTTCATCATACCATAACACTACAGTGTTGAGAACGGTACGTGGCGCTCCAAGTAAGATTATAATTGTCATAATGCTGCTTAGCGTGGAAATTCAAAGTAAATATTTGTGAGCGAGTGAGTCATGACACACACCGAAGCTGTCGGCAGTAAGAGCCGTTTATGTGTTGAACGCAGTATATAATCCCGGTTGATTTGACTTCTGCACTCAGGTCCTCCTAACCGGAAGGAGCTCGGGATCAATCAATAGAACTTGACCATTGGGACCAGATTGGAGAAGTTAACCGCAAACCCAATCTCCAGGGCCTTCGCTACATCAAGAACATAACGTCGAATCTGATAAGCGCAGGCTTAATTGAGTGATTATCGTGTCATATTAACAACCGTCATTCAACGCTGGAAATTGGGCTACAATTCAGAAGAATGTCCCAGTCACTTCATGAGCCTTGTTCTGAGAGAAGCGAAAGAACATAGCCATCATGAAGACCATAGCACTGCCACAGCAGGCGAGGCAAGGCGCACTGCTTTCCGCCCCCGCACTCAGCCGCACTTAGCCCGTCAGATCGCCAGCTTTAGCTCAATCATCTTTAAAACCCGAATCCCCCATTTGAAGGGGCAACTTTTCTTTGAACATCATGTAATAATGGTTGATCCGGTATCTATTGTCACGCTCTGCGAGCTGTGTTTGAAGTAAGCCGTGCCCGAGCATCGGCAAGACTACCCCCTACCAGACAGGGAAACTGACCAGATGACCATAACAGGACAGGGAAGAAGCTATGGGACCTCTGTTCCTCGTTCAGGCATGCCAGGGGCGATATCGCCAAGCAAATCCTTCGAGTGAAGAATTACTGGATGCGTGCGAATTTGCAACTTGAAATTATCAAACATATCGTACACGAGTTACGGAAGGACCACCGGAAGATTATCTACGAGACCATCAATATGCTTAATAACAGTTTGACGGCTGCGGAGATGAATATCGAATCTACCATGAAGAAAAAAGAGTGCGATGGGGTAGAGGCACAAGTTAGTCGCTTCAAGTATATGCTGGCCCGACAAAGTATCGACAAGTCAGTCGACGAGCTCGAGCGATGGCACCATATGTTTGATCCATCCTGGTACTTGGCGATCAGTCGAGCAACATCTGGAGTCGAGAGTGAGCTATTCAAGTGGAAGGTCTCCGAGATTGAGGATTGCCGGGTCGCTATTTCCTCGGCTGAAACACTCAGGTCAGCATTGAGGATCGCGTCAAACGCAGAGGGGCCCAGAGAAAGAGTCCTTCTTCCAGAAGCGTTCCTCGAAGGCCTCGGGGCGCAGGATATACCTCTTTCGTCGGCGCAGCTCGGCACGCGAGAGGATAAGGGCCAGATGCTTATTCTCGAGAAAGTCGAGCCTCTTCCAGGGCTTAATGTGACCGATCTCGACAAAAACTGTCGGGATCTTGCAAGGAGACTCACCAAGTCCAATCCACTCGAATTCGGATTGCTGAGTTGCAAGGGCTATATGAAGCACCGCCATCAACCATCGAATCGCGCCGAAGGCGACTCGTTCACACTATTATTCCGAGTCCCGAGTCGATTTTTCCAACCTCGCACTCTCCGCAGTCGTCTCATGAAACTGAAGCCAACGGATTCACTCACAGACCGGTTCAATCTGGCGAATGAGCTTGCAAGAGCTGTCAGCTGTGTGCACGCATTCGGATTTGTGCACAAGAATATCCGACCGGAGACGATATTGTTATTGACAAACGCCGAGTCCTGCACCGAATCCGCATTTCTCATTGGCTTCGATAGTTTCCGAATGGCATCAGGCAAGACTCTTCGCAAAGGTGAGATCTCCTGGGAGCGATGTCTCTATCAACATCCGAATCGAATTGGAAACTCTGCCTCGGAGGATTACATCATGCAGCACGATATTTACAGTCTCGGTGTGTGCTTGCTAGAGATTGGTCTTTGGGAGCCTCTCGTTACATACGAGGATGAGAATATGCCTCTTCCCCGGAATGGCACCAGTCCGCCGGCCCTCCGGGCCTCATTCCTGGAGGAAGGTAGGGACTCATACATCTTCAAAGATCAGCTCCTGTCATTGGCTCGAGGTGAGCTACAGCGGAGGATGGGTACGCGGTATTCGGAAGTTGTGGTTACTTGTTTGACTTGCCTGGACCCAGAGAATGAAGATTTTGGCGACGAGGCCGAGTTCCAAGATGAGGATGGTATTGAGGTTGGTGTGAGATACATTGAGAAGGTAAGTACAGACAAAGGTACATAGCAACGATTCGTTACTAACTGTGAAATAATCCCAGGTCACTATGCGGCTGAACAGCGTTTGCGTCTGATATGCGGAGACGACACCGGATTTCTTGCACTTGAGCTATCATTATATTCCTGCTTGGGCTGCGGCTGAGTATAGAAAGGCCAACGCATCACACTCATGTGGTGGATGGCTCGCTTCCTGGATGGTTCCCATCAGCATTGGGGTAAGTAATTACAAACCTTTCTTAAGTTATTTCTGCGAATGAAGCAAGCCATACAGTTCCTATAAGAAAGATCAAGTCTAGATGAATTTATTCTTCTGTAGACGCATTTGGTGTGTCAACACTAAACCTCGCCAAAGTGTGCGACGATATTGAGCTGAGGACGGCCCATCCTTATCCCATCAGACATATCAGAAGTGATGGAGCAGAAACGAGAGTCAGAGTGAATAGATTGGCACTTCCGTGGACATGTTGACGCTCGGGAACCGGTGAGGCACCAAGCATTAACCCGTTGGGAAACCAATGCCTTATTTGCGGGCTGCTACTTGAGACGAAACTAAGATGCTTCAATTTCAGAGTGGAGAGAGAGAGGTCATATCATTGGGCTATGGTGATAGTCTTGGTACTCTACACATCAACATGGTCCCCATCACCCCCTCGTTGTCGCCTTGCATCAGGTCCTCTTACTCGCTCTTCTCTTCCCCATCCTGCTCCGCTCCTCCTCCTCCTCGCCATTTTCTTCGAACAAGGATTCATACCAGGCTATGGCCTCGTTAACTTCCCCCTTCCCGGGGCGACTACCGGGACCCTCCTCCATGTTCATGCCGTGGTGTTTGAGGAGATGGGCCCGCAGGTTGTAGGTCCGCCAGAAGGGAGTCTATACTCCATTCAAAGTAATTAGTCCGATGACGGCAAAAGATCTCTCCGGGTATCACAATGACTGCATGCTCAGCGTTATGCCGGTGAAGATGTCAGTAATTTGAACGCGGTATCATCGATGATATGTACTCACCGTTTTATAAGGGGAGTGTGATTTCCCCGGCTGGCGCGGCCCGTAGTGTGCGCCTTTCTGTGAAATTGGCCCGAGAATAAGATAATCAACAACCTTACCGATACGAGTCCAAAGAAAAGGTTGATACTCAGGCGTTCCGCATGTAAACAGCTTCAATTCAGGCCCAGGCCAGATCCCCCGGGCATGAGGATGAGTGCCAACGATGACGATGTGACAGATGAAGACAGACTTCCACGCGATTAGCTGGATTCTGTAGAGTGGTGACTTGGCTCTCTTGGATACATGGTTCGTTCACTTAACTCAAAAACATCAGCTATCGAGACCTCACTCGATCCAAGCAGTCTTTGCTGGCCTGATATGCGAAAGAGCGTGGCGTCCAATAATATATATGGACAATGATCGATTATAGAGGTAAATCAGAACATTTTGAGGTGTATAATAGGGCGTATTGAATGGTTGAGACGTGATATATAGAACCCCTCGTCGAACGGGGATTTGCTCACGAGCTGCCGCTCGAACAGGAACACACTCTTCTCTCGGCGACTGATGCGGCCCCTCTTATCAGCAATGACTGGACATTGTACGGGGGTTGCTGGTGCCGCAAAGAAGAGCCAAGAATCGCGTGGTCAGTAATTCAAGACGCCCCCATGTGAAATATCGTGCTCGGCGGGATCCGAAGTCCGGCCAACTGCAGCAGACTCCGAGATCTTCCAGAACTTATAAGAAGATATTTCTTTAAGTAGACCTGGGGGCTCTAGCGGCACCCACTTCGAGGAGAGGCGGAAGATGAGATGCCCCGGGTTGCAGTTGCTCCAACAGTTCTTGTAGGCCAGACATCCCTTGATCAACTTGGAAATCTTGTTGCCAGCTCCAGGTGGTTGTGAAAACGTTTGGAAGCATGATGTGTGAAAAAGGTGGTGCGAGAGATGTCTTGAATGCCGTTTTGGTGTGAAGAGGAGAGGTATGAAGGACAGAGAGAAGAGAAAGGTTGTAAAAAAGAGACCTCCGTGGTTGGGATGGAGATTGCCGGCAGCGCACTCTCTTGATCAAAGCCTCAGCGGAATTCTCCATATCAGCGTTTCAACGGGCATTGTCAAATGCATGCCTGAAGACATCCAAGGAAAAACCACCCAAGGAGATACCTCCAACCACTTTCCTGGTTAGATAGCACACTCTGAATCCAGAGATACCCAGCGAGCCAAGACAATGAGCAAGAGGTCGTGGTATGGCTCTTCGCAATTATTCACGTAAAATTTAGAGATGTGACTGGCGCTCGGAGAGTGACTCAAGATCATCCATCGGTCATTATAAACTTCCACGTTCTGACAGTATTCGAGACAAGAAATGAGTTAATCCTCTCTTGTACTCAGAGTTGGGCCTGCAATAAACAACCGTTCAAGCAGAAGGCGACTTTGGGGAGGGAAAAGGCAAAGAGGCCACCACGACGAGTTCCCTGTGAAGTAGTAAAATCATAAAGGTGAAGTTTCTGCGGGACATGTTCGTCATCTACGCCTGTAGGCACATGGATCACTGGAATAGCCGGGCAGAGCAGAGCCTCGTGCAAGTCCTACGTTGGAATGTGTTATGTTAGTAATTGATAGAGTCACAAATTCTAAGTATCCAGTAAAACGTAGATCAAGAAGAGTAGATCAATGTTGTGAATAATGATATTGACGAGGGTATCGATGCGACATAATGCAGAAACCACGTGGTGTATGATGCAGAGTAAAGAGATTCCCACGCCCTATATGCTACCGTTTGCGCCTGAAGCTGAAGCGAGGCTCCTCATCACTATCTGAATCCCGAGTCTCTCGTGGCCGCTTCATAGTGCGGCTGCGAGACGGGGCCGATTCCAGTGAGTCAGGGGTCGGGTCCGGAGTCGCTGAAGGCTGGATCGAGACTTCAGATCGCGAGACGGCCCGATCTTCCCGGCTGGAGGCTTGCCTTACTTGTCGGCTCTCCCGGTCGGTACTCTGGCTCACCGCGGGGGTCTTATGGGTGCTAACCCAGTAGTGTTCTCCGATGCCGAAGTCCTTGCGAGTTACCTCTTCCAGCGGAACGATCACACTTTGAATGCGCTGGCGAGCATGGAGTGGCTCTCCCTTTCGTCGGAATCGCTTGAAGTTTTTGCGGCCGTTCCAACGGTCGTCCCATCGATCGGAGCCTTCGTCCTGTCGTAAAACGGGTTCCCGGACAGGGATGTCCATCTCTTCGACAATGGCAAGGTTCCTCAATTTCTCAACATCCAGATCCTGCGACAGGTGACGATCTTCTTCTGCCTGTCGTAGTTGCTCCTCCTCTTCCTCTTCTCGGTGTTTGCGTGCAGCTTCTCTCACATCCAACTTTGCGCGTTTCGGCTTGGGAGGAGCTTCCGTCTTCATGTTTTTATCGAGGCTTCCCGATCGATCCTCGCCCATCTCTGCACGGCGGCGCTTCATTGCTCGTGCACCAGGCAGTAAATCTGCAACGGTATCATTTTCCTCCTGTTCTTCCACTGTGCTAAGAGCTTGGTTGGGTTCGTTGGGTTGTATGGGCTCGAGGTCCATGGCCTGGGTAGCCGTTGGATCTTGGACATCATCATCAGGCGTATAGACCGGTACGGATTCCATGTCAAAGCCATCATCGAAAGTCTTCATCTTGCTGACATACTTGCGTGCCTTTGAAGCTGGCTTGTGGACCATGACTAGGGATGCTCCTTCAGATGCCAACGAGATTGGGAGAGGGGGATTAGCAGGAGCCTTTCTCGACGGCTCTTCGGCCGCAGCTGATGTGGCCGCCTGACTTTCTCCTTCTTCGCGAGGAAGGGAACGACAGAGCGGAGAGGCATCATTGCCCAAAATGGCATCCAGGAACTCGCGTTGCTCGATGACTCGCTGGTCCGTCGCCAAGGCGACTTCGTTGCCCAAATCGATAGACCAGGGCTCAAACTGGCCTTTGGAGCGGAATCGGACAAGCACAACACCGCCGGGTTCGTCCCTCTCTGCACCGACACCTTTATTGCCAGCTGCTGATCTCATGAATCGTATTAACTCATCCGCCGTTGTCTCCCCATCTTTGATCTGGTAAAGAAGAGCCTTCCCCTGCCCGTTATTGATTGCCGCTTGTAGGTTCTCGAATTGAGAGGGGTCTCCGAAGACAAACGTATACCCTTCGAAAACATTTACACGCGACGGATTAGGAGCGAAGGCTGCAGCTGGTCGGCTGATTGGCTCGTTCCCAGCGGGTGGAAGGTGCTCTGTTGGATCTGGCCAGGCCGAGTCAAAATCGAGTTCCAGCGGAGACGCGGAGGCATCATTCTCGAGGTCAGTAGGAGTAGTCGCATAGACGAGTGCATCGATATATGAGTTTTGGACAATGTATTTGCCGTTGATCAGGGCTTGGAGCCCCTTCGCCGTATTTCGTTTGCTCTGCACGACATGGGTGGTCTGGCCGACAAGGTAGGGGATGATAGTTTTGATGTCGAGACTCTCCAAACGACCGCGGACTTTGGCCAAAGGGTCTTCTGCACTCATCTCCTTGGACGAAAATGAGAAGCTGAGAACTACAGGCTGCCATTTGATTCTATATGAAGATAGGTCAGCGATAAGCACGTTGTGGTCAATGCGAGGTCTCAGAGTACATACCGCAAGGCATGTGGATAGTGTCCAAGCATGATGCTGTGCTCGTCTCCGTTAAGTGTGATCTTCCCTTGTATCCTTTCGCCATTTACCACTGTGCCTCGACTGGAGCCGAGATCCGTAATGGACACGTTTGTCCTCGCATGTGTCCGGGTCTGTTGCTCTCAGTCAGCATCTTGTCTGAGCATTGTCATTCTAGCGCACATACTCCATCGCGGGGCTCGACATTGGACACTTCGATAAGCATATGCTTCCGGGAGATCGATTTGTTTGGAATGGCATGGCGCACTAAAAGGTATCACAAGATTAGTTGATGATGAACTCCATACGGCTTCCCGAAATGATGCTCAACATACCGTCATCCACCAGTGTGCGCCCGAAGAGATACTGCTTGCCGGGACGCAGCCATAACCGCTTCCCTGAGAGTCAATATCAGTAACGCTTCCTTGCCTCGGCTTCCCCTCCGCGCAACCCCACGATAACTCACCGTTCAGAAAATCCCCAGCCGAGTCCAAGATCCACATGGAGAATCGTTGATGAGTGACAAGCGGAGGCTCCCGCACACGTGAAGCGGTAACGCGTGAGCACGTGATCTGGCGTCACTCTCTTTGGCGGAGGCTGCCTGGCCCTGGTGGACTTCGCTGACTCGGTTGACTTGATTATTATTTTGATTCACTCGCAGTGCTGACCGATGGCACGCCTGGTATAATGGGGTCTCCAGATGGGGCACCAGATGAGAAGCCGGATGCGCCGAAAGGCGACGAAGACTATGAGACGCTGAAATATCAGCTGCTGGGACCCTCTTTAACCAAAGCGGGCCAGGATGCAGTTGATCAGCAAAAGGTGACTGTTGCGAAAATAGAGCTAGAAGTTATAGGATACAAGGGCTGACGTGGATTTCAGGTTTCAGAAATTATCTACAATGCCTCAAAAGGGTCAAAGTTCTTCGACCATGAACAAGAACGCGACCGCAACCTCACGGTCAAGATTCAGCGGATCCTCAAAGAAAAAGCCCGGCTAGAGAAGCTGGACTTGAGTCATGACCTCCGCCGAGCAGATGAGTATCTCACCGAACTTGAGTTGAGTCGTGACCTATCCCAATACATCATTCATGTGGATTGCGATGCATTCTTCGCGGCCGTCGAGGAACTCGATCACCCAGAGCTCAAGACAGTTCCCATGGCTGTCGGAAAAGGCGTGCTCACCACCTGCAACTATGAGGCGAGGAAATTCGGAGTCCGCAGTGGTATGGCCTCCTTTGTTGCCAAAAAGCTTTGTCCGGAGCTGGTTCTCCTGCCACAAAACTACGAGAAATACACGGCCAAGGCGAAGGAGATCCGCGAGATCATGGCGCAGTACGACCCCCTTTTTGAAAGTGCGAGCATTGACGAGGCGTATCTGAACATAACCGCATACTGTTCTGAAAACGAACTCGACCCGGAGGAAGCCGTTCAACGTATGCGCGCGGAGATTCTGGAGAACACAAAGGTTTCAGTGTCTGCAGGAATCGCTGCCAACGCCAAAATAGCAAAAGTTTGCTCCAATAAAAACAAGCCGAACGGACAATTTCGAGTGCCTAATGATCGGACTGCCATCATGGAATTCATGCGGGATCTACCTGTTCGCAAGGTCAATGGCGTTGGTAGAGTATTTGAGCGAGAGCTTGACTCGATTGGCATCAAGACATGTGGAGACATCTACCCACAACGGGCTTTGTTGACCAAGCTATTTGGTGAGAAAGCATTCCAATTTCTGGCACAATGCTACCTCGGCCTGGGACGCACAAAGATCGAACCCGTTGAGACCCACGAGCGAAAGAGTGTCAGTACCGAGACCACCTTTCATGCGATCGAAGACAAGGAGGAACTTCGGAAGAAGCTCCGCTGGGCGGCAGATGAGTTGGCAAAAGATCTAGAACGAACACAGTTTAAGGGTCGTACACTCTGTCTGAAAGTGAAGCTTCACACATTTGAAGTCCTCACGCGACAAACGGCGCCCTCTCGGGCTGTTTACCGAGCGAATGACCTCTACGCATTTGCCTTGCCAATGTTGGTCAAGTTGGAGAAAGAAATCCCGGGGATGAAGCTGCGACTTCTAGGGTTGCGAGTGTCGAACTTGGTCAGCACCAAAAAGCTCGGGATCAACTTCTTCGGGGTGGCACAGCCAAAGCCCATCCCTGCTCAACCCCCAAACACAAATGCTCACGTATGCGACTCCAATGTCGAGCACGATATTGGGGCCGAAGAGGCTTTCGAAAATGCTGCTCGGCAAGAGCAGCAGGATGAAATGAACGACCTAGAGCAACTGAGTCAAGAGGCAGCTGGGCTTTCCGTGACTCTAGACCCTCCGGGTGCCGAGACTACTGAGACTACTGTGAGCACTACGGCTGAATCAGTTGACCCCCAGCCTGAGCAGTGGGAATGTCCTATCTGTGGTCGACCGCAAGTTGCGGATGACCGAGTCTTCAACGATCATGTGGACTTTTGTCTTTCAAAGCAAACCATTCGTGAAGTGGTTCAAGACAGTACTTCGCAAGAAGCGACCCCGATACCCGCTAACAACAAGAAGCGCAAGACACAAGCTCAGCCGTCGTCTGCAGACGTTGACCCACGGCAGAAACGCCTTTTCTTCAGTTGAAACTCCACTTGGATCTACCAAAATCAGAAATACCCTTTACTCGTCTCGAAATGATACAAATCTGGCATACAATGCTGGGCGAAATTGAGTGAAAGTCATGATAGACCTCCGGCTATAATCCCTTCTCCCACTCCCACGATCTATCCTGTACATAGAAGCAATTTAACAAAGCCATCACAACAATACTAGAAGAAGGATGGCTACTATCTCCCGCATGTCCCGTCCTTTCCAGCCGTGATCGACCAGCCAATTGGATTGTTATCGAGTGGAGCATCCGGGACTTTCCCCCTTGTCCCATGCCTACGCCCATGCCAGGGTCCTGCATCAACCTCGCGTCATATTTGTTATCGAATAACCAAACCATTCAGTTCATGGACACATGATCAATGGTTGACTCTAATAATCTAGCTGCATCTCTTCAATAGTCCTCCTTTCCCTTGGTAGAATATAGTTCGCCCGCAAAAACATAACCCCGGGAATGTAGTCTGCGTTGCGGTGAACATCGCCCTAAACCCAATCGGGTCTGAATGTTTTCGAGTCCCCTCGCCATCCTCCCAACTTCCACTCTCTTTCCCCGTCTATCAGGCCACGCTGGTGTTCGTCTCTGTCGGAATAGACTGAGAGTTAGCTGTTGACTGTGGCGAGTGCCATCATGCCCTGCAGTCTGCGGTACATCGCGATGCCAGCTTCTGCGTCCGCTCCGCAACTATGACCTACGATAAACAAAACAATGGCCATCTCGCCAAACCGTTCACGCCCACCCTCTCCGCGGCATTCCACCGCACCAGCAAATCTCCTCTGACTCCGAAATTGGCCAGTCCAAGTCCTGGATATCCAGTGCCTCGTCGTCTTGCTCAACCCGACCACCCCTATTCCACCCCCACCAAGGACGATATTCCCTCCGTCCCTCCGTCCTACCTGAGCGCAAACGTCACCCCTCGATCGGGTTCACGCACAACTCGCCGCGATGCAGCTTTCCCCTCACCAACCAATACTACTCCCGCCTATTCTCCACCAGCTCCCTATTCTCACGCCACGGTCGGCCTTGGTGTCAATGGCGTGCGACGGACAGAACGAAGTCCAGCTCGCGGGGTGAAGCCCGAGCAGTCAAGGAGTCTAAGAGCGAAGACGTTGACGGCGGAAGGCCAACAAGCTTCACGCCCTAATTCCTTTACTGATCTCGCGGCCAACTCCCCAATGTTCTTCCACGCCTCCGATGCTCGATCAACCACCTCTTCGGAGGTAGAAGCACCCCCCGTCCAAAGCAGGCCAAGATGTCCCCTGCCTCGAGCTTTGTCTACGCCAACGGGGATCAAGAACGGCAAGCTTCGACAGAAGACTTTTACTCGACCGTCTCCAGCGCCAAGCGCCGCTCTGGAGGCCTCCCTCGCCCTACTCCATCCAGACCAGCTGCCTCACCTTCTCCTCGTCTCAAATCTCCTCGAATCTCCGATGCCACCTCTCCTCCTTCCGACGATATTTTGGCCCAGCATAGTCCGAACCCTGACATGGCTTTAGTGGAGAGCATTATGCAGCGTTACTGCTCATCTCCGAGCGTCGTGTCTGAACGGCCGCAGCCTCCCTCGCTCAAACAGCACAGAAAATCGTCGAGCGTGGACTCCAACAGCCAGATCTTTCCTCCTCCTGAAGGCCTTCGAGCGAGCCCAGTTATTATCTCCAATAACTTGGGGATGGATGGACCGACACCGGTAATGTCCGATCAAATTCCAACACTACGCCCCAGAGTCTTCAGCAATGGCTCTTCTGTATCTATAGGACCCCAGATATCCAGGCCTCTGAGCCCGGGAAAGTCCGAAGGACCGGGTGATACGGCACTGAATGCAAGGACGGAGCGGAAAATCATGGATTTAGAGATCAGCAACTCTTCTCTACTGGCCATCAATCGGACACTCGAGCGAGAGATGCGAAAACAAAACGCAGAGCTACGGCGATATCGACGACTCAGCCGCTCCGGGCGTCTTTCCATGGCACCTTCAACGCGTTCCTTCTCTGGTGCTGCGCTGTCTACGACAAGTGAATTAGATGAAGGAAACAGCGAACTTTCATCAATTCGATCCGAAGACGAATTGTCCGAGTCCAGTGATGAAGATTCCGTCGTGGATGAAGGCGTTTTGAGTCCCGATTCTCTCGCAGAACATGATGCCAAGCACCGTGCTCATGACGAGAAGAAATTCATGCTTGATCTCGCCCGTCACCAGGAGCTTCTGGTTGATAGCCAGAAACTGAACCAGAGCCTGAAACGATGTCTCGAGTGGACTGAAGAACTTATTAAAGAAGGACGGAAAGCTCTCGAGTACAATGTTCGCGTCCAAGATGTCGAGCTCGGTGGGCGAGTCCTCTCTCCAGAGGAGCTAGGCGATTTTGGCGAGAGCGGACGGGGCTTACTCAGTCCTTCAAACGAATATACGACCATTTACCACGCTGATACTCCGCCATTTGACGACTCATATTTCGACCCCGCGGCACTTCCTTTACCCTCGTCCCCCGGTGGGAGCGACTAGTGTTCTAATATGTTCCATTCCATTCACTTGTATCTCTTCGCAAAATACCCCCTTGCTATCTCTCTTTTTTACCTGACCCGATTTTTTCAGCCTGATACAACCTTGTTTTCCGTGCATTTGTTTGAGCTCACATTTCCCCGTATTTTCGATGCCCCTCTCTGTATCAGATATCTCATTTTCTGGTGGCTTCTTTACTTCAAGCGCTCGTAACTATGGTTTTCGGGAATTCAGTCGCTAGATCTTTGTTTCCACTGAGCTCTTGATACTCCCGGTCGCTCTGCTCTTTTTATATTCCTTGGCATATACCCAGATCTTTCCGCCTCTTCTGCTCATGCATTTGTGTCGAATATCATGAAAGTCTACTACACGCTTTTTGGCACCTTCAATCTGAAACTATGGCTTCTGGTTGACTTCTTTAATCGTTGATGAAAGCTGTTTCAAAGATCTTTTGTATTGCCCTATTCGTAAGACCTCGGTGGGTGTGATTTGTTAAGAAACATTTGAATTATCATTCAGTCATGTGGATCATACTAGCATTCCGTGACCATCCTTACCAGCTAGTGAGCACAAGGAATCAAATCATGGAAACGGACACTGGCCCAACCGCTGCTGTTTGATACTTTCTTTGATAGCCTCGACTTCTTTCCAGCCCTTACCCTCGAAATACTTTGGCCCCAAATCAGGCGTGTAGTATCCCTGAGGATAATACTTATCCCCATCGTCACCGGGCAGTGGCTGGCCAAGAGCCCACTTAAACCAAGCCACGGGTCCCCACCGATTCCAAATGGTGGGCTGCACATAGAAAGGTGCACCCTCGTAGAACAGAACGTAGTTCCGTCCATATTTGTTCGGCTTCTCCGTGAAGACATCTAGACGCATGAAGTTTGGACGGGGAAGGGCCAGGTAGCGTAAAAACAACTTGCGCAGTTGGAACGCCGCGGAGAAAATGACTCTGAAGATGGCCGGTGGGGGATCGATCCTAGAGGATTCTTGATTAGTATTTGATCTCTCGGTGGCTTGGATGTGTTATGGCATACATCATTGCACTTCGGAGTCTCTCATCCATCAAGAAAGACACAAAGTAAACACCCAACGGCTTCATAAATCTCGGCAGAGTATAAACCAACACATCAATCGTTCGATCCGCAATCTCCTTATTCCTCGGATGAGGCTTCATATGCTTCACTTCGTAACCAAGACTCCACTCCTTAATCTCTTCCAACCAGTGAATTCCATCCCGGAACCCCGTTTTGCCCGATGGCAATGTCTCATAACTAATACCAAGGGTATCACCAAGACTTTTCCAGTACGTGCCCACAGCACACCGTTCCATTTCTGTCATCTCGCGCCATTCGTACATCTTGACGAATCTGATTGGTTCTAGTGCGAAGAGGCTGAGTGTGTAGAGCATGTCGTATTCGAGGATCTTGCCGCTGGCTCGATAGCCCTGGTGTAGGAATTTGGTGCGGGCGATGGCTGTTTGAGCTCGTTCGGAGCTGGGGTCGAAGGCCATGAATTCGCCGATTAGGGTGCCTGTGTCGGCGTATCGTTTGAAGGATGTTGCTGGGTCGGAAAATTGGGATGTTTTTAGGAGGAGGGTTGATATAGTTGGGATACCGTATGTCTATAATCAGATAATGCGGGAATCAGTATGTGCGAAGTATTTGGGGCTTGATCTGATGGATGCGTACGCGGAATAGAGCAAACTGGAGTGACTTGAGAACGATAAACGGAAACTCCATCTGCAAGATTGTCTTTTGGATTGTGAAAGCGTCCTGATCGGTCATTTTTGCCATTGATTCACGGGTTGTGTATGGATATTTCCGGTGAAGACTTCGACGTCTTTGGAATCTCAAAGTTGATGCTAGGGCTAGATAGCTGCCGAGCCCGACCAGTGAATATAGCATGCACTGCTCTGGTGAGAGTTGCGACACATTGTTCAGAATATGGCCATCATCTAGGATGGCAGTCATAGTACGCACAGCCATGGTGTATATCGGAGTGTCAAGCCAATTTCTAGAACAATAATAAACAAAAAGGTAGTTTGATGCTTCATGTACAAATTCTCATTCCCAGGGCACCCTGTAGACTTATATACACGATATCTATATAACATCCGAGTCGATCTGCTTCCACGGTTATCCAAGTCAATGTGTACTGATGACCATTTACCATCCGAACCATCTTACTGTCAAGAGCAAGCATGAGATAGACCCATCTATACTGGGTCGGCGGACCGAGGAATACCAACCGTCGGGCGCGGGGCAGCCCTACCAGCACCCGCTGCCTACCACCATTCTATGACAATCCCATAGACAGTAATTTGCTAACAAAACCTATTGAATAAGCATGTCTGGTGCATTTTAATCACCATTACTCTACACAAAGCAACCACGTTGTCCAAAAACGGTGGCGTGAGCATCGAAATAGGTCGTTGCCGAGGTTTCGCCTTACCAACGGCAGGCATAGTTCTTCAAGAGTCTAATTATGCGCGAATGACGATAGGCGTACCCCAGACCATGATCGGTATAACGCATGGCATAATATCAACATAGTCGGCATTTCGGTCGGAGTCTCGCCTACCGATATCGTACGACTTCCTGGAATATTCTAAGGCCGGGTGAAAGAGTCTAAAAGGCGGGGTGATCGGCTTGAGATTCGGATGATAACGAAGCCGGGGATCGTCGCTGACACTGGGCACATTTCTGATGATACTGGTTGGTCCGTTGTGACTGTGGGCCCGCTTCACATGTGAAGAACTATCTACATCCATTCGCGTTCGTCGGGCATCGTGTAGGGTCTTGAAGTAGGAAGTGCTTTCAATGCGTGTAATCGGTAACATCACATTTTTAAGGCAATATCCACCCGGGAATAAATGTTTGTTTAGCAACCTTGTCGGCGCTGCCCAGACAGATGCTGACCATGTAGCGGATTGCGAAAATATATCTCTGGCACTAACCATGCTGACCTTGCAAAACCTAACAAAATCGCCAAAATCCCCATAGTTTAGGTAGGAAGTTTTTGAAATATTCCACCAATGATGATTTTGTTTCTAATGGTAAGGTTTGGAAGTATCCTCAAGGGTGACTCTTTGATTTTGATAGTCTTTTAAAAAAAACAAACGAAAATTCATTCATACATTCTGTCGCTCAACTTGAGCGTACATTCAAGGTTATTCAAGTAGTCTGCTTGACGCTTAAGCCTGGGCCTTGATATAAGGAATACCAGTCAACTTGAAAGCCCGTTCGCTAAGCACGGGCTCATTCACCGGCCTGTCACGGTTGTGAGGGTCCTCCTTGCCATCACGCTGGGCAACATTTGAACCAGTGTGCTTAGCGTTGGGCCAGTGAGTAGTACCAACGCGGCGGTCGAAGGCATCCTTCTTCCGAATCAGATCTTCTTGCGTCGCATCAGCAACTGGCATGAAGCAGGTGTAGATGGCGAAACGGGGCTGGTTCTTCTTCGGGCTGAGGTTGTAGTGAGGAGTACGCGAGTCCCAGAGCAACAGGTCGCCAGGCTCGGCGCAGATCTTCTCCCACTTGCAGCCACGGTCCTCCAGCCACTTCATGCCCCGATCGGTGAAGCCGTACCACTCCGGGGTCCAGGCGGGGATGCGCTCTTCGTCGGCCATGTCGCGGTGGAATTCTTCGGAGACGAGGTGACCGCCCTTGCAGACGATAAGGCCACCGTCTTCGGGGCCGTTGGGGAGCAGGTTGACGAGACCCTGCATGCAGCGGAAGCCGTGCTTCTCGGGGTTCTGGTCCTGGTGAGGCCAGGGCTTGTTGGGGGCAATATCGGTGCGGCTATTGAGTTTCATAGATTAGTATGGATTATTATTCTGCAGTTTCACGGGTTGACGTACTTGGGGAACTGGAAGTTGATAGCGTCAAAGGACACGATCAAGTCCTCGTCATCGTAGATCTTCTCAAAGGCGCTAACAACACCAGGCTCACTACGGATACCCCAGACAAAGTTCTCGTGAGGAAGAGCATAGTGCAGACACATGCCCTTCTCGTTGATCAGAGGCAGGTTATCCTTGTGCACGGTGGAAAGGTCGTTGCGATCGAAGCCAAGCTTGCTGATGGGAGGATAAGCGATTGTCGTAGATAAGCGAGATTAGAAAATTTTCAACTTACAAGTTCTCGAGCCAGCTGTACATCTCATCAGCGTACTTCAGAGCCTGTTCGCGAGGGATAGCGCCCTTGACAACCGCGTAGCCGTCGCGGGCCAGGTCATCACGGAAATCACCCCAGCGCCTGTCGGTACCGTCAAGGCGCATGCGGCCAAAGCCGTGCAAGTTGGGGTTGGCCTGAGTGGTCTCGATGACGGTAGTAGTAGCAGACATTTTTGATTCAAAGATTTGAGATGTGTGTTGTTATACAGAATGTTTGTTGAGTTTTGACTTTGATGTTACGACGAGTTCTCTGGATGTTTATAATGGACTTCACGGCTCTGTCGGATGAAACAATCTTAGGCAAACTCCGACCAGAATGCCCACACTTGTTTCCAAGTAGCTCATCATAAGACCAGTGATAAGTGTCTTCATTGGTGTTGTCTTTCGTTGAGGTTGTCATGAGCCCCAGTTTTCGGAAAGTGGAGGAAGTGGAGGTGGGGGAACAACAACTTCGGCGGAAGTGGACGAGTGGCCAACGGGAAGTTTGCTGGAGTCTGTGCTTCTCAAAAGGCGGAGATAGCTTCAAATAGGGGAAAATCTTTGGCTAATTTTGAAAAAGAAGGATTCGAATATTCAGGTGAAACCAATATGCCGCCATTTCGCATTGTCATTGTTGGAGGTGGAATTGCTGGATTCACAGCGGCGATCGCTCTGCGTGGACCCAACCGACAAATCACAGTCCTTGAGCAGTCTAGACTGAACAAGGAGATTGGTGCTTTGATCTCCTTGCAACCGAATGCATCTCGGATTGTTGAGACGACATGGGGACTGAAGAAGGAATTGAAAGCGGCGCAAGAAATCGTCGATGAAGGATTCCGTGTTTATAACACGGACGGTGTTCTAGTTAACAGTGTGCCTCTCAAGACCAAGACGGAATTTGGTGCAGACCGCTTGTGCTTCCATCGAAGAGATCTTCACGATCAGTTCAAGAAAGCTGCAACTTCTCCTGATCGTGAGGGCGAGCCGGTAACAGTCCGAGTCGCCTCCCGTGTAGTTGATTGCAGCCCACTCGATGGTACAGTCACCCTCGAGGGAGGAGAGGTGGTGACGGGAGATTTGATCATTGCTGCCGATGGAATGTAAGAAAAGATGAGAATTTGGCATGTCAGTAATCCTGTGTGAGATGCTAATCGCATCGATATACAGTCACAGCGTGATTCGCAAACATGTCTTGCAAGAGGAGCCATCCCCTTTGCCCACAGGGCATTCAGGTGAGTGATCAAGGACTTTCATTTGCCCTACGAAAGAAAGGATATTCGCTTACGCAATTTTCTAGCCTATCGCCTCATGGTACTTTCAAACCAGGCCGTTATTTAGCGATGCATTCTAACAAGTGCTTAGATTCCCTCGGAGACCCTGGAAAACGAAGTGCCCGAGTTCTGCTCCAAGATTAACCCCCGCGAGCCTTTCACCTCCATGATGGTTGCTCAGAATTGCCGACTCATCATGGGGCCTGGCAGACAGGGTGAGGTCTACGGTATTACTGCATTGGTGCCTGATGGTAAGTAGAGGTCTATCACTGCAGTCGTTCCGCAGTCGTTCCCCTATTAATCTATGTGATGCAGAGCAAATGAACGAGGACCCCGGCGCCAAGCAATCTTGGGTGTCCGAGGGAGACCTGAACAAGATGCTTCAGACTTTCTCTGAGTTCCCTACTTGGGTCACAAATGTATTCAAGTATGGAGAATCCTCCTTCCGTCGTTCCTGCAGTTGCTGACAGCTAGCAGACACTCTGCCGATCTCGGATTGTGGCAACTGCGTGATTTGGTAAGAACATTATTCTTCGAAGTCCTTGGAACGCGATTCAATAACAACAATGAAGGACCCCCTCAAGAAGTGGCATCGTGGCCGAGTTATCACCATTGGAGATGCTGCTCATGCCATGCTCCCTACACAGGGCCAGGGCGCCAGTCAAGCAATTGAAGATGCGGAGGCACTGGGTGCCTTTTTCGAAGGCATCAGCGAGGCACCCTCGGTAGAAGCGCTGTCCGAGATTCTAGAGGTCGGTTATATCACAGGCAAACCCTGGGAATTTGGCTAATATTGTTAATTATAGAACATCTTCCAGGCTCGGTACGCCCGAGTCAGTCTCATCCAAGCTTACAGCAGAGAAGCGGCTAAGCCAGCTGCTGCAAAGAAGACGGTCACATTGTAAGGCAGCAAAACTCTTTGCAAAAGCCATGTTTATTTTACTAACACTTTCGCAGGAGACCGGATGAATTCATGAAGTTTAATTGCATGTATCGGGGGGCCAAGGCTTGGAGCAACGAGCAGATTCCAGTCTCTGCTTGAAAATAGTTAACAAATAGCTAACACCTACGTAGCAAATTCAAAGATCCGTAATTGTTGTATTCTGTCGCTTTGTAGCATAGAAAAGTTCAAATATACATTCGGGGGTCAATTGCACTCGCAGAATTTAGTCTCAAATGTATGTATTTAGTTGCCCCGGCATCAAACTGATTGCTAGTGGCAATATGTTTTCGGTACTTAGTAGTGAATCCCTGGCGGGTATATGCGGGTAAACTCCGGTAAAGCAGTTCAATCAATGATTAAAGTCTTGGTCTAAATGTTGCGTTAGCCTGCGGGGTCGGACCAACTGCGATGGTGGTAAGCGACCGGAAGCCTCCAGCTTCCAGGCAGTTAAACACCCCGCAAACTGGAGAAAAACCAGGTTGACCCACATTCCCCAAATTTGCCGACGCCTCGTTCACAGCCTGTCAAATACCAAGACGCTGAATGGTCAAGACTCTCGGATGTCAACCATTTTGGATTTCAGCCATCGGCAAGTCGTGGCCCGCAAAATCGCACGTCCTCCCGATCGCCGCCCTTCGGTCCTCCGCACATAAATCGGGGCCTCGTCCACTTTGTCTTCCCCACATACCCCGAGGTCCATCATGGCCGAAAGTCCGGAGAACCTACGACGTTCACCCCGCAGGGCCGTCAATCATCGATGTCCGCATTGCGACAAGGCCTATGAACGTCCGGACCATTTGGCGCGTCATCTAGACTCACGTAAGTCATCCAGTCCTCGATCGGACATTGCGGAATCATCTAGAAGGCTCAAAGTGCAAGATTTGATCAGATCGGAATGAACGCGTCTACCAATGTCCCACGTGTCAACGCGGCTTCAATCGCCGGTATTTTATCCACAATTGTCACTGAGTGCTGTGTTCATACGCGTTCCAGCGAGCTAACGACGACCAGGGATGTTTTGCAACGACACCAGGCCGTCCATGAAAAGGACGAAGCCGAAGGCAAAACTTCATCGAGGCGGTCAAAGGAGCGCGCAATTGAAGCGTGTGAAGCTTGCGCGACCGCCAAACTAAGCTGCGACAACGAAAGACCCTGCAAAGTACGCCCATCAACTGGATCCCTAAGGACCCCGCACTAATAGGCATGTAGCGATGCAATTCGAAGCAAATACAATGCGTCCCCAGATCCAAAGGTGTGCGTCGATCAAGCGAACGCTTATCGTATCCCATGTCACTTCCACCCTACTCCCCGCAAGTAGGAAGCCAACCGCCAGACCTGTCGACTCTAACGGCAACACCCGAATCTGGACCGTCTGAATATAGTGTGCCACCAGCTTCGGAGTCATTCTCACAGAATCCGCATGAGTTGTATGACTCGAGTATCGCCCCGGCTGGCGAAATGGCCTTAGAGGCGTTTATCCCTCACAGAAACGTACAGTCGTATTCGCCTCTGAACGGATTTCCCGCATTCTTCGAACAGGTCATGCTCCCGGGCCTTGATGCCGACGATGCGACTCACAATACGCAACAGCCGCGCGTTTTTGATTTTATGCAAGACACCGATTTCACGTTCTCAGATACCGACATATTTGGTACGGACTTTATACCGGATTTGGACAAGGCACTCGATGTTCCGATGGCCTTTTCCGGATTCGACGACCCGCAGCATCCCTCGCTGGATGATCAAGAGTCAGCGAGCCGGCGTGCTGCAGCCTTCGGGCGTTCAGTGTGGTGAGTGAACCATGACTTGCGTCTTTTAGTTCGCAACAGGCTAACAACCCCTTAGGCTTTGGGTTCCAGAGAAGAATCAGCACGCGTTTAGTGACGACAAACGACTTCCTTTACGCGACAGTGATAGTATTCCATACACGCACCAGAACCGACTAGATTCAATCAAAATTCCTGGGAATCTTTCTTATCAAGCAAGAGATGATATCCTGAAGCTGGTTCTACGTACAGGAGGCTCTCGGCTTTCAGTCACCACCTTTCCATCTGCAGACTATCTTGACACACTTATCAAGGTCGGCATCGGCAAGCGAACCGAAACAGACGCCTGGATTCATCCGTACACCTTCTATGATTCAGTCTACCAACAACTGCGCCCAGAGCTTCTCACAGCTCTGGTCGCGGCGGGCTGTGTGTGCTGTGGAATGCCTTCCATCAATAAGACTGGCATTATTCTGCAAGAAATTACGAGAGTTGGCTTGGCAGAACTGGTACGTCTTTCCTATTGGATGGTTTCGAGCTAGCACTAAAGAAGCGACGTGTTTAGGTTGAGGATGACAACAGTGTGCTTCGCGATCTGCAATACTTGCAGGCTTCAATGTTGTGGCTGGATATTGGAGTCTTCTGTGGCTATACTCGGAAAATGCAAATCGCCGAAAGCTATCTGCAACCACTTTGTACCGTAAGTGCGGATCTTGGACTATACATGAATCATTCAAGCTCACCAATTTATAAGGCTGTACGTCGTGGTGCGGCTTTCGATAGGTCCACATACACGGTTATCACTCCATACACATTCGGAAACGATGAAGACTCATTACAACGAGCATGGCATGCTTGGGTGCGGCAAGAATCTCTTAAGAGGTAAGCGAGAAATCGATTCAGCTTGTTATCATCGCTTCCATTACTGAACAGTCTAGACTTGTATATCATTTGTTCGGCCATGATGTGGATGTTGCTACGGCCATGAACCGACCTGCCATCATCTCCTATACAGAGCTAACGCTGCCATTCCCCTCAGCGAGAGAGCTATGGCTCGCTCCTACTGCTGCGGCTTGGAGGGATATCTGGACAAGCAAGTACCGGATGACAGGTTGCTCGGAGTTGAATCTACGTGATTTACTGTCAGACCCATCATTATTGAGTCAACTACCTCCCGACCTTGATCGTGCAATTGCGAGAACTACTCTACTGCAGGGTCTCTCTCTGCAAGTGTGGGAGTTCCGCCAACAGATGCTGCTATCTCAAAATTCTCGGTCTGGGCCTAGGGCGACAACTCGGTTGTGGCTGCAAAGTCGACAAGAAGATCTGTATGTATTTCGAATTCTCAGCCCAATGAAGAGAAATTATCTAACCTTTGATGTCTAGATACACAACCCTTCGAGCTGTGCAGGAAGACTCTCCAAACGCTCCTCCAGTCACGATACTATTAAACGACTTTGTGATGATGTGCCTCCACATTGACATTGATGCGATCCAGCGGTTCGTCGGAAAGATGGGCGAGCTAGACGCCCGTCGAGCCTATCCCGGCCTCCGAGACTGGAGCCGGACAAAAGAAGCGCGATCCGCTGTCTGGCATGCCGGCCAGGTGCTTCGGGCCGCCCGGAATGTGGTCGCACATGAGTTCCGCGGCTTTGACTCCCTAGCCATCTATCACGCTACGCTGGTTTTGTGGGTCTATGGTCTAATTCAATGTGGCGAGACCAAGCGACTCCAGGTGGCTACTCCCATGAGTGAAGCTGATCCTACGCCGCCAGTGCTCTTGGATGGACCAGAGGACCCGGTGACCAAGTCCTTCTTGGGCCATGGCGTTGGCCGACCTGGATTGATGATGGTTCAGTCCCGCGGCGGCAATGAAGGCGATGTCAAGGTTTTCTGTGAACTAAGCAAGCCTCGTGCAGTTATGGCTGTGGCGCGGCAGGTGTTTGAAGGGAATTGTCCACTTCCCCTGCCAGAGGATATACCTCCACCGATGATTCAGAACCTGTGTGCTTTGATTGATGATTTGGGAAACCTACGATGATGATATAACGAAATCAGACGCTGAATGAATAAACCTTGTACTATACACACTATCTGATTTCTCATTATCCCGTATGTTCACGAAGAATGACTTTCGTTTGCATTAAAGGGTAAGGAACTGCTGATGACTGCCGACCGAACAGCCAATCAGACACAAAAATATTTCGCTGTCGGGATGTGGGCGACCCACCCCCGTAGACCCCCACGGGGAATGCGAAATGCCCCCCAACTTTGACTTTTTTTGATAACTCGGCGTGAACGGGGGAGATCCACTACTATCGCACTCCATTTTTCCCCGTGACAATCCCCAGAGCTCTAGCACGTTCCCCCAATCCATGTCCATACACCGAGCGAACTAGACTTCCCCCGCGCGCGATGGCGGTATCATGGTGGAGGGGCCGATGACACTGAGCTGGCACATAGAAGAAGGCAGAAGCTTGGCCTTTATCTACTCGATCTTTCCTCTCTTTTCTCTCTCTCTTTTCTTTCCTCGGAGCCGCTGCCCGTCCAGATATTCACCCCCCTCTCTGGATCACAGTGCGAACATCATGGCTACTACTCTCGAACAGAAAGTCAAGATCGAGTTCGTGGAGGATGTGGAGCCGCAGACTGCCAAGACTGGCGATGTTCTCGTCGATGCGGCTGGGAGAATTCAGCGGTTGCCCGTTCCTAGTGCCGACCCCAATGATCCTCTCAACTTCACTCTGTGGGAGAAGACTGGTGTGATTGTCAGCTGCTGCTGGTTCTCTATCATGTCTCTCTCCGTGGTTGGAGGTCTGGGGGCTATCTTGGGTATCTTCTTTGGATTGTATATGCCTCAGGGTTATACTGCGACTCAGGTTGTTTGGCTGGGAACGTTTCCCTCGTTATTTGTTGGTATTGGTGAGCATATACAGCGTTGTTGGACATGGTGACATGGTATGGCTAATACGGCCAGGAAATTATCTTATTCTTCCCTTGGGCCTGGTGTATGGTCGTCGACCTACTGCCATTGGATCTATCGTGGTTCTTTTTGTTGCGACTATTGGGTGTGCTGTGTCACAGACGTTTGAGCAACATCTTGGTCTGCGATGCCTCCAAGGGTTGGCAACTGGTGCCACGGAGTCGGTTAGTATATCCAATTTATTCTATTGCAAGGTGTATGCGAACTGACCTACATATCTGTCTAGCTTCTTCCCCTGATGCTCTCCGAGGTGACCTTTGTTCACCAGCGTGGCCTTGTCTTTGGTGTTTACTGGGCAACCCAGAACGTGGTGACCAGCTGCCTGAACATTGCATCTTCCTACGAAGCTGCGGCTCTCGGCTGGCGCTGGTTCTACTGGGTCTACGTGATCGCCGTTGGCGTTGGCCTCTTCATCGTGATTTTCACCTGTTTCGAGACCCGGTACCAGCGTCGCGCACAGTTGATCAATGGCCAAGTTGTCGTGACTGACCAGTTTGGCGTCACGCAAGTTCTGACTGGTCAACAAGCTCAGGAGTACCTGCTTGCGCTCGAGGCCGAGGATCAGGAAATCCCCGATGAGGCGCGCCCTAAGAAGACATACATGGAGATGCTTGCCCCGTGGCAGAAGCCGTCGAAGCGTCCCCTGAAGACCGTCCTGATGGCCTGGTTCCACATGTTCGAAGCATTCAGCTCCCCTGGAATCCTGTACGCGACCTTGTTGTCGTCCGTGGTCCTGGGTTGCAGTGTCGGCATGTCATTGACTTACGACACCGTCCTGCAGGAGAACTATGGCTGGGCTGCCAAGAATGTTGGTCTGATCAACCTGGGAGGTGTGTTTGGTGGTTTCGGAGGCATGCTGTACGCTGGTGTATTTGGCGATTGGTTCATTCTGCGCCTGGCCAAGCGCGCCAACGGCGTCCACACACCCGAGCATCGCCTGATCCTGCTGATCTTCCCGGGTATTCTGACGGTCGTCTCGCTTCTCTTGTATGGTTTCACCGCTAATGGCAATGCCACCTGGGGTGGTCCGTACATGGGATGGACACTGTTGCAGGTTGCCTTTGTCTCCGTGCTCATCTTGTCTACTTCTTTCGCTGCCGAGGCGTGGGAGAAGAACCCCGGTCCTGCCCTTGTGGCAGTTGTTGGTACGAAGAATATCATCGCGTTTGGTATCAGTTATGGCTTGAGCCCAATGGTTGCCATTTACAGCTACCCTGTCGCGATGGGAATTCTGACTGCCGTTGCTGGAGGAATCTTCCTCTTGGGTATTCCCGTCTATTTCTTCAACCCTGCTGTAAGTTTTGAATTCGGGTGATCGAAATCTCTGTTTTCAGATGCTGACTGAATTATTTAGTGGCGCCGCTACATGCAACGACACGAGGCCAAGAACTAAGCAGAAGCACGTTATTGCCAGACTTTGCATGTTGTGAATCATCACAACGCACCGGATGGCGCGCGGCTTGCTAAGTTGACTGAATCGCTCCATTCCATGGATAAAGATCATGTAGTAGTATAATTTTGTAGTAGTAGGATTGTTGAATGCGAACGCCTTGGGCTATTATTGAAAATTTGTTTCTCTGGACAGTACACTCTAGCTAGCCCATTGAAAAAGAAAATCGAGAATGATTAATTTAGGCTAAGCCCAATCGTACCACAACTTGTGCTTTCATATGCTTGGACAGTGCAGAAGATAAGACCAGACAAGCAACATCCGAGAAACGCATACGGGATTCTTAGAGGAAACTGAGCACTGTTGGTGGTAGTCTTAAATCGGACTGACTTGTTGAAAGCATGATATCAAGATGCAAATCATACGCAGCAGGGAGCAGTTATTTAGGTTGTACTATGGCACTGTCTGACTCAATCAGCGCACCTGAGAAGTAAATGTTAGCTTTATCAGTTGTAAAACAAGGATAATAAACCCCTCGTATTCATGCTGCACCTCCAGCTTAATCGCGCTGGATCTATGCTCAGTGCCTTGAAGAGAGTCTCACTGGGCTGGCTGGTGAAGGTATTGCTGATACAAAGATGACATAGAATATGGTGCCGGAGTCGCCACTTCCAAACTTGAATCTTTCCCAGTCATTCAGCTCACTGGCAACGCAGGCGATATCTCCATTCTTGTTGACCCCCAAGAGCTTTCCAGTACTCGTATTGCGGAAACCAAAGCCGTCATTGTTGGCCTCTGCGCGCCAAAGCTGATTGCGGGCGTGCTCCCAAGGTCTGATATGGACTTCTTCTGAGAGATACTTGCCCGGGATGACGCTGAGAGCACCACCGCATGGAGCATGTAGCGAGTAGGTCTCTCCATTCGAGAAACGGGTGGATGATGCTTCGAGAACGATTTCAGACATAGTGAATACTTTTCTGCTGGCAAACGATAAGTTTGAATTGGATTCTTGTTGAGCTTGAGAACTTGAAAGGAGAAAATCATGAATTGATGAGATCTTAAATCTTTTGAGGTGGACCCAGCTATCCGGGGTTCATCCTTCTTGTATCTCTACATCATACGGTCTTGCTTTTCAGCTCGTATTGAGCTAAAATCAGCAGGCAGTGTGGCTGCATCAGCCACTATTCCTCGAATGACGGGCTGCTTTGTACTCACAATCCACAGAATTCGAGGCAATAGGAGCCGAGGGCTGTAGAATACCTGACTGGTCTTGCTGACATTGAAATTAATCAATATTTGAGGCTGAGATTCTATTTGAACCTGGTTGGGCAAGTAGAGTCTAAGTAAGACACATTTCTCGGCTGGATTGATAATGCGGTGTCGGAATATTGAAATTGTCATGATTTTACGGGAACAGTCAGAAAATTTGCAACTAAGGTAAGCATAAGTTCCAGCTTGTCACTACTTGCTAGCTTATGCTCTTGGCGTAAATCTTGCTTTAGGCCGGAACTTGGCACCCTCTCATGTATATGAGATGAAACACCTTCGGTGTCCAGAACTTTCAGCTGAGATATTTTGATCTAACAATCTCCGCAGCGCGTGATGGCTACCACGCTCGTTTGTCTCATCGGGATTTATTCCCAGGTCTGATCATATTGGGGCGCATGGATAATCATAGGGTGTTGTCTATTGTCTATGCTTTGACGACGTTTGTGGCGTAGCGATCATATTAGCCCATAATCTAGACTGAATCTGGTGGAGGTCGTGGCCGTTGGTGCTGCTACCGATAAACAATTTATGTCAATGATACCCAGACCGCAGCTTATTAGAGGGAATCTTACTGATAGGCTACGATTTGGTAGGGTCTGTTTTCTGAAACATGCCCGTCGAGGTTTAGGTTCTGATGATACAGATATCCTCAGCGGATACTGAGTGAGTGTCATGATGGAATTTGCCTTGAAAAGGATGTCTCCTTTTCCCCATTTCCTTTTAGTTGATTTCAGGAATACACAGATTATCAATCTCACCTAGACGGGACATCAGGAAAAGTGGACATTTGACTTGATATCTTGTACAAATTAACTAGCACGATTCAATTATTTAGAGCCAATTAGTTTTCCCAGTATGCGGCGGAGGTACATTTAGTACGCCGATATCTAGACCAGGGAAATGATTTAACTTAGTCTTTTGTGAAAGCATTCTGTAAATGTCATTTGAGCGTAGATGGCCAAGGTTTCTCTATCGTCTATCCTTTAAAGTCGTGGCTGAAAAAAGGATTTTGAAAATCTATCAGGAATTCGAACTTGTAGCTCAGGTGTCAAAACCAGCATCTTCTACCAGCAAGCAGCGAGTCAATGGGACGAGTCCTTCTCCAGGAACACGACCTTGCTCCCATAATCGGTCTCAAAGCAATATTGCAATCCCATGCTCATCAACATTGCACCCGAGTAGGGCCCCTCCCCGTCGACAAAGTACATATCCTGAGCATCCAGACCCTGCAACCTCACCCTGGACAAGGCATGGTTTACCTTCGAGCCAAGCTGGTAATAAAACAACACTGCTTGCGAGGCATTCTTAGAAATAAACAGCATGGCTGGCCAATCCGACTCCTCTGGCAGAGAGAGTCGCCACATGTCACCAGTCAACACAATGGGGTTGACCTTTTCTGCTAGCGCGATCAACTCAGGTACGACTGCCCTTTCGTCCGGGTGCAATTCAGTCGGATCAAGCTCCAAGCCAAACGAGCCACACATCATGGCAACGTGTGCTCGGAACTCTATTTGGACGGTTCGCCCTGTCTGATGATTGGGGACAGCGGAGATATGGCCGCACATAGAGCTTGCAGGGTATGCAAGTGAGGTACCGAACTGGATAAAGATCCGATCTACCGCGTCGGTGTTGTCCGAGGTCCAGATTTGCGGGAAGTACTGCATAACACCAGGGTCGAAGCGCCCACCACCGGAGGCACATCCTTCCCAAAGGACATCGGGGAAGCGGGTCGTCAACGTCTCGAAGACCCGGTATACGCCAAGCATATAGGCGTGGTGAGTTGTTGGAGATGGTGTCTCGTGCATGCACCTGTTATGATCCCACTTGACATAGGTAATATCTGCACTGCTGAGGATATCCGAGACACAGGTAATGATGAAATTCTGAACTTCAGGTAGCGCAAGGTTGAGGATTAACTGGTTCCGTTGTTCTGTCCGGGGATATTGATCTGCGTACAATGCCCATTCGGGGTGCTCCTGATAGAGGGTTGAGCTCGAATTGATCATTTCCGGTTCGATCCAGATTCCAAAACGGAGATTGGCAGACGACTTGTCCGATTCCGCAACTGCTGATTTTAGGGCTGTGATGTCCTTCACTAACGGGGCGAGGCCGCCCGGAAACCGTTTCGGATTCGGAATCCAGTCACCTAGACCAGCTGTGTCAGAGACACGCGGGTAATCCTTGCCGAACCACCCGTCATCCATAACAAATAGCTTCACACCGAGGGAAGCCGATTCCTGTGCTATGCGGTAGAGGTTGCTGCTGTTGATGTTGAAATATAGGGCTTCCCAACTATTGAGAAGTACGGGTCGGTCCTCCGTCGCAAATTTGCTCTTGACAAGATGATTCCGATATAGGCCGTGTAGGGAGCGTGAAACGCCCCCGAGACCTTCCTTTGAGTATACTGAAACACACTCTGGAGAAGTAAGGCTCTCATCAGGACCCAAAGACCAAGATAACTGATCAGGGTTAAAGCCCATGAGAACACGCGTCAAACCCTGAGAGCATTTCTCAACGTTGACAGCAAAAGACCCAGTGTAGACAAGAGAAAAGCCCCATGTCTCACCCTGATTTTCGGTGGTTGAAGGACGGGCAAGCGCGAGAAATGGGTTGTGAGAGTGTGACGAAAATCCCGTATTACTTCTGAATCTGTCTTTTTTGTCAATAAAAGCCGCCGATGAAGGTTGAATGGCTTACCCTTGTAGCCCATAATCAATTCTTCGTCTCTGCCTATGGGTTTCTCTTGCCCATTCACCACGCAGATAAATCATGTCAAGGTCCTCAAAGGGGAGATCCACGCTAAGACTAGCTAAGTCTTCGATGACAATGGCACCCTTGCCCTTGTTTGTGACAGTCACACTCCGCACAATGGCATCATAACGAGGGAAAACAGAGTACATCAAATCTGCAGCTATCGTGCTGTACTTGTCATAAAGATGGATCACGATAGTCGTAACTTCATCTTCATTGCCAAAGGTCGCTGGCAGCCCAGGCAAGGCAGGTTTGCCCTTTACTACCGTATGATGTTGGTAGTGTAGAGCCGACACAGTGTGGGCTCCAGACTGGCGGATGCGGATTGCAGGGCCCCGGAAATCCCCTCTTCCCTGATCAGGGAATTCACGGCGCACGCGACCTAACATGCCAGTCCAGCCGTTGACAATCGGAGTTGGATCTGGTGGTATAGGCCCAGTGACGCTACCACCGAAATGATCGGATAGCAGGTCCCCTGTGCTTTCGTCTGCGTGGAAGCAGTAGGAAACATTATTGCCATGTAAAGCAAAAGAGTTCCCGTCCACGACCACCGGTGTCGCTGTGAGAAGAAAATTCCCGTTAGTGGAATTTGAACCGATTGAAAGTGAACAGTTGGCACTGACGAGTCTCTTTAACATTTGGGGTTGGAGGCACTTGGGCCCGAAATATCGCCCTAGAAGCCAAGATTGTCAATAATTGCATAACATTCCAAATGGAGCTTCTTACATAGAGAAGAGTCCAGTCCTTGTATTTGCCAAGAAAAAAAATAAGAGACTCTACACCCTCTGAATTCGTATACTAAAAACCAAAAACGGGCAAAGGCTGGCATTTATATCTCATCTGGGCGCCAACATTCAAGGTCCTTGACGAATCTGGCCATAGCAGGAATTTTACCCCGACATACAGGGACAGCTCCAGTAGGGGTGAGTGGCATTCTATTGGTAGAATCTAATGTACCCAGCTGTCAGATGAAGGCTACCCCGCAGTAGTCTTGGTATTAGGCATTTTTATCCATATTGACTGGAAGCTCCAGCCATTTGAAGGTTGTTCGCTCGTCCAATCAATGAGCGTGAAAGCCGAAACCCCCACTGGAATATTTTAGTGTAGTTGTAGAGAGCCTGCTATTTCCATCGAAGTCAGTGTTTTTCATTGCAATCTGGATTGTGAATTTCCCCGCGTTATCTGGCTGGTTCTAATAATTGTTTTTTTTCAGGTCTCTCGGCGCCCCTCGAAAATTAAGGCGAACTTTTTCTTGTTGTCTTCGTCGGGCGCGAAATTTCGACGAGGAAGTAGTTCAGCCGGACAGTTGGAAAACCTCTTTTCCAACTGTCGATACCAGCTATACACTCAATTTCGACCCGTGGACTCATTCTATGCACTTAGTGGGTCCATAGTCGGGATTTAATATATTAAACCAATGAAGTAAGGTTAAAGCCGCCTGTATACATCGGCGGAATGTGCTCAGCCAATAATAGCCGATGAAAGCCGCAAGTGCCAGATTGAGCATACCCAACCAATGGGGTGTATTTAACGGCCTCTGTCAGTATCGGGTATCCTAACCAATAACAAAAGGACAAAACCGGCTGTACAGTTTTCCGTCGGGCGTTTGTGCTACTTTTATGGTACAAACTTCGCCTATTGTACATGTAGTTCACTTATCCTAGTATCAAGCCAATAATCCGAGAAACCTCCGTTACGAGCCAAAATTCTGGGCTTCGTAAATAAACTAATTTTAAGCTCTAACTGGCAGCGGCCTTATTATGTTACATCACTTCAATTATCAAAATCCTCCAGTAACCCTTGTGCCGCCGGCAGAGTCTCGGCGAATCTAGTAAGAGGTTTGAAACCACTGCCGGTGATCACAAGCTCATCAAACTTGTATCAAATTGACGGACGTGTGAAGGCCGCAAGGAAGTATAGTACAAAACAAAAGATTGCTAGACGATCTCTTAGTGGGACGCGTTGATATCCCGCCCAAACTCCGCTTTTTAAGTTAAGGATTGACCAACGCATTACCTTTCCCTGTCGCCTCATTGACTGGTGATAAAAAAACTTAGGCGCAATGATCCCTAATTGCGGTCACCTTATCGAGTATACCAGGCAGAGAATGGGTTCGTAACCGGGCATGGAATGTAATTCCCAATAGTACGCGACGAATCTCACCCATTCAATAGAGGTGATGTCGTTAGGCTCCTCAGCATTGATGTTATTTACGATAGGTGGTGCACTTAGCGTACATAAACGCGATGAAATCGATGCTCCTGTAACTACCATTTTGGCTCTGTTTGTTATGTTTGCTTCCCCTTGATCAGATCCCCGATCGAAGATCTTTTCGTGCTTCTCATCACCCCTGGATTCCTCCTTCGGTTGCCTTGCTTTGTATATATCGGCGTCCCGGGCGTCTTCAACACTAGTTATCTTTAACTAAACGGCCCGAAACCGAAGAATCTTTGTTTAGCGGAGAAGTTCCCAATTCAGTGCAGGGGCCATCACTCGACCTAACCCCCCCCCCCCCCCCCCCCCGAAAGCCCATGGGGATATTGAGTGTAAACTTCGTTTATAACCTTAACCAACTTTTATTCTCGCCGTGGACGGAAAAAATTCGGCGATTTTGGCATACAGATCCCAGGGCGATTCCGGTGGCGTTAAGGCCTTTGGACGAGTAAAGAGCTGAGCAGTCTCCTTAGCACACATGCTAATGCTACTTACGGTCAGCCACCGCGATGTCTGGACTCCATCACCGTGGGCGACCCCATGGGGATTGGACTAGATTTCTGCATCGGAGGCAAAAAGAGTTTCAGTGTTGGAAAGAGGCGCCATTTTCTAAAAAAAGCCGGGGTTGAGATGGCAACCGCAGCGGAATTGAATCGAAACCATCCTCTGGATCTTACTTTGCTCTACTTCTCGCAACCATTGGAGCTAGGCAATCTGTCACTTTCTTTGGTCGCGTCTACCTCAGTTCACTAGGGAGACCGTGTTTCTCTCACCGGCTCCCAGCAGCTGTCAACCAATATCTGGAGATTTGCCTATTCAATGCATTGGGTGGCGTATATAAAAGGCAAGCACCTAGCCTGGGTCAACAAGAGTTCAAAGGTACTCAATTCATTCTGCTTTTGACCTGCTCCTTGTGATCTTTCATCCAAATGATTATACTGCAAGACTACCACTGCTTTCTCCGTTCTATTTCTACCAAGATGGAAAAACCTGAAGCCGTCAATTTCGAGGCAGTCTGTGAGGAGGGTGCCACACTCCACAAGATTGGCAGCGACGACATGTGGACTCAAACTGCTCTCACCGCTGTCGCGCGGGACTATGACCAAAAAGAGAAAACTATGCTGGTGATGCAGGCAATCCGCTACTACAAGAAAGCCATTTTCTGGAGCTTGATCATTTCAATGTGTGTCATTATGGAGGGCTTTGACACAAACCTCCTGGGAAACTTCTACCCTTACCGTAAGAAACCCGCCCTGGTGCAACCGAATCTCTATCCCTGACAATCTCAAAGCATCCTTCCAGCGAAGATATGGTGATCCTGTTCCAATCACGCCGCAAACACCGACAGGCTACTCCATCCCTGCTTCATGGCAGTCGGGCTTGGTTCAAAGATCAGGTAAGAACACTCTCTTCCTCTCGATTCTCGCATTGCATAATAACTAGAAACACAGGTGTTGGTTCAATCTTCGGTACCTTGATCAACGGTTGACTTGTCGCTGCCTTTGGACCAAAGAAAGCCGTCTTTTGCACCCTCTGTGTTATGATTTGCTTCTTGTACATCGTCTTTTTTCGCCCCGAACAAGGAAGTTCTCTTGACAGCTGAGATTCTACTCGGTTTTGAATGGGGCATTGTAAGCTTATCTTTCAGCTGTCGAGTACCAGCACTAACAAGTCTTCCAGTTTGCGACCACTGCATCCGCGTATGCCTCGGAAGTTCTTCCACTCCAGCTCGTGTATACTTCACGTCTTGGACGAACATGTGCTTCATCATTGGGCAATTCATTTCGGGTGGTGTCCTCCGAGGACTTGTTTCTCGACAAGATCAGTGGGGTCATCGCATTCCTTTTGCCATTCAGTGGTTCTGGCCTTCATTCCTGATTCCTCTCATTTGGTTCGCACCCGAGTCCCCATATCACCTGGTTCGAAAGGGCAGGCTCGGGGAAGCTGAAAGGTCTCTTCAATGACTGCAGAGCCCTTCCATGGACAGCAAGAGAACTTTGGCTCAGATTGTGTTCACCGACAACCTTGAACAGAAACTCTCAGTTGGCACCAGCTATAGAGATTGTTTCAGAGGAATCGAACGCCGCCGCACTGAGATTGCTACGGTCGTGTTTGGTGGCCAGCTTGTCTGTGATCTTTGCTTTGCTTGCTCTAGTACATACCTCTTCCAGCAAGTCGGCCTGGATACAGGAGGCAGCCTACTCCCTGAGTGTGGGAGCCAATGATCTGGCTCTGTTTGCTTGCTTTGCCAGCTGGTTCCTGTTGATGCCGTGAGTGGTCACGTATGGGATTGTTGACGCACTGTTCACTCACATCATGAATAGGTACTTCGGTCGCCGAATCGTCTATGTAGCAGGCATGGCTGCCATGGCAGTCGAGCTTTGCTTGATTGGTATCCTCAACGTGTAGATCGACAAGCCGGCCGTTGCCTGGACTCAAGCTGTGTTGACTTTGGTTTGGACCTTCACTTTCGAACTCTCAGCTGGTCAACTTGGCATGTACGTCGAACCTTTAGCGGAAGACTTGATCTAATCTGCCTTTTCTACCCAGGATGGGCCTTGCCTGCTGAGATCGGCTAAACTCGTCTCAGACAAAAGACTGTCTGCCTTGCCCGCAATGTCTCAAACATCCTAGGTGTCATTTGTGGTACTCTTGAAAATTACTTCATGAACCCTACCGCGTGGAATCTCAAAGGTTGTACAGGGTATGCATTCTTTTTCGACGAGATTGATCCTCTCTGACCACTTCGATAGCTTTTTGTGGGGTGGGTGTCCCTTGGTCGTTTTTGGTTGGGCCTATTTCCGCCTACCAGAAACCAAGGGAAGAACCTTCGACGAACTCGATACACTCTTTGCTAAGCGTGTGCCTGCCCGAAAGGTTGATAGCACGGATGTTGACGCTTTCAACGAGGAAGAGAATGGCAAGTTGGCTACACAATATGCCCGCAAGCGAAGCCTTGAGTCTCTCAGCGAGGAATCAAAGTGGTCTACGAGGCGTTAGAATACCGTCTGATATTGGTGGGATCTTTCTGGAATGTGGAAAAAGAGTCGGTATTTGTCTCCAGCCCTTCAGGATACCTTTCCAGCTTGTCCATTTTGTCGTTTGTGGGAACAGATTCGCATTGAATTGGGTTTCTAGATAAAACAACGGAACTCTTTGAGTTGTGGTCCTAGATATTACGGAATACAATTGGTTTGAATCGATGGCATCACGACTTTTAACGATAGGTTGTCAGGAACCTTGTCTATGAAGAAAGAGGGTTCAAAAGACTTTCTGAAAGACTTTCGGAAGGAGAGAAAGTTGAAGCATATAAATGGACATAGTAAAAATTTTCTCTAGTCTGGATATGGGGGATCCAAATGTACCAGCTCTCCTCTATACCTGAAATGGGTATAGTGTGTCGTGCGATTAGCCTCGGCCTGTGTAAATGCAGCCCAACCACCCCCAAACAACAGAGACAGGGCGACTTGATATCAATATCCGCGACTCTCAATGCAATTTCCAATGGCTGGTCAATGATTGCTGCCTCGGCTTGTCTACCCAGCCTCGATCATTCATGATTCAATCGTCGAGATCAATGTCTGGATGACCAAAGTGGGTCGTAGCTAATAGGGTCGCCCGTCTCATCAACGGAAAATCCAGGATCTGCTATCATTGATCAAAACCCGGGTCGCCGTGACATTCTAACAGGGCAACATTATCTTTGTTTCCGAGTTATTCATCAGACATACCGTCATATTTCAGTCCATAAAAGTACTCATATACATCTTCTCGGCCTCCTTGGCGATATTTGCAAGCCCCTCGCAGACTATATCTGCCTGAATAGAGCGCCCAAGCGCTTCCATCCCAAATTGGAGCTCCTCTTTTACCCGCTCCGCATCTTGGACCCGACTCAAATTACTTGATCGATCAAATAGGTTTGAATAACTAACTGGCGAGATTTCCGGAGCACATCGCAGTTCGAACCCGCCAAAGCAACAGAGCCACTGTACAGAAGCTCTGTAGCTGAAGGCAAGCTATGTAAGGCATGGATCTTGGTGACGCCAAGGCTCGTCTTAACGCCCAAGGAATGGCTTTCTCCACCTCGGCGGTGTCGGAGTACATTGGGTTCGGGGCCGGAATACGGAGAAAGACCCAAGCTGCAATTTTCTAAGGACATGTCATGCGGCAGTTGCATAGACTCGGTCAAGGAGAGCAGAGATGCTGACAAGAGGTCGTGTTCACTGCTTGGGTATCAGGGTAGTAGCTTCGTCGATACACGTCAGGATCTCCATTTTGGGCACTGCTAGAAGTCTTTTCAGGCAACCTGCAGGCTCTTTCATTGGCCAACTCCGCCGCTGCAACAGGACCTCGTCGGCGCCACCTCGACGACTTGGTTGATATCGGCTCTTCATGGTGGATGGAGCACTTCAGATGGTTACTGCGGAACTTTCCTTGTTGGTCTATCTTTAGACCGTAATTCTCACACTGGTACATGGTGTCTGCTCATTGCAACGGATCTTAGCAGCCCGGCTGTTGGTATATTGCTGTCAGTCTGTAGTCCCTGACAGGATCCATCCTCAGAGTCATACACCACATTCCAAGCTAAGCATGCCAGCTTCACAGGCCCACTACTTGTTGCAGGCGGCATCCTTTTCCATCAATGAATAGTTCGTGTCTATTCATCCTCCATTTCCCTGGATAAGATTTTCCTACTTCCAAGAAAAGCTGGTTGGGCAATGAAAGTTTTGAGATAGCCAGTTGAAAGAACGGAGGAAGAAGGGAATCAATCAATCGGCAAGGCGGTGGAATGTGAGGACAATGGATTTATCTTTCTCTCATGATATTGTATTATAATCGTCTCCACTATATTCATAGTTTGCTCGGGATTTTCAGTGACTGATCCGAATGCTGTTCAAGGGAACCAGGGTGTTTGATTCTGAATAAGGCTAAATGTGGAGACCGCACATTTTGGATAGGTAGGAAGTAGGTGGGATTCGAGAATATATTTATTCGACACTCTTTAAGTACCTAGCCCGGTATCCGCTATCGCGTTGCCTTTTAGCAAGGTTATTGTCGGTTGCTTTTACTATTATGGGATCCTTTCTGGAGTATTGGTGTCATTCGGCTGACTCTATGATTTTCGGTATTTTCCATAGGTTTGGTAGAGCACAGGGCTACTGGAAAGAGCAAGCGAAAGATAGAAAAAGGTTCAAGCCTTGATTCGAGTGCTATTTTAGAAATATGGCATGGCCACGAGATTGACTCACTATCAGTGGGCAGCTTGACAATCTGCTCCCAAAAAACCAAAGGCCACACCTAGCTTTTACTCCAGGCGAATAGATGATCCAAGGACGTAAATGCCTGGCAGAGGATGCTTTTTGGCCAGTGCGTCCTCTTGTTCCCAACTTTCCACGTTCAACTTGATGCCTGTTTCTTTCTGCACTCTCTCCCAAAGTCTTCCCCAACTAGCCAGGTCGTGGTAATAGTAGGGTAGGCGGGCGGTAGTAGCATTCAATGTCTCTTGATTTCTGCACATGACTACTCGGCAGACGACCATAGACCCAGGTTGTGCGACCATGAGATCTAGAACTCGCTTTGCCACTGTCACTTGCTGATCGAAATCAAAAACGTGAAGGAACAGAGAGATGTAAACAATGCCAAGCTGACCCTTCAGCTGCTTGACAAGTTCCGAATTATCGTCGAGGACATCGGCGCTGATAAAGTGAGATTTGCTGATCGCGCGATCGAGGAATAGGTCATAGCCAAGATCGAGAAATTCGGCACGCAGGTCCGAGCCGTAGAGGTTCTCAGAAGGGGCACCATCGTAGATCTAGAAATTTGCCAGATGGTGTGATTAGTTAACAGGACCATAAAGGCAAGAGAAATATGAGAGATTTCGATAATAACGCACCAGCTGGCGTAACTCCTGTCCAAAAGCACATCCCAAGTCAAGAAGTTTATCGCCATTCTTCACCCGCTCAAGCATCTCAGGGTAGCATGGTGACGACGCGATGCTCAGCTCAAGAAACGAGGCCTGTCCAATACAAGCGTAAGGGAACTAAGGAGCACGAAGCCACCATTTTAGAAGTCCACCTTCAATAGCACCAGTATTTGGTGGACAGGAGATATCACTCACTACTGCGAACGCGCGATCTCTCTGTCAACCGTTAACATCACGCTCGATCGGAACTGATGAGAGAATGATCACTGACCAGGTCCTTTACATGTTGCAAAATCTGAGCAGCTGGGATTTTGCTATAGATTTCAAGAATTGTTCGCGCGGGTTCATTGACCTGCGTCAGCTCCGCGGCGTAGAGGCTCTTTGGGTCAAAGCCATTTTGAATGGCAGTCTCCAGCTGGGAATCAGGATGCATGGTGAACGTGTGATCGAAAAAAGGAGCAATGACTTGCAGGAGGATTGTTGTGGAATATTGGTCCTGGGCCCTCTGATATTTATGTTATCGAACAAAAGAGTCATGAGAGTGGGGTTACCTCCAACGGAAACCAGGATCGTATCTGAGAGATGGTTGAATCTGGAAAACAAAAGTCTCATGCAGTACAGATCAGCAGTTATGATCATGCAGGAGATTGGTCCAAATAGTGTAGAGCTGAAGACTGCAGGATGAGCTGTTATTGGCAAGCCATAGTTCAATAACACATCACTACGGAGTATATGCAAACGCAAGGGTGGTAATTTCCAGCACAGAAGGGTCCACTTGTGATCACCTTCCAGCCCCCTGGGCATAAGATGCGCAGTAGAAGTAGTCTAAGCTCGTAATGTAAAGCACTCAGCAGTACCGGATCATAAAACTATATTAAATGATAAGGAGAAAGGGGATTTAGGCAGGGTACATAGGTCAGCCTATCTTCTGAATGCGGTTCTGACCCGCTGCTCGCAAACTTCACCGTCAAGACAAGCTTCTGCAGAAGGTCTCCTATCGATTTCCACAACAGAATGGGCCTATTCTATAGCTCACCATCACGCGAACCAGAAATTGATCCAAAAGATGAGATTGTTCCGCTTCGTTTTTGGGATACCGCTTTGTGCATGCGAGGCACGGTTTTAGACGTCTCATTGAAAATCGATCATTACTTGGACATAGCAAAGATCCGTGGAGCCTTGGATGAGCTGTTTGAGTTAGAGGACTGGAAGCAGCTGGGAGCCCGACTACGCTTGGTCGTGAGTCATACTCGTTTTCATTCTGGGTAATTTACGTGCGTTCTGTACTGATCAAATGCCCTATTTTAGAACGGAAAACTTGAATACCACATTCCACGGTCATTTGATGCGTCGAGGCCCGCGTACTACTTTTCCAATGTTGAACATGCTATGAGCATCAATGACCATCCATTCGGCAAGAAAATCCCGAAGACAAGCGGCAAGCCTACCCTTCTCGGCTCCCCCGATGAATTGAGTCCTCTTCTCTGCAATGTCGACAGCCCGACAAAATTGGACGATTGGATTTACTCCGATAGACCACAACTTTGCATACACACAGTCAGTTTCAATGATTCAACAATCATTACAGTAACTTGGATACACACACTGGCCGATGTGATGGGAATTAGCACATTTCTGAACGCATGGACAGCACTTCTCAGAGGCGAGCCGAAGTCCGTCCCTAAGCTACATGACTTTAGGTCCGATCCGCTGTCCCTGCTCGGTCAACAAACACCAGCAAGCAAATACCTCTACTATGACCGTGTCTTCGCTCGAAAAGACTTTCTCTGGTTCATCGGGCTCAATATTCTGGAAAGATTCTGGTACCGAAATGAGGAACGGCGCACCATTTGTCTGCCCGCGTCATCATTGAAACGTCTTCACTCGATAGCAATGGAGCAAATCTCACCCATTACACCCACCGATGACAAGTCTGCACCCTTCGTCAGCGAAAGTGATGTCCTGCTGGCATGGTGGGTGAGCACAATTTACGGCGCACTTGACCTCGGCCCCGATCAAATGATCCTGGTCAACAATGCGCTTAATCTTCGGACATCAACACATGATTCATTTGAGCCAAACGAGAATGTGTATTTAGGAAATGCCCTGTGCATGTCCCCCACCTTTCTTAAAGGAAGTCAAATCTCCAGCGAGGGATTGGGCCAGATTGCTCTTCGGATCAGACACTCATTGACACAACAACGGACAACTGAGCAGGTCGAGGCAATGACAGCTCTACAGATGGAAACAATGGAGAAAACTGGGTACCTAGCCTTAGTGGGTGATCCTCGGATGGTGCTCATGTCCTGCTCCAACTGGAATAAGGCCCGCTTCTATGACGTGGATTTCTCCCCTGCCATTTTGCAGGCATCAACGCAGTCAAACATTGGAGGTCAGGGAAGCCCCGGGAAGCCCAGCTATGTCAATGGAGTTCAACACTCAGCGAATTCGTTCCGGAATGTACTATCGGTCATAGGAAAGGACTCGGCTGGGAGTTGGTGGCTGACAGGGGTTTTGCGCACGGATTCATGGACGAAGGTTAAGGTGCAATTGGACATGATTGACACGGTTTAGATGATGCCATAACCCCAGCAGACATGAACAGAGCATCTGGGCATAGTAACATATTTCAAAATCAACTCTTGTAATGTTTCGCACGTAATACAATCTTTTTTAATACACTTTCTGTACCGAGCCGAATCTAGCTACAGCAGTAGTGCATGTTGCGGCAAAATTATTCCCGTGTAGCCCTTTTCGGACCGAGATTAGCAAAAGACAAACAAATGTGAGTGTGATGACTTGCTAATCGCAGCGAATATCCCCCCTTCACTGATTCCTTGACATTCCTGAGCCCCTGCATATTGTGTTACATTTGTTTTATGTACAGCGCATAGGTACAGTAGAGTCCGTAGGTTTACATGTAGTTCCAACAGCTCGGCCGGGCCCGGGATCTTCTATCCGTGGGGCCAAAGCCACTAGTCCGCCACCATGCATATTTATGCACCACCGATGCCACTAATGCAAGGTTCGCACCGACCCGCCCGCCTCACGATAAGACGACTGTGGTACATAGAAGGATCCACGGAATCGCAGGATGCATTAGTTTATGTTCACAATAATAGAATGTGACTCGTTAATTAATCGTGCAGGTGCTATAATCAGGACGCTGATCAATCGGGCCGATATTTGAAATGGCGGTGAACATATTGTCAATCAATAGTCTCTTCTATCGGAGCCAAACACAAACTCTCGATCACCACAGTTGCTGTAATCTTTCACTATCTACCATTCATCCATGATGGCCAGCGGATTCCTCGCCTCAATCATTTTACAGCATCGCGATGCTTTTGCTTCGGTTGCGGAGTTTCTCCGCATTCTGGCAGGTATCTGCTGGACGTTGAATTATTTCAGCATGCTGTATACGTCTTGGAAACACAAGCTTCCAAGCACTGGCATCTTTCCAATTTGTTGTGACATTGCATGGGAGTATGTCTACGCCTTTGTCCACCCCACTGCGAGTGCGCACTGGCAAGGCGGGGTACGAGTCTGGTTTCTCGTCCATTGTATTGTCATCCTTTTCATCACCAGATATGCGCCCAACGAATGGACCAACATGCCATTCGTGCAACGTTACATCTGGTTGATCTACGGTGCTGTCATTCTTGGTTTCGCTGCTGGCCAGCTGGCATTCGCCGCAGAGGTTGGCCCGGCATTGGGATTCTTCTATGGCGGTGTCCTGTGCCAGACTCTAGCCAGTCTTGGGCCAATATGCCAGATTTTGTCCCGGAATAGTACCCGCGGGGCGTCTCTTCTAACCTGGTAACTTACCTCACCTCACCTCTGCCATGATATTAAACCTGCTAATACATATGCAATCAGGTTGCTGCGGGCAATCGCGACCTTTGGAGGTTTTATCAAATTAAGTATCTATTACTTCACTGGCAGAGACGAAGGGCCCTGGTTTGAAAGCCCGATGTGCAAATTCTATATTGGTTTGACGTTGATTCTGGATTTCACATACCCCTTTTGCTACTACTTCATCCGCCGCCAAGAATTGGCCAGAGCTACTGAGGAGGCGAAGAAGTCAAAATAGCTAGATATCAGATGAGGGTAAAAATGGCGGAATTTCTTACCAAGCCTGTGTTATTTGGTTCATATTTTGGGGAGGGGGAGATTAATGTCCTTGATAGAGTGGGGGGATATTGGAGATGTACTCCGTACATGGTGTTACAATCAGATAAATGGCGCTCCAAGCCACCAGAACATGATAGAAGAGAATTGACTCAGATCATTTTCAAGTTAATGCGTTCAATCGGTGGCAAATCTGTAACTAGAGCTAGACCGAGCCCATATCGTGCGAAGATGAGCACATCGATCGGATGTTTCATTGTGTGTGTCTACGTAAATAAAATGTTGGCAGTGTTCACCTAGAGGAAGCCCTCAGCTCAGAAAGCCCAGCCACACAGTATAATAACGACTGAGGTGGATCTCATCTGGACCAATTGCATGCATGTCTCTGCAAGGGGAGACTGCAAGGCCTACGAACAGCTTCCAGCTCAATAAAAGATGATGTGAAAGTGAGAAAGATGGAAAAAGAAAAGACGAAGGAAAGTTACATCAAATAATAAGGAAAAGGGCCGGCGTGTGGTATTCGAACGGCAGGTCCCTGGTACCAACTGGTTGGGTCTCTCCCCTCTCTCCCCCACCAGCACACACGCACGTCTAGTCCCGCCATAACTAAAGTTAACTCCCATCTTCAAGGCAAGTCGAACGCTGGCCATGGGAAATCCAACACCCAAAGTTATTATCGTCGGAGGGTCTATTACGGGCCTGACTTTGGCGCATTGCTTGTCCCGAGCTGGCATAGACCATATAGTTCTGGAAAAGCGAGTAGAGATCGCTCCTCAAGAAGGCGCATTCATTGGACTGTGGCCTAATGGAGCTCAGGTTTTACAGCAACTTGGTCTTTATGAGAGTCTTGAGACGCTTACCACGCCGGTGGATCGGATGCATATTTCCTATCCCGATGGCTTCACTTTCAGCAGCCTACTTCCAAGAGGAATACACGAGAGGTTAGCTTTCAACGGCATTATATTCTCGCCCGTTTTTGACATAGTGTAATAGGTTGAACTACCCCATCGTATCTTTGGACCGGAAGAAAGTGCTCGAAATTCTCTACGACCACTATCCCGACAAGTCTAAGATTATCGCGAATAAGAGAGTACTGGAAGTGAAGCTCTCCCATGAGGAGGCCACTGTCGTGACAGATGACGGTCAATCATATCATGGGGATCTCATAGTTGGCGCTGATGGGGTTCATAGTCGTGTACGCTCCGAGATGTGGAGGTTGGCAGACACTATGAATCCCGGACTGATTACTCCGAGGGAGAAGAACAGTAAGTGCAACTGCCCTCGGATCCTCCCAGGGAGTGATATATGACCCATGAAGCTTGTACTACAACTAACTTCAATTTCAGGTCTTACTATCGAGTACGCATGCGTCTTTGGAATATCGCTGCCGATAACTGGTCTTCGAAGTGGCGAGCACATCAACCGCTACGGTGACAAGTTCTGTGTCATAACCTTTCACGGAAAGGGGGACCGCGTGTTCTGGTTCATAATCCAGAAGCTGGATCGTGTCTACGCCTACTCTGATGCTCCTCGATACTCTCCAAAGGATGCTGCTGCTCTCTGTGCCAAACTGCGCGACGTGAAGCTCCTGGGAGATGTCACCGTCGGTGATCTCTGGAAAACCAGACAGGTAGCGTCAATGATGGCACTGGAGGAGGGTATGTTTGAGACTTGGCATTTCAACAGGATAGTGCTACTCGGAGACAGCACACATAAAGTAAGATTCATTGGACTTGCTCAAATTGTTCGGAACAAGCGTTGCTGACATTTCTCCAGATGGCACCTAACATCGGCCAAGGGGCAAACACAGCCATTGAGGATGCTGCTGTATTGGCTTCCCTGCTTAACCGTCTTATCAACAAGGGCGCTGCACAAAGTCCATCAGGGCACGATATTGAGAAAATGCTACAGGAGTATAAAGCTTTGCGATTTGAACGTGTGAAAAGCACCTGTGGGAGGGCAAAATTTGGAGCCCGGTTCCACGCTCGGGACGATTGGCTCAAAGCTTGGGTTGGTAGATATATATTTCCACGTATTGCTAGCCTAGTTGAGAGTCGAGCATCCAGTGTCCTAGTGGGAGGGGGTATGATCGACTTCTTGCCGATACCCGAGCGAAACACTGGCGGAAATCCTTCCAAAAGACCTGATGCAGGCAAGCCCCACCAGCACCAGTGGAATATGCTCTGGCTTTCTTCGTTTTTGGTTTTTCTCTCTCTTCCTGTTGTGCACCACTTTTTGCTTTCTTCCTGAGCCACACTCGATAACTAGTGAATCATCTCGGTTATTTTTTATTTTTTTCCAGATCGTCAAAAATATTTCATCTGCACAGATGTTCCAATCCGATATTTAGTACAGTACTACCTGTTGCACAACTGCCCCGTATTTGCATAAATATTCTCATTACTTTTGTTGTGGGTCTGCAACTCAATGGTGGTAAAAAAACACAGCTGAGCATGGAACTCTGCGCAAGGGACCCAGCAACAGCGCTGTCATTGTACGATAGCTATGCATCGTGCTATTGAAAAGCTGCAGGATGCCTGTATCATTTCGTGCTACAGAGATACTAAAATGCTCATTGCCGAAATCTGCTCGATGCCACATTCTCACTACTTCCGGGCTGTGGTCAACATAACCGCCTGACTAAATAACGGTCTCCTTGGGTAGACTGGTATCTCCTACTTCTTCTCAAATACTCTCCATCACCGCAATATTGGGCTAAGCCTATTTCCTTGATTTGTGCCTTTAACTTATTCCAACATGAATTGCCCAAACAACATTCAGAAAGACAAAGCACAGCTCTCATTGTCAAAAGCCTTGGCGGCATATGGCGAGTTGATGAGGGTCCATCGACCTCTTGGATTCTATCTCAATACTTCTCCTTATCTTGTGGGCGTCGCATTCGCGGCCTCGGTCTCACCCACCCGAATCCCACTGAATATTATTGCGCATCGCACCGCACTTCTTTCCGCTTGGTCTTTCTTCCTTCGCTGTGGTGGATGTGTTTGGAACGACCTGATCGATTCAGACTTGGATAGCCAGGTTTCGCGAACAAGATCACGGCCCATCCCTCGGGGAGCGGTATCAAAAGCCCATGCCGCTTTGCTGACCTTCATCATTTTCGCGTGTGGAGGCTACACGGTCACCTCTTTACCGCGCCCTTGCCTACTCGATGCTTCTATTATTACATTCTTTGCTTTGCTATATCCTTTCGGCAAGCGATTTACCGATTACCCACAATTGACCCTGGCCAATATCGGTTGGGCGGTTCCTATGGCCATGCACAGTCTTGGCCTGGAACCCCTCACTCAGCTTCTCCCCACTGTGTGCATGTATATGTTCATCGCAACATCGATCATTATGATTGACGTGATCTACGCGAGGCAGGATACTGAAGATGACACCAAAGCTGGCGTGAGAAGCATGGCTGTGCGATTTCGGAATAGCATCAATACTGTTGCATATTCTCTTCTATATGCTTCTACCGCTTTTCTTGCGACCGCAGGGGCTTTGGCTGGGCTGGACTTGCCTTTCTTCATTTTATCTGTTGGAGGCCATTTTATCAGCTTCTCAATTCTGCTACAAGCAACCCGATTTGGAAAGTCCTCAAAGGTGGAGGCTCATACAAAATCACCCTTCTTCCTTGCCACCGTGTTTTGGGTACTTGGATTCGTCGCCGAGAACTGTATCAACGACTAGACCTGGGTTCCTGCGGTTAGGTACTCTTGCTTTACGCGGTTATGTATCTATCTATGAGGAGAAGATGGGTTTTGAATAGTTTATTCAATGAGGTGGTTCTCATTATTTATTGAAGTACTATGCAAATGAATCCACTTGTTGCCGCTTTTTATTGTAATCAAGTTCATGGCATTGAAAACGTGGAGATTGCTTTAAGGTCTGAATTATTTCTCATATACTAGTCCTGGTCCTTGAATATCCAGCCGAGGCATCACAAAGCTCAAATCACCGACCAAGCATTGTCGACTGGAATGACAGCCCCGTTAATCCTTTTGCTGTGAGAGGAGATCAAGAATAGCAGAGACTGGACAATGTCGTCCGGTTCAACGCCGAAGCCCATCGACCTGTCAGAAGCATGTGCTTGGTGAACTGAGGACATTGTCTCGAGTGCGGCCTTGTCCCAAAGTTCTGGATTGGATGCCTGAACTATGCCAGTTGGAACACCTACAGTAATTCAGTCACTTCTTGAGCGGTTTATACTCCATCGATCGAATTTTCTTACCACCGGGACAAACCGCGTTGCAGCGAATTCCTTCCTGCTTGTATCTCCAAGCGACATTCTTTGTCGCTCCTATCAGACCATGTTTGCCTATACGCATTCCGCGTTATTTCTAGTACGGCTTATCAGAGTAGCGGGTTACTTACTTGCTGTGTATGCGACACCAGAAGCGGCGCCACTCGTAGCCGCTTTGCTACCGACATTGACTATGCTTCCGCTCTTCTGTTCTCGCATTATGGGAATGACCTCCCGCATCAGCTTCACTGGAGCCGTCAGATTAATCGCGATGCACCGATCCCACATCTCATCCGTCAAGCTGTCGACGCTGTTGTTACGGTCCATGATTCCCGCAATGTTCAACAACCCGTCAATACGTCCACCAAACTCTTGAACGCATGTCTCAACAATATCCTTATGCGTGGCCGCATCTGTGAGGTCTCTCTGCAGAAACCTGAAATTCTGATTCTCATTCAGAGACTCCGGTGCAGAGGCGACATCGACACCTAAGACCTTAGCTCCTTCGCTCAGAGCTGCGCTTGCTGTGGCAAGACCGATCCCAGACGCGCTGCCTGTGATGATCAAAACCTAACAAGACTTTAGCTGTCCTTCTTCTATTCGTTACCGCGCCTTGAAGTGCGATTTGGAGACTCACGTGATCTCGAAGTAGCGACATGGTTGCATCAAAAGCGATAGAAAAACTCGAATCGCCGACAATGTCGAGCTTTGTGAATAGTCAATAGAGCTTACTCTCAAGGTCAAGGATCTGGGAAATTTGTCCCGCCTTTTCCACTATCATTCAATGATTTTCAATGCTTCATTTATTCCTTACATATAGTAGATTCCATTTTAGTTAACTTGCATATCCTGCGGGAAAAAGAAAAACAAAGAAAGGAAAAAGAAACAAACTAAACCCACTCATCGACCGTGAATTTCACGTAGTACCAACGAATCATACATCATGCACAATGTGAGAGAACACAGCCGCATCGTACTTTATCTACACTGTCTGGCCACATGCGGGTAGATAGTCCCACAGTGCATATGCACAGCATTTTTAAAATTTATGAAACTTTACCGTACTTATCAGGGATTTAACTATGCGTCATAGAGTGGTAGTTTTTATTTGGTGATTGAGATACATGTGGCATTATTGGACGCCACGGTGGGGCTATCTACCCGCCTGTGGCCAGACAGTGTAGCCCAACCGCTGATCAATACTCCGTCACTTCTCCTTTGACTGATGTGTTTCAGCGCAATAATTTCCGAATTTTTTGTTGGTCCATTTCTCACTCAATTCCTTTTCTGGAATCCAGATTCACGGGGATAATTGATTTTAAGAATACAATCCATTTTGAAGTAAGAGAAGATCCTGCAAAGAGTGGACAATTTTTTGTTTTATACCTTGAATTAAAGTTAAGACTACATAGATTGAAGCTGAACCTTGTCAGCCGTTAAAAAGGTTGGGAGAAACGTTGTAGATAGCCGCTTGCGGTGGCCCATTATTGGAGGCCAACGATCACGATTACAAGGAATCGCTAGTAGAGTATGACAAATTCTGATTGATCAATCCGACTTATTCAAACTACATCTTAACTGACAAGAATTCAATGGTTGTTACTACACAACAATCTTGGTGGCACACACGAGACTCCTGTACATCGTGGTGAAAAGTGGGCGCCCGAAAAACAAAAAGTAGATTGTCTAGAGCTCCTTCAGTAGATGAGGCCTGGCCTCATCACCTAGAACCTTGAGGCGGACTTTCCTATCAGAAAGCCAACAAATCACCTTGGATGCTCTTATTATGTGGTGGCGCTATTTCACTCGTTGGAGTACTTTAATATAGATCTTTTGAGAGAAGGTTGCTATGGCAACCCACGAGGAGAGCGTGAAGCACTTGATATCACAGGACCGTACTAGGTATCTAACTATGTATTAATGGACGGAAGTCATGACAACAGCGAGATAATTGTGTAACCATGCGAGAACGGTGATGATTGTACCCTCTGTTATCCTTTGTTATTGGGGCGGTGTAACATTGAGACACGTTATGGCTGGACATATCAGATTTCAGAGGCTGCCTCAGGGGCTCTGACCCACAGTCCATGCACCCAGTCTATATGTGGCTGGCCAGCACGAACACCAACAAAATTGGAAATGTACGGGTTTTCAGGCGAGCAGGGCGTTCTTGAAGAGCATTGGGCTTTTTTCCTCTTTTTCATTTTTCTAGGGAAGCACCTTCATACGAGTTGCATTTTCATATTCCTGATAGTCGACGCGTATGCAATGACAGCACACGTGTACAGGTGTCGCCGGTGGAGTTGAAGGCAAGTTGATTAAAATCAATTGTTTGCTGCGAGGCGCTATCAAGTTACTGCTTGTGTATCACAGGGGCCATATTCGCAGGTACGATCCACCTAAGACTGCGCTGAACCCAATTTACTGACAAAAGCTGAAAAGTGCATGCATAATCTGGTCCTCCACATACTCTTGCTGCTGTTTATTCAAGTAATTGAGAACTATCGTACAATGCAGACTGAAGCTCAATTCAATAAGAAAAGACAGGCAAAAAATTATGTTAGGTAAAGTAGAAGCCTGAAAGCCTGAGTAAAAGTAACCCCGAAGGAAAAAAAAAAAATAAAAAAAAAAGGCGGGGAACATGAAGTCTCAGGAGGCCGATATCAGGAGGCCGATATTGGGCATCATCGTCGAGCAGCATGGATTCGAGCCTTTTTTGAACTTGGCAATAATCTGAAGACATAGTATAGCACAATAGCTCCAAAAACGTTGACGACAATATACACCCAGAAAATTCCGAAGTTTCTCCAGCGATCTTCCCAAGCAATATCTCTAGTGGCGAGATATTGGTCTGCTGATCGGTAGGGACAGTATAGACACTGTTGGGAAGATTCCGGATTGTAGAGTTCCCCCTCAGCTGCCACTAGGAATTCGTGCAGATATTGACCACAGGTTTGGCCCACTGGCGGGTCAAACAAGCTCAGCTCGCGATCTGAGCAGTGAATAGGCCGGCCATGCAATGCAGTTGCACTGATCCCGCTCACATAGTATGTCAGGGGGGAAACGCGGTTCATAAACTTCCAGAAATGAGGCAGAGCACTCGGCGGCTGCATGATGCCATTGAACAGCAAAGACAGCAGAAACATGAAGACAGCTAGCATGCTTCCAAGAGCGGGATTGGGCAATGAGGCAACGACGAATTGCGCAAAGCTGGATGCAAAGATAAAGAACTGCACAACAAATAACAGAACAAGTGCTTGGCGCTGTGGCGATTGGTCGCCACCGTAGACGGAGAAGTAGAATGAAGCCCAAGTGCAGACTCCGAGCAATATTTGCCAAGGTATTTCGACCAGGAATTGAGAAAGAAGGAAGACTTTCCAAGAGTATGTCTTCGCCGGCCTCTCGCGTAGCTCGTATAGTGATCTCTGAGTAACAAACTTTGGCATTATCCTATTCATGGAGTTAGATTGTAAAGCCTCATGGTAGGCAGAACGAAGTTAATACTCACTGATTTACCATCGTAGAAAAAATGGTACAGAGAAGAAAGAGGCTGAACAAAGTGTTCTGAAAGCCTTGGCGAGAATTATCCGATTTCCAGAAGGAGAACCCGATAAAAAGGCCACAAACGATTCCCAAGGCGAATTTGGCCATGATATAGTCCGGCTGACGATAATATTGTCGGAAGTCACGCTTAATGACATGTTGGCACTGAGCCCAAAATGGCATTGCAAACTCATCATTGTCACTGTTAGGGTTTGTTGGGGACGATGCCTCAGAGGTGCGTGAAACCAAGTGGTCCAAATCATCGAGAACTTGCTTCCGTTCTGGGCTCTGGTTCCACACTTCTGCCCAATCTATAGAACCAGTTTGCTCACTTGCCTCATCACCAACAACATCGAGTAGATATTCAGCGGGCTTAGAGACAATGAAGATCAGTACCTCGTAAGAAATGACTCGCGTTTAGTGTAAATATACTCACGTTTTCAGCAACACCGCAGCGACGCCCTCCATTTGCTTCAACATACTCCAGCAGAGTCCGGGCCCGATGCCCCACATCACCAAAATAAAGGGTTCTGCCACCTTTCCCAAGGAGCAGTAAACGATCAAACTGCCCAAATAAATTTGCACTAGGCTGGTGAATCGTGGCGAGAACAGCTTGTCCATGATCCGCTAATTTCCTCATAAAGGCACAGATTGCCCATGAGCTGTGAGCGTCCAGCCCGCTGGTTGGCTCATCCAGGAAGATAAGCAGTTGGGGCTTTGCAGCAAGCTCAACGCCGATGCTCAAAAGCTTTCTCTGCTCTCCGTTTAAACCGACGCCTGGGTGCCCGATTACAGCTTCGGCAAATTCTTCCATGCCCAACATATGGATCACATCCTCAACAAAGGCATTTTTCTCCTCGACTGAGACATCGCGCGGTCTTCTCAGCGCCGCACTAAATTGAAGAGCCTCGCGAACTGTTGCGGTGTCCAGGTGAAGATCTTGCTGGGGAACGTAAGCGGTCTTCCGGGGAAAGCTAGAGTCAAGCCCATGGCCATTGACGAGCACATCTCCGGTGACAACTCCTACAGACACACGTTGAGCGAGCACATCCAAGAGGGTGGTTTTTCCTGCACCCGAAAGACCCTGTGTTGTAAAATATTAGTCGAGAGGGTGATAATGCAAGCTAGGGGTAGAAGGATTGCGTACCATCAGAGCCGTGAGGGTGCCTGGTTTCACCCAGCCACTAACATCTTCAAGTAGTCTTTTGTGGCCGCCCTTGATAGGAATTTCATATGTGAGACCCTTCCAACTAAGAACATCCTGCTGTGGTGGAAAGGAGTCTATCTTTGATTCTAGATTCCTAGCCGTTTCCCCTGTGAATGGCTGCTCGCCAAGCTCCAGGTCTCGTTTGTGTGGGACCTGTGGCACGCCACCCGCACGAAAGACCAAAACTTCCGCAGCTGTCTGGCCTTTTGGAGAATACTCCGTGAGCACAAGATGGACAATGTGGAAGAAGACTGAAAATGCCACCATGATCGCAAAATTTCTCCAGATGTGTCCATATGAATACTCGTAGCCATCCCCAATGTACCTATCCCCCGACACAAGAAGGTCTCCTGCCTTTGCACCGATGGAAGAGCATGTGAATGATTTCCCTCGAACAGACGGCAGATAATTCGGTATAAAGTCCGCGCATTCATACATGCGACCGTGAAACTCGTTGGCGATAATACCCTCGTAGGCATAGAAGATTGGATTGAGCCATCTGATCCAGGAAAACCATGGATGCATATCGAATTGTGGTAGGGTGAAACCAGTATAAACGGCGATACACATGATCAATATACCGGCCAAGGCCATGGCTTCGCCGACTGCGCGGGTCATGCTGGCCAGCGTGCGAAACATTCCCGACATTGTCATTACCGCGGTGAGCTGGAAGAGGATGTAAATGAAGAAGTTTGATGCCTCTCTTCGAAGGCCTGCCATGAAGTACAGAATCAAACCGGCCAACAGACAACGGATCAACTTTATGGGAAGGTCCAGAATAATCCCAGCGAGGGCTTCAGTGAAGGGGTGAACAAATGCGAACGCGGTTTGCTTCTCGACAATTGGTCTCTGGCTAAATAGTACGTTGATCTCGAGCATTGCAATTAATGCATTGGTCAAGACAGCCAAGAATAGAACGGTGGCTCTTTGACTAAGTCCCGTAGAGTTGTCAGGAATGTTGAAGAAGAGCGACCCAATAATGACGGCTACCACGATTTGCACGATGGCGGTAGCAATTATAGAAGGAAGGTCGTTACGTGTGCGCTGGAAGGCTCGGATCAAGCACAAATGTATCTGCGAGACCAAGGAAAGTAGATAGGGCGATGAAGGCTGAGCTTGGCAGGCTTGCTCGGCATGTTTCAGGCAAGCAAACTTAACTTCCTCCATGCTATCAAGCGGGTGTTCCCGAGCGTATCGTCGTAATGATGCCTGAAGGGCAGCATAATCGGGGCTTTGCTTCCAGTATGCCTCAAATCCAACAGCATCACGGGGAACTCTATTTTCCATTCCAATTTGGGGCTGCCTCTCACCAGGGTCAGTCACGGCGGCAAGGAAGTCGGCACTTGTCTGTCGAGGAGGTCGTTCCCAGCCCATCTCTTCAAAGTATTCCACAGCGCGCGTCGATGGACCAAAGAAGACTTGGTGCCCTTTGTAAAGAATGATGACATGGTCGAAAGTATTATAAATGGGATCGGAGGCTTGGTATGCCGCGACAACATGGCAGCATCCCGCGAGGTCTGCGGATAAGCGAAGCGCACGAACAAACTCAAGCGCGTTGAGGGCATCTAGACCTCGCGTACTATTATCCCATGCACCGAGAGAGGCCCGACATAGCAACATCTCAGCGATACTATTTCCCAAAACTGTTAATATCGCGCATTACCTAATTGTCACCTTGTAACCACTAGCGGCTTACCTCACTCTTTTCCTCTCCCCTCCACTGACGCCCCGAACAAAGTCATCTCCCACTTTTGAATCGTATAGATGCGACAGACCCAAGAGATTCATAACATTGTTGACAGATGACTCTGCGTATTCGTCTCGACTGACCATGCCCAGTTGATTCTGCGGAGCACGCGCATGCGCCGCAAAGGAAAGTGTTTCACCAACTGTCAGATGTGGGAAATGGTGGTCCACCTCTGAGTTGTAAACAACCTCCCCACGAAACCCATCGACAATTTTCTTCTGTGAGATGCCCTTGTACTGGATTTTGCTGATTGGATCCAATTCCAGACTCTCAAAATGCCCGCAAAGCACTTTGAGAAAAGTTGAACACCCACTCCCGGGTCGGCCGAGTACCAAAAGCATTTCGCCTGGGTTTACAACCCCATGAAGTCCGTACAAGATCGAGCTTTGTACCCGACCCTCACGTCGACCCCGAAACAGGGCTGCGATATGCGTCACTGGGGAGCAAAGCGTAGAGAGGACCGTAGGTTGGACGCGAAGGGTAGAGTCCGACCCGTGAACAAACAAGTCCTCAAATAACACACCACGCTGGCGAGGCTCCAGCGCTGTAAGACCTGGAGCACAAACATTGCTGCTCGCCCAGCCTGGGATGTCAGTCTCCTCTGTTGCTGTCGGTTGGTCTTCCTTGGAACTGCCCAGGACTGGCCGCTGCTCCGCTTGGGCTGAAACAGGAAGGAGTCCATCAGAGAGGGGTTTAGAATTAAAAACGGATTTCTCAGAATCTTGTGAGAAGTTCCCTGACATAGACCATATGGCCCGGTCGCCTTGAGGGGAACTCATAATGCGCTCAGGATTACGCGCAAGATTGAGGTTGATGGAGCAATTCGCACTTTCCCTACTTGCACGATTCGTGGAATGGGCTGCATAGGGCGAGCAAAGCGCAAGGAAAATTTAAGAAGGCCAGGGGATGTTAAGTGCCATCAATAAGTTGGTGTTGACAGATTTCGCATGGATAGACACTATGCTTGCTGGAGCGGCGGGAACTATCCGACCCAGGTCGGACTTACGTGGACTACTGGCAACTCTAGACTACGACTAACTATTTGTTTTTTTTGTCCGAGTGAACGAAATGGCATTTGGAATTGATTGAGAGGTGTTCCTCTGTACCACCAAGTAGTTTTTTTCCCCACTTGAGGCCGCTGATCGTTACCCAGTGCTGGCCCTGTTTTGGCTGAAGCTGTGGGCTCAAGTCAACAGATCTCACCAATTGTGATTTCACCTCTATGGCCAATGTAAGGGATAGGGTGTGAATTGTTGAATGCAATCGAGGCTACACAACCCAAGTCGCATTGGAGTCCCACTGGAATGTGAAAATGCCAGCTGTACAAAGTGCCCAAGAGAAATGTTTCAACAGCTCCTGATGGTAGAAACAAGAAAATAAAAATACAATTAAATGGTGGCAGAAGTGGAAATAGTGAGTATTCGGTGAAGAGTGGCGATTAGCCGCTTTCAAACGAATGGCTGGCAAGTCTTCTTGAGAGACGATGGGCGATCGCAAACTAAAGTTGATCGCCAGTGCATCCATGCAGCTTAAAGCTCCCCTTTCTTGGGACCCACGGAAGGTCAGCCAGCCACGAGTTATGAGAATGGACAGTAACGACATGAAGTCACAACTTGATTGAATTACTCTTGCTTTGATTGTGCAGATACGAGATGAGAGATGCTACGCTGTGGGCGATCAACTGCAGGTGGATCCCCAGTTCGTGGAAGAGTAAGGCGTCTATGCAATATTTTGCTAATCTGTACTCCATAGACCATCCAGAACCTGCATATCAGGACAACTAGTGAATGGGTCTCTTGTTTGCCTCTTTTCCATCGACTTTTTGTTCTGGACTTTTGTGATGATAAACACTCCAGCAGCATACTCTGGTATATAAGTTACGGGACCGTAGTCACGCAAAAGTACCTATTCAAGCCTGTTCCTTCTTCTTAATATCCCGACCGTGGTCTTCAGCTGGTTCTCTCTCCTTTGGTAGCCACAATGGCATCCTCAACTGTCCACACAGCTCGGCCCGTTTGCCTTCTTTTTGGACCTCAAAGTTCAGCGATCGCCGAGAGCTTATTCTTCATTCAAAATTCCCTCCAAACTATTCCATCACTCATATTTCTCAAGCCCGTTCTAGAGGAGCTTGAATCTTTATGGACTGTCATCACAAATGCCTGGCCTGCGTTATCCCAGGTCTCAGGTGCTGAACAACTGAATGTGCTCGGTCAGCTAGCACGAGGCGAACCTCTCAGAAGCCCAGAACTCGCATTGAATGTCCTCTTAACTCCTGTGACATTACTCAGGCAAATCATAGAATATTGGACCGCTTGGGGACCTATACGGGAGCATCACGTCGTTGATGCTCAAGGCTTTTGTGTTGGATTCCTAGCTGCAGCTGCGGTCTCATGTTCACAGGGAACAAGTGACTTCCCAGTTATTGCATCAGCCATGATACGCCTAGCTGTATGTATCGGAGCTGCGGTTGACTTGGATTCTCTCGAACACGGCCAGAGTCAATCTGTCGCGGTGAGATGGAAAGGTGATATGGATGACGAAAAGCTGAAGCAAACTTTGCTCGGTTTTGAAACGGTGCGTACTGGAGGATTCCTTCCATCCAAACATTCATGATTCCCCTCAAATCTAACGATCATTTATTTAGCCTTACATTTCCTGCTATACCGATACAAACTCAGTCACAGTCAACATCATGGATACCGAGTTATCTGATTTCTTGGAGCAATTAAAAAGTCAGGACTTCTCGGCCAAGGTCATCAGCGTGCGCGGAAGATTCCATCATGATGTTCACATCGATTCTGTGGCACACCTTGCGAAATTATGTGTGCAGGATGCCCGGTTCCGCTTGCCCGACACCGAAATTTGGTCACCCCTGCCACTGAGATCCAACGTGAACGGCGAGATTATTGAAAATATCTCAAGGATCCATGAAGTGGCCCTGGAATCAATACTTGTAAAGCCTTCCCTCTGGTCCCTCACTGTATCCTCCGTGATTGAGGAAACCCAGGGCGGGTTTGATGGGCAACTTACATTTTCTGCCATCGGGACTGATCAATTCGTGCCACGCTTAATCAAAAATCGCCTCGTCGATCTACCAAGTTCATCGAGTCGATTGTCCAGCAATGGTGAATGTGGTCGGGCAGAAGATGAGGCGACGAATACACAAATCAAAACAAATATCTCCCCGACCGCACTCCCTATCGCCATCACTGGCATGGGTTGTCGATATGCGCAGGCGGATTCACCAGAGCTTTTATGGGAGATGCTACGACTGGGGAAGACCGCTGTTAGTCTACTTCCTAACAAGCGGTTTAACATGGACAAACTTGCCCGGGAGCCCAAGGGACCGTTTTTCGGGAATTACTTGGCCAACCCCGACGTTTTCGATCACCGTTTCTTTGGCATATCAGCTCGCGAGGCAGAGGCTATGGATCCTCAGCAGCGACTTTTACTTCAAGTTGCCTATGAATCCATGGAGTCTGCAGGATATTGTGGCTTGAAAAAGGCAAACCTGCCGACCGACATTGGCTGTTACGTGGGCGTAGGATCCGATGACTACACAGACAATGTTGGATCTGTTAACTCTAATGCTTTTTCAGCCACTGGCACACTTCAGGCATTTAATAGTGGTCGTATCAGTCATTTTTTCGGGTGGAGTGGTCCCTCCATCGTTGTGGACACTGCCTGCTCCTCAGCTGCGGTTGCCATTCATATGGCATGCAAGGTAAGTTATTATTCCAATGCCCCGAACGATGCCGTTCTTTAATTTCAAGCACTATGAGAACTGGGCTTATTCTTAAACATAACAGGCTCTCGATAGCAAAGAGTGTTCCATTGCTGTGGCAGGAGGGGTTAACGTGATGACTAGCCCGAGAGTCACACAAAATTTGGCTGCAGCTTCATTCCTCTCCCCTACTGGGGGATCAAAGGCCTTCGATCAAAGTGCGGATGGATATTGTAGGGGTGAAGGAGCGGGTCTGGTTGTTCTACGTCCACTGGCCGATGCGATTCGTAATGGCGACCCTATTCTTGCCGTCATCGGGGGGTCTGCAGTCAACCAGGGAGCGAACTGTTCCCCCATCACGGTGCCACACTCGGAGTCTCAAATATCACTTTATCGGAAAGCGATGTCTGCTGCAGGTGTTTCTGCCGCAGATATCACTTATGTTGAGGCGCATGGAACCGGTTCGTTCACTATTCGTCCTAAGGCTCTGACGCTCAGTCTACTAAGGAAAGAAAATTTTAGGAACCCAAGTTGGTGACCCGATCGAGTTTGATAGCATCCGAAGGACCTTCAGCGGGCCAGCGAGAAAGCAGAAGCTCTATGTGGGATCCATCAAAGACAACATTGGACATGCAGAGACCGCGTCCGGAGTTGCCGGCCTGCTCAAGACTATTATGATGATGCAGAGACGCCAAATCCCCAAGCAGGCCAGCTTTTCTCAACTGAATGCTAATATCGCACCGTTTGGAAATGAGCTCATCGATATCCCCACTCAACTCACTGAATGGCCATCCGCCATGTCCTCAAATGCCATGGCCATGGTGACAAACTATGGTGCGGCAGGCAGCAACGCCGCTATAGTTATCAAGCAACATGCACAATCTTCCAACCAGCCAACTCAATCCTGTCAGCAACCATCAGAAGTGCCAATAATCGTTGCCGCAAACTCAGCGGAATCCTTGCGATCTTACTGCAAGACTTTGATCTCCTACATGCGACACGCACGAATTGGCCGATGTGTTGACCTGGCGTACAACCTGGCTTCAAAGCAAAACAGAGACCATGAATACAGACTTTCATTCCCCACCCCATCTGACGATGTTGCTACACTTGTTACAATGCTCGAGTCCTCAGCTCAGCAGGCCACAATTGCGAAGAAACAAACATCTGCACGCTTACCCGTCATTTTGTGCTTCGGAGGTCAAAATGGAGATACAGCCCACATTTCCGAGGACCTGTTTAACAAATGTGAATTGCTTCAATACCACTTAGTAAGACCCCTATTTCTTTCCCTTTTGCAAGAAATATCAACTTCTTGAGCTATTTCTAATTACGGGTTGTCATCCAGATGGAATGCGAAAGTGTCTGCCAGGCCCTCGGCCTTCCCAGCCTGTTCCCGCAAATCTTCAACCCCGCTTCAATTGAGAATATCGTCAGTTTACACTGCGTTCTTTTCGCCATCCAATACAGTTCGGCAAAATCATGGTTAGATTCCGGGCTAAAGGTAGACCGAATCATTGGTCATAGCTTTGGTCAGTTGACTGGCCTCTGTGTCAGTGGAGGGCTCAAGCTGTCAGATGCAATTTATCTGGTCTCTGAGCGCGCTAGACTGATCCGTGATGAATGGGGTCCAGGGCGTGGGGTAATGCTTTCAGTCGAAGCGGCCGATGCAGAAGTTCAGTGCCTGCTCAATGGGGAACCGAGCATCACTGTCGACATTGCTTGTGTGAATGGACCCCGCAACCTCATCCTTGCAGGAGATGAGACGTCTATCCGTGCGTTTGAGGAGTTGGTGGCACAGGACTCCTCCCGCGTTATTCGCACCAAGCGTCTGAAGAACACACACGCCTTCCACTCCCAAATGGTAGACAGCATCGTTCCAGGCTTGACCAAGGTGGCTCAGAGTATCCAGTTTTTCCCATCATCCATTCCTCTAGAGCCATGTTCATCCAAGGGTGATTGGTCACCTGTGACCCCGAACGCAATCGTGGATCACAGCCGACACCAGGTTCACTTCCAGGCAGCAGTTGAGCGAGCTGTCCGAAAGGTTCAAGGCCCAGCTATCTGGCTGGAAGCTGGATCTGCATCTCCCATCATTTCAATGGTCCGACGCGTTGTGGAAGCCAGCGTGCCTGCCGCTGCTCTGCATTTCTATCAGCCCATCGATTTAGAAGGTCCATCGGCCCAGAGAAAGCTATCCCAGGCAACTTGCAACCTTTGGAACAAAGGTGTACCGGTGCAATTCTGGTCGTTCCACGCTCGTCAGGCAAAGAGTTTCAACTGGATGAATCTTCCTCCGTATCAATTTGCTCAAAATCGCCACTGGATTGATTTCGATCCCCTTGCCTTCATTCCGACTCAGAACGAGGCTTCGCCTTCCACACGCACCGAAGACAGCCCGCCTCCGTTCATAAAGCTCTTAAGCAAGAAGGACACGGAGTTTCTATGTGCCATCAACACAAACGATCCCCTATACCAGATTTGTACAAGCGGGCATGCAGTTGTTGATCAAAACCTCTGCCCCGCGTCTCTTTATATTGAGATGGTAGTTCGAGCCGCGCATCTCATTTCACCGGGGAGCACATCTGTGTCTCAAATGCCTCATATTCGAGATCTCGAAATTTCAGCACCTCTAGTGCTCAACCCTTCGGGCAGTATCCTGTTGAAGCTTTCAAAACATCAGTCAGGCCAAATGACTTGGATATTTTCTTTATTCACTCGCGATGCTAAAGATGTCATCCTGACCCATGCGGCTGGAAAGATCAGCCTTCATCCATTTGATCGCCCAGATCCGCTATTTGCCCGCTTGAATTCGATGAATCGCTTGATTGATGCTACTCGGGTTCAATCCATCGAGAATTCACGGAACTCCAGTGGTTTCAAAGGCATGGCGGTCTATCAGGCGTTCCGAAGAGTGGTCAACTATGCAGAGTGCTACCGTGGCGTTCAGAGTGTGTATGCAACCGAAAACGAGGCTACGGGTGTTGTCAATCTCGGCGTATCACCTACGTCCAGTAGTAGGTGTGATCCTATCCTTATGGACAACTTCATCCAAGTTGCAGGCCTCCATGTCAACTGTCTGTCGGATATTCGGGAGGAGGAGGTGTTTGTCTGCACCGAGGTTGGGGAATTCCTTATTGCCGAGCCATTCCTTGCTCGTGATGTGGCATCATCACGTTCCTGGGATATATATTCCAACGTGGAGCGCTCGTCGAAGACCAAGATCACGTCTGATATATTTGTTTTGGATCGCACAACAGGCAAGCTCGCTGTCGCTATTCTCGCAGTGGGATTCAAAAGTCTTTCAATCACTTCTCTCACCAGGGCTCTGAAAGGACTAAACAGCCAACCCGTCGATCAAAAGAGAGACGCAGTCACGGAATTGCTGCCAAGTGGTGGAACCATCAACCCCAGGGCACAGAGCACAGATGAGCCCATTCATCTTGCCCCCACCGACGCACTTTCCAGGAATAATCATTTTAGGGATGTTCAATCCATGCTCTGCGATCTCTTGGGGATGCCCGCTGAAGATCTTCCTCTATCTTCCAACCTAGAAGAGATTGGTGTGGACTCATTGATGCGGACGGAGGTTCTTGCAGAAATCAGCAAAAGGTTCAACGTGTCAATGACAACGTCATCATTAGCAGAAATTCCGAATGTTCAGGCGCTTGTCGACACCATCTTCCCTCAACAACACCCCGTGACAGATGAATACGAACCAATCACACAAAGCGAGTCTTCCGGTCGGTCCTCCTCTGGGTATGATGACTCAACGATTCCGACGCCTGTATCAATGGAGGGTTCGTATGGTCTCATGAACGCTGCACCTCTCGTCTTCGGCAAAATCAGAGAAACTACATCTCATAGTCAAGCAACAAAATGGGATGGCTTCTATAGCTCTGTTTACCCAACGCAGATGGCACTTGTTACTGCCTATGTGGTAGAGGCATTCCAATCCCTTGGTGTCTCGTTGACAGACCTCCAGCCTGAGCAGAGTCTTCCTCAGCTTGCGGTTTTGCCACAGCATCAGAAGGTGCTTGGGCAGCTTTATGACATTTTGGAGTCATCAGGTTTGATTCAAGGCACCAAGGCTGGCTTCGTGCGAACAGAGACCCCTGTCTGCCCAGTGACTTCGTGTCAATTGCATGAAGAGATCGTGGCCCTTTATCCTCAGCACGCATCGGAGCACCAGCTCCTTCAAAAGACCGGCATGAGATTAGCTGATTGTTTGACAGGGGCAGCTGATCCCATTGCCCTTCTTTTCCAGAATGCTGAAGCTCGCCAGCTGATGGAGGATGTTTACACGAATGCACCTATGTTCAACGCAGCAACTCGCCACCTAGCGCAGTACCTCACAGGGCTCCTTGGACGCGCGGATTCCTTGCACGAAATTAAAATCCTCGAGATCGGTGCAGGTACCGGGGGAACAACAAAGGCTCTCTTGAGTCAGCTCACGGCCGTCCCGGGCCTAAGCTTCGAATACACATTCACTGATCTCTCTTCGTCACTCCTGGCGCTGGCACGCAAAAAGTTCAAGCATTACAACTTCATGAAATACCAGACGCTGAATATCGAGCAGAGTCCTGGAGCCGAGATGCTTGGACAGTACGATATTATCATCTCCAGCAACTGTATTCATGCCACCCGCAACCTGGTTAAATCTTGCGGTAATATCAAGAAACTGTTGCGACCGGACGGAATTCTTTGTTTGATTGAGCTTACACGCAACATTTTTTGGTTCGATCTTGTATTCGGTCTTCTAGAGGGCTGGTGGCTCTTTGATGACGGCAGGAAACATGCACTTGCCAGCGAGTATGTATGGAAAGATACGCTCTCCCAGTCAGGATTCCAATGGGTGGACTGGTCCCGGAATGCCTCTCCAGAGTCAAACACTTTGCGATTGATTACCGGCTCACCAACACCCGCTCTCTCTCTGGACCAAGGATTGGAAAGCACTACGCTCCTGCCGGAGAAGGAGACTGTCGTGTTCGGTGAAGAAAATGCTGTCCAGCTTTGCGCAGATATTTTCTACCCCAAGAGTCTCCAGCCTCCCGGAAGTGCTCGTCCGATCGGTATGTAGTCGAATCACCAGGCGCCATTCTTCTTCCCCAACGAGGTGACCCTGTTTCTTACATTCTCAATAGCTCTTATGATTCATGGTGGAGGACATGTCATGCTCTCCCGTCGTGATGTCCGCCCCAAGCAAATCAAGATGCTATTGGAAGCTGGGTTTCTGCCTGTCAGCATTGACTACAGGCTTTGCCCTGAGGTCTCCCTTCTTGAAGGACCTATGCACGATGTACGAGAGGGCCTGCGCTGGGCACGCTATACACTTCCAAGTTTGGCGCTTGACCGTCCGGACATCCGGCCAGATGGAGACCAAGTGGTGGCTGTTGGATGGTCCACAGGAGGCCATTTAGCAATGACCCTTGCTTGGACAGCACCCCAAGCTGCCATTCCACCTCCTCAGGCTGTTCTTGCCTTTTACTGTCCAACCGATTACGAAAGTCCGTTCTGGTCCAAACCTAACCATCCGTATGGAAAGGACTCATCTTCCGTCGGCACGGCATACGATGTGTGGGAGGGTGTCTTTGAAACGCCGATCACTGGCTACAATCCCCCAGCTAGCACAAACGCTCAGGGAGGATGGATGTCCCCCAGTGATGCGCGGAGTCGAATTGCATTGCATATGAATTGGAGTGGGCAAACTTTGCCTGTTCTATTGCGCGGAAAGCATCACTGTACGTCTCGCAAAGCAAGTGATACAGAAGAAATATTACCACACCCAACGACCGAAGAAGTTCAAGCGGTCAGCCCATTGGCTCAGATTCGTCGCGGCTGCTATAAATCACCTACTTTTCTTATCCATGGAGCGCTCGATGACCTGATTCCTCTGGAGCAGGCACAAAAGACACACGACGAATTCCGAATCCAGGGCATTGAGGCTGAGCTTCGTGTTGTGGAGCAAGGTCTACATCTGTTTGACATCTATCCGAGGTATGAGGAAGATAAGGAGGCTTTCCAGGCTGTCTTGGAGGGATATAAGTTCCTTCGCAGTCACGTTCAAGTTTAGTCTATTGCTTCCCAAATTTAGTCTCGGTTTATTTAATGCACACTATCTCCATTGAAATTAATCGGCTCGATTAACTGCAGAACTTGAATCTCAATGAAATTACCCCGTTCGGAAGGATAATTTAATCTACGTGGGATGGGAGGATAAGGTTGACCTTGGGAGCTGGCAGGACGCATTTATGAAACATACTCATATGGTATTCTATCGCATACTGACTGGTTCTTACTTTTCTACCAAAATATAATTTGACAGGTAATCCTCTCCAAAAGCAGTTCACCCCTCAGAGCACGCTTGATCCCGTCTATTTAGCAGAATCCTTTTTGATGCCACCTTCCAAACAGGTCTCCATGGTGGTCCAGCCAAGCTGTCCAAAATTTTCAGCGAGAAGCTTCGCAGCTCTCGCTACTGGTATAACTTCACCGACCGTCATTCGTTCGTCTCGAGGAGGCTCTGGGATACTTTGATTATCCGGTTGGATTTTTCTGAGAATTTGAATGACCTCTTCCCAAACAAACGGACTTGCTGCAGCAAAGACGCGCTCTGATCGCACAGTAGGGCAGAATAGCGCAATTGCATGTAGTCGGGCAGTGTCGACTACGTCCACGAACCATGCTGACAATATAGCCATGTTAGCGGCTATTTGCTTCTCACCAAGGTAGTTTTTACTTACGTAGAGGAAGGAACTTGAAGGGTAGCGTGTTGCCTTGAAGCAACCCGGTGACATATTTCATTGTCGAGCCGCCAATTTTTGGATGGAGCACCTTACCCAACTGTCAGTCCGTCATAGTTAGTTTCAATCATGTGTTTAGACTGAGGCCTTCACACGCACGGTGAACCATGGGAGTACAGTGTTGAATTCGAAAGCTGGTTGGTTCTTCTCAACCCATTTCCAAGCCTGAAACTCGCCTTGAGCCTTGCACTCTCGATAGGCGGATCGGTCAACGGAGGACCTCGCGTCCTGGCTCACACATTCATCCCAGGAATCTGCGCGAAAGAAGTTTTAGCAATCCACAAAACACGAGGTCGAGAATTTGATTTGGTGTTTCTTACCAACATCCAGCTTGAACTCCGGCCCTTTTGGGTAGCCTGCAGCCACAATGGACGAAGTAAAGACAACACGCTTCACCGAGCTCTGCGTTGAAGCTGCCTCGAGAAGTTTTACGTTGCCATTTACCGTATACGATACTGCGTCATCCACGTCCTGCACAACAGGACTGGAGGGCAAAGCTTGTGCCTAGTAACATAACTCAATATTACATTCCTGAATAAGGCGAAGAAGACATACAACATGAATAATTCCCGAAACACCCTGTACACACTCGTCAAATGAGTTTGGCTTTTGGAAATCGGGGACCAAGACTGATTCGAAACGATGTGGTCCCCATTTCTCCAAATAGTAGTCATCCAACCATGGAGTTGGAGTGCGCACAGTCCCTCTGACCGTGTAGCCCAGGTCAAGTAGAACGGCTATGATGTGTGAGGCAATAAAGCCGTTTGCCCCAGTAATGAGAACCTTTGATCCATATGGAATCGCGTTCTGTTGGAATGGAGTCATTATTGCCTGCTACCTCAGAATCTGCTCTGGGCCCTTTGAGGGGATGTTTGAGTTGATCTTGGATAACAAAATTTGGCTCAGTATAATTCCAGAGCTCTCAACTGACGGTCTGACACTGAAAGCCACAATGAGTCACGTCGCTGGTTCAAAAACGGTATTTTGGAGGGCTAGGTGACTGGCTATTCAGGGGCCACGTAAGTCAGTAATGAGGCCAGAACGCAGAATATCTGTCTGCTCTACCCAATTTAATTCATCCCCTATTCTGTGTACTTTCCAACAGCAGCGGTAAGGACCATAGCCAGTAGAGTAGTAAATCTTAAAGTTATCGATCGAAAAAGTAACTCGAATCAAGTGTGCATAGGCGTACATGAATGTGGCTTAGCTGAAAATACAATGAATTATGTCCAGAACGTAGATCTTGACTGAGTACGGCTTCTCAACGGATCGGCAATCCGGCATTCAACCACTAGCTTCGACTTTCATGCGCCACGAACGTTACACAGCCAACAAAGCTATCAAGGTGTAATAATAATGGTGCATATTGTTACATGTAACATAACCCTTGCCTGCCCCCACTTTGGCCTTGATCCACTCATGCGTAATGTAATCTTGACCCGCTTTTTATGCAATGTCGATCTCACTTGTACAACTAACGGAGCGCTCCGACCCGTTGCATAAAGCTCTATTTCTGCAGTCTTAAGCACGAGCTAGTACCTGTTTCTACCCGTGGTGCATATCTTGGCACAGATCATCCGGTGCCTACCGACTTATCTGGGATCGTTATTTTATTACATGGACTCAAGGAGGCTGGATTGGCTTCTCGATTACCCAAGTTGTGGTTTTGTACCACCTCGATCAACGCGCGTCGCCTTGCATGAATATCACGTAGCACGTAGAATTGGCCGTCGCAAATTCCCAGCCTCATACCCATTATGAGATCTGCATTAGGTCAACATAAATAATGTCGAAATCATCTGCCATGCCCTCTTTGTCCTACCAACACGCACTACCATCGCTCAATCTCTATCAAAATATTCCCAGTGACCATTATTCAAAATGCGCTTCTTCTCTCTTTTCATCACCACCATGGCCTTGGCTGTTTCGAGCGTTTATGCCCTGCCACAGGCTACTGAAGGACCCGTCTGCCTGCGTTTGTGCAGAGATGAGCCACTCACTACTTGCCCATCTGGGTGGGAAACGGCCCAGATTGAATCGGATGGTCGGGTGCGTACAATATCTACTGCAGAATCGCTTTCTGTTATGTGATTGTTTTGGCTGGTCTAATCTAGTAATAGGAATGCTGGACGTGCTGCGAAGCATAAACTGGCCTGTTGAACATTATCGGATCGGTCGGCTATTTGGAGCCCATAGGTTCAAGATAAGAATTGTCATGAACAGTGTGTTATGTGTTGAGAAGCCTCATGCTCGGTGGCTTAACAGTGGTGAATCTATTGCTGTTAGAATTACAATACATTCAATGGACACATCAATTAAGTAGATTTTGTGTGCAGTTGAGCTTGTAGAGTGGTTACAACAATTCACTTTACCGGAGGTGGCCCACACCAAATGAGCTAACGTAACGTAATTGGGACGTGGGGGCCCAAGGGTACAACGCGCCAGGCCAGTCAGTAGGCAATTTACATTTGGAGGGTATTGGGATGGGAAAGGTTCCAAAGCTTAGTTAACCTATCAATGTATTGAAAACGCCGCGAAGGGCTGGACATACACTTCCATGTCCTGGGAGGTATGCAAAAATTGAAGCGAAACTCGTGTACGAGGCTTGTACACTGTCTGGCCAGTCAATAACCGATAACCCCACAGTGAATAAGCATTGGATTATTGAAATTTTAAAAAATTTACGGTACTTAACAGGGGCTTTTCTATGCATCATAGAGATGTAAGATTGGTCTGGTAAATGGGATACATATAGCACTATTGGGCGCCCTGGTGGAGATATCGGCCGCCACTTGGCCAGACATTGTAGATCGATCACGCTCGATAAAAGCCGTCCGATTTATTGAGCCTTGAAATCCAACGGCCCTCGGTGTCGACGCAGAGTCTGAAATGCATACAGTTGAGCTATCAGCCAACCAGGCGTTTCTATAAATTTTAGCGCACAATTTTATTGCACATGTACAATGCCCAGATCCTATCGTCACTTCCCCCATTTTTGTGCGTGGGCTAGCTACGGGCCGGATCGACGCCACTAGTGATTCATTGCGTTGCATAAAGATACATGTGTATGAGCTGCAAGGCCGAGTTATCTGAGCTCGAAGAATTTTATCTAAGTACCAACCTGCTTATCCACTCATGATAATGCGAAAGATAGTACATAAAAGTCTGTTTTTGATTTGATGTAATCCGACGTGGGCCTGTAAGGGCAGGTATTAGGGCTCTCGCCTGCTTGGGGTGGTACACAACCTGCCTTGAGATGAGCGCGCGGATCCAATTAAGCTGGGATTCAATGGTTTGGGGGCTTTTATCTTTTTTCATACATGACAGAAGCTGAAAAAATGAAGTCACCGTAGGTCTAAGGCACTACTGAGGACTTGGTTTAGGCTGTAACCTGGGATTAGTCAGTGCTTTTCATGCCTCATGCCGTAGTTTCATTTCAAACCCCTCTTATCCTTATTTTTCTCCTCTCCTCTACGTTTCTGCTGTCCGATCGGATAGTTTTTCTTGAAGGGCTGCTCCAACATGATTTCCAATCAACCTCAATTGTTGGCCAGCTTCGAGACTACCGGTCTCATTGCCGTGGTCATCCTGTCGGGGGTTTTTTTCTTGTTGACCTCTGGTAACAAGTCTCAGTTGCCTTTGGTAAACGGGAAACGTCCTTTCGAACTTGGAATAGCCAAAGCTCGCCAGCGCTACTTGAAAGATGCGCACAATCTTATCATGAGTGGTCTCTCAAAGGTACTTCTCGTCAGTTAACGACATTGGATTCGAAATGCTAACTCTCTCTGTAGGCTGGAGCCTTCCGAGTAGTCACTGAGAATGGCACAAGAACCATCCTCTCCGCTGATTATGCAGAGGATATTCGCAGTCATCGCTCGCTGACCTTGAGCGGTGCTTTGGTGACTGAGCACCATGTCAATATTCCAGGCTTCGATGCCGTCAAAGTCACCGTCACCTCGGATATCATTCAAGATACTGTTCGAACCAAGCTCACCCAGAATTTGAGTAAGATGTAACCCGTTCCCAGATAATTTCTAGCTCACTAATTCAGCCAGTCAACATCACCGAGCCTATGTCTGGCGAAGCAAATATCGTTTTAAGGGAGCAATGGACTAACAACCCTGGTAAGCATTTCCTATCCAGCCATGAACTTATGAGATTTGCTGATCTCCTTGCTGTCCAGACTGGCATGACATTCACCTAAGGCCCAAGGCTCTTGGTCTAATTGCTCAACTCTCATCTCGGGTATTTCTGGGGGAGAAGATTTGTCGCAACCCCGACTGGCTACGAATTACGGTCAACTACACAATCGACTCCCTGATTGCTGCTGCGCAGCTCAGACTTTGGCCGGAGATTCTGCGTCCCTTGGCGGCGCGCTTCCTCCCAAAATGCCAAAAGATCCGACAAGAGCTCGCAGAAGCCAACAATATTATCAACCCGGTTGTGGAGGAGCGAAAGAGGGATCGAAAAGCAGCCATCGCGGAGGGCAAACCCGAAGAAACATACCACGATGCGATTCAGTGGCTTGGGGAAAACGGCCAAAGTCAGCCTTTTGGTCAGGCTGCAATGCAACTAGCTTTATCTACGGCCGCTATTCATACAACAACTGATCTACTCACCCAGACGATCCTTGACCTTTGTGAACGGGAAGATGTCGTTCATGAACTCCGAAAGGAAATCATCACGGTGCTTGGAGACGGTGGTTGGAATAAGAGTACTATGTACAAACTCAAGTTGATGGACAGTGTCATCAAAGAATCTCAACGAGTCAAGCCTATGGCTATCGGTTGGTGCTTATCTACTCCCTAGAGTTCTCCATACTGACAATAACCACAGCTAAAATGGCCCGCAAAGCGGAAAGTAACGTCAAGCTATCTGATGGAACCGTCATCCCAAAAGGTGACATCATCCTTGTCTCTTGCAGCAAGATGTGGGATCCAAGTATTTACCCAGACCCCGAAACATTCGATCCTTACCGGTTCCTGAAGCTCCGCGAGGGGTCTACGGACATGGAGAGCGTAGCTCAGTTTGTTTCACCTTCTCCCCAGCATATGGGGTTTGGCTTTGGAAAACATGCCTGCCCAGGTCGATTCTTCGCTGCCGCTGAGCTGAAGGTTATTCTGTGTCAAGTCATCATGAAATATGACTTCCGGTTGGCTGAAGGATGCACACCACAGATCTTGAGATCAGGAATGAGATTGTCTGCAGACCCATTAGCGAGAATTTCTGTGAGAAGAAGACAGGAAGAGATTACTCTATAGCGCTTCTTTGTTAAGCTAGTCTATATTATCCCTGGTTCATCATACTCCGAGCAGGGGACAAGACATATTCCACTGAGATTTAAATGCTATCACCTCTACCGACTTTGGACCTCTTTAGCTTTCTATATGGAGAAGATACTTTATCAGAGCCCAATACTATGACTCTCCCTAAATGTTGTTATTTCTATGCCCCGCTTCTAAATTGAAAGATAATGCCTCCGATTGAGCCATCTGCCTAGACTCCGAGGAAGGCTATACCTGTATTTTCATCCTCCAATCTTAGATTTGTGGCCAAGTGAGATGGAGCCATCAATCTTTCCCCGTATGAATAGCAGGGTACACATGAACATCATGTTCGGGAGACCAAGTCTCGCAAGTTGTTACGCTAAGCGACGACAACGATGTAAAGCACTAACCCCTCCTATAAATGTGCTGCTACTGCTCTGTTCTCGTTTGAATATGTGTATTCAATAGCTCCCAAACGGTCGGGACATAAATTGATCTCAACCGCGAATAGGTAGATGATCAAATATAGGGGTGTCATGATACGGATGAGATCCAGGATTAGCAACGTAATGATGACTTGTTCGCATGGTCGCTTGAATTACTAAAACCATGATTTCACATTAACTGCGACATTCCCGAGATTTTGAATGCATTATGCATAACATTCAGCTATTTCCAAAGCGTCGGCCTCACTGCAAATCCTGAGCCCGCTTCCATTCGCGCTCAAGGTTGTCACCAATAGCCTTGTTAGCCTCCTCCTCGAGTTCGCGTTGAGAAATCATGCCCTCACGCTTGGAGATCTTTGACTTAGACTCCTCGCGAGACATTTCCACTGTGATCAATTTTAGTCAGTCATTGAACCACGGCTCATGGATGGGCTGAAACTCACCATGAATGTAAACGGCAGCGCGCTTACCGCTGAACATAGCATGAGGGACGTTGGTGGAGCCATCGCTGTTAGCATCTCCGATAGCGAAGACACCGGTCTCGTTGGTTCGCATAGAACTTGCGACCTTAATTTTGCTGCCGTCCATTTCAAGGCCCATCTGATATGGGAGTGTTGAGGTCTGGTCGGTGGGGTAGTCAACAAGGAAAGCATTCCGCTCCACTGGCTCACCTTCAGTGAAGTGCACACGGAACTTATCATACTGTTTATCCTCGTCATTGTCCCGGTGCGCGCCACCATCCTGAAGACGCTCAAAGGACTGGATAATACGGTTATCGATGGTGACGTTCCAAGCCTCCAGCTGTTTGTCCCAGTCGGGATACTTTGCCGCAGCACGAGCCTCTCCATCAGGTGTCCGTGTACCATTGGTGAATGCGATAATATCGCTGTTCAGGGTGTGGACCTCTAACACTGCACCAAGCACATTGGCGACATCAGCGACAATGCCGAAGGGCTGGTCACGGTGTTCTGAAGAGGTTTATGTTAGCTCCTTAGTCTCGTATATAGCATCCTTGGCACAAGACTTACCATAACCGTCACACCAGGGACACCAAAAGATCCCTTTACCGAATGCCTCACGCATTCCCGGTGTCGGAGGGATCAAGTCGCGCAAGCCCGTACCAAGCACGATCTTGCGTGCGGTGTAGCTCGCGCCGGTCGCGTCAGTGACATTGAAAACTGAAAAATCACCGTCCAGTGGTACAATGGAGGCGACAGTCTCGTTCTTCCAGTGAACGGTGTCGTATTTCGAGATCTGCTCTCGTGCCAGACCTCGGAACGTCGCAGGCGGGGTGCCTAGTTGATGTTAGGTGATCTGGCCGGGGATCAATCAGTTACACACGCCAGTAAACACTTACCGTCATTTCCAATGACATCGTGCATTTCACGGGTTGGGGCGTTCCGATACTGCTGGTTGTCGAATAACAAAGCATTGCGTCGGACCCGAGCGACACCACTGAGAGCACTGAGACCTGCAGGGCCCCCACCAACCACAATGACATCGAAATCTGTCTGGGGCACCGAGACTGCCCCAGCCAATGCCAGTAGCGAGATAAACACTGTCTTGATAGACATTCTGACTGATAGGCCTGGCTTCGTGAGTCTCGTGATAGATAGCGATGGGTAAGTCGGGGCCCTTTATAACTCACGACCGTGCAAGAAGCAGATCAATATTGGATCTATTGACCAATTGCTTAGAATAAGAAAATAGTATGTACCTCTACCAGCCTACGGTAGTGGGGTTGTGATTTCGTATTTAGCTCCCTTGCATTTTTCGTCGCTTGAGGATCAAATCTGCAAGGTCGAGGCTGCTCCCAAAGAGCTTGGTGTAACGAGAAACCGCAGATCACCCCATTGTTCTTGACTGGAGATTGGACGTACAATTACCCCATCCATTATTGGCAGGTTTTTGCCTGGAATGAGGGGAAATATGTCTACTCCCTTTGCTGTAGATTCTTTCGTATTATGTGTCATTGCACGTTGCTACCTGGCGATGCATGCAGTATTTTCATGATGATCTTCGGGAAGCATCTGTGATGGCTGCGAAAAGTTCGATCATCCATGTTCAGACAGACCTCTAGGGGCGCTTTGCCGTATGTATTCCAAAATTGGGTGAACAATATTCTCTTTAACTCTTAACCCATGGTTTTATGCACGTTCCATATTTTGTGCCACCCCTCCTGTGTGGGGCCTCACCAACGTACAGAGGGCCGCTAATTCGGACACGATGCTCTTCGTTATTCTAAGGGCGCGTGGTAGCCAAACGCCGACACTATAATCGGGCGGGGAGTTTCCCATCCGGTTGTGCTTGTAGCAGAGATTTCCAGGGTACCCAAGCATAATTGAGAGAATTGCCACCTGACTATCTCGATTGCACCCACATTGCGCTGTCTCGCAGCGGCGGATACAGCTTAATTCTATCAACCTGGCCGCTTCGCCAAGCGTGGGCCTGCACCAAAATTGGAGCCATTCCTTTCTGAAGGCCGAGGTAGTTTTCCAAACTTCTAGGCTGAGTAGTGGTACTCCTATCCACGTCGCCATAGAACTACTTACATAGATGTTCTAGGTAGCGGTAGAAACCTGTGTCCAGCCACGCTGAAGGCTCCATGGAGTTGATTTAGTGTTTATCGGGCAGATCCCTTTTAGGCGGCGTAAGTTGTAACTTTTGCCTGTAGTTACCTACCAGATGAGGATTTGATCTAGTAATTCTTTCAAACCACCATCATCCTTCCTACATCGCCCCTGTGTATTTGATCTTGGGACAATTTCTTCACTATATCCTTGGAGAAGATAGAGCCTAGACTAGATCTAGATAGTGGTTCGTGAGGGTCTCGATATATATTTCCGGTGGGTCAACTTGACTAAGGCAGTCCCGAAGATATCGATAAACACAATTGGAGAGCATGGTGGAAGGAGAAGGATTTACCACAACAGCAGCAATTTAGAAGTCGGAGGAGCCCTAATATAGCAAAAACCATAAAAGCAATGCATAGTCCCCAAAAGTTCCGTCGAAACAAACAAAAACCACCAAAAACATACAACAGCCAGGATTCGCATGTGGTCACCCACCATACTACTAACTGGCCGGCGTGTGGCTTAAGTACGGCTGAGCGGACGGGAAGCCCTGTTCTCCACACCCTATGGTCGTATGTGCTTATCTCGACACACAAACAAAATATATGCCTTAAGAAGGTCGGATCCAACCTTATCAGGCTCGGGCGGTAGCTTAGGATCCACTGGACCGGCAAAAAAGAGTCGTAGAAGATGTTCAGGAGATCATTGTTGTCGAGAACAACGGCGAGCTGGGGATTCATAGCCGTAGTAGGGCCTGGCCACGCAGGTGGAATTGGGCCGGGATCTGTTACTTCACCACCCATCCGAGCATTATGGTGTGTTTCTTTTGGTAAACCATCGACCTTCTCTGTGTCCTGCTTACCGTGTAATTTTTGTTTACCAGAGCGTGGGCTCTTCTTTTTCTTCTTCTCGTTCTTCTTCCTCTTCTCAGGGCTAGCAGCATGGCTAGTGACACTTGCCTTGGGCAATTGGAAAGCCTGGCCGACAGTATAATCGACCTGTTGTTCGGTTGCAACATGAAGCTGGACCATTTTGAGAACTGAAAGGTGCATACCATGGCTGCAACCCGACCGGATGACAGATATTTGGGGGCATAGACGGAATTTGAAAAATATGACGGACCTGACAGAATCACTATGATGGTTTGAGTGTGCTTGTAGTGATTTCTTCATCGATAATCACATTATGACTTGTACCTTCACCGCCGCATGACGGCTGAAGCATCAAGATGTCAATGCCACGCCATGCTCCTAGGGCGCAGGCACGCCAATTGTCTCTTGCGACGGTCGGGCCTAATAATACTCCCGTATAGTTAACGATGTCGGGCAAATGGGATCATCATCACCGGGCTCAGCTCCAAGGGTCAATGCGGTGGTCGCGCTACGGAGGATAAGAATCACCCGCTCTCCCATATGGGCAGGCGATAGCAGGTCCGTCATAGTCTAATTCGAGGGGGCTTATACAGCTGCCTCCCAAGGCTTAGGCCCAACCAGCTTCTGATTGCGCCTTTAACGCGCCCATTCGCGCAACGATAAAGTGGTGCCGTCGATACCCAGATTTAGTACATGCCGGAATTTACTTGGCGACAGGAGGTTCTTCTTGCACCGTGTCCTGAAGGGAGAAATCCTCAGGGGAGTTATGGAATCAAGGCCATCGGAGACCCGATAGGCGGGCAGATCCATCTGATCTATGCTTATCGTATCTGGCCCACCAAAACGTTTGCCCATATGGATCTCGGAGCACGCTTCCCCAAGTGGAGCACCATCGCATCGACTGCGATAATCAGAATGGCATCCCGGGCTACGTGTCTAATCCGCTCTTCGACGTGGGCGACTTTGACGTCGGATTCGATGCAGCGGGCCAGCTGGTTGTCACCTGCACTCTGTCACAGCCTTTACCTTCGGTTTTCCTGGAATTGCCATCTAGGAACTTTCTCTAGTATCCTACGACGAACGTGCTCACCTAGATCTCCTTGGATGAAACCGAGACTTTTGGTGACCGTAACTACGACAGTGTCAGATTCGGCCCTTACCCTTCTCCTCCCAACAGCATGGCGCCACACTACGGCGTTATCTTCCGCGAGGTTGGCGGTACAGCCCAGGACAGCAATCGACGCAGGCTAGTTGATACTCTCAGTGATCAATGTGAATACATAACCATGGCACCCCCCACAGGGCTCTTCAGGTCTCCTTCGTGGTGGTTCCTGGCCGATCCGTCTACTGCTCCCTTAGGATGGGTTCAGGATGACGTCTCCGCCTATTTACCTGCAACAACAGCTCCGGGCAGGGTAACACTGTGGATAACTTGCGGCCGATCTTCACTGATCTGCCTGCTGTGCGCCATCCTCTCCAGATCAGTGGCATGGCGACCTTGCCTGATGTAAGTGACGTTGACAATACGAACAACATTCTCGACGTCCACGTCTTCGCCATTTTTCAATGCCCGGACAACACGTGTGAGTTGTGGCACACGCGTAGTGTACCCGGCGGAGCTGTTCAAGTATCGGACGGTGTTATTGAGTAGGTCTCTACCCATCACATCCATCTCGTAGCGGAGATTAACCGCGGCGTATTTTGCAGTGTACCTGTCAGCAGCTGGAGCGACTCCGCACTAATCTCAAAGGACATTTACTGCGTTGCAGACGGTCTCACCGGATCGCTGGACTTTCCCTACTTCACAAGCCTGCTCATCGGCAAGGAACCTGGTGCTTCGTAGTCAGCCGCAACCGATATGTCCACAAGTTCTAAAGGGTACGGTTGTTCCTTCGAGCCGCAACCGGCTCACTTTCAGACAAACCAAGAACCATCGGCTTATATCAACTATGTGACAGCTACGGAGTACTTGGAGATAGGCCAATCAATGCAACGGAATCAAAAGGGGAGAAATTGAGTATATGATTGATTGATTGAAGAACATAAAATGAGGGCGCTCATGGGGGTTGAAATACCCATGAACTTACAGTGTAACGGAGGTCCACGCATGTTGAATATCCTGGTGCCTAATGACAACATAAATGACTGAGATTCGCCATATAAAAGTGTTGCACCATCTAGAAAACAATTGACGTGATGTTCATCCTTGTTTTGGTACGAGTAGCAACCTATTGGGGTTGACAGCTTACTATGTGAATCTCGCAGGAGTCTGAGTCGACGAACTGGGTGATGGATGAAGTTCAGGGTCAGCTGGTCGGTGTACTCCGAAAGGGCAGTCGGAGAATATATACTACGTCGACATTACGGCTCTGGACGACAACGGATCGCCTCTGACGGGTATCTTGACCACGATTGGAGCTGATTCGCCAATGGTCATCACTTGCGCCGGTGTCCCCCGTTCCATCGATACGAATCAGATATTCAACGTCCCGTTCAAGGTCGCCGGTAAACTTGTCGTTAGTCTTCCAGCAAAAGACAGATTGGTCCCGTCTTCGTTCTGGTAGGTGACAAATAAGAACCGCTTCCCCAGGTATTAACTCCGTTCTCGGCAGGATCTGGGCAGAAGCCATGGAACCCGGAGGCAAAGTCGACATCCAGCCTGGGCCCAATGACCTCCACGGCTCGTTTGCCAATCTGGGTGTTGGATCCAACCCACCGCTGTGTAGCGTCAAGACGCACAAGATGGATCTGGTCGTACTGACAACTGTCCCGGACGAGGTTGTTAGCACGGCACAGTCGGCCCTGCAGCAGCTCTCCAAGGTGATCACGGGCGACAGCGCCAGAGAGCCGTCTTACAGGCTCCACCTGACTCGGTCAACGTCGCTGTACGTGGCCAAGACGCGCATTGCTGGCGTCCGAGGCTCTCATCTCCACCGGCTGAAGCCCTTTCCGGGACTTTTATTTTCCATCCGGTTCTTGCCTCAGCCCGAATTCGTTGTGCTGACGAAGGAGTAAGCGGCTGCGTGTCGGGCCCAGATCAGGGCGGGTGTTTTGTCTCACGGTTTATTCGATGAAAAATACGCGATTTCTTTTCAGGCGTGGCCGAGGCAGTCGTCTCCAGGTAGAGGTCGTGTGGAGGAGGTGAACAACCCATACCAGGCCACGATTAGCTTTGTAGAGGATGCAATCAACAAAGCCTTGGATGTCGTCTTGGAATTTGCGAGCGAGGTAGGTATTGACACAGGGGCCGTTAGCAATTACAATGAGGGAATTAAAGGCCATTAGTCAACTTACGATGTGCTTCAGGCTGCCTCTGTTGTTATCATGGTCTTCGATTGGGTCGAAACCACCTTCGAAACACTCTATTACTGGCTAGTGTTCATCTTCGACTTCAAATCCTTCGGGGCTACGGCTTCTGCCTTCGAAGCGTATTTACCTGCGCCGCTGCCAATCTTGAGGTGAGTTTTCTTGACACAGCTCTTTTCTTGGGTACCAAAGCGCTGGCGAGAACCGCTATATGGCACTGCTGAGAAACCCCATATCGCTGGCACTGCACAACTGATTCATTGGGTTCAGATCTTCATCGATAACACGGTCAAAGTCGTCACAGACAAAGTGTACAAGCAGGTGCGCGGCGAGATTGACGGCTTCTTTGACGCCCTTGCCAAGCAAGTGGGCACGCAGACTGTCAAGGACTACTCACCTCCAGTCCCACTCCCACCGACAAATGACTCGAGAGTGCTCCGATTTGCGGGGCCTAACCTCAACCCAACCTTAGGTGGAATACCGGACAATATGAGCATTATGCCTTCTAGGGCCCCTCTCGATGCCGGGGTGATTGTGTTCGAAAATGGGATGACAAAAATCGAGACTGCCATACAGAACGCCTTCTCCAGCATGGAATTCCAAAGTGCTTGGGATTCTATGGTGAATTTAGTGGAGAGCATGGTCGGTCTCGATGTGTTGAATGGAACTCCCGTCGCGGAGCCCCTGTAGGTCTTCAAGTCCTTCGCCAAAATCATGTTGGACCTGGTTCACGCCGTACTCGACTCGTTTCTTGATATGTTCCGCTTCGCTGCCCAGCCACTAAATCAAGTATTTTGACTCTGCGGTCGACAATCCGGCGATTCAATTGCTGTACGAAATGGTCACTGGAGGCGGCTCTTTGCCCCGGAGTTCGCTCTGTGCTCTCGTCATCGCGATCCCTCACGCCATTCTCTACAAGCTCATTACTGGTCAGGCACTTTATGGCTCTCAGTCAGATGATAGAAGCCAGAGTTCATCGCACGACGGTAAGGGTTCCATGCGGAGGCAATTGGATCTAATTCAGAGAGTCGAGAACTTTGCAGCCTCAGGCAGATCATCACTAGGGGAGTTCGTGTAAGGATCCTCGTTTCACATCACTTCAGACCCCTCGATGAGACTTCTACGAAGGAGTCATTGCTAACGTCCAGAAAATCAACCCAATCACGGAGTCTAGTCGCCTGGTCATTTATCCGTTGGAAGGGATGACTGATGAGAATGCCTGTAACATTGCCACTGACATCATGGTCATTCTGCAGGTCCTGAGCTCGGTCACTGAGACGGTCGGCACGAAACTTCTCAACAAATTAGGGAAAGGGCAACACGTGAGAAACTTCCCAGAGACTCTGAGCTTCATCAATTCTATATTCGGGATCGTGGGCACCATCTCCTCCGGTGTCACGTTCGGCTCCTAGACGAGCCATACCGACGCCGATATCCAGACCCTGATTGGCAATGTCTTTACCTGTGTCAATACCCTCATGGATCTGGCGGACAGGAAGATTAAGACGCCCGTCCAATGGGCTGGGGTGCTCCTCGTTAGGACACTCATGTGCTGGTCGGCTGGCGGGCTGTATATCGCAGCTTCTCGGCAGCGGTCGGATGATGAGATGGTACACAAAATAGCATCGAATGCGAAGGAACAAGACCACCACAAGATGGACGGTCATGGAGAAAGGAAGGAAATTGACCCGTGATTCTCTAATCAGTGTTTCTGCTCTCTCATCGGTTTGAGGAACAGTAATAAGACGCGCTACCAACTGTGTAATGGGAATCGTCCTTACTCCATTCCAGTATTTCTTCCTATTCCCCTTTTAATCATCTATCTTTCTGCACGTTCCGTTCTTCGGCTTGGATATTCTTAGGGGTTTATCGTTCTCACAATCCATCAAACTGGAGAAAGTGCCGTCCGTAAGGTTACAGATTTCAGGCGACAACGGAACTACCCGGCGAGTCAATACAATCCTGACCTCCATTTTGACAGGAACTAATTCTAGCCAATCTGCTTGTCATGATACCGTGGGGTCATCTCACTTCAGTTTTAAAGCACTCGAGATCCGCGGGAAGATTTCCAAGGCATTGTCGTATTTGATCAAGGTCATCTCCTCGTCCGTGAAATTGCCATTCTTCTGGATACCTGTCAGGCCTGGCACAGCCTGTGCCAGTGGTACGTAGGGATCTGCCTCCGTTAGTATACCCTTTGTATGCGTAATTAGATATAAATAGCGCAAGGGCGGGCCTTACAGTCAATCCCAGTCACGAGCTTTCCCGCACCAATAAAACTCTTCAAAGCAGTAAGCTGAATCGCAGATGTCGCGCTAGCAAGATCAAAGTAATATCCAGCGAGTTGAGCCATCGTTTCGGCGAAAGGAATCCCACCCGCGTAGGAAAGAGTCGCAACGCCAGCGATACGACTGGCCAGATAGGGCATAGCGCCACCACCGTGAGCGAAGATCATTTTGAGGTCAGGATATTTGGCACGCTGACCAGTCAACAACAAATTCTCCATAGCCCGCACGGTATCGAAAGGATACTCTGTCATCGGAATGGGGTGACTTAAGGCGACAGATCTGCAACTTGGAGAGGCTGGATGAACAAATACGCTGGCATTATGGGTACTGAGGGCCGAGAAAATAGGGTCCAAAGTGGGATCACCCAAGTACGTGCCATTAGCATTAGTGTACAAGCCCACACCAACAAATTTGAGGGAATCAATGCAAAACTAGAAGTCAAACCAAGTTAGATGATTTGGAAGGGCTCATGAAAGGTACCATGGAACAAACGTACTCGAAGCTCTTCCACTGCTTCATTGACATAAGGAAGTGGGAGAAGACAAAGGGCCCCAAGCCGAGTCGGGTAAGTTTGAGTGAATTCTTGAAGTAAGAGGTTGATACTGCGAGCTAAAGATTTGGCCTTCTTGGCATCTTTAATAAAGGAAACACCTGGCGCAGTGATACTGAGGGTTGAGTAATTGACCCCAAGGCTGTCCATAGCACTAATGTGCGAGCTCAAACTCCACTCAGGAACAGGGGCACCGTCATTGTACAAAGTACCATTCTTGACTGGGAAGCCTGCGGAGATCATTGCTTGTGTCCAAATGGCTGGAATAGCATGAGAATGAACATCAATGCGATAGTTTGGCCAAAGGGAGTTAGTTGCAAGGCTGTTGACCAGACATGCCGGGAAAACCCCCAATATTAATGTTCTTAAGAGAGACAGCATGACGATTATGCAAAAATTATATGGAAGTATCCAAGAAGTGTAGTGCGCTATGACACCAGGTCAGAACCCTGACAGATGATTATTGACTCGGGGAAAAGATTACAGAAACGAAAGAGGACATGGAATAAAATATACATTATATATATGTGAAAATCGCCAAATTGGCAGTGGAAAGTGGAAGAGGGGAAACGGGAACTAGTGTGAGACTAAGGAAGACCGAGGTTGGAAGATCCGACGCAGGCCCAAATCATTGCCTTCAAATACAGCCCGTAAGACCTAGAATTGCCAGCGTGGGTCTGTCTAATTACTCTGCGCCGGCAGGAACAGCTTGCCTCCGACGGATGGATACAACCAGGCCCCTCAAAGTGTAGCGGCGGATAGGCGAATTGTAATGGCCAGGTGTTTCTCGGCTGGTGTTTGATTAGAGTAAATCACCTTTTATTTAAACTTTGTTCAGTTTGAACTCTTGATAATACGAAGGATTTAGGCTAGTTATCCGAATTCTTCGGCTTATACTGCGTATAACACATAACCAACTCGGGTGCCGGGGCTGTCCCAATTAGGTATGTGTATGTCAACCACAATCTTCCGCTTGTAGCGACTAAACCAGGTTTAGCTAGCGCCCTTCGCTACATAGCTTAAGTGCGGCTGAGCGGACGGGAAGCCCTGCTCTCCACACTCGATGGTCGTATGTTGTAGAGAAAGGAAAAACAGATCATAAGCTCAATTCTGGTTTCACCGACGCGTAGTTTCATTTCAATGCAGGACGTTGAAAACTTGGTTCCTTTGCCAAATTTCCTCCGAATTCGGTGCTTTCTACCATTGCATATGACAGCCTTCAATATTTTTCCCGTTCAGGATTGTTCTGCCATAGTATTTCTTTGTTTTCTTTCTAGGCAGATTTTTCCATTGCGTTCTTACAAGTCAACTTCGAGTCCAGCAAGCAAAAATCGTCCTAAAAGAACACAGCCAGCAGTTCAGGAACTTATTAAATAGCTCAGCGCCCCAATTCATGACTTGCGATCTTCGGTTCTTTTGTCTTTTCATCTGACTTGAAAGTGCTCCTCTTATGTTTCTGATTTTCCTGGGCAAGAATCGCTTGCACAATTTGGAGACCACTTATCAACGCTGTAATCAAGGCTGCAATCCACACTGCCAGAAATTGTGAGGTCTGCCACAGAATTGAGAGTGATTCCTGTATATCGTCCATGCTTCCTTCTTCGTTCGATTCGTTTTGCGTAGGCAGCTCTCGAGACGAATTTGAGGAGGTCTCTACAACAACGTGTTGTGCAACTTCGCTCTGAATATGCTTTTCGCCTCTTCTCCCACTAGAGTTGAGCTAGATTTACTTGAAAAAAGGACCGATGAAGAATGCTCCGTAGATATTGAAATATTGGAATTGGGTTTTGTGGCTGACGGCAAGTTTGGCGGAGACTGGTCGTTGTGTCGCCCTACGAGGGCTGAAAATTCGGGCGGGAGATAAGAAGTAGTGTGCGTTTGGCAGGATTCTTCAGCTTCATCCATGGCGTCTTTTTGATTTGTATTCTCTGTCAAGCATTCACGTCAGTTCTCGGTTCATTGAGGAGCAGGACATGAGGAGCCCACCAGGAATAGGGTGAGATCCCTTGCCAACTTGGCGAAGTTGGCATCAATACTATTTCTCGTAGAAGTTTGTATCGCGGCCCTTGCACATGTTTTCCGGTTTCGTGGTGGGCTGACAAGCTTTTGCTTCAATCTGTCATGCCACCGCTGTAGTCTGGCCTCAATTTTCACATCAAGATAAAAAGGCTTCGATTGGTGAGTGAATGCGACAGCCGAGTGAACAATATTTTGTTGTAAAGCCTGTTTTTCAAGTTCGTTTTCCTGCAAATGCCAGACAACTCGTCGATACCGACGATTTCGTGAATTGTTGCCGACAGAGTAATCCGTCGCAAATCGCGAACCTTCGAACTGCCAGCGCGACGCATAGCTGGTTACTGACGATCGAGCAAATTTTGTTCCTTGAAACGTGGCACCGGCGACGCCAACTGTGGGGTTGGCCTCCAATGTCGTAGACAATAGACGCTCTCGTTTTTCTGCTGTCAAGGTCTGGGGGCCGAAAAACTCGGTGACTTCGAGATCGGAAGTTTCTTGCGAAAGCTCAGGACTTGGAACTTTGGGATCGGGAATTCGTGGAAATCCATGGTGACAGTAGCGTGTGAGAGCTTGCATTTCGCAGGCTGATGGAAAGTGAGATCCAAGTACATGATACCGCCATCTTTGTCATTCAGGCTCCCCGAGCGTGTTTTAGACAATAAGAAACAGCAGTCGACACGCATTTTGAGGTCACCGAGACTCCCGCTGGATTGTGTCTCGGAGAATTCAACTTATTTGCCCTTGAACTGCGTCGCGGGGGGCGAGGAACGATCGAAAACCATCGAAATGTACGTATGAGAGGTTCGAAAGACGGGGCGGGGGAGATATGGTATTGCTGGTGCCTTATGGAGGCTCTTTGAGTACTCCGATCGCACTTGTCAGTTGCCGGACCAAGCCCCTCTTGCTTAAATTAATCATCTGCTCCAATCATGTTGCTCGCTTGGAGATGTCTCCGTTGGCGCGCCCGCTTACGCGCCCCGGGCACGTCAGGCCAATAGCAAATCTTCACTATTGCTGCAATGGACAGCCCTCCAAACACAGCTTGCTGGTTTAGTACGAACATAAGGGGGTTGGTTACCCCTCAACCTGTCTCTCCGCCCAATATATTCACATACATCCCCTCATTAACAATGGTTATCAACATATCGATAGATCCAGGTAACCAGGAGAGCCTATGATCACTGTGACGGACTCAACAAAATTACCAAAATCGCCGAAGCGACCGCACTCATCCAAGTCTTCTGGTGTGAGATCTCACACAACGAAGGAAACTGATGAACCCTCCTTTGAGGACGAATGGGCCCACCTCAGCTTCCCGGAGGGAATAACGCCCCGCTACTCTCGACCGAGGCCGAGACGGTTCGTGTCGAATAGATTCGTCCAGAATGGCGAAGAAAATGTCGCCGTCCAAACGGAAAATGCCCCTCTCCTCAGTGATAGGGACTTTCCAGGCATTCAGGATCAGGATTTCAGGATCAGGATTTCAGGATCAGGATTTCAGGATCAGGATTTCACCATGCATCTCGAAATGGATATATGCCTAGATGTCAACGACGATATTGAGCAGCTTTCACGACTTAATCAGCTGGGACACTTCAATGAAGCCATCTGTTTGTTTCATGAGCGACTAGCCTCCCACGTGGACTTCTTCCCCGTCACAGCGGAATATGCCGATCTGAGCTTAGAGCAAGGCAACTTTGGAGTTGCACATGCATTCATCAGCGCGCGCCTGGATGGCATGGCCTCGATATTCTCCACCGTTGAGTTACGACTGTTGAGGCTTCTCAAGGCTTTTGCAGAAATTTACACCAAGGGTGCTTTGATACCGGCCTTACAAATGACAAAACAAACACTTCACGATCTGGAAACCGAGGCCAGCGAGGATCCATCCTTTTTCAAATCGTCAATAGGGCAGCATGTATGTTTCTTGCGCCTGCTTCACGGCTAAGCTTACCATTTCTCTAGATCCAATTAGTCGAGACGTGCCTGCGAATAATCAAATACGAAGCCTTCCATTCAAGCTTTTCGGAGTCTAGCACATACTGGCCTCTACTCCAATGGGGGTTTTCTTCCGATAAATTCACTTTCAAAAGAACATCGAATGTACATCGTTTCAATAGCCACCGGTAATATCCAGTAGCACACGAATGAAACCTTACCAACCCAGGGGTCCCGAAAAGCAATTCCCACGCCTGGGGGACTGGTACTCCTTTTTAGTACAAGAAGGTTATATGTGGGAATCGCACCGCCTACTGCAGGTCATCTTGCCACTGATGGGAGATTGTGAGGGTCGTTATATCCCTGACGGGGTATTTGAGGGTTTTTTCCATCTACCCAACGTGGGCGACGCCAAAAGCTATTTCTCGGGAGATGGGATACCTTTCCAGTCTGAGGATCAGCAGGTTGTGACAGAACTTGGAAACGCCACCCTGCTTGCAGGGTTTTTGAATTCTTACAACGCCGATGAATCTGTGAGGGCAACTCAGCGCCATTTCTTCGAGAAGGCCCGTTCGATTGCTGTGTCAATTGCCTCAGAATATCCGCATGTGCTCAAAAGTAGACCATACCTCAACTGGCTATATCTGGCAGAGACTGAAGTAAGCGGAATGTATGAGAAGCTGAGCACCTCCAACAGCCTATTATTTTTTCCACCCGTTTGGTGCCGGGATTCCATGGGTGGCGTTCAATCGCTCCTATCCACTGGCGTGAGGCTCGCGGGTTTTGCTGACGGATCAGTACCAGCCGGTGCTACCACTTTCTTGCAAGAGACCAATATAAGGATTATCATGGCAGCCGCCGAAGAGCAAGGGGACTACAAATTGCAGATATTCCTCCTCCAGGCACTTTTGAACAACTGCGCAGTCATTGATTGGAGGACTAACATCATAAAAGCCATGTCAAAGCTGCGTCAAGGCGTCATGAAGGATGCTGGAGGCTATCTGCAATGTTTAATCGCCGAGTGGCGGTTCTTCATAGATTCAAATCCAGACGCCACCAGTGAAACGATCATGAATCTCTACTCCCGAATCGCTGAGTTCAATGACGCATATCCTTCTCACTTTGACTTCAAGCCTGAGGAAAGGCAGCGTTTGAAGCTGATCTTGTTCGACGTCCCCATCTTCGTTTGGATGAAACACCTTGCTATGGAGCGACTCCTGCGGGGTATGAATCGCAATACAGAGGCCGACATCTCGAGGGTTAGGAATCCTCTGATTGAACGACATTTGCCCTTCCATGTAACCTCTCGCCTTGGTATGACATTGTTCCGCTGTGCAGGTTGTGTCGACTGCGGTGGTGACACGTATCCGTATCCGTATCATCCGCATAATCTCCCTGTGTATGGAAGCGGTCCATATACGCAGTATCCTCCCGATGGCTTTTATTCATCTCGCTCTGGGAATGCACTCTATTTGTATCAGCCGGCGACTCGCGGGCGAGTTGCTCGTGGACGCCGCCCTTGTCGATCTCTTTCCCCTCAGCCTGCTTCTTCTCCGCGTGATCTCCCCCAGCGTGTCTCTCGTCCTTCCCCACCAACAGGTCTGCCCAGTCAGCCTGCTATTGAGCATGAGACATATCGATATCACACGGTGGGAGATGAGACAGCGTCTGAAATAGAGGAAATAATTCGACACTCACGGGATTCTGGAGGCCGGCCACAGAAGGAAAAACCCTCCCGCAACTCCCGGAAGGGTTCCAAGCGGGAAAAGAAAGGAAGTGCCTCGAAGATTGGGAAGGGGCAGGACGGAAAGAAGAGCGACGCCAGCGATCTAGAAGACGACGATTCCAGCAGTGTGGAATATGATAGTTAGTTTTCTTGATACCGGTTGTCAAATTGATCGTTGTATATTGTCACACACAGCGCCTTCCCCCTCAAGCTAACATCCAATCATTGTATTATCTATCTTTGCCTTAGGCTTGATCTTTTCATCTAGTAAGTTAGTAGGGAGGGCCGTGATGGAAGAGAGGAAGATTTCTATGACAGGGGAGGATAATGGATCTAGAGATGATTATCCCTCAGCAATACCGGAGCATAAGCCACAGAATCGGCATTCATAGATAGGGGAGATGCGTGAACTGTAGGAAGCTTCCAGCCTAATCTGAAACTCGTAGGCAGCCGCTCCGATTACAACCCAGCCCCGGGCGCCCTGTATACAAGGTAAATGTTTCAGCGGCGTACTTTGCGGCGGCCTTTGGTTGGAAAATACACATCTACGGGCGATTCTACAATTTTAGAAGACTGCGCTCGTCCTTTCAGATAGATACAGCTGTATTTCTGAAGGGTGTGAGAGATGAGTCACATGGAAATCAAGTTATCTTCTTTCAATCAATCACTGAATGGGCTGCCCATTAGCAACCTGCGATGTAATGTTGTAATCACCAAAGCAGGCCTCCTGATACATTGCCTCCTTATCCAAGCCCGGCGCCTTTTTCAAGAATTCCTCCATTCGGCAGAACCCATTCACAGCACCATTGCACAATCCCTTTGCCGACACTGGGGCATTATTCAGCACGAATCTAATATAATCGGTCGTCTCTGCCTGGGACGATAGATCTGGATTTTTATACATTTGCTCCTGAAGTTGGTCAAATGAGACATCCTTTGGACAAGTCCAGACTTCGGTGAACAAGCGTGCACCGAATGGACTGACTTCTTTAGCGTTGAAGTTGTGGGGAGGAGCATGTGGAACAGTAGTCGGTAGGCCATGGGGGCCTGCCTTGAAGTAGTCCAGTCCCAGAGCAGATAGTACGGCGATGATAACGTTATCATGGGACATGTCCATATAGAACGGTTGACCAAGAGGGAAATCCCTGGTATTGTCGTCGTAGGTATAGTTGATGCTGCTATCGCTGCTCATGATCAGGCGGGATTGCAAGCGGGCGGCTAACTCCTGGACGTAACCGATACCCTGGGCACGTCCACTGGGTGCACCGTAGCCGAAGTTGGCATAGAAACTCAAGTCGATGGCATATTCAAAGTCTTTCCATTCTTGCTCGGTGAAGAGGGAACAGAAGGACGAGCGGCCTAGAGTCGCGTACTCGTAGGGGCACATGCTGAACATGGCGTAGACGTCCATGGAAGTCAGGTTGAAATCATGAGGCAGAAACTTGGAGAAGCGATCGTGAGCGGCGGTGGTTAAAGAGGGAAGGTAATCCTCTAGAGCATAATCTCTGTGTAATAATCTAATTAGTCCTGCTATTTGCAACAAAAGATACTTGCAACTTACCCAACATCAGACCCATTGGTGCATGCCGACGTCGATGAGAGAGTGTTGTTGAAATTTTTCTCTTCCGGGATGATCGTTAGATCATACTCTGCGTACGAGCTATTGGCGCCAGTGTTTCCAAAGAATCCGCCTAGATGTATAACAGTCAGATAAAGTATCCCCAATACAGAGCAGAGCTAATACTCACTCAACCACCAGCGAGCGCTTTCCAAGATCCGCGGATATGAAGTGGTGCGGAAGGTTGGCTTGGGGCGAGCAGTGCCATTGTAATACACATTCATCGAGGAGTCATAGACAGCCTTGCCAGGACCGGCATGGTACAGTAGACGACCATACATACTCCAAAATAGGGCACCTGCGGTCGCTTCCGTGGCAGCGCCAGTAGCTAATAGTAGATTCTCGCCCAGCATGTACTCCCAATCATTGAGGAATGCCAGTGGCCCCGAGCCTACTTTGCCATCTGACCTTTTGGAATAATTGGCAATTTTGTGAGCGAATTTTTCCATACCGCCGCCATCGGTAGGCCAGGAACTGGGATATCTCTGTGCGTGGCGATGGAGAACGTGCACCTGCGACAGCTCGCATCCAATGGGGTACCCCTTGGAAGCATCAAACCCTGGAGCGTCAGAATAGGGACTCAGGTTCCCCCAGCTAGTCGTCATATCAAACCCAGATGCGTAGGAGGTCCCCGTCGGTGCTGCTGCCAAGTTAGAGGTTGAGGAGGAGCTCGAGACTGCCACTGCAGCTGCATTGCTAGCCACCAGGGCCAGCAGAGCAAGTGTGGTAGATTGATTAACCGTCATGATGCCTGATTAAGTCGGTCATTCACGATCCAGGGCAATTGAAGGTGCCAAACCGCTGCGAGATGCAGAATACTGATCGACTGGCTGGAAGTGCCGACCCCATATATACCATGAACGATCACTGCGAGGAGGTGATCGACTGGGATCATTCCCAGCCGGGAAGGCTGGAGCCTCCGGTCTCCCGTTTCTCCGCATTATCACCATGCATCAAGATGCACAGAGAAGGTCCACCCCAGCTGGCTCTGCGGAGGCGATAAGAGGAAACTGAGCACGCGACCCATGATTCAGGATTGGAGGATCGACCCACTGCGATTGGAGTGTTTATTATTATGGCCAGTGTACAATAACTCAGCAGTGACCCTGGTTCTGGTTGTTATCAGAGCTAAGAGTCTTGGGTGGTATTGGGGATGTGGGGAAGAAGAGGCTTGTTTGTGCCACGGCGGAGATTGAGTTGCGACTGACATGACGAAGAGAAGGATATATCGTTAGTTTTGATTGAGAACAAACAAAAATAGAAGATTGGGACAAATTACCTAGTTCTGGAAAATAGGCCATGGAAGCATTAGGTCGGAGTTGCTCATTGTGTACGGTCGGAGAAGTACATCCTGAAGCAGGCTGGGGCTATCGGAGGGGAATCTATCTCCGGACTCCGATCGGACCTGACCCAGTAGATATGCCTTCATTTAGTTTCATTTGGTTGATTTCTTGATCAATTATCATAGGCGGGCGAGCTTACAAGATAGGCAGGTTGAGTGAGCGAGGTCAGAGATCAGGTACGGAGTCCTCCGTCCATGGATGGGTAGGGTACCCTGGAGAAAGACGGTTAAACGTCGGGAATTGTGCTAAAAGAGTGATCGGCAGGAGAAGTCATCCATGATACTTGATCCTTATGATTTTGATTAAGGAGTAAGCATAGCCCTGAGAGTCAGACATGACTTGAGGACTTACTCCAATTTGCATGCTTTTTTGACTGCGACTGAGCCGTTTAGGCATTCTGAGGCTGCTCCCACCCCGAGGAGGAAATAGTCGTGTCGATCATGAAGTTTCTCCGAATTCACCGCTGAAGGATGCAGGATTCATGAGAATAATGAGGCTCAAGAGCAAATAGGGTGAATCCAGCTGTGCACCACTGTTATCTCTCAGTTACAGTATTCTGTCCGGAGCTATGTTATCACGGGAAAATCACCCATTTAATACTTCCATCCTCGGCATAATGATCTATTTAGCTCTCAGGTCCAGTAATACCGAAGATCGTCAATAGTACAGGGATTGATGCCAGGAGGTGCTTTTTCTTTCTCCAACTCGGCGTTTTGGTGATGGACCCGACCGTAGCCACAGCCCCTTTCACTATCCATGATACATCACATCACACCAGCCAGGGGACTTTCACCCTAGTCGCCGACCGGTGATAATCATAATACTGGATCTCTGGGATCAGGAACACAGAAACAGTCCTGCAGGAAATAACCGCCCACCTTGCAGACTCTCTTGCTGTGACAGTATGCCGGCCAGTCCTTTCATCACCATCAACCAGAATCCCCCAAGGTGGCTCCGGTCATTCATCCTTCAGGGTCTTAGCCAAGTTCAGCTCTTCCATTCAACTAAATCCAATGATCCAATGATCCAATAATCTTCTTCAACAACCGAAACCACCCGGCCCGAAACATGAGTCTCGCTTACCATCCACCGATTCAGGTGCAGTGCGGACGCCACCTCGACGTGGTCACTCGTATCAGCCCCAACCATCATCAAGCCCATTGGAGACTAAACTCTCTGGTGGCGCCGCGTGCCGAACCGGACTGGTTCGTACCTAAGCTCTGGCCTTCATTGACTTCATTTAGGGCTGATAGCTGGCGGTTTCGTTGTGAGTATGGCAAGTATGCCTTGTTCGCCTGGTCAATCCATCGGGAGGCAGTACCCGATGGACACACCCGAGTCAGGCAGTCAGCCTTTGGAGATGCTTTTTGGGACAAATTCGGAGAACTTTGACCAGGCTTCGAGCTTCAATGGCATATTCAGAGGTTGTGATTTGCTGGGATGTTTCTGGCGGATGTCTCTACCAGTTGGAGACTCGATAGCTCTCCTTCAGGAGCCGCACGTGGAGCGTAGAATAAAGAGCGCAAGGGATCCTGACTGGTAAGGTGCACGCTCAACTCTCTTGTTTATATTTGGTTTTTTTTTTTATCCTCCTCGTTTTGTTTCTTTCTCCCCCTTCCTGAGCATCTTCCTCCTCCGCAGTGTTGATTCTCCTCAATTACAGATTGCATCGCAGCCATGCTGGCCCTCCATATCGTCCTCTACGTCCTGTTGGGCACCTCCTTGACCTTTGCCATTGTCGAGTTGGGTCTGTGTGCCTATGTCGCTACTGCTTTCACCGGTAGTACCGAGGTGTACACCTGGGACCCCTATCAGGGTTATACCTACACGACTGTTCACCAGAGTACCCCGGGTATCCTAATCTTCATCATCTTCACGGCCTGCTGGACTATCCTTCTGTGCACTGCTGCATTGGTTCTCCCCTGGTTCTATGCTCGCAAGGGTGCTGTCACCAGCAAGTTGAACGGTATCCTCGGTGTTACATTCATCGTCCTTTACTTCGTCACCTTTGTCTTCTGGTTGGCCTGCTTTGCAGATATCGAGGCCGAGCTCGGTGGTGGTGTCAGCTGGAGTGACTACCTGAATGCTGTCATTGCCTTTGGCGTTCTCCTCTGGTAAGACTCTCCAACCCAAGCCTACTCTCTTGCTCCTCGTACTTACCATCACACCCTATGTCTAGGCTCCTCTTCCTCGCCCTGTTCATCCTCGCCATCCTCGCCGTAACCGGCATTCTAGTCGGCGACTGGGCCGGCTACCAGTCCATGAAGAAGGGGGCAGTGGACCCAGAGCAACCCGAGACCTCGACAGTCCCTGCTTCTGCCAATGATGTGCCGATCGGTATGCCCCCAGCCCCCGTTGCTGCTTCGGAGCTGTCGAGTCGTGATGCTGAGGCTTTCCATAACCAGCCACCCACTAGCCAGACGTACAGTTCTTCCTCGCCGTCCGGTATCGCCAGCGCCGAGTTGGGCGGTGATAGCGCCGTCTACACAGAGAAACATTCCGGTTATCCTTGATCAAACATGACACACCATCGACAATCGACGATGATGAAATGATTTCGAAGTGGTTTTGCTGCCTCAAAACTCTGGTACTTGTGATGCGATAATGGTATAGTTGTAGTTGGGTGGAGAGATACCCCATTTGGTTTTTGATTTGGATATCTTAATTAATATGGTGTTGATATTGTTATTCTACTCGATTGATGCTGAGTTATGCTCTCTACTTGTCTTCCAGAGTTGTAGTTCCAGGCTAGTTGAATGAAGGAATGTCTCTGCAATGGATTGAATCGGCTCTTGTAAGCTCAGGGATATAGTTAATTATAGGACAATCTATGACTCAAATTATGAGTGGAGGACCTCAACCGATTCCAGCGAGGATAGGGAGCACCCAAGATTACGCACTCGGGACAAACAAGCACTGCGTATGTTCGGACGTAAAAGAGCAGATGGGCTAGGAAAGCAAGACTAAGATATGAGACAAGAGGAATCTTAAGCAGCAGTGGTCTTCTCCTCGGCGTGCGACGCCTCGGGGGACTCGTGGCCATGCTTAGACTTCTTCTTTTTCTTCTCATCCTTGCCCTTCTTTTGCATCGCCTCCGCCATCAGCTGCTCAAAGGCCATGTAGTCACCCTCCTCATCGGGATCACGCTCGGCCTTGGATGAATGGTCAGTACTTATGTCAAAAAGTGATGGTTACGGTAAAACATACCTTAGCATAAATGTTACCAGCGAGGACCAGAGCATGAGCACGCTCCACGCGCTTCTCCAAGCGAATTCGCTTGTCACCCAGAATCTGGTCGCAGACCTCGCGCAGAACGCTCTGGATCTCAAACTTGCTGCCGCGCCAGGCCGCAGCAAGAATCTTACCAGTGACCTTCTTCTCGTACTCGGCCTTCTTCTCATCCGTCCAGTCCTCACCGCCACGCTCCTCCAGCTTGGCCATCTCCTCCATGGTCATCTGGGCGTCAATGGCGGTGGAAATGGTAGTCCATGTCTCCTTGGCCAGAGTACCCTTATCCTTGAGACGGGAGAAGAAACCGGAGATACCGAGGAACTTCTGCGACTTGAGGAACGATGTACCCTTCTGGACATACGTAGCACCGACGGCGTGTAGGATCTCCAGACCAAACGACTCCATCTTCAAGTTCTCAACCTCGAGGCGAATCTTCTCCTCAAATGCATGTGTCACATCCTTGCCCTTGTCGGTCTCCGTCCACACACTGAGACGGTCGATCAGTTTGTTGGCCAGGGTGTTGACACGCTCCTCACGAGCCTTTCTCCGCTCCTCCTCGAAGGCGGCGAGACGCTCCTGCTGCTCCTTGGACAGACCCTTCTTCTTTTCCTTCTTGCGAAGCTCCTTCTCCTCCTGCGACAGGCCAGCTGCCTCCATGCGTGCTTCCTCCTCCGACTTGTCCATCAGAGCCTGCTGTCCCATGTTCCGTCGGGGGGTACTCGTTCCAGAGCTCTGGGCAGTTGCCTCGCCGTAGGCAGGCGGCGGAGCGTGTGCTTCCTCGTGGCCCGAAGCCTCAGCAGCAGCCTCGGCAGCCTTCGCGGATGCAGCAGAGGGCTCTTCACCGGCAGCCTTGACCTCCTCGTCGTGGATGTTGAGCTTCTGTTCAGCCGACTCGGCCAGTTCCTCCTCCTCCATCTCTTGCATTGTGATATCCATCGTCGCGGTCAGGTCTTTCATGAGGGAGATCTCTCCGATGAGATCGACAAAAGCTTCGCCACCGAAAATCATGCTGAAGAACTCCGAAGGATCCTCTGTGATATATGAGTTAGCTATAACAGAGTCGACATACACGGCCGTGATATGTGCTGGACAAACCGAAACCACCCCCGGGCACTGACTCCTCCTTGCCGAATTTGTCATATCGCTTGCGTAGATCTTCGTTGCTCAGAACTTGGTAGGCTTCGCCGATCTAAGGTCAGCGCGCATGTTAGTGTCTTCGTTCGGATGTTTCGGTGCTGGTGCCTGTCCATACCGCTTGGAATCGTTCATGGGCAGTCTCATCGCCAGGGTTCTTGTCTATTTGAGTTCAGTGAGAATGAGCGACACATAACAAGGCATTACCATATCATACCAGGGTGGGTGACAATAGCGAGCTTGCGGTAAGCCTTCTTGATCTCCAGCTCGGTAGCCGTCGGCGGGACGCCCAAGGCATCATAGTAGCTGGTGTCGGCGACCATCGTGGATGCAGCAGGGCAAAGACGCGCTGCACAACAATCTGGTCAGAGAAGAGAAGCTACTAAAACCAGTCCGTCCACAAAAAGAACAGCACTGCGTGGTGTTAGGGAAGGAATAGGAGATCTGTAACTTTTTTTGGCGAAACTCGAAGCTGATCTGCCCGCGCCCCGCCAAACTTCGCGCATGACGCCTCGTGAGCGCACGGGGTCTCATCACGTGATCCGCAATCTCTTTTTCCCGAAGCTCTCGACTCCGCCCCTTTTCCCATTTCCCACCTTCGCTTCTTTTCTCTCCACGTCTCTTTTTCCTCTTGTCCTACTCCCCCTCTTTTTCTCCAGACTCACACTTGGGTCCCTTTTCTTCCATTTCCCTTTTTACTGGACACTTGGGTGTCATCATTAGCCCACAATGGGTTTCATTGGCAATGCCATCTATTTTGCTTTCCACCCGATCCAATTGAGGTCGATCATTCAATGGTAGGTGTCCCACAATGCGGCTCCAATTGGAATTCGTCTCTCGGCCATTGCTAATCATACCACTCGCTTAGGAAAGTTTGGCACAACCCTCCCCATGAGCGTAATGAGAAGAACGATACCGAGACACAAAAGATTTGCTATAAATTCTTGGACCAGACGAGCCGCAGCTTCAGCGCTGTCATCAAGGAGCTCCACCCGGAGCTTCTCCTGCCTGTCACAGTTTTCTACCTCGTCCTCCGTGGTCTGGATACCATTGAGGATGATACCTCCATTCCCTTGGAGACCAAGGAGCCTCTCCTCCGGAATTTCAAGGACTTCCTGACCCAGGATGGCTGGAACTTCACTGGGAACCGTCCGGAGGAGAAGGATCGGGAGCTGCTGGTTCAGTTCCAGAGTATCATTGTCGAGTTTAAGAACATGAAGCCCGCCTACCAGGCCATCGTCAAGGATATCACCGACAAGATGGGCAATGGTATGGCTGACTACTGTGTCAAGGCTGCCACGGAGGATGCTAGCGTGAAGACGGTCGAGGAGTATGACCTCTACTGCTACTACGTGGCTGGTCTTGTTGGAGAGGGCCTGACTCGCTTGTTTGTTGAGGCCGAGTTCGGCAACCCTGCTCTGCTGAAGCGCCCTGAGCTTCAGAAGTCCATGGGTCTCTTCCTGCAGAAGACCAACATTATCCGTGATATCCGCGAGGACTTTGACGATGAACGCCGATTCTGGCCCAAGGAGATCTGGTCCAAGCACGTTGATAACTTTGAGGACCTCTTCAAGCCGGAGCACAAGGAGGCTGCGCTGAACTGTAACTCCGAGATGATCCTCAATGCTCTGGAACATGTTGAGGAGTGTCTTTTCTACCTGGCTGGTCTCCGCGAGCAGAGTGTGTTCAACTTCTGCGCCATTCCCCAGTCCATGGCCATTGCTACCCTCGAGCTGTGCTTCCGCAACTATGCCGTCTTCGAGCGGAATGTCAAGATCACCAAGGGTGATGCTTGCGAGCTCATGGTTCAGTCCACTCAGAACCTGAACGTCTTGTGCGAGACTTTCCGCCGCCTGACCCGCGCCGTCCACAAGAAGAACACCCCCAAGGATCCCAACTTCCTCAAGATCAGCATTGTCTGCGGCAAGGTACGTCTTGCATTTCCGTCTTGAACGATTTGTGTTGTATTCATCATGCTAACCCCCCGTCCAGATCGAGAAGTTCATTGAAACTATCTTCCCCACTCAAAAGGCCGAGGACGCCCAGCGCCGTGTCAAGGGTGAACTCAGCAGGGCGGAGCTCGAGAAGCGCAAGGCGGAGGCAGACAGCAAGTCCGACGTCTTCTTCTTGATGGCCATCATGGGTGTGATCATCTTCCTTGTGGCTGGTGTTATGGTGAGCCCATGAAATCTCCGTTTACCCCATTCAATCCCTGGCTAACTCGGTCATAGATGGTTGCTGCTTGGTTCCTGGGCGCTCGCTTTGACCTGGCCTGGCAAGAAATCCGGTCGGGCAACTTCCGACCCCCAGCGATCACCCAGAAGGAGCTCTGATTCGATGTATATTTTACCTTGCCCTTTTTCGACGGCGTTACGACCTTTTATTGCCTAATCTTCGATTCCCCCTCCGCCGGTGGCCTCCTGTTACATTATATCCCTCGTCCCAGCCTCCTACGCCACCGGTGCCACGACGTGTATTGATAATAATCTACCACTTTTCTTCTACCATCCGCTAACTTGATTAACCTCCTTGGACCTCCTCAGCAACCATTCTCTCTCCTCAGCACGGATGTCAAATTGCGATCCCGCCTTTCCATGGCTGCGGTTGTGCCGAAGAAGTGCTTATATCGACCGGGATTCTTTCTCATTGTCCAGTGAAGTACTAGATTTGTGTCCGATGACTTAACTGTCGCGGTGGCATACGTCCATTGAAGATCTGGAACATTCTGATTTTGTAACACTAACATAGTTGAATGCTATTCTGTTTTACCACCTTTCTCCCGTACCTTTCCATTCCTTTGCTATAGCACGGATGTCAAATTGCGATCCAGCCCTCTCATGGCTGCGGTTGTGCCGAAGAAGTGCTTATATTAACCGAGACTTGTTCTTTTTAACCAGTGAGTACTAGATTTGTGTCGATGACTTCACTGTCACAGTGGCATACATCCATTGAAGATCTGGGACATTCTACCGTATAACTAACTTAGTTTTAATATGATTTGTTTGCAAATATCCCGTGCCTTTTTTAAATCATCTAGCACGGATGTCAAATTGCAATCCAGCCCTTATCATGGCTGTGGTTGTGCCGAAGAAGTGCTTACATCGATCGGGACTTGTTCTCTTTAACCAGTGAGTACTAGATTTGTGTCCGATGGCTTAATTGTCGCGGTGGCATACATCCATTGAAGATCTGGGACATCCTTACCTCTAATTGAATGTGATATTTTTGCGATCACCTCTTACTTATTTCTCCCAACTTGCCCAGTAGCCTAACGACGAGTAAGATTTTACACGGAAATCCAAGTTAAAGGATCTGCGAATCTCAAATCGTATCAGTGTAGCTCTTTCATCGTCGGAGTACATAGTGCCGACTGGGGAGACTTGTAGGGAAAACTCACCTGTTACCTGAGCTACTTTTACTTCGAAGTCACCTAGGACTTCCAGTTGCTCTTCTTTCCCCTGCCACGGGCATCAGGCATGTCTTTTGCAAAAATATGGTTGATCTGATTAAATGGTGGATTTTTGTGAGGGGTTGACCAAAACTAAGCGTTCTCTGTCGGTATATATATCACACGTTCAGCATAAAAGGTACATAGGTAGTACCTAACACATCAAGAATCTTGCAAGCCAGTCAAGTACCTAGGGGTGTAGTCCATCTGTGGGCCTGAAATAGATGTACTTCTTTACTTTCTTTATCTATTTCCATTTTCCTACCTGCATCTTAACCTGACCAGGGACCCAAAGTCGGCCGGTTACACTGTCGTCCGGACTGTCCCCTGTTCCCCAGGGTCATCGCCACTCCACATTTCCATCCTCGGGGGCGCTAATTGTGCCGATTAGAAATCTCTGCTTGCTCATTGCCCTGATCCATTCTTTAAATCTAGATATTGCCCGCTATCTATCGTTGCATTGAAGTTATTCTTCATTCCCTCGTTAACTTCTCGCCCGTCTTACGCGGTAGTTAACTAGACGCAACTGCCGTCCTATGCGCTCGCTGCAAAGACTTGTCGCCCCACCATTTTCTCGGGCTTCTCACCCTTCGCGTCTATTCTCTGTCTCGTTACGACCTCTATTCCAAATGGGCAAAGACAATAAGGTCACTGGCTCTCAAAATGCGAGCGAGGGGTTGCCCCCTCTGTCTGCGAGCGATTTGCGAGCATACAACCGCCTGGCAGACCGAATGGACGGCTTCGTAAGCATTGCATAATACCCCACTAGGCAAGGGGCTGACCACTGACCGTAATCCAGCACAATCACTTCCGCATGTCGTGGAATCAACTCTGGGATGCATGTGATTCTTCTTCAAAGCGCCCCGGTGGCCTTTCAGCACGCCAAATGATCATGATGGGCCTCCAGTTTTGTTCTCAGCTTGATTTTCACCACTCAATCGAAGAACAGCACATCTTCCCTGTCCTAGCGAAGAAAATGCCGGAGTTCAAGAAGGAGCTTGATCTTCTGAAGCAGCACAAGCAGATTCATGCTGGTCTTGAGAAGCTAGAGGCATATCTTGAGAAATGCCGTTCTGGCGAGGAGGATATGCGCCGCGAAGAGGTTAAGCGTCTGATGGAGAGCTTTGGGAAAGTCCTGTGGACGCATTTGGACGAGGAAGTTCGAACGCTCAAAGCTGATAACATGCGCAAGTACTGGTCATTGGATGAGATGCGAAGACTTCCGATGTAAAGTCGATGGCTTGCTTTTTGATGTATAGAATACACCGTTGCATAATTGATATTGTGACTCACTTGTTCCTCCATCTTGCATTCGAATTCGAAAGGTTGCTAATAAGTATCCGATATCTGGCTGCTTTCTTCCGTTACTCATTGAACTCTGTCTATGATGAACCCGGACATGGTGATTGAGCAAGGCATCCTATGATGGCGACATCATGGGTGGAACAACTGAGACATGGATTGCGATGATCAATAAATCCATCTTGCGGGCGAAATCCACCTGTTGGAATTCGCACGACCTTGTGCTGATCGCTTTGATGCTTTCTTGCCAGTGTCTTGTAATATGCTCACGTATCAGCGTGATCAAGGCCCGGTATCACCCGCGATAGGATTTAACTGACCCAGGGGCCTGGGTTGCTACCATGAAGATCGTGGACCAGCAAGTCCTCCATCTTTATGTGATATGTGCCAACCCGTCAATTCAAAATGTAGACCAGGATCTAGACCAGCTCTAAGGAGATCAGTGAGACGCATTTGTCCGTCGAACGCTGTTGCAAGATTGACTTGCTGAGCCACGACGGCATCTCCAAACCCGTAGAGAAACCAGCAACCACTGCGCTGGCCTGGGAAATTCGTGAAGATGGGCTTAAAAGAAAAGAAGGGATCAACACAGAAAGGCGCTTTCAGCGAGTCAAAGCGCACAGCGGGCCAATTACGGCGGGTATCGAGGCGTCGAGGAATGTACAACGCGAGATGTTTTGGTTGGAATGCGCGCTAAACCCCTTCCCCCAACGACGGATGGCTTGGACAAAGGCCGAGTCTTTGATGATTTGAATTTCTTTTTCTTATCCGGTGGCATGTTTCTAGATGCGTTCTATCGGGCCGTGATTTCATCGCTTCACTCTGCAATAGAAGTAACTCTGTTCACTCGAGGAGGCTACTAGACGAGTAGTCTATCAGTATCCGCTTCATGGTCAATAGCAACCAAACAAGTAAACAAACACTTTGCAATGGAGTCAGTCATAGCAAATACTATGCCAGACTATTAATTGATTGCCAGGATAAGTTTCTTCTCCGTTATCGCTGGATCTCGTGGCCATCGAAGATCGGGATTTAACGTCGATCTTCCACAGATCCGTCACAGTCCCGCTGTCAGATGTTACTGTCTCCTGAGGAATGTGCCTAGAAACACAACGCGCAATCACTTGCATCTTAATTTGAACTTTCTCTATGGTGCCTCTGGTTCGCTCCTGATGGCGAGAGTCCATTGCCTGGTCCACTGAAGGACCAAACCCAACAGATAAAAATCGCGGAATAAGACAAGATCAACATGATCTCAAGACCAGAGCAGCAGACCGTTAGTCCTCCCACATCGATTCCCAGTTCTAAAGCTCAAGTGTGAACCTGCTGCCCAGACCCGAACCTTTTGTGCGGGTACAGTATCCATGACCCGCTTTCCAAGTTCCCATGATGGAGTCCCCGATGACACGAGTTCACCTTCCCCATGCGGCTGACACCTGCATGCGACATCCATTTGGCAAGATGAAGGTATATAAGGTCATTGAAAAATCGCCAGCCCTGATATGGCTACGACATTCACGCCATATCTCCGTCACTTGTGTTTGTTCTCCCCTTCCTTTACGGTCCTGATTGTGCATCAAAAAGCCTCCACAAATATGAAGTTCACTACCGCCATTACAACTGCCGTACTGGCAACTGGTGCCCTTGCGGCTCCTCGCCCTGGACTCGCTGAGCGCCTGGAAGCTCGCGGTGTTCTGACTCGCCAGTCTATCCCAGCTCACAAGTTTGACAACTCCGGCGAGGAAAATGGTGTCCTGCTCAAGGAGGGAAGCAACAGCGCCGATGTCCAGTATAGCAAGAATTGGGCAGGCGTTGTTCGTGAGCAGCCACCTGCCAGTGGTGTCTATACTGAAGTATCGGCAACCTTCACCGTGCCTGACCCCACGGCCACCGATGACTCGGGCGATACCCAAGCCGCTTCAGCTTGGGTTGGCATCGACGGTGACACCTACACCAACGCCATTTTGCAGACCGGCATTGACGCCTACATCTCCAATGGGCAAAAATCATATGATGCATGGTACGAATGGTACCCCAATGCGGCCGAGAATTTCAACATCGACCTCACAGCTGGCGACGTGATCGTTGCCACAGTCAACTCTTCCTCGCCCAGCAAGGGTGTTGCCATTATCGAGAACAAGTCAACTGGGAAGAGTGTGACCAAGTCGCTTTCTGCTCCTTCTTCATCTGCCACTCTTGGTGGACAGAATGCCGAGTGGATCGTCGAGGACTTCAATTCTGGTAATTCCATGGTCCCCCTGGCCAACTTTGGTCAGGTCGTATTTACTGGTGCCCAGGCCAAGGGATCGGATGGAGCGTATGGTGTGAATAATGCCGCGGTTCTGGAAATCCAGCAAAACGGCCAGCTACTTGCCGATGTTCAGATCCAGAGCGACACCCAGTTTACCGTTACTTATCAGTAATCGGTTGATTGCTTGTATATAATTTTGTGGCTATATCTCTGGCATTTCAGGGGCGTTTACTTGGTGGCTTAACTTGGATTTCCAATTCTTGCTTTGGAGTTGGTGAGACTATTGTGGTTATAATAAGCCAAATTAATTCTCGTTACTTGATTCTTTGAATTTGAAATCTCACTGCTATGAATCTCATTCTAGAATCGCGGCAGAGCATTGTTGAACACATTTTGGGGATCATATTGCTTCTTGATCCTTTTCAAAGTCTCATGGCGACTTCCATAAATGGTGTCCATGTTAAGGTCCTTGTTAGGAGTCAAGGAAATATAAGTCGCCGGCACAATATTCGATGAATCTGTGTTACGTAGAGCGTTGATGAACGCTTCACCCCACACAAGAGCTTCAGTAAGCACCTCCGGAGTCGAAGCCAACGGAATGATCTCGATTAAGAAGTGTGAAACGCGATTATCAAAGACTGTGTCGATGTTCGGCTCTCTTGGGCCGTCGGAGCGAAGTTCGTGAATGCCAAAGAGAAGTTCCGGGTTGTTGGGTTGCCTCTTTGCGTGGATGCCTATAACCTCCAAGACCTCAGGTGTCAGGTCATAGAAATTCACCGTGAATATGGTTCCATAGGTGTGTTTTGGGATCATCGAGTTTGCGAAAGCACCAAAGTCTTTTTGGTTAGTCGGTTGGACGGTGCTCATGGCAACTGGTAACCAAGATGAAACCTTTGATAGCCACTGCTGGCCCTGCTCCAGGTCTGATGATGCCCACATGAAGAAAAGTGACAAGGCTTTACCGGTCGGACCATTCAGAATGGCTTGATACAGATGCAGTGATGAGGGAAGGCCTCCCTCCTTTGCTTTGCTATACGCAACATTGAACTGTTTGACTTCAGCGGCCAAGTCTTCCGATTTGTAAAAGATGGCGCCGGCCAAGATCTGTAAGAAAATTAGCTCCTGAGGGAGACTGATAATTGCCAAAACTCCATACGTACCTGGTCTTGTGGGTATACCTTCACGGTGATTTCCACAATCACACCTAATGAGCCTCCACCTCCCCGAATACCCGTCAGCATGGTTTCATCAGCCTCGCGGATTTTTCCCTCGGCATCGACCACTTTCGCTCCAACAATTTGATCCACACCCAGCCCGTACGTAGTGCTGAGAAGACCATAACCACCAAATGTTGCCCAGCCAACCTGGCCAACAGACGGAGTGACGCCAAACGGTGTTGTCACCTTGTACTTCTGCAGTTCCTCCAGCATATCCATACAGATGACTCCTCCACCCAGCCGTGCAGTCTGGGACTCGACATCAACACGAATATGGGAAATCTCTCGTAGATCAATTGTCACACCGTCCGTGACCTGCGAGCGACCACTCATATCATGTCCGCCGACTCGGACTGTGAACTGCAAGTTGTTCTTGGTCAATAGAAGTATCAGCTCGGCTACATCTTCAGCCGAGCGTGGGCGGACAACTATTGCGGGGATCTTGGTTTCATTGATGACGAAGCCTAACCGTAACTCCTCGAAGTCCGGAGATTGAGGAGTCGCGTAGTGGATATGAGGGTTTTCCTTGAGGAACTCAATGACTTGATCCATCTTGTTTCAATACCCGAGAAGATGAGTGCGGTGAAATCCAGGGGGAAGAGCTCTCTTAGAAAGACCCTGAAATGGGGCCATTCCAATCTAAATGGGAATGCTGACATGGTTCTCTTGGCAAATACGGGCTTCGACAAAGAATGATGGCCGACTCGAAACTGAGTTCAAGATCGGGCTCTCGCCACTTAGGCCTCCAGAGCCGAGCCTTCGATAGCTGTCTGTCTGGAGCTCATGCTGGAGGTGAGAGGTTCTGGCAATGATACACCAGCATCACTAAGAAATGACAACTGCACGTAGTAGATTCCAGTCGAGATTGGCGCATGTGATTTTTTTCCTTTCCCCACCTAATTTCCTATGTATCTCCTTCTTGGCGGGCGCAGCATCTTGATGTATTACCAAGCACTAGGTTGGACTTGTAGGGAATAAATATCGTCATTAGGCGTCTCATTCGAAAGTCAATCGCCCATTGCATATTCACAATTTGATAGCCGAACTTTCAGATCCATCATGACCATCTCATCACAAATTTTGGTAATTGGAGCGGGTGAACTGGGGATTCAAGTCCTTCGTTCTCTAGTTGCACACCCCCGTTGTGCTGGTACGGTGGCCGTCTTACTGCGTCCCGCTAGCATCAATTCTCCCAACTCGGCCAAACAGAAAGAGATCGAGATACTACGTGGCCTGGGCCTCGGGATAATTCCGGGTGATATTGTCGAAGACTCCGAGGAGTCCCTAGCTTCGGTATTTGCGAACTACGACACAATCATTTGCTGCACCGGGTTCGTGTCTGGCCAGGGCGTTCAGGTGAGGGTCACTCGTGCCGTGTTAGCTGCCAATGTCTCGCGCTTTGTGCCCTGGCAGTTCGGCGTGGATTATGATGCTATTGGGCGTGGTTCCCCGCAAGATCTGTTTGATGAGCAGCTCAATGTTCGAGATCTCCTCCGGTCGCAAAGGCAAACCCGCTGGGCGATCATTTCCACGGGCATGTTCACCAGCTTCTTGTTCGAGCCATCTTTTGGCGTGGTCGACTTGGAGAATGCGACCGTTTGTGCATTAGGTAGCTTGGAAAATCAGGTCACGGTCACAACACCGGATGATGTTGGGAAGATCACGGCGGAAATCGTGTTGGGCGAAGAGAGCGACGCCCTTTTTGCCGATCGGGTGACTTTCGTCGCAGGCGATACAGTCAGCTATGAAGATGTGGCTTGTATTGTGGAGTCTTTGGTTCAAAAGCCAGTTCATCGCAAGGTCCTTACTGTTGAAGACGCATTGTCTGCCCTAGCCAAAGATCCGGACAACGGTTTATTTAAATACCAAGCAGTCTTTGGCCAGGGACATGGTATGGCTTGGAATATGGACGACGCGTGGAATCGTCAGCGTGGAATGCACGTTACGACAGCCAGAGCATGGGCCGAGTCTAACTTGCTGTAAAGGCTCAAAAACCCCGAGACGGTTCACAAATGCATTAGAAACATCATGTAACTATGTACAAGCAATGACATTATGAGACCCAATTATTTGGTAACTAAGCATCGGCTCGGGCCAGTGAGTCATCGCTCGGATAGCCTATTGAGGTTCATTAAGAGCTACTCTAGTTCACTACTTCAACAACAGATCGCATCACTTTGAATTCATTCCCTCTTCACCTCCCTCCATGACAGTCATCATCGAGCCAGCACAATTTCCAGCCGACACCGTCGCAATCCATTCGTTATTCTCTGGGTATGCGGCATCGTTGGGGATCGACCTCACTTTCCAGTCTTTTGACGATGAGCTCAACTCATTACCCGGGAAATATGCCACCCCCAAGGAGGAGCACTATTAGTTGCGCGTGCCCAATCACCGGACACAGACACTACAGACCATGCACAACCAGTGCCTCAGCCATCAGATGAACCGCTCACAGTCCCACAAATCAACTCCGTTGTTGGCTGTGTTGGCTTGCGACGCAATGATGAGCATTGGTGTGAGATGAAACGTCTTTACGTCAAACCGGAGACCCGAGGGTTGAGACTTGGCGATAAGCTCGTGGAGGCTGTTCTTGTCCAAGCAAAAGCCTTGGGATACCGCGGTATTCGATTAGATACTCTGCCAGATATGGTGGCAGCGCAGCGACTCTATCGGCGACATGGGTTTTTCGAGATCGAGCCATACTATGATACACCGTTGAAAGGAACGATATTCATGGGATGTGATCTGACGAGATAATGAATTTTGTAGAGTATGTTTAATGAGTCCCACGACGCAGCGTATTTTCGATAGTGATGAATGTTGCAATGCTGGATTAAAATCCATAGCCACCTCAATTTGAAGGCCCTTGATCCATTCCGATGGAAGTATGCCACGCGGCAGACATCTAGAAGTGTGGGCTCTAATAGTACCCAATGATCTTATTGATGCGGGTAATGATAACTCCCAGCGACTGTACCTACATGTCGGCTTATTTAAATATCATCTAGCTCCTCCGAAGCTATAGCAAATAAGAAGCCGAGTCCCTTCATTGAGCATCCACTTAGTCGGAGATAACACTCGGAGATGTCTGTTTTGGAACAAGTATGAAGTTCATTAGTTATATGTACCTATTAAATCTACAAATTTTGACAATTGAGAATCAAGATCAATTGAAACCGGAAAGTGAAAGAAATGACTGTTGCAGATAGATCGCTGGATGTGCTGATAGTTGGAGCGGGCATTGCTGGCCTCTCGGCGGCCATTGCCCTTGGAAAGCAGGGTCACAGTGTTGTTGTGAGTTCTCTATAAATTGAGATATTTTGGAAAATGTCTTTACACCTGCTGAAACAAGATGCAGATCTTGGAAAAACCGGCGTTCCTGAAAGAGGCCGGTGCGGTGATCCATTTGCCTCCGAACTGCACGGCATTGTTACAATGGATGGGAATCGATCCGACGGCGTTTGGAAGAACCCTTCTCAATGAGGTAACTCTAACGCAACGTGAATTGAATGCAGCTTACTGAAATCACCAGATTCATCGATACGGATCTGCGGGCGATCTCAAGTATAAGAAAGACTTTGCTGGAATTTGCGATACCTGGCAAGCAGTAAGTGCCCCTGGGACTCACCAATAAAGAAGGTATCTCATGTCATGCTAATTAGTACCATGCCACAGGAATGGTATCTAGTTCACCGAGTTGATCTTCACAACCATCTGAGAAACGTGCCTTGGAGACAGCCACTCTTCACACTCGATGCAAGATCACGGCCATAGACATTAGCGGTCCACGGACCTCGGTCATCTTAGATAACGGTCGAACTTTTGATGCTGATGTTTTGCTCGCGCTGATGGACTTCATGTATGAAATCGCCATCCTCGAGAAAGTGGTGGACTGACAAGCTCTGTAGTCCTGGGTCCGTGGCATAGTCGCCCCCTAGGCACCTAATCCATACCCAGTAGGAAAGTCCTGCTTCCGATGGATTCTTCCTACCGATCAATTGAAGAAAGATGAGTCCACCTTGCAATTTGTGGAAGATCCCGGTGTTTTCATTGAGTGGGCATCTGAAGATTGCCGACTGGTTGCATAACCTTGCTCTGACAACAAGGTTTTCAATCTATGTGCGTTCATGCCTTCCAATGAGGTGAATGACGATACCCAGAAGGATGGTGAGTGTACTGGAAGCACACTACATGTTCGCGATTGTCAAGGACTGACAATCATGGTTTACAGAATGGCAGACAGTGGGTGAGAAGCAGACCATTGTCCAAGGGTTCTCAAAGTTCCATCCCGGAGTGCAAAAGATCGTGGAGCACGCAGAGGCGAATTTGAAGGTATGGGAGCTTTATGATATGGAGACCCTACCTACCTGGACCTCCGGCCATGCGGCTCTGCTGGGCGATGCCGCTCACCCGTTTCAACCATATAAGACTGAGAAAAATTCTCACCCAATGTAGGAAATCTTGCTGACGGCTGATTGGATCAAAGACATGAGTCAGTGGGGGGGGGGGGGGCACGGCCATTGAAGACGCTGTCGGAATTGCAACTCTACTTCCTCTTGGTACCCGATCGGAGGATATTCGAGAACGTTTGGAGATGTATCACTCTTCCCGAAAGCCACGGGTTAGAATAATTCTCAACTTCACTCGCTTGAACGGGCGCGATGATATTGACGCCGCTGGTGCGAGAATCCCTCGTAAGGCTATCCTCGTTCGGTACGATAATCCAGAGAGCTGATGGCTAAATTGCAACAGCCGCGGACATGGTCAAATTCATGGGAATTTGTTTTTCTTACGAGATCGATCAGTGCAAGAGAATCCTGGTCGAGCAGGAAGGAGACCAGCAGGGGGATTCGACTGGGATGAAAACCAATCTGTTTGATAGCATCATTTCCTGGACAACGTGGAGTTTACTCCGGATCTAAAATAAATCCGCAAGTAAATAGTCCCCTGATATCCATTTACCCCCAGCGATCCGGTGTGTCGGGTCGGCCTCTTCTCTTCGTTTGCTTTTCAAAGGCTAGCAGCCTCAATGAAATCCTACTCTATCATTAGCGTTATGTACCAAACAAAATAAACGTGTGAAATGCTGCCACGATGTGTAGATTGGACCCGTAGACCTGGGTACAATTAAAGATCCTGGTTGATCATGGCCATCGTGTGAATTGCTGCTCAGTGCTGTGAGGTTCCCCACCGGCACGTCGCGTCCCGGCAACCTAGAGCGACGCAGAACTCCAGATGCCTAAAATTGGGCTTTCCAAGAATGATTCGAGGTATTCTAGCGAGTGGCCACAGCAGGGCTCTCGTGGCCCGTCCTGTGCGCCCGATGCAGTCTATTCAAGGATGCTCCACTGTACACCATCTCCTGGATAGACATTGGTTACCGACAGGATGGGCGGAAGGGAGGGGTTGGTTCCAACGCCGATCTAGCATGGAGGGCCCCCAAAGCGGGCGCACGAGGGTCGGCGAGCCCGGTGGTTGGGAAATGCTCTAGGTACGAAAATAAGAGAAGATAAGTGCCCTGGTGCAGCTAGCGGCCATGGTGAGCTTATCTTCTTTTGTAGATCATCCGTGTTGGACGCCAGCCTGAACATAATTTAGCGTGTTTGACCTTGGGGGAGCTGGAACATGGAGAGCTAGGTCATTCCCTGCAACTGCTGCGAATTGACACATCATGCAGACGAGGTCCGTGTATAAACATCCCGGGTATTGTCCGACCGAGTGTCACCTTGTTCTGCACGAGCGGCAGCTGCTTTTTCGTGGTGCATCGTGGGTCATCTCTCGCACCCCCACCAGCACCCGAGGCTCTGGGTCGGTTGTCGGTGGCGGACGCACTGTGGGCAGTAGACAGGCATGGTGTTGACCGCATTGTCCCAGTCTTTTACCTCTCGGAAACAGACCGCTTCTTGGCCGGCATTTCGGGCCTGCGAGGTCTTGTTGGCACCTGTGGAACAATGGCATGTTGAGACCCGGCCATAGTGAGAGAGGGGGTTACATATGAGGGATTGGATGACGCTAGGGAGTGCTGGTTTTGTAGCTCTTCCTCTGGACGACTGTGATCGAATGGAGGTTGACCCGCAAATCGACTCGAATCCATTCATTTCATGCGTAGAGGGGTCCTCGATAGCGATTAACCCCTGGTGATCAGGGAGACCAGAAATGCGCAGGCCATGGGGGTGAACAGGGTGTCAAGGTAGCCCAAATAGTCTCTCGTGTTGTTCCCGAGGCGTTGAAGAGGAGAGGATCTTCTGCGAGCTGCATGGAATATCCTCGTCTTCCTGGCTCGGGAAGCGACCCGACACAGTGGTTCGTGCTAGTGGAGACGAAAGTGTAGATGATAGATGAAAGGCTGAAAGGTTGAACAGTTGAAAGAAGAGAGTTTCCCATCACCAAAAGTAGTTTGGCTGATTCTTGTTTCTCCTGCCCAACTGATCCCGACCGTTTGGGTCCCGCATTCCCTTGCGAAAACCCGCCAGTTGCGCCAGTTGCGCGCAGACGCCTGCTTGCGTCGGGAGCTTTTTCGGACAACTGCTTCCTTTTTTCTTCTTCTTCTTTTGACTCCTCTTTGCCCGAGATCTGAATCTGTCAAGTAACCCACGATAGCACGGTCAACAGCCACCAGGTTTCCCCGATGTGAGGGTTGGTGTTGATTCAAGGACTATGACGGAATCCGATCGACCAACAACCTCCACTGGAATCGAGGTGGATGCCGATGCCAGCGTATGGTCTATCTTTCAATCGACGGGAGGAGTCTGGCTCTAATTCTCATTCTCCGATATAGTCGCCAAGTGATGTGGATAGCATTCGCAGCGATCTGACTTCATTAAGCGAGTCAATCTATAGTTATGTCTACGAGAATGGCCGAACCTACCACGCGCACGGGTCGGGGACTTATGTATGTTTTTGGGAACTGTCAATACTCTCGAAAGGAGGATATTTCACGTTGGATGTGCGGCGACTCACCGGTGATTTCAGATTCTCCCCAATGATGAACGAGAACAAGGTATGAGGCCTGGCGGTAATCATCCAATGATTGCCTCTTCGATGCAGCTCATGAGTAACGCTTGATCCAGAAAGACTGGACGTGATGCACCACGTCTTTCGCCTCTGTCTAGATGGGAACTTGTGTCAGACAAAGTTAGAGCACCCGCAACGAATCCTCGACATTGGAACAGGCACGGGAATTTGGGCCGTTGACAGTTCGTCATCAAAGACAAATCGGCCGAGTCTCGCGATGATCGCTAACTTGAGGCAGTTGCGGACGAGTTTCCCTCAGCACAGGTGACGGGGGTGGATCTTTCTCCAATACAGCCAGGCTGGTTAGTACCCGCCATCATCGAGGGATTTCCTCGCCAGACGGAGCCTGTTATCTTCTGACACGACACAGGATCCCACCGAACCTTTCATTTATCATTGATGATGTGACGCAAGAATGGAGCTTTCAACCCGAGTCGTTCGATTTTATCCATGTGCGATGTTTCGCTGGAAGTATAGAAGACTGGGCCACATTTTTAAAACGATGCTACCAGTGCGTGCAATCCTGCATCCTGTTTAAATGGAAATATGGGGTTTGGAATACTGATTAATCTTCATTTTCTCTCAAGGTATCTCAAGCCCGGTGGACGCATCGAAGTTGCCGAATCTCGTGCTAAGCTATATTGCGATGACGGCTCATGTCCAGAGGACAGCTACCTATATTCATGGGAGGTCAGTACCGTACCCTAGAGACGCAGAATGCCGAGAAAAGACCGCCAAGATTGACACCCCTCAGCGCGAATTCAATCGTATCACAAAGATACAAGGGCGTGTTTGGGATATCGCCCCGCAGATTCCGGGCCTTCTTCAAGATGCTTCTTTTGAAAATGTCGACATCATCGAGCATGTCTGTCCATTTGGCACATGGCCCAAGGATCCCAAATTGAAAGAAGTCGGTCGATATTTTCGAGCTCAGATGGTTGAGGGGGCGATGGAAAGCTACTCACTCGCCTTATTCACCCGATTCGGTGGCTGGAAACCAGTCGAGGTGCAGGTTCTATTGGCACATTTACGAACAGAGATTCAATCGAACAAGATTCATGCCTATACAAAAATGTCAGTGAAGGCCGTTTGATGAGCTTATTATGGTACTGATGAATTGATCTAGTGCATTTTCCACCGCGCGGAAGCCCATGACATAGCCTTCCACACAAACACGGTACAGAGTCCAGGCGATCGAGTGCGAATACTGGGAATATCATGAACGCATAGAGAGGAGGGAGGTATTTTTGAAAACTTTGTTACTTTAGCCAGGCATGCATACACACGGCGCAGTGCAGGGGTTTAATGCTCATTTACAAATTTCATCATCCAACAATCGATTGTACATACTCTTGGGGTGAACTGGTCAGTTATCTTCATGCCTGAGGCATCAAAATGACTCAGCACCTCCGCCCAATCGCGGCATCCGAACATCGGCAATCATGACGATCTCCAAAGTGTAGTTGCTCCAACCCTTCGATTATCTCATTTAAAACCCCTGGAAATGTACTCAAAGAATGGCATCTACATACTTAAGGCCCGTCCCACCGCCCGATGGACTCCAGATCAGGCGAAAGCCCGTTTCCAACCCAAATCTCAGGGGGACCGCCCTTGCCCAAGCCCCTGGACCATTGTTACACGCCACAACCTCCCCATCTTTAGTGCCGCCGCCACTGTCACGGCCTCCATCTTACAATGATTTATATGGAGCGGCATCACCGGCACCCCGACAAGATACATCTTTGAGACCACGAACGGCGGGTGCTTCACCTTCATCAGCACGGCCATCCCCATCGTTATCGCCATCTCCAACGCTCTCGCCATCTCCAAGTCCTTCTCCCACAGGCGTGCAGAAGGCATTTGGTGAAGCCCGTCATTTTTTGGGTGGTCTGATCAACCATCCAACAGAATCTAACAAACACGTCACTATTCTCCGTCATTCTCATGGCCTCGTTTTCTACCGGGGTAATTCCACTTCGGTGGCTGTGTCTATCTTCTCCGATACTCCCCTGCCACAGGACCGTACGGTCTGGCTACAGAATAAGGGGTGGTCTGGTAAAACTGGAATGCGTGCCAAAGCTTTGTTCCGTCTGAATGATAGCTGGCTCGATGTCACACCGGGTATGCCCCTCCGGGCAGATCAAGTGAATCCAGATGACGAACGCGCCTGGCAGCGGGATATCAGAAAATTCTTAAAAAAGGCGCCCGCACGGCCACGAGATACCCATCGACTCCGGGAGACTGTCGTAGTACGCATTCCCGCCGAAGCTGGCGATGGATACTTCCAGCTGGTGCTGTGCCAAGGCATGAAGAAGAAAGTCCTTGGTAATAGCCCCGTTTTTCGGGTCATTTCTACATCGACAAGCCCCCATTCCATCCGTGGTGCGAGCTTGAGCACTCTTCCTCTTGAAGTTGGGGCCATGGTTGTCAGTTTGTATGCTCAGACTGCTGCGCAGACGGTCATGACTCCTGCTACGACGGCGATAAACTCAAAGTTAAATCCGTACCGTCCTTCCTGGTTGACACAAGCGGTGGCCCAGAAGGCATACTCTGCGAGTGGGATTCAAGAACGAGTCGCGGGGATCTATAACGGGTCGTCTGCTCAACCTCTTAAGGCGCAGGGGGATGGGGGTGTGGTGGTTCCGAACCATGAAGTGTCACCGGCTGAACTTGGCCCTCAAAATCCGTTCCCGATGATATTCAAAGCTCGGGGACAAACAGGTCATTTACCATCTCCCAGCAGCCCTAGTGATACTCCCAAGTTAACTCTCACCGACTTCCCTGATTGGGTTTCGGAGCAGTTACGAGGCTACTTTTTTGGCTGGGCTCGATTCGACATGAGCACTGGGAAAGAGAAGTTGACTGGCCCTTGGTGTCCCGCGATCATATCGGTTCGCACCCTCGATCCCCTCCAAGCGGCTCGGGTCAACATGTCCCAACTTGCCAGGCATGTCGTGCAATTGTGTCTCCTGGATGAAGTGCCAGTCCAAACGACCAAGGTGGAAATTCGCGTCATGGGATTTCTCCGGATAGACATCCCCCCTCCCACCGGTGCTACAAGCCAGGAGCTCGCCGATGCCCAAGCCGCAGCCGCCGAGGCCGCCATGCTCGCTGATGCATATGATGTATCAGTCGTGCAGAGTACTCTATCCCACCCCGCCTGGGCCCCAGAGGGTCCGATGTGGGGTGAAATGGATCAACAGAATACTGGCTGGGTCGACAAAACAAAACAGAGCTACGCAAATATACGAGCTCAGGGGCAGAAATGGGTGGAGCAGGTCCCGTTACATCGACTTGGTGTGAGGTCTGTTGCGGATGAGTGGAGAGAGCGACAGGTGGCCGTGAATGGGTTTTATATTGTACGATGAGAGCCTTGTATGGCTTGTATCACCATCTCTTTTTGCATCCCCATCGGTTGGTCGGGTAAATACTAATTCTAATTTGTATACTAATCAAAATTGTACCATAATGCATACCTTTCCTTTCACTGATGATACAGAGAGCTCATGCAATTTCGTAATATCCTCCTCAATTAATTCAAATTCTTCAACTTAAAAAAACAATTTAATGTATATCATAACCTTCTCACCAAAACACACATTATACATCCCTAAGGTCCAACCGGCGATTCAGACGCAGCAAGATTACACTGCCTAAACAACCGCACCTCATCCGGCTTAAAAGCACCAACAACAGAATGCAACACACCGCGATTATTGAACAACACCAAATCCCCTTCCTCCCAATCATGCGCGTAAACATACTGCGGACTAATCCCCGGTCGCTGCAGTTTGTACACGATCTCCCGGACGCGCTCGAGGTCGTCTATCACCGAGCCGTCGGCAAGATGAATCCGGCAGATGGCTGAGGGGTGGATTTGCAGGGATAGTTTGCCTGTGACTGGGTTTTTCCAGAGCATGGGGAGGATTTTGATTTTGGTTGAGTCGATGGGGGGGAGGTCTGATGGTGGTAGTTCGAGACCTTCGGAGTGCAGGCCGAGGCCTGTGGAGCGGGAGTGGGCGGGGCTCATCCAGATGTATCTGTTGCATTTTGTTAGTTGACGTTGTCCTTGTTGTTGGGGTGGTCGTTGTTCGTGAGGATGACTTACGGATGAGGTGCATATTCAATCTTACTCGTCCGCACAAATTCCTGCTCCGCTGGTGATAGAAGTTCAAACATCCTCTCACCACTCACAAACGCCGTCGTACCCAATGGCACATCCATAGTCTCGCCAGACCCATCATCGTAAAGAAGTGTCTGCCGACGACCCTTTGGTACCTGCACCGCCAACAGAGTAGTCACCTGGGGCGGATTGAGATCATACAGCGCGGCATCGATATGCCAGCGATAAAAACGGGTGAAATCATAATCCTTATCATCGGGGATCTGATCTTTATGGAACGTGCGATGATGCGGATGACGCAGTTGGAAGTTCTCTAGGCCCTCGTACGACTCGACGAATCCATTGCCGATGATTTGGACTTGTGGCTGATGTGGGACGGTCTTGAGATCTGGGTGGAGGATGCTGCGTTTCGCGTCGATTGTCTTGCCGTGGCCGTAGTTGTCGGCTGCAGGGTCGAATCGCTTGGTTAGTTCGTATTGGGCCTTTGGAGAGAGTTTGTGCTGGTTTTTGAAGACGACGACATGATGATGATATAATGTGTTGCGGATGATTTCGAATTGTTCGTCTAGAGGGTTATTAGTGAGAATAATCGGATTATGACGGTAGATGTGCGCACCAGAGATATTCTCCAAATCGATACCCTCAATATGCGCCCCGAAATCAATCTCCGATCCCGCCGGAGGTTGAATCTGGTGTACGGTCGGAGGCAAGACAGCCATGATGCTCGGCATTCGGGGTTGAGTTGCTGCTAATTTGCTTAAGGTTTGCTGGTGGGAAATCGGCGAGCTATGTTATGTAGGCGCGGCCCGGTCGCAGTTATAAATCCCGAGCCGAAATTGATGTTTGAAAAGATGCCGATAATCGGATATTCAGTGGGAAATGGTTTACGGCGTTTGCCGAGGGGAAATACAGAGATGTTAAATGCTTCTTGCGGTAGTTGACGAGTTGAAGATCTTATCGAGAGCGGGTGAGTGCGGGTGAGTGCGGAGATTCGATATGGACAAGGTGGATGTGGATCAGAACCGGATCAGATTGTGGATCATTACAGCATTTGGAAACCTCGGCCGACTTTTGGACAAGCTAATCTTCATGCTGCTAGTTTAAATCCGAGTGTCATTTACTGATGTCAAGCCTTATGGGTGACTTATCGATCCTTGTGGGTTTAGCTTGAAGACCGAGGCAAAGCAGTCGTAAACCATCGAAATTGAAAGGCCACATTGGCCAAACAATCTACATCTCAAGAGGGATCTTAGAAGAATCTACACGATAATCTCTTGCGATGAAAAATGAAATTCTCATTACAATTCAACTTCAAGTAGAGTGGTATCAAACTTCAACGCCAAAACTATCCACGCATCCTATCGTCCGTCCTCATTATTCTCAAATTCAATTTCTCAGGCTATTAGGATTACCAAAACTTCCACCAAGCACCCCGCTGCCTCTCCGGCAACTCCGCATCAATAATCTCCTGCAATCCAGTGTGCATGTCCACCTCCTCCGGGCGCCAGGCCCAGGGGTCACTCCAGTACAGGAAGCGGTGACCAAAGTACAAGATCAAAAAGGCGGGGATACCGATATACGCGGTGAAGAAGTTGCTGACGGACCACTCGGACGGGAAGAATACGGTGAAACCATTGATCAGCATCATCAGTGTGGCACCGGCCATACCGAAGATCGCGCCGTACGGTTGCAGGCGGGATTTGTAGGGTTGTTCAATGCCCTGGGCGGCGACGGCCTTGCGGAAGCGGAAGAAGACGACGCAGCAGCAAATCCACGAGATGAATCCGGAGGTGTTGGTGAAGTTGATGAACCAGTTGAAGACGATGGAACTGGAGTTGCCGACGGAGAGGTAGGCCAAGGCCGAGAAACAGGCTGAAACGCTGACCGCGTAGTAGGGAACACCCCAGCGGTTGCAGGTCTTGAAGATGCTGGGCGCGTTGCCGGATATGGCGAGGGAGTACAGGGATCGGGAGGACATGTACAGGAAGGAGTTTCCGGCGGACCAGGCAGAAGTCAACACCGCAGCGTTGACAATATGGTCCAGGACGGGGATACCGGCGTTCTTGATGCCCACCACGAAGGGGGAGGACTTGACTGTGCCGTTACCGGCGGTGAGTTGCGAGGCGTTGGACGGGCAAATGACACCGATGGCCAAGACACCCAAAATGTAGAAGAAGACCAGACGGTAGATGTAGCGGCGGGCGGCGCGAGGCACGTTACGACGAGGAGACTCCATCTCTCCACCACTAATGATGATCAGTTCCGGGGCGAAGATGAACGCGATGGCGCTGGACACAGTGCACTTGAGCAGGCCGACAAAACGACCAGCGTCTCCTTTTACCAGGTACTCGTTAAACGAACCCGGGTCTTTCCAGTAGTGGAAACCCAGACGCTGGCGGTTGGGACCACCACCCCAGAACAGGATGAAGGATACCATGAGCAGACCAATCAAGGTGATGATCTTGATTCCCGAGAACCAAAACTCGGATTCACCGTAGAAGCGCACAGGTAGGAAATTCAGGGCAATAATCACGAGCATCATGATGGTGATCCACACGGCGATATTGATGGTGCCGTTGGTATCCCAATATCCAATAACCAGACCGGCAGCTGTGATCTCGTATGGCACTAGAATACCGAGCGAGTACCAGTAGAGATAACCCATGGCGAAACCCATGCTGCGCGAGACATATCGGAAACCGTGGTAACTCATGGTACCACCGTGAACGGGGAGGTAAGCACCAATCTCGGCGATGGCGGTGACCAGTCCATAGACCATGGCCGAGATGAAGATGTAACCCATGAGGAGGGAGGCCGGACCTCCGGTAGCAAGCGACTGACCGGATCCAACGAAGAGACCTAGTAATTATCGAAGCTTCAGTTAGCTGGATTCCATGCTGAAAAGACCGTTGTTTTTGTGTTTTTACTAACCTGTTCCGATGGTACCACCCAGGGCCATCAGTTGGACATGGCGACTCTTCAGACCACGCTGAGTTGTCTCATAACGATCATCCAGCAGGTCGGCCTCGACCAAAGTCCGCACGACGCGACCCTTCTCAGTCATGCTGGCACGATCATCAGTGTAACCGGCCTGTGGGGCCGCTTGTTCAATGTTCGCCATGGTTTCACAGCGAGCTCACCAAACACTGTGAAGGTGAAGGTGGAAAGAAAAAGAACTTGGAGGCTGGATGAGAAGAAACTCTACACGATCGGCGGGAAATGCGGGCATTCTTAAAGCAAACTCCATTCCGGGGTACCGAGGACAAGCGCAGCCTCATGCATCCCGAGGGCGTATTTTTGTTTTTTTTTTTTTTTTTTTCTTTTGTCGCATTTGGCCTTTCACGCCAAAAACCTTGCGCCTGGCGTCCGCGCGATTGAGAGGACGGGAAGTTCGCTTGGGTGCAAGCGGGCGAATCTGACTGGGCGCCACGAGGCCCGTGAGATAAGAAGAGAAGAGAAATGGAAGCCAAAGAAGACTAAAAAGACTAAACCCGACCGTGGGTCAATTCGTGGAGCCTAAAGAACCCCACTAACCCAGACAAAACGAGTCTGGGGTAGCAACAGGGACAAGGGACACGAGGAGCGGCTGATAAGCCCTGAGAGGGGAAAAATAATAAATGGAAATGACTCAGATTGGTCTGCGGTTTTGTTTTTCCGACCTGACAAGTCTTCAGCCCTAGATGGTTCAGTCAGGATGGTGCAGAATCGGGTTTGGCCTGGCCGGACATCGCTGGTCTCTGGCGATCACTCCAATATACAACATGCCCATACTGCGTGTCCCTTGGACATAGTGTCAAATTGTCCCTTCCTCGTTGTTTTGTTCGAAGGATCACATCCAGGACCATCCCAACTGTCCGTATCTCTGTCCTGATCTCTGAATCTGCTCTGGTTGGTGTAAGAGTTAATCTCTATCATCAACCAAGCGATCAGCCAGCTTGTACCGAGTAGCGCCCTGCGAAGATAGGACCAGCCACACCGGCAGCTCGCCGGTAGACCGGAATAAACATCAGGGTATTCCAGGGTCAGCCAAGGATCAGCTAAGGCGAGTACTGCCCAGGGCAAGCCGACCAAGCCCTTCAAGCCCGTCCTCAACGGCACGAACACCGCATGCGACGGCTGCAGGTGCCAGGCACCGGGCCGGTGTAGCGGGCGCATCGTACAACGCCTAGAGATTTAGAGTCCGTGATGGCGTCGAAGAGGCGAAACGCCTTCAGAGTTCTGGGCTTATCAGGATGCGAGGAAGGGACAGGGATTAGCAACCGAGGAGACCATGGGAGAAGAGGGAAAGGCAAAAGTGAAAGTTTGGAGCTAAACTAGATAGAGGATAAACCATCGCGGTCCAACCAATCAGATGATGAAAGACCTTAAATCACTAAACCCAAACCAGCAATGCTTGCTATCAGGGAAGATTAAAACTTATCGGAGTGGCTGAACTTGACTGAAAAGAGCAAGGACAATGGAGAATTCATGAGGATCGAGATGAGTGGACTCGGTTGAGATGGCAAGAAGAGGGTACACAGTATGGGGGATTGCTGGTGAGTTAATTAAGAGGAAATGATAGATAACATCCAATTGTATTGAGCCAATAAGATGCGCGAGATAACCTCGGGCTACAATGATAGATAATCATAAGAAAAACAGGCTGGAACTGGCAGGGCTCTCAAAACGAAAGAAACATCATACAGTGAAGATCAAGTCGGCCATGCTCCGTCGGATAAAAACAATTTTGCCCATCCCACACACTAAACGCCGAAACTCCGAAGAATCTCCCCTTGTCCCATCATTGATCACTCTATTCCACCTCTATCTCAAGGGCAGCATCCCTCAGGTGTCATTGAGCGCTCACCACTCGAGTGAGAGTCGCGACCAGCTGATGAGGTCGAAACTTGAAACTCTCCCCGGTGACGCTGGCAACATGAACATCCCCGAAGACAGTGCATTTGCCGCATTCCACCCTTCCGATCCCGAATAGTCCGAAAGCTGCGCTCACAGCAGCCACAGTCTCCCGCACAGCATCCTCTACGCACGCGGCACCAATATGCCTCCATGTTCCAGGCCTGCGAATACGCCCGGTGGCCATACAGGTGGAGATGCTGGCTCGCCATGTGCCCAAGGGGCTTGTAGCTCTCCAGCTCGTTGATTCGCTCCCGGTACTCCATGTACTCATGGTTGATCTGCTTGAGCTCGGCCTCATACTTGAGGATTTGATCCTCGTGGCTGGGGGTGAGGGAACCCTTCTCGTCAGCGAGGTTCTCGATGTACAGGAGTTGGGCGACGATGTGCATTTCGTGCTGGACCAGTTGCTTGCCCACGCGGATTGCGGCTTTGTGCTCGCGGATCCACTTGTATTTGGCGTCGAGACCTTCTTTGCTGTACCCAATCTTGCGGCTCGAGGCTTCAAGGTCTTCCCGCGAGTCGTTGATGGAGGACTGCTGCAGGGAAGGCTGGTTCATGCCCTTGAGCAGTGGGACCTTGGCGAGCAAGGAGAGGAGTGCCTTTCTGATGGGCATGGTGGCGAGAAGATGAGATGTCAGAGGTGAGATGAGTGGAGGAGTAGATGAAAGTGATGCAGAGAGACGTAGTTTGGAGGAGAAGAGGTTGTGAGGAAGATGGAGCTGTGAAGCTATGCGATTTGAAGATGGTGGTAAGACGATGAAGTGAAGAGGTTGTGGGATGGCGATGGAGACGTGGTGAGGGTGAAAAGTCGTGGGATTCACGATTCCCCTCGCTCAAAACATACGAGGCATCGTGGGCTTAGTCGTCGAAAAAGTACTAAACATCGCTCGATTAGTTGTCGGACGGGTTGTTTGGGATATCTAGAACGTCCAAGAGCCATGATGCCTGTGTCCCGGAAAGCTCTAATAGAAAGAGCTGCACCCTTCGCTTCCATGTTCTTCAGCGTAAATCAAAGTTATTCTAATGATCTATCTAGATCGATAAATTCACGGTTAACTGAATTCATGGAAGTATAGAAGGTATAGACTTCTGGCGAAAGGTTCCTGTAATGGTGACGGTCCCAACAACATGTGCCTTGCGAATTTCCCCTTGGTGAATTCCAGACTCATCGTGAAATCTAGTAAATATTCTAATCAACTCAAGAACTATACAAAGACATTGTCTTCTTATATCCTTGGATATCCCCCACACTTTACCCCATACCGTCAAAAGCCAAGTTCGATGACGATCGAGACCCCCACATCCCATCCGCAAGTTCTTCCCCGCACGCCTCGGACCGCATCGAACTGTGCCCGGGAACATCTAGAACGCCGTAAAATCTAGAACCTAGACTGTGTATTATTTTGTATGTTGATATCGGCCCATGACCGATGAGAAGAAGGTCTACATGTCATGGAAGCCATCGCTGTTGTCTCCGATGCATCTCCTGATGTCTGCCCGTTGGAACCATGGCTGCTGGAGTACATAAACAGGAACTCATGATTCATCGATGCATGTTGTGTGATTATTCTTGCTTAATCTTCTACACATAAAAGTCACCATATCTCTCTAGACAATTCACACTGCCAGTGATTGTTACTTTACTACAATTACATATCTACACTAATCTTAACAGTTGCCATCCCATCTCACTCACAATGAAAGCCCTCGTCTACACCAGCCCCGGCACAATCCAAGTCCTCGACCGCCCCAAACCAACCATCCAAGCACCCACCGACGCAATCGTCCGTCTCTGGCACGCCTCCATCTGCGGCACAGATCTACACATCCTCAAAGGCGATGTCCCCAGCGCACAACCAGGACTAGTCCTGGGCCACGAGGGAGTCGGGGTAATCGAGACTGTGGGCTCCGCGGTCCAGGACCTATCCGTCGGCGACCGCGTGTTAATCTCCTGTATGACTTCTTGCGGTGCCTGTCGCTTCTGTCAGCGTGGTCTGCCTTCGCATTGTGTCACGGGTGGATGGATATTGGGGAATACGATTAATGGCACGCAGGCTGAGTTTGTACGAGTGCCTCATGCGATGCTCTCGTTGCATCGATTGCCTACCTCGATTGATCCGCGTGCGGCGTTGGCTGTGTCTGATGCTCTCCCGACGGGTCTGGAGTGTGGTGTCCTCAGTGCTAATGTGCAGCCTGGTGGTTCGGTGGTGATTGTCGGGGCGGGTCCCGTGGGTATGGCCGCGCTGATTACGGCAAAACTGTTCTCACCGTCGTTGGTGGTGATGGTGGATCTTGACGAGGCACGGCTGGCTACGGCGCGACAGCTAGGCGCACATGCCACTGTGAATTCATCCGCCCAGGATGTCCGACAACAACTGCTGGCGCTGACCGAGGGGCTGGGATTCGACTCAGTTATCGAGGCTGTCGGTATCCCAGCTACATTTGGCTTGTGCCAGGAGCTGGTGGCCGTGGGAGGACGCATCGCGAATGTGGGCGTACACGGAACCTCGGTGGATTTGCACCTGGAGAAGTTGTGGGATCGGAATATCAGTGAGTCCTGTTTTTTCTCGAGAGCCGTGTTCACCCGTGCGAAGTTGTTCAGTGACACCAATTGATCGTGGTGAAATACATCAGGTATCCACATGTCGTTGGTCAATGCGACGACCACACCCCGGTTATTGCGACTGGTGGAATCGGGGATGCTGGACATTGGCTCGCTAGTGACCCATCGTACGTTATTTGCCCTCTAGATTTGTGTTTTCGCGGCTTGTGCGCTAAGCAGGAGTCGTGGTGTCAAGTTGAGGGTTACGTTGGTGGCATCTGTCGCGTGTGGACTTGCTCTTTCCCCATTCCGCTGTGTCGTAACCTCATTCTCTGGCCCAAGTCTGGTATGCTAATGCATTGTGGTGGGTGATGTTTAGATTTTTCCTGCGCAGATGGAGCCACTGCGTACAAAACGTTTCAAGCAGCGGCAACACACCAGACGTTGAAGGTGGCCATTGACTTTGATCATTGAACTTCACGAGACCTGACGAGGTTCATTTTTAATATTGCGTGATGGCCATCCTGGTCGGCAACCCCGTCGTTCCTTCTGACAGGGAATTAAGGTGCTTCGATGGGCGTTCTTTGAATTTTCTAGTCATGATGTTTATCTCTAATGCGTCAGTCACTGGACCAGGATCATGGATGACCATGATTGACTACTCCATACGGTAGTTACCGTTAGTCAAGCCCCCTTTTCCGCGCCTATCCTATCCTTTCGTAGTTTCATCGGCGAAACAAGCCACGCGGCCCCGCTTTTGTCCACTTTGTGTTGGGCTCCGTTTGACACGAGGCATGATGACGGAGTCGAGGAGGAGGAGGAGGAGGAGGAGGAGAATGGGGGGAGGACAGTAGTTGCCTGGAGTGTGAGGCAGACTGATAACTGGGGATGTATCTCAAACACGATATGAAATCTACGGAGCTCGGACATATTATCTGGATCGCGTTTCATAATAAATTGCGGGATGGCCGAGTTCATTTCGATTTCTTTGGGCAAGTTGGGGGTGATAGGCCAAAGCGCAGAATTAGGATACGTTAAATCAAATTGACATCCCCATTTAATACGATCATTCTCAACCATTCTTCGACGAAATATCTGCTCCATTTCGGTTCTCATTACCTCGGTCAACTTCCAGGCACACTGCAATCAATCTCTGTTCTCTATGTGTTGGGAATCTGCCTGTTCATTTCCCGGTTTTCGACATCACTTAACAGTCCACTTTTTCCCTCCACCGAGTAGGCCAAGATACAAGCGGTTAGTCTGAGCGGAGTCTTTTCCCCATTCCGGAGGGAGTCGAAACCCGAATGATCCAGTTAGAGACTCTCTCTAAGTGGCCGTCCCGCGGTTCACCGAATGGGAGGCGTCCGCCTCCCACCGCCCCTGACATCATCATCTCCGTGCGCCACTGGGTTTTTCTTCCATCGGGCGCAGGGCGTGAAGAACTTTGATGAAAGAACCAGTTGTATTCAACAATGGAAGATATTGTTACAGAATGTTCTATGCACCGCAGAAGGTTGATCCCGACCGTAGGAGTGTAACTGTAGGGTGGTATTTGACCGAGACTAAGGACGCTAAACATACCTAAACACGCTAAAACGAGGGACTCGAGAAGACTCGTAAGGATGGACAGGAGGAATGAGAGATATCTGCTGGATGGCCAATCGACGGAGGAACTATGATTATCATGTCCGCTGGAAAGTATCAACTCACTAACTGCATACAATATCTCCTACAGTCGATATTTCCATCTGTCACCGTAATCACAATCAATAATGAACTTACAACTGTACTTCGGAAATGAGACATTATTACTGAACCTACGCTGCCTATGAGCCAATAACAGCAAGTATCCCGAATAGAGTCGTATCCTCAGCCATCTTCTTATTTCATAGCCACAGGCTGAGCCTTTTAATCGATTCATCCAATCGTCATCCTGATTGGCCCATCCAAGTGCCTCCGCCTTCCGAACAGTCTGAAAAGAGGCACTGGAAATTTCTGCCAAGTCGCGTGGGAAACACTGGAAGCGAGTGGTCGTCTCCCACGTTTCCCATGATTTCTCTAACCAAGAGTCACCAGAAAGAGAGGATCAATACGGGGGTCATAGACCATAGACGGAGTCTCGCAGACTAACGCATCTCCGACTCCGTAGTTGGTGTGTCTTGTCCCAAAGTCAAAGTCCCAGACTTTGCCCGCGTCCTTCAGCCGCCAAGTGATTTGTGACTGTTTTCCCCACTCGCGTCCTTTTTTTTTCGCTCGTTTTGGCTCCTCTTTTTTTTTTGTATTTCTTATTTTTTTTATGCTAAGAAGAGGCTATCTTCCCACTTTTTTTCCACTTGGTGAATCCTTTCTTTTGTTTGATTCTACCACTTCACATTTTGGGGGAAAGTATACTGGCTATACGAAATACCCTTCGGTCCGTATAGCTACCAACCTATCACGGCTATCCTCGCTATACTACACTGTACTTGTATACCTCCCGGATAATCGCCGCGCGTGCTCTCCAATCCATCGCAACTATAACCTTCCCCATACTTCTCCTTTCCTACTCTCCTCCTCGTTGGCATCCCGTCACAATGGAAGACTCAACGCGCCGCTTCTCCAAGGTGTCGGCCTCGCGCGCAGAGACTGGCGCCGACACCACCAGTGCCGATCGCACCCTCGAAGATATGGGATATAAGCCGGAATTGGCGCGCAATCGCTCCATCTGGCAGGTCACTTTCATGTGCTTTATCTTGTCTTCTGTGCCCTACGGTCTCTCTACGACGCTTTACTATCCGCTTGTTGCCGGTGGTCCGGCCAATATTATCTGGGGCTGGGTGGTCGTCTCGTTCCTGATTCTCTGTGTCGCTATTTCCCTCGCTGAGATCACTTCGGTCTATCCAACTGCTGGTGGAGTGTAAGGATCCCGCTAAACGACTACCCTCGACTTGTGATCAATTTTGCTGACCTTCACGTCTAGGTACTATCAAACATTCGTCCTATCACCTCTTTGGTGCCGTCGCGTCGCATCGTGGATCTGTGGCTGGTCCTATGTGGCCGGAAACATCACCATCACCCTTGCCGTGAACTTTGGTACCGCCCTGCTCTTCGTCGGCTGCCTCGATGTCTTTGAGAAGTCCCCCGGCGTGGGCATCACCGACGATTTCCAGGCTTATCAGACCTTTTTGATTTTCCTGGCCATCACTCTGTTGACCCATGCTATCTCGGCTTTCGGTAACAAGTGGCTGCCCTGGTTGGAGGTACGTAATATGTTTCCCGATTGCATTTTGAGAAGTACAGAGATTTTTCCAGAAGTCGATATACTTTCTTCACACACGTGCCCAGTTTCCGTTTCGAGTCAAGCCACTAACATTTTACTTTTTTTGCGTTGCGCACAGACTTTCGCCATCTTCTGGACGATCGCCGGTTTGATCGCAATTGTCGTTTGTCTTTTGGCTATCGCGAAAGAAGGCCGCAATAATGCCTCGTGGGTCTTTGGTAATTTTGAGCCGCAAGCTGGTTGGCCAGCGGGCTGGTCGTTCTTCATCGGCTTGTTGCAGGCTGCGTACGCCACTTCGGCTACCGGCATGATTATCTCGTGAGTTGTCCATCTCGACATTGAAATTGATTACAATTCTAACATTCCCGGCTAGTCTCTGCGAGGAAGTTCGGGAACCCGCTATTATGGTCCCCAAGGCCATGGTCGGTACTATCGTTATCAACTTTGTTGCTGGTCTCCTTTTCTTGATCCCAGTCTGCTTCGTCATGCCCGAGCTGAGCCTGCTCATCAACGCTTCTCAGCCGACTCCGGTCATCTTCAAGCACGCCATTGGTAACTCCGCTGGTGCTTTCTGCTTGACCATCCCTCTTCTCGTGCTCGGTGTTATCTGCGGTGTAGGCTGTGTTACTGCTACTTCGCGTTGCACCTGGGCCTTTGCTCGTGATGGCGGTATCCCCGGCTCTGGCTGGTGGCGCACCGTCGACAAGAAGCTGAACATTCCCCTCAATGCGATGGCATTGGGCATGGTCATCGAGATTGCTCTCGGTGCCATCTACTTCGGTTCTACCGCCGCCTACAACGCCTTCTCTGGTGTGGGTGTCATCTTCTTGACGTTGAGTTATGCCTGTCCCGTGGCGGTCTCCTTGATCTTCCGTCGTCGTGAGGATATCAAGAACGGCAACTTCAACTTTGGCATCGTCGGTCTCATCGCTAACGTCTTTGCGCTCGGTAAGTCCAATTGATTTAACGCGCGACCTCCCCCGCCCGTTTTGCTAATACGATGTTTCTCTTTCTCTCAGCATGGAGTCTCCTCGCCATCCCCCTGTTCTGCATGCCCACTCTCAAGGTGGTCACCAAGGAAAGTATGAATTATGCCTCGGTTGTGTTTTTCGGTTTCGTGCTCATCGCAGCCATCTGGTACGGTGTCTGGGGATACGGCAACTACCGCGGTCCACCCACCGATGCCGTCGATCACGACGACGCGTCTTTGTCTCCGTCCTATCCCGAGGGCAGCGAGGTCGGCAAAGATAAGCCCAAAAGCCCATGATTTTATCTGCCCAACCACGATACCCATTCGATCCAGTTCGACCATCCTTCGCCAACTTTGCCATGCCATGCCATTCTCGCCTGTTCGCTAATCTCGACTAACCCCGACTAACCCGACGATTGTCTGCGTGTCCGGAGTCTTGTCTTGCCAATACCCACAGCGGCCATCTACTTCCCATGCGGCTTTTCTCACTCATCCCCTGCGACTCTTCATCTCCCGTGCGGTCAATGATCCCCTCCCTTGCGATCTAATCGTCAGGTCCGGTTTTATGATTCTTTCCATCTTCCATGCGACCCATCCCTCACCTCACGCCATACCGACTCTATGATCGTCACATCCAACGCAGTCTCCAACCTTCTCCCAAGCACCTCCAACCGTAACCGATAGCCGATTTGACAGGGCCTTTCTTGATTGGGGAATTTCCCCCCGGGTGTATATATGCATACTAGCTACTGGCTTTTTGGACATGTGTCATGTAAATATTTGGTATCGAAGTAGCCACTGGTCATTTTCTCAAATACAACAAAAACTCAATCAGAGCTATCTATCACAATGATCTCGGGTTCTTTCTTCTCCAAACTACGAGCAGGCTCTGCCAGGTTCACTTCGTCTTTGGGGAGGTGCTCCCTGAGAAACGCTTTGATCGCAGCCAGTGGCACTCCATGACGCATCGCGGTACTATCATCCCACGAGGAATGCAGTCCCAGCAAACTCCCGTCGACTCTCCGCAAAAGCGGTGCCCCAGAGTGACCCCAGTATGTCCACGCATCGTGTTTTAGTGTCCCGATCTCGGAGTTATCCTGTGGATCGATGTCGGGAATCATACCACACAGTCGCCCCTTGGAGATTTCGATCAAATCGTAAGCGGTTTTGCGGGGCGCGGCTGATTCGAGGTCATCGGCTCCTGGTTGTCCGATACAGATTATCGGAGCGGTGGTCGACTGCGACGTTGAGAGGGTGACAAAGGCAAAGACGGAGGTCACTGGGTGACTGCTACTGAGCTCTTCCGGTGCCTCGATACAGACTACCTTCGCGAGAGCTAGATCGCGACGCGCATCCCAAACCCGACACTCGACTTGCACCGCCAATCCCGTGTAACACAGCAGCCATTTACGACGATGAGCCCGCCATTCTTGGGCCGTTTCACCGAAACAATGCGCACACGTCAGCATCCACCCGCGCGCGTCGATGCAGACCGCCGTACCAGCTTCATGCTGAGCGAAGATCAGCGTTGACGCGAGTCCTTGGAGTGCCCACGGACCGAGTTCGCGGGTGGCTTGTGTAGTTAGAGAGGCTGATCGCTGTAGGCGACGCTGTTTTGTGCGCAGGATTCGGAGATCATCGCTGGTTATCCCGGGTAGACGAGACGGGGTGCGGAGGATTAGAGGGGAGTGAGCGGGAGTTGGAGTTGCAGTCGTGATGAATCGAACTGGCTGGTCGAGCTGGTTGCTTCCCTGGCTCGCATGGTCAATTTCCACTTCAACGGTTGGGGGGCTTTCGCGATCTGATCGCAGTCGGCGGGGCATCTCTTCCTCTGTGGGAGGACATGACACGCCCGTGAGGGACACAAATGAGTTTGGTCATTCTTGTTCACGCTCAGTCCCTTGATCCTTGATCACGTGGGAGGGGACATCCCACCATTGGAGCCTCACGCTCCTGGGCACTCTCTTGAATATTTCCACCAGTCAAGTCAAACTGCTCGATTAATGGCGATATATGTGGAAATATTGATTGATAGACTGGGATTCCAACGAGTGCTATTGAAGGACTATTTGGTTCAGGGCTTCCAGTCTCAAGACATGCATTCCGGCAGCGCGATAGGTAGATCCATCCAGGATGTATAGGTATTCACCCATGGCCCTATGCCACATGGGCATCAACGTCCCTCAGTCCTCAATGGATTCCAACATGGAACATACTTGACCGGCACTCGCTCAAACCCTCAACTACCTAAAAGGCAGCCACATGATTCGTCACCAAGCAGGTAAAGTCGCTAGACCCATAGAAGATAGTGTTGGTATCATCCGAGGTCTGACCGGTGCTCAAAGTGTCACCCCACTGCCAGAACATATCGGCGGCAATACCCTTGGTATCCAGGGCCGCCGTCTGCCAGGGTCCCTCAACGCTGCAATGATCAGATGGATAACCATACTCCTCCAGGAGACAGGGCTTGCCAGCAGCGATACATGCGTCGCCGTGGGCCTTGATCCAGGTGGGACCCCACGTGCTTGCCTCTCCCCCTGTTAAACTTGTGAGTGGGATTCGACCTTTGATTGGATGATGTTTTGGGGTATACTTACAGCTCGATGGGTACAGGTGCAGAGTACCAAAGTCGATGGTTGGAATGGCAAGGTTCATGGTGAAGTTCAAGCCTTCGCCGTATTGGAAGGGGTAACTACCGTCCGAGTCGACGTTCAAACCGAAGCCCTCTGAGAAGAGAGAAAACAAGAGGTTAGTAGAAGGCTCGGGGATTGGAATGCTCAGGGGTTCACTAACCATCACCAATGCAAACCATGTGCTTCGAGTCAAGAGACTTGATATACGCGCTGGTCGTCTTGACCCAGTTGTAAATGACTGAGGGATCACAGCCATTGCAGCGAGGCTCGTTGGCCAACTCCCAGGAGAAGATGGCAGACGAAGAACTATAACGAGAAACCACAGTCTTGATGTAGGTCTGGTAAGCTGCCTGAGCGGCAGTGTTCGTGTACCAAGTGGTAGCACTGCCTCCAAAGGCAGAGACATAGGCCGCAATACCACCGTAATCAGACCAATTGTTCACAAAGTTGATAATCAGCTTGATGCCGTGCTTTTCAGCGGAAGAGACGACATAGTCGAGACGCTGCAGACCGTCGGCACCGGTGTTGATCGTGGCAGTTCCGGCAGTGAGATGCTGGAACCAGACGGTGCCAGATGAGGGGATGGTGTTGACATCGTTGAATCCCCAGACACGCAGAATGCGGAGTCCCGAGTCATACAGGTGTTGCATGACCAGGTCGACATCGGCGTTGTTGGTCAGGAAGCCAATCCAGTACGAGTTGGTTCCGGCATAGTAGCTGGTCTCTCCATCAATGGTGAAGTTGAGTCCACTGGTCGAGGGGAAAACAGTGGATGTGGACACCGGAGTGGATGTAGTTGATGATACTGTGGTAGTCGTTTTGGTCGAGGTCGACGAGGTAGTCGTTTTCGAGGTGGTTGACGATGTTCTCGAAGTACTGCTAGTACTCGTCGCTAGAGGGAGTTAGTGGAAGATATGGTCATTCGTTTTGGTGGTTGAGTTACCGGGCAGGCATTGACTGTACCAGTCATTCTGATACTGGCAAGTATACGGGGACACGCAAGTAGTCGAGCCAGTATAGCCTTTACCACCACATTGACCCCACTCGGCCACCTGGGCCGAGGCCAGCCCAGCAAACAGCAAAGCCGCCGAAGAGTAGTACATTGAATGCGATGTCTGCACGGTTGATGTGGGTTGAGATCTCAATCGTGGTGAACTGATTGCTACGACGAGACTACGATGCTTAAATATTTATTTTTACGCTGGCTCCTCTACTACAGTCTTCACAAGATCGAGATTGATCAGGGGAAAATGCGGAGAAGCTTCCGTTATGGAAGAGGGCCAGGAAAGTGTGCTGAAGACGGAATAGATGCTGCAGCTAATTCAACGACGGCCCGTGTTGTTTGAGGACTAGAAGTGGAGAAATAGAATGGGAAGAGTGGGAGATTAATTACGGATGGAAATAAGAGGCGTACGACCGGACATTAAAGGCTTAGTCTGGATGGTGCCAGTATATTGAGACTCATCATAGATTCACGAGCTCACGGATGGATTGGGATTGACGATATCACCCGCAAAGAGAAGATGACGAACCAAAATCTGGGGAAATTCTTCAGGATCGTGGAGAAGCGGGGACAAAAGCTGCACTCCGGAAAAATTAAACATGACGACCGAGGATTTGATCAGGATACTATCGTCTCCGTGATATCTCCTCCACGTATCTCCACTCCGTATATGTTGACTCCGCAATTTGATCCCCAAATTGGTCCTGTAGGGTTTAGCGTGTGTCTTCGAGCGGGGGAAGTGGCTGCGCTTGCCTCAACCGGACAAGGGCTGATGTCTTCAGCCCGTGCTGTGTGAAGAATGGTGCTCTAGACTTTCTAAATGGGGTATCTGGGAGGCGGACCTACTAGAGATGTTAAAGCTCGTCTGTGTCAATCTAACCAGGTATATGTGAGGGTATTATTTGCGTTATTATTCGCGTTTGCTATTCTCATCATGACGCAGTCAAGTCTAAAAGGAACACGGGAATGTGCTATACGAAGAACACGAAGAATAGGCAACAATTATAGAATAGACTTGAATAATGGGCCTGACCTTAGTTTTCGTCTTCGGGCTGAGGCTCGCTTAGAAGCTTTTGCATCCGGAGCCAATCAGTATTGAAGCAAAAGCGAATCATGATGGAGAAGTTTATACCATGCAATGCCATCTCAATTTCTGTTACATCCGAGATTTATCCAGGCGATTTTTCAACCGTGGTTGGATGGTTCTTGTCGCTAACGAGGGACTCGGCATCTTCCGGCCGATGCCTTGCAGGAGCTCATCTTATGTATATTCATTCTATGGAGCACTGGAATACAGTGGCCGTTCAAAAGTATTTGGAACACAGTACTTCCTGACCTTACCGCTTTTGTACACCGCCTACCTACATTAGCCACACGCGTCCTCACGCAAGCGGTTGCATCTAGTAAATTCACTTACAGTATTCGCTATATTAATATTATACCTAAAGCAATACATCATCATGTTGAGGAGGTCATTAGATACGAAAGATAGCATACTATTTATTGAAATATTGAATGGATTAGGTGGTATAACCGGCAGAAAACTAAGTGGGGCATGTACCATGTTCCAAATACTTTTGAACGCTGACTGTACATGTAGCCGAGCCGAGAGAAGATCGGACGAACCGGAGGAGTCGGAAAGCTTACGTATGAAGAATTCTCGCATTAGCTGATTATTGACCCGCCAGGAAACAATAGTGCCAATGACATTCTCGCAAACTGTGTCCATCGTGCAAAAAGAGTATTCCTGCTGACTCAGCCATCGAGGCCTGAAATACGAGGCTTCCGGAATCTTTTTTTCTTATCTTGAAACAGTTAGAAGTTATATAGAAGGTCAATAATAGGGAGTATATATTAGAAAAGAGTCAATCTTGAAAGTCCAATGAGAGCGAGGTTCACAACTACTGTAGGTAGCTTCATATTTTCATCCAGAGAGTCAGATGCTTGTGCAGACTCTGCAGTGACGTAGTCAGGCACCCCTCACGGCTGTGGCGCCGCCACTGATGGGAGATCAGACTTTCCCAAGCTTTTGCATGATCGAACTATCAGTTTGAGACGTCAAGGAGATTGTACAGAGTAAGGGGAAAAAGGGCTCTACTGTAGTGCATCTGATATTGGATAGAGTTATATGATTAATGGGTACATTATTATACATGGTGGACGACGACAATACTTTCCCCTTCTAGAAGACCTTTTCAAACGACACGTGTAAAAACCCGATAAAACTGGAGACTGGAGAGATGCGGGCAACGGAGAGTCCCCGGGGGGCATTCGGGGCAGTGTCTCCAGCGGCGCTTCACCGAGACTCTCATCGGGTTTGGCATCATGTCCTCCAGAGCGAAAGAATCCGGAGCAGCCTGGGGAGTGGATGCCCCGGAATGCACGGAGATAACCGTGGAGAAGCCATCCCTGTGCTTCCATCTCACTGAATTATCTCGAGAAAAAAAGTGTTCTGTCGCTAACAGCCCAAAAAAAAAAAAAAAAAAAAAAAAAAAGAGAAGCCGCGAAACAGATCACAAACTCGGGCCGACCAGGAATAATCATTGTCCAAGACTATCAGCCCCATTTCGGGAGCCGATTCAAGCCCGCCAAAGCCGATGCCGAGAGCACGACGTCATTTTCGGCACGGCTTCGACTGTCTCTTTGGTTTCTGGTGCCCCGAGTTTTGGATTTTTGCCACTTGCCGGGGCCTTGAATGGCGAATTCTCATCCAGCCGAGCCGATATTTGGTCTCCATTCTGGTCCCGGCCAACCCGGCCGCCTGTTTGATTTGACGGTCTCTGAATGGTTCACCACAGCCAATCACCTGCTGGAATGCAATCTGACTGGCAGTCTCCTGTAATGGTGGGTATCTCGTGGCCGTGCGAATCAACTTCGGCCGGTTATGGTCATTTTGTTGGTCATCGTCATCTTGGTCTGCCCGGCACCCGGCTGGTAATGAGAGTCGTCGTCCACGTCGTGGCTCTCCACACGGTCTCTCCACTTGGGGCCCCTCGACGAATGAACAGTTATGGGTGAAGTCTTGCTGGGGAGATGAGGGGCGTGTTTGGTTTTTTTTTTTTCTCTTTCCCTCGTGGTCATGTTCCTGTCCCTGAAGGATTACAAAAAGGGCCTGTTTCCTCCAACTTGACATCTCCTTTCTTTTCCCCACGGGCATCATTCTTCCTTCCGTAACACTTGGGACCTCCCTATATCAAGTCTTAATCGTCGATTTCCACCTTGATATCTCATATCAATCATAAGGTTGAAATATACAAGGCTTTGTTGGAGAGGAGTCAAAAGACCACTATCAATCATGGGTCTCGAAAGTACAGCCCATCATGGGGAGTCTATCACCCCGGCTCAGAACTCCAGTACAGACTCCTCTTTCCAAAATAGTCCTATCCAAAAACCCATGCGCCCGGCTGGAGTCGATACACCAATCCCACGCATTACCCTGCGGTCAATGGTCATGGCCCTATTCGTCTCGATGGGTGGTCTCCTCTTCGGTTATGATACCGGTCAGATCTCTGGCTTCCAAGAGATGGACAACTACTTGCAACGCTATGGTGAGCTCAACAGCAACGGCAAGTATGCCTTCAGTGATACTCGCTCGGGTCTGATTGTCGCCATGCTCTCCATCGGTACCTTGGTGGGTGCCTTGGTGGGTGCCCCCGTGGCTGACTTCATCGGCCGTAAGTGGTCGATCTCGGTCTGGTGTGCTATCTTGATTGTTGGTCTGGTCGTTCAGATCACGGCCCCCTCGGGACACTGGTACCAGATGGTGGTGGGTCGTACTATTACTGGTCTTGGTGTCGGCGGTTGCTCCCTGCTGGTCCCTATGTACCAGGGTGAGAGCTCTCCGCGTCATATTCGTGGTGCCATGATCTCCTGCTACCAGCTGTTTGTGACTCTGGGTATCTTCCTCGCCTACTGCATCAATTTGGGTACCCATAACCTTGACGGCACTGCCCAATGGCGTATCACTCTGGGTCTGACTTTCCTCTTCGCTGTGATTCTCGGTGGTGGCATGGCTTTCTTCCCAGAGAGTCCCCGTTACGAGTTCCGCCATGGCAAGGTGGAGAGTGCCCGACGCACCTTGTCTAAGCTGTACGGTGTTCCCGAGAACCACGTTCGCATCATGGAAGAGATGGACGAGATTCGTGAGCAGTTTGAGGCCGAGTCTCAGGACCAGGTCTGGTACGAGTTCCTCACTGCTCCTCGTATGCTCTACCGTATCGTTCTCGGTATGGCCCTCCAGAGTCTGCAGCAGCTCACTGGTGCCAACTACTTCTTCTACTACGTGAGTTACTGGTACCCTCGATTCAAACGCATCATTGAAGAAACGTAATGCTAACATTCTCTCTTTCTAGGGTACCACTATCTTCCAGGGTGCCGGTATCTCCGACAGCTTCATCACCCAGGTCATCCTGGGTGCCGTCAACTTCGGTACCACATTCGGTGGTCTATACGTCGTCGAGAACTATGGTCGTCGCAAGTCTCTCATCTTCGGAGCCATATGGATGTTTGTGATGTTCATGATCTTTGCCTCCCTGGGCCACTTCATGCTGGACATTGAGAACCCAGAGAACACCCCCAACGTCGGCAAGGGTATGATCGTTGTCACCTGTCTGTTCATTGCTGCCTACGCCATGACCTGGGGTCCCATGATCTGGGCTATCGTCGCCGAACTTTTCCCCTCTAAGTACCGTGCCAAGGGTATGGCTCTGGCCACTGCCTCCAACTGGGCCTGGAACTTCCTCATCTCCTTCTTCACCACTTTCATCACTAGTGCCATCGACTTTGCCTACGGTTACGTCTTTGCTGGTTGCCTGTTCGTCGCTGTCTTTGTCATTTACTTCTTCGTGATTGAGGGCAAGGGCCGTACCCTCGAGGAGTTGGATTGGATGTATGTCAACAAGGTTGCTCCCTGGAAGAGCAGCAAGTACGAGATCCCACAGCAAATTCGTGAGTGGGATGCGGCTGAGAATCCGTCCGGTCGCAAGGAGCAGGAGATGTACCATGCTGAGAACGCATAAGCGTGGGGGCAGGCCTCCGACTTCTTTCCTTTCTGTTTCTTATCTTGATTTGCTTTTTCATAGACGTGGCATACTCATGTTTCTTTATCCGTTTGGGTTATCATGGTTATGATGCACGATTTTTGCATGATTGGCGTCGTCTTGGGCTGGAGTACTGAGGTAGATTGTCATGCGGTCAACCCGACTGGATGTACATTTAGAACTTTCTCGCATTTATTTGCCATCACGTTATTCAAAAATCCTTCGATTTTCACATCAGAAACAACTCGCAGCCGGTTGACTGGGGCATAGTGTAAAATGACTTTATTGGTAAATGGCATAAACCATCAAGGGTGCGAGAAGCTAAATCAAAACAAACATTACCAAGTCACGTTTCGTCTGGTCAGAGAGAAACACAAAGTATCATAGCTTAGATCTGGTCTCCTCCCGAACAGCTATGTATCGCTCTTTGGCACTGTTCTCTTGTTCCAACTTCCGTAGCATGCGTCGGAGAATCTTCCCACTTGCACTCTTCGGGATTTCTTCCAGCATCTCAATCTCCGTAATCCACTTGTGGCGAACTTTGTTTTCACGAACATAATCAATAAGCTCATTTAGCAGGCTCAAGATAGCCGATTTATCTTTACCAACACTGACGCTGGGCTTCAACACGACATACGCCTTCGGGCGTTGGCCAGTGTAGTCATCGGGAATAGGACCGACAGCCACATCTTCCACGATCGGATGTCCAAGTAATAGATCCTCGAGCTCGGCTGGGGCAACTGCAATGCCTTTCACCTTGATCATTTCCTTGATGCGATCGGTAATCGTTATAAAACCTTCCTTATCAATGAAGCCGACATCGCCGGTATGTAGCCACCCGTCAGCATCGAAGGTTTCGGCCGTGGCTTTTCCATTGTTCAAGTAGCCCATTACAACCTGCGGTCCCCTGGCCAAGATCTCACCTGGCTCATTGTATCCACGCAGTGCGCCTGTATCGGGGTTAATAATCTTGAGTTCGGTATTTGCGACAATGGTGCCACCACAATGAGCATATTCGTAGGTAGACTTCTCCAAAGGATGAGCTGTTATGCAGCTACATGACTCGGTCATCCCATATCCCTGCTTGAATCCTGTGTTTGGAAACTGGCGCCGAAGCTCTTGAATGACCTCCGAGGAGAGAGGCGCTGCTCCAGACGAGAACTTGCATACGTGAGAAAGGTCGTAGTCTTTCACAATTGGATCTCGTAGAAGCCGGATCAAGATAGGTGGTACAAGTAGCAACTCTGTGATCTGATACTCGACTACTGTGTCCAGCATGGCTTTCATGGTAAATGCCGGGAGCATATAGACCTCCGCGTTCCGGAAAACGGGGAGATGCATTTGGTGGACCAGGCCGGTGACTATATCGCAACGACGGTGTTATCAGTACCAGGGCTTATCTTTCACAAGGATGAGGCTTATCTCACTATGAAATAGTGGCAGCACCGCCAGCACCTTCTTGTTCTCTTTCGAAGTTAGCTGCTCGATCTGCATGCTTTGCGCGATCACGTTATGATGCGCGATCATCACCTGGAGACACATTAGCAAATATTGCGACAATAGCATTGATTTAGACAACTTACAGCTTTAGGAAGACCGGTAGTTCCACTGCTAAAACTGAGAAAGCCGCAGATATCCTTGTTCGTCTGCCCAGTCGGGATCTTGAAGGGTTGAACCTGGCCACTTGGTCCGAAGCTTTCTCCAATGGCTACAAGGTCTTGGATTGTACTGAAGCCTTCTTTCTTCCCCTCAATTAAAATGATTCGTTCTTGCGGAATCCCTGCATTTTTTGCAGCCGGGATTGCAACGGGAAGAGAGGAAGCTGCAGTCATAAGAACCTTTGCTCGTGCTGTGCGCAACGCAAAGGTCATTTCCTCAACGTTATAGGCGGGCGAAGCACCTGAGATTATGCCACCTGTGGCGAAATTTTAGTGTCTCCAAAGACACCCCTCCAAAAAGATGAAAATTGAAAAGTGTCCTCATACCCACACGATTGGTCGCAAACATGGCGATCGGATACCAGACAGTGTTTGGACTAAAGAGGGCCACCACATCCCCCTCCGCAAGTCCAAATTTGTGGACTAGCGCTGTAGATATTTTCGTCGCGTACTCTTTCGCCAGTCCATATCCGATCCGCTCCTTCGTAACGGCATTGGTAAAACCTCCGAGATCAGAAAGCTTATATTGACTGAGAGGTGAAGTCGATGAATCGAAGAGCCATTCCCAAATCGTCACATCCTCTGGAACTATAGTAGAGCGCTCTTGTAAGCATGAAGAACATCCTTGCTCGGAGTGTTGTTTCCACTTACTAGATAGGCTTGGTTGCTCAGATGTGAAAATCATATTGGCTATGAGGTGTAATCTCTACTCGCTTTGAGGTTCACACACACAGAAAAAAGCGAGCAGGTGCTGAATTGCAGATCTACATGACCAGAGCTGGGTTGTGAGATAGGCTGAGCCCATCTGGCGGGGTAATGGGGTCAAAAGCCTCCTTTCGAATGCCCCATCTCTGTCCAAGTAAATGAGAGATGTCTCGGACCTCGGCTACTTACTTGGACATCAAAATCGAGTTGTAAACTAACCGGGATAGGGACTATAGCCGGGTGATATGCACGTTGCGGTATATATCCATTGTTGGAGAAATTCTCTGCGTTCTGGTATTCCGAAGCCTATTTATTTGATCTCAAATTGAGCCGAGCGATCTTGCGTCTACTGCTTGGATTTGGTTACTCGGAGCCAGAAGACGAAGGTCAATGGCGGGGCGGGAAATGCGGGGAAATGTGCCATGGAACTGGCTCCAATGCGGGGTAAGCATAGTTTGAGTTCACCCAAACAGGCGGGCTCGATGCAAGGAACGAACAGATCGCGAACGATTACAGATTGTGCTAAGCGTCTCTATTCCTTGGCGCTTGACATTGGTTGCGTTAAGAAGCACTCTTGAATACCCCGAAGTATCCGACAAGGACCCAATCAACCAGAACGTGATAGAAAGGGTCAGAGAGCTTCTCTGAAGCCTTTCAGAATCCTGGCGTAAAGCTTCAGAAGGTCTGCGACCTGAACTCCTTCAGCTTCAGGATCTATCTGACGGAAAAGAGACGATCTACCACTAATATGTGGCTCTTCTTTGGAATGTGGGATGCCATTGATACTGTGTCTTCTGAGCAGTGCGAGCTTCTTTGGGCGACACCACGGTTGGCTCGATCGGCTGATATGAGCACCATATACTGACAACAGAGCTCTGAAACTCGCTTCGACGGCACTGGATCGCTCAGCGCTCGCACTTTGAGGACCGCCGACCACATCACCCAACATTTTTGTCATGTCTGAGAATGCTAGGCCGAGGTAGACCGCGCAGGTAGAGATGAGTCCTATCCAGAAAGAGTTATGGGATCGAAGATAACTTTTAGAAAGTGCCTTGTACGTGATGAAAGCATCGCATTCTGCAGTACAGCTCTGCGGCGTGCCTGCGAATTGATAGGCTCCCGAGACTTCAGTGCCGCTGTGCTTTCTGCAGGATAACTCATGTGCCAGTAGTCTGAAAGCAAGACAATATCTTGAAAAATCAAGCTCCAGAGCCAGGCGCGCAAACTCGTGGAGTGCAGCTATCGTTGCGGTCTCACAGCAACATAGCTCGAGGATACACCACGGCCGCTGGAGAATGACGAGAAGCGATATCAAAGAATCACTGCGACCAAGCACACAATGTTGTGAGAATCCTGCGGCATGTATCAAAAACCAGGGAAGTTGGTCACACGGGCTTATACGGCCGTCGCTCGGAGGGAGTGCTTGAGGCGGACATGGCAACGAAACCAGGTTGGGTAGCGGATGATCGCGTAGGTTGGACAGGATGGGAATTTTTGATGCGACTAGCGAAGCGGCGTTTTCGAGCCGAGCGCATGCTATCGGATCGATTTTGATAGTCGCCCATTCTGGAGGAAATGCGACGACCGAGTAAATTGCAAATGAATCGTCGAGACGTACCCCACCACCGAGATCATACAAAGCGCAGAGCTTCGCAGGGGTTGGGCCCTCTTCCTCCTGAAAAGGGGATATCATGGATTTCCGAGAAGGGAGGGAGCCATGCCTGGTAGGATCGAGCGGATATGTTCTTGACTCGTTGCAGATGCCAGCTTTGTAGAAGTGAGAATGAGACTGATGATGACAGTGGCAGTGGAAGTGGGCTGTGTAAACAAACGTGTCAGATTAGCAGCCTTGTTGCCTGGGTGGTGCCTGGGTGCCTTGGTGTGGCCTGAGGCCTTTACAGTTATATTTGCTGCCTTAATAATAAGGCTTCAACATAGGTTCCCATACCAAACGGTCACATCGCAGGCTTCTACATTACTTAATGCAATAACTAGTTCTGGACTACTGTTTTTCTCATTCCAATTCGAGTTAGTCATGAAATATGACATCTTCTCCACCAGTAGTGTCGGCATTGTCTCCCAAATGCGGAGGCTTCTAAAAGGATATACTGTGGAACATTCATCAATAACATTCCTATAGAATATGTTCCCGTTGATAATATGGGTAGAGATGGAACAAGGTGACCATTTTCAAGAATTTCCTTCCTTAGGCGGCAGGACTTCACCTAAGTTCAAGGTCTGGTTGTAAATCTCGTCATAGATTCTCATGGCCAACGGTCCTCGCGCTGAGTCCTCGGTTTTGACTTTGTCAACAAACCTCAAGCACCTGTCTTTAATATCCAATGCCCGGACGGTCACTGCTAATGGATCGGAATCCTCCTTGTCATGCCCCAGTATTTGGCTGATGTCTCGTAAAAGCGCTTGCATTTCCCGAAAAACCAGCATATCCGGAAGTAAGCCCATTTTAATCCAATCGAGGCCCGTTAATCGACAGCGAGGAAGAACCGTAAGTGTGGCCTGAATAATGGACAGTGAGCGGGTTGCGTTTTTTCGAACAAAATCTTGAGCAATCGGACCGTGAGCTTTGGTTTGGAGGATTCGTGCAATTCTTGTCGCTCCGATCTCGGCCACTGAAGCGTAGACCAACACGCCCAGAAAGACGAGCTGCATGCGGCCTTGCATGTTGACCATACATGCAACGGACGCGATACCAGAAAGTGACCCGGTAATAATCCACAGCCAGTGCCGGAAATCTTTATCCCACGAAGGATCGTACTCCCAAGTTGATCGTGCCCAAGTCTCCAGCGTCCTCTGTGGACCTTTGAAAATAACGGTTCCGCCTTCTTCACGCTCATAGACTGCAAACCGATCGCTGGACTCGGGAACAATTCGTGGAGGTGTGTGAACAGTAACCATAGAGTCGATTGATATAGCTACGGACGCGCCCCAGTGGAGACTGTAGAGGAGAAAGAGCGTGAATGCCCATATATCTGCCAGCAGGATGCCAAAGACCATCCCGGTCAAGACCATTGCCCCATTTATAATGCCGAGTAAGTTCAGTGTCCACCTTCCAGCCTGCCATCGGACGTTTCCGATCTCTGAGCGGATGAGAATTTCCTCTTCGTGGTCTTCGCCTGCAGGGTTCGCGTCTTTGTCGGTTTTCTTGGGTTTCTTCGGCTTTTGATGAACTCTGTCCACATATGCAATTGCAAAGTCGTTTCCCGGATGTTCCGAAGGCTCAAATGAGATAATATCACTGAGCCAAGTATTGCTGAGGTTGTATGGTAGCTGTCGGAACACGTTGCCAGAGATATCCGACCGAATCGGGAGCATGGTTGTGTCCTTAGCACACATTTTGATGGCGGGGTGGATCCACTTGAAAGGCGCTGTCAACCGCTCGACAAGCATCTGCATTGGAGGCAGAGTGCCCCCAATCATGGTCATATGTGGCCATATAAAGAGGTTTCTATCATACTGGGTGTAAAGTCTTGCCGCACTTCTGTCGGCACGCTGATTGTAAAGAATCGCTGCTACACCCAGCGGGTCGAAAGTGACGCCATAGTCCTTCTTCAGCTCTGGATGAGCTTCGCTCAGAGAGACTGGAAAATCCGTTGCCGCCTGGACATGATCAAGAAGGACGAAGAAATTTAGAGTGAAAAATGAGGACCTGAACAAAGTCATGAAGGCCTTGGACTGTTGTTTCTCGGCACGAGAATCAGGTATGTACCACGGTTCACAAAATAATTAGACAATCTTTAGGGGGGAAATTTGGGGGCTAAGCGCTGGCCTTGCTATTTGGGGTTTAGCGTCCAATTCGGCCAACAAAGCTCTGAAAGCCCGAGGCGGCAAGTCGCCGAGTCGATGCTGCAAATCCAGATATTGTCTTACGTGAGATCTTCAAATAGAAAACCATACCAACGACGCCGTTCACCGGGTCACCAATGACGAGTATGAAATTTTCGGGAACCAAGGCAGTATTCAAAAAGTGTCTGCTGGTAGAATGAACATGAGATCCAGCCAAGCTATATGGAAATGACCAATTTCTCTCCACTGACGCCCTGGCGCATTATTTCAAGGGCCCTTTCCAGAGCGCTCAACCCGTGCCCCACATGATGCACTGGCAATGGTAGCTTGTACTTTTCTTCTTGTAATAATCGCTCTAAGGCACAAACTATGTTCTGATTCCCTGGTAATTGAGGGAGATCGCGACCTCGAAACATGATCGAGTTCACGCCGTCCGGCGCATCAATCTGCTCGTCTCCTGTCCAGACCTGTGCATAGATCTTGGGACCGCTAGAGCTGAGAGCTTCAAAGATATCTTTTTGTGTGCGGCCGGCACCAACCACATCAAGGATCGCGTCGACGCCTTGACAGCCTCCAGTGGCCTGCTTTGCATCCTGGGGCAAAGAACTCGATTTCCTATCGATCGCTTCATCTACACCGAGGTGATTTTTGAGATGATCATGATGCCGAGTCGAGCTGGTCGCCAGAATTCTGCATTCAGGAATTGCGAGGCGAAGAAGCTGAATTGTGGCTGCACCGACCGCAGAGCTACCACCGAGAATCAGCACTGAAGAAGGCCGCACCCCTGAAGTTGGCCCGCCTTCAAGGAAGGGGAGTGAGATTTTTAGACCGATGCCGAGGGCTATGATGCCTGTGAGGTAGCAAACACTGGTGAAAGAGGAGAAGGTAAGTATAGGTTGGTACAATATTTTGGACAGATTCCTCCTCAGGCACCAAATAAGCACGGATGAACAATTGAGTGGAATCAAGGGAAAGGGGAAGCAAGAGAGACTAGACGCACCCCAAAGTAGCCCCTTCCTCCAGCGACGATGTTGCTGGAAGCTTAACCACATCTTTTCCCTGCACCACAGCATACTCCTGGTATGATCCCGAGCTATCACCAGGTGTGAACAATGCGATTACTCGATCTCCAACCCTGAAATGCCCTGCCTTATCACCCACTTGTTCGACGATGCCCGCTCCGTCTAGGCCGGGAACAAGGGGCCAAGAGGTGACTCGGTGGCCTTGATCAATCATTTTGTAATCAGCTGGATTGATGGCAACCGCTTTGACGCGAATGAGAACTTCCCTCGGCTGAATCACCAGAGGCTTTGGGGCGATGATGGCTTCTAAAGAGCCCCCTCTCTGCCGCACGAGGTATTTGGTGAAGTTCACGGCCATCTTCACAATCTTCTCTGAAGGGCAATTGACATCAGCCTCAAGATCAATAAAATAATATGAAGATGACATACAGCAATTCTTGTGGATGTCAGCCTTGACGAAAGCAAATGACAAAAATCCTGGCAAATGATGTTGCGCTTTCTCGGGTTCCACCATGACAATGCGTAGAAGCTCGGGGTGTTCTGGAATCCAGTACTTTTATCGCACGAAATTCTCAATTTCCGGGGCGTACAAAATGATATGGGCTGGGTGGTGCAATGGTCTATATATCATTCGAAGTGGGCAGAAGCCTGACCTTGCTGTCGGATTTAAGGGAAGCTATGCTCGGACTTAGACCAACAAGTGATGTCTCCGGGGGCCAAAAAAACCATGTTCGAAGAGGCAAAGAGTTACCGAAACACCCTGAACTGGTTTACTGAACGCTTTATTCGTGGTCAGGGCCATTTTCCCCCTTAGTCACAATGGATTTGTCCTGTACATTGTCGTACTGACAGGAAGCTAAGATTCTTTCTCTTCCCATCTGTGATGAAGGAAAGCGTCAACCAGACCCGAATAGATCATGATGATTCAAAATTGATCAAAAGTCGAGGTAGGTTTGGTACAGAAGCCTTTTTTTTGGCTTCCGATACGGGTTAGAAATGTCCCATGTTCTGCCATCTACTCGTAATTTTGTCTGATACGTAGTTTCTGATTCCCGTGTTGTTGGCAGATAAGATGTACAAGAGCGCTGAGTTTCGAGGTTTCGAGGTTTCGAGTCGATGAGCACACCCTTTACATGGCTCTTTATCATTTTCCCATACTCTAACAGAAGCATTCAGCCTATCAAATTACCTTGACTCAAAATATACGCGGTCGCAATACAATATTTGGCGCTTATGAAGTCATGTATCTTATGCACCGGGGGGAATTCTCAGGGGAGATACAGCCGCCAAATATGTAGCTCCAAGCTAAGAGACGCGTCGCGTCACCCCTCAATTGCCATCGGTCAACAATAATCTGGTTTCACGTGAGACTGCCAGCACATTCTCAAGAGTAATCTATGATTGGAATACCTAGCTTTTCTAGCTCTGTCAGTAGCATACTGACATGTCACTTCTCTCGCGGTGCTTTTTCCGATCGCGACGTCATTGGCGTCGAGTATTCGTTAGATCGCTGCCCGTAATTGGATTCACCCTATGTGCTGTGGGATGAGAAAAAAAGAAGAATTAAACGCGCGGTAAGCTAGGTAGGAATTTTCCAATCAACTGTGCCCACGTAATAATTCTTGTCGGTTTTGTCGATGTAGAATTGGGTCGGTTACCAGGCAGGTAAGCCTGGTCAGGAATATATATCGGCAAACCACGATCGACACCGGATAAATACTTGAATCTGATCGATGCCCCCACCCAGGGATCTAAGTTAATTTAAGCATCACTTACGAGATTGCCAAATGAGGACAGTAAGGTAGGCAATGATAAGATGTGGAGTCCTAGTCGATTCTACAAACGAAAGAAACACAACCCATTATTGAGTTGATAGTGGTTATCAGAGAGAGTGGGGACATTTGCGGACATCCACCAGCTAGGGTTAGTTCGGTACATGCCAAGGCCCAAATTGGAGTTAAACTCCATCAACCTCGGCAGTTCCTTAGGCCAAGTCCCGTGACAGTTGCTCTAAACGTTGAAATTTCCACCAAATCAAATTCGCATCTCACCCTGGAACTTAAGGTTTGCGACAGTTGCGAATAAATCCAATCATGTCAGCCAATCATCGGGCGCAGTCCCACACCAGCCCATATGGACTCAAACGAATCTACCTGCTGATCTACAACACTGTTTGTGCTGCACTATGGCTCCAGATCCTTGTGACTGTGATCCTCACATTGGTATCGTCGCCCGATGTCTCTGATGTATACACATCTGTTGAACCGTGGACACGATTCACACAAACTTTGGCTGTTGCAGAGATCATCCATGCGGCATGCGGTACAGCCTTCCCTCTTCTGACTCGAAGTTATCCTCGTTAATGTTATGTCTCAGGAATAACACGCTCACCTGTTTTTACTACCTTCACTCAAGTGTTTGCTCGCTCAACTCAGGTCTGGGCTGTGAACCATGCGTTCCCTGAGATGACTTCCACCTCCCGTGCTTACGGAGCCATGCTCCTTGCTTGGTCAACCGCAGATGTCATTCGGTATTCATACTTTGCGACGATGTTGGCAGGTTTGGAAAACTCCACGGTTTTGAAATGGCTCAGGTAAGTTCGAGGTGACGATGTGGAACTAACTTACCGGGCGATGACACATTGGGTGGTTTTTGGCTGATATGTAGTTACCCATCCCTTCACAAACGGCTGATTTTTCTGTACAGATACTCTCTCTTTGTGATACTCTACCCAGTTGGAATCGGAAGTGAATGGTGGTTGATGTATAGTTCCACCAAATTTACTGGCAATATCGCAGTTCTGGCATTGTTTTATTTTTTCCTGGGGCTATACGTTCCTGGTGAGTGAAAGCTAACCTCCCACAAACTACCCAGTCGTACGAGGAAATAAGGATTTAACCAGCACACAACAGGATCGGTGATGATGTATAAGTACATGCTGAAGCAGCGGCGGAAGGTTCTCGCTTGATCAAAAGACTCGATATACAGATTTGTTTGAATGGCAAGGAAGGATGATGGCGTCCATCTCATTATTGCAATGTGCAGGGAGCAGAAATGAAGGCACATTTTTTGTTCGACAGGGTGGATTTGATGGAGCACTCGTGAGATTGTGATAGGAATGCGTTCCAGAATGGCTCTTGTAGTCTGAGAAAGAGGTGAACGGAAATCCACAGCTGTACTCTAACATTACACGCGGACTGAAATTATAACTGTCGAATGAAAGTCTTCGTGTCTCCAATCCTAACGTATTAGACATCTATGGTGCTGGCTCTTCACTCGTAGCACATGAGCTTACGGCCGTAAGTGACGTCAGTCGTAGGGGTAGATAGGTCTCAAATCTACTCACAGGCATTTCCATCTGCTTTGGGCTATGAACATAATCCTGGTTTGATCCCCTATTCTAGCAAACAGATCCGATCCTTCGAGGCAACATAATTTTTAGGGTCAGGAAATTGATGCATACTTATCTCGCTCAATTTGTGTAGATCTATAGCTTACCGGAGAGGCAAACATCTAAATAATCAATCTTCAGCTACGCAGACTCAATAGAAAGAAATTCTAGATGAATAATTTCTCACAAAATTATTCAATGCGTCACTTCCCTTTCACTTTACGGACTAAACACTGCTAACTAAAATAGACTATGTCTTATGTGGCGGGTAAGAAAGGCGCGTTCATATTCCCTTGATCTTAGTTCGACGATTTGAAATTTCCCCGTGATTGATATCGGGGATATCATGTCGCATCCATTCTGACACTAGCCTTAGACATTCTAGCTAGCGGAATTCTATTTACTTAGGCCTCAAGACGCCTTCTGTCCTCTTCGATGCGGCAGTAAGAGGGGAAGGGGGCATATACCAGGGGAGTGCCATGTGAAACCACTCTTTTTGTGCACTACGTTCGTAGATAACAGAGTCCGGAAATGTGTAGCGATTTTGAATATTCAGCACCGTTTCTAGTTGATATGGAATATAAAATGCACGCTCTGCTGTTCAAATTCATCAAGATCGTCCAGAAACCCAATTTGATCATTCTCTCATATTCCTCTCCAAAAAGCAACCATCTATCACCAACCATGCAGTTCTTCCATACTGTGATTTTTCCTGCTGTGGCCATACTGGCTGCTACCGCCGACGCTGCTGAATGCTATTAGCAACGGGGTGCCAAGACCTGTCTTAACGACAATGACTTGCTTACCGCACGCTCGGTAAGTTAAGATACCATGAAGTATTAAATCGACGGGTTTCGTGTCTCTATAGACACTTCTTGCTAACATGACTGCAAGGAATACTGTAAGGGTGACGGCTGGCGAATGAACAAGGAGATTGTGAGCAGCATACATCTAACGATGAAACAAACTTGCCAGCTGAAACAGCTTCTAATCACTCAATTTATAGCCCTACTACGGTCAGAACGGTTGGGGAGGAACTATCACCGGATCAAACATTCCTACTCAGCAGTTGTGCTGGGACAGCACCCTTGATGTATGTGCTTTCTGCATTGCTTTCGAACGGTCTCCGTGTCTCTTTTAATTAAAAGGTCAATCTTTCTAACATTGACCCAGATCATCAACCAGTGTCTCGGACACAAGAACGGTGGCTCGTATTCCCAGAACGGATGGAATGTGAGCACCGACTTCTGCCCTTAAGCGCGTGAATGGAGGCTCAATCTAGGCCTTTCCCTTCGAATCGCCTTCAAATGATTGTGTAGCAATCCCTGAATGCTGAGGATGTCTCCTTTGCCGCTAAGGCCTATTATGTGCTTGTGTCTCTGATTACCAGTCCTCATTATACTCGCTCACCAGCTCAAATTCCCTGTCACAGGATGGCCGTTGTTGAAATATGTTGACCAATCCAAGAATTCTTAATCTCTCATTTGCTCCTCATCCAGGTTCAATTACCAAATCGCCATTACATTAGAGGGATAACACGTTTTCCTCCTCATATAGACCACTGGCCAAGCCTCATTAATAACCGGATAGCTCCTGGAAAGGATGGGAGTACTACGAGAAGTTCTCTCGCCATATTTAATCGATTTCGCCTTTGTAGATCCGTCAATGTAGACCTCCGGTTGTAGCGTCCCGTGGCAGAGGTCCAAGCCTGAAGCTACGTTTCAAAATGTCAGACGGGTAAGACAAATAAAATTGAAAGAAAACTCATTTGAAGGAAGGAAATAGATTCTCGATCAATTCAGCAGTGGTTTTTCGTTCTTCGAATCGATCTGTGGCTGGATGAGTTGTTCTGAAATCGTCATAGCCATGCTACCCCACGCATCCTCTACTGACGTCTTGGCGCCGGTAGAAGTTGCCATCTTGCAGTAAATGGACTTCAGTAGGGGATACTTCACGATCGGCCAGTTCTAATGCATAGATCCTAGTCAGGAATAATTACCACAAGAATCACCAGCTGTGTTTTAGGTTCTATACTCAAAGAGGTAATTAAATCGAACCCCAAATTCTTTGGGCTGAATGGACCCCAGGTAGACCCCTATTCCCTCAACTGTGTGTGTTCGGTAACTTTGGTGACGTCGGTGGACCCATTGGACCCTGTTTGACCCCGTTACCTTGTGAAGCCCCAATTTCCACGTTTCCATGCTTTTTTACTTCTTGTCCAGCCCCGTATTATTTTCATTTAAATTCGGTCCCTGCCCAGACTTCTTGGATGATGATTTAAGGAAAGATAGTCAATCTTAATCCTCAATCTGCCCAGCCTTGGCCTGCCGACCGGGAAGGAAGCAGAATACATACGATGAGACCCGCTATGTCGTCGCGCCAAGCTCTAGGGCAGGCCGCATTCTTCGTCGTCTCATTTGCCCCTTTTCTGGTCTCCGCTTCTCCCGCTCCCACAGCCTTTGTGAACAACAATGACGTCTCTCCACCATTCCCCGCCATTACACCCTCTCCCGTCGAAAAGAACCCATCTCCAGTCGTTCAACGAGACATCCTGAGTGATGTGGAATCGGATGTAAACAATGTGCTCTCCTCACTGGGCTCCGACCTGCCCTCATGGGTTGCATCGGGGGTCCCTAATTATTTTCAAAATTTTCCCACAGGGGACGCTGTCGCAAGCTCCCTCGGATTGAAGAGCTCGGACTTGGCAGCATTGCCGACCAACGTGTTGAACATTGACCCTTATGCCAACTGGACTAACTCCGGATGGAACGTTCGCTTCCATGGCAATGTTTACAAGCAGCCTAATACCTCGGTCGCCGATTTGAACAAGCTCGCCAATGTTTTCCTCATCGACACCAAAATAGCGGACCTCCCCGAATCCCAGCAGGAACAGGCACGCAACCTGACAGCCGAGATCTTCGTCGTTCAGCAGCCTCACGTGGCCGTTAATACAATTCACCTGGAGCCTGCCGCGTCTCAGGGATCGAGTGGACAGCCTGGTGGGGGTGGTTCATCCCACACGACGGGCGGCTGGCAAAACGTGACCCTGCCATACAACACCACGGCCGAAGGAGATTTCGATGTCTTTGTGCCAATTGCCAGCAACGGACTTACTGCTGGAAATAAAACATCGGCCATCCAGAGACTCAACACCCATGTCGATGGCGCATCCATTGGAAATGCCACTGCGTACTTGGTGCCCCCAACTGGACTGACCGTCGTTTCCGACATTGACGATATCCTCCGAATCACCAAAATTTATGAACCTAAGGAAGGCCTATTCAACTCCTTCGCTAAGGCCTTCACCCCATGGGAGAATATGCCTTTGATTTACTCCAACTGGTCCTCGAGTTTGCCAAATATGCATTTCCACTACCTGGTAGGTCTACGACGCCTCTATAAGCTATTTGAAACCCTACTAACTTCCCCCTCTAGACCACAACCCCCGAGCAAGTCACCAGGAACTACATGCAATTTATCTACTCCACATACCCAGGCGGCTCCTTTGATACCCGTCCTCTGAACTTCAGCGATGTCTCCGCCACCCTCTCGATTCGCAAGTTCTTGCTGCAGAAGATTTTCGAAACCTTCCCCCAGCGCAAGTTCATCTTGATTGCAGACACCAGCAACAGCGACGTGATGCGCGACTACCCCGAAATGGCGACCGAGTTCCCAGGTCAGGTGCAATGTATTTTCCTTCGCAACACCTCTGCCACGGACTCGGGCGACAAGTTCCCTTACGACACGTCTGGATTCAAGAATCTCCCCCAGTCCCAGTACATGTTCTTTCTGAACCCAGATGACCTTAGCAATCTGGATATCGCGAATGGCGAGTGTTACAACAAGTCGATTCCCCAGAACTTGACTTTTAGTTACCAGGGACTACCATTTGGACTGGGAAAGCATTCTGGAGCTGGTGGCGGTTTGTCAACAAGAGAAGTGGTTGGCGCAAGCAGTCTTATGGCGCTGGTCGCTTCGATGCTCACAGCGGCTTTCATGTTCCTCTAGAACTCGTACATAGTCGGGAGTAATGTTATCAAGATCTTTCAGAACACGATGCTCAATATCATTGACCGCTGAATCACCATTTTTGGTTCTTTTATACTGTCCTTGAATGGTAATTACCAGTAGCTTGTCCTGGTTGAGTTGTCCAGGTGCCACACAACCAGTTATAATATATATTCTTCCTTGCCGAAACATACACCGTGCGCAAACCTGCACCTAGTCTGTCAAATTTTGACCAGTGTTGCAAAATGGGGACCCTTTTGTGTCTGCTCTAATTCATCAATACTCTTGGGGATCAATCAATTGTTCATGACGTTTCCCGCACTTTGCCATAAAAAGCGATATAGGAAACGACAACTATGTCCGTCCCCGTACATATAGAATGTTCTACTCCTAAAAGCGGAAATGGAGCCTCTTCTAGGCCTACCGTGGCCTAATCACCAGGCTATGCACTGATCTAGTGTGATGTGAGTAAAGACAAGGATACGAACCGGTGTCACTATATAGTAACCAAGGAGCCTAGATCCAAGTGATGATATACACCGTCTTATTTCTTCTAAAGCTAGTACATACTCCCTCCATTTACCGAGGAGAATAAATCAGGAAACTGGAATCGTAGCTTAATGCATTTACGTTTTAGTCTAGTCGCCCGCAAAACCATTAGCCACACACGGGATATCCTTGTGTGGCTCATCAATAGATTATGGATCGCTCAACCAGAGGTCCTCAACCGACTCTTCAATCGGGATGTCAAATTATACTTTCCGTTCTCCCAAAGACTCGTCCATCCCCGCAGGGTTAAGCTCAAGCGAGCTCGATGGCTTCCATGGGTCTTTCTCAGTTCACGTAGCATAGATTCTTCCAGATTCTCTAAGACATATCCAATATACTGCTTGTATATCCCGGGAGGATACCCACTGATAGGGTAAAACCTACCAGCATACTCTTATCAGTGAACAAAGGTGACTTGAGTCGAAAGTGTAAGATATGGAAGATAGGGAGAGGAAGAAAAGATGATGGTATTCGGAGTTAGAAGGAAGATCTAGAAGAGGTCTGGGGGATCTAAATAGGTAATCAGTTAGTTAGTGGTCACATGGCAGTGGGCAGGATGACTAATAGCGCTAACAGAAAGATCGTCACCATACGGAGTTCTCACGCGCTTTGATACAAGGGCCTTGTACATCAGCAGAGCTTCCCGGGGACAGAAGTTCCGAGTACCCGAATTTAAGCCAATACAAAGAAGTAGTCAGCAGGGTTTCATTCTATAACTCATTTGCGTTGGTCCGCGCACTTTCATCACATCGCCCGTGTATGATTTTGTGTGGACCACGAAGTCCTATTGTAGCCGCCGTCGGCCGGGTCATTTCAGAGATTTATTGCGATGAATTATCGAGATCCTGTCCCACATGATGAAGAAAGGATACTCGAAAATAGAAGCTAAGCGTGATAAAGAACGGAACTGGGCTCGTTATACTAATGGAGAAACATGCGATAGTAATCTGTTCTCACTAAACGAGAGAACGTGGCACATGGGTGGAAATGTTGCGGGTTAGAATCATATGGGAGGAATATATTAACACACAACCTAGTGCCTTGGGCAAGATTTATGTAGCCGATGGTCATCCTTTGGCTTGCAATGGAGTTTCCCGGAAATAGTGCTTATCTTTATCCAAAATAATGTCTCTTCTTTTCCTGAGTATCTGCACCGTCGTCCTCCCGACAGTGAACGGGGAATGTCTTCTAATTTGTCTGCCTGTGCCTCCTCCGGCTGTCTTTTGAACAGGTATTATTATTTTGGAGCCACTTTGCCGGATCCTTGATAGCTAAATAATTTCGGACTCACATATTCACTAATCATTGATGGTAAGTCTCATGAAGACATGCCAAGAGTAAGTTCAAATGGTCAACGGATTTCTAGAGATCGCAAGTCACGCTACTGGTCCTTTTTTGCAAGTTCTTACAAGCCATCCGGATTCATTTTGCAAGAGAGACCGGTCCATGAATCAATTCTACACCAACACGGTAGGTCCCCGTGTAATAAAGGTATATTGAGGCGTATGTAACTCAGCGTCCATGCCAAGGGATAAAATTGAAACAGACAGAATTCCAGAACTTTGTTACCAATGAGAAAATCATAATGACTTGAAAACCGAGTTCATATCGGTTTTCAATCATAACAATGCCGAAGATGCCGGTCATTTCAATTGTCCGAGATTAGGCCTCCGTCGGTCGGTATAGTGTCCACGAATGATGGGAACTCCAGCTTCTTTAGCCACTATGTAGCACGACCAATTTCTAGCCGTGCTCTTATTGTACGGAATTCTACACAGCAACAATGAATGGCGCAATAAGTTGCCTGATAACCGAGGCGGACAATTTGGTCATGGTAGAAGAGGGTGGCGGGAAATTCGCGTAGACCTTTGTGACGGCCACCAGGCAGAAAATACGAAGGTCATGGTGCCGTCTGACTTTGCAGGAGATGCCAGCAGGAATCACGGTTTGACATTGGAATTACAATATACTACGTACTAACATCTACATAGGTTTCCTGGTCTGTTATCGTCCTGATTATTAAAAAAAAAGCTTAACTCCCCTGCTCATTTTGACTGTATGGAATTGAAGCAATTTTTCCCTCACGACCGACCGGGCCGATTTAGCGTGAATGCGAGCTGCTGATCTTTCCTATTCGCGAGACCTCCGCACTTGTTGCATGCAGGATTGTTTGGCTAGACTATTTGCTGAGCCTATTGCATGTCTTAGCCCAAGCCTTGTCAGTCCCCCGATCCCGCTTTCTCTCTCCCTCTTTCCTGTGCCGCGAATGCGTCCATACCGGCAGGACTTCTCGCCCTCATTCCTGCCGACTTCCAACATCATGTTTTTTTACCCGCGAGATCACTCTATCAAAACTTAAAACAAGGGGCGTTAATAAGGACTCAGAACTTAGCCGCCCGCGAGTTCCGGTTAAGGTGTCGGCCACGATGGCTTATTCCCCCACCCGGAGTTCTTCTCGAATAATCTCCAAGTTCTCGATCCAAGTTCCCAACCTTTCGAAAGTTTGCGGGGGAAGTCTCTTCCCAAAATCAAGCTCTGCGGTGGTACGGCTTGGTGGGATGCTTCTAGATCGTGGCGTTTCTCTCGCCGGAGAATTGCTGCTTCCGGGTCAATGGAACTTGGAACTTGGAACTTGGGCATCCAGAATCATTCCGTCGGTTAGTGTGAGCCATGATCACGCCTCTTCCTGGGCTCTGGCTGGTTGGTGGTACAGTGTGGTGGTGTGGGTCTACTGGATGTGGCGTTCCATTCGCCGGATAATTGCCTGCTTTGGAGGTCGGACCATTGGGGGGAGTCCAGAATTTTCCCTCTCTTCAGTTAGTGGGACTTATGCCTGTCCCCCGTCCCAAGATCTTTTATTGTTGTGTACTCTGATTCCCTGTCCACGGTCCAGGTGGTTCAATTCAGTTGAACCTATCATAATGAGCGAGTAAATTTAACCGAGGAGCTGAGAGAGGATAAGCGCTAATTGCTAGTTAGCGCTGTGCTTGACTTCGGGTATCGAATACCAGGGAAATGTTCCGCAAACGACCCATTCAGAATGTCTTCGAACGCTGGCCTCCGAACATGAAATCGGAAGCTCACACGTTGGGGCAATTATTGGGTGCAGGATCCAAGATAAATACGATCGATATTGAAAGAACCTGACGAATCCCAGAGTCAAACGTAACTCGGTAACTCGGTGTCATCTCACCCGCGGGCTTTGGGCTCGGCCAGTTTTACCCCGGACGGTCGCTACCCCAGTTGGTTACAACCCCGCCCCATAACCCCGGACGGATCCTGAATCTCCTCCAATGGAGAGAAAAAGGAGCAATACCGAGATTGGATAGAACAAGATATGAAATTACATTAACGGAGCAATGTAGTACTGTATGTGTGCATAATTCATTTGCCCTGACTATTCTTCGAAGTCGAGACCTTGGGTTAAGTACAGTTGTGATAATCATTCTCTAACTACTTATGAAAGTAGGGTGGCTAATTGCAGTTATGGTAGTTGCCTTCTGAGTAGTCTAGGTACTCTTTCAAAGCTAGGGTCAAGTTTAACGCTAACACTAGTTAGCGCTTATCCCTTGCCTATGTATCTACTTACTTCGGTTAAATTATTTCTAGTTTAATTCTAATAGGCTCTGCGGGACTTGAAACGGCCCGGGAAGGGAAAATCGGGAAGAGATTTCAAAAATAGGGGGGTCAGATGGCACCGAATTGCCACTTCAGCAGACCCCGCAAATGAACCAGTACATTTCCTCCCGAGTAAGTACCTATCAGATTACTTCGTTCAACAGGAGCGCTCCATAATCAAGTGACACTACTACCGCAGTGCCCCGGAAAAATGACCCTCTATGAGTGGTGGCCCGTGGGGATGTTGGGTTGAGGAGGTCAAGGTCCGGGGCAAGCTTAACTCAATTCAGCTAAGATCTGGATCACTATCACGAGCGTGTTGTCACAGGTATAAAGATCCGAAACCCCCAGTCATGCCTGCCTTTCTTTCATTCACCCGTTTCTCTCGGCAATCGTCAACATGACTAGCGACAACACCGAGAAGCAGACCTCAGCGGAAGAGGTCGAGGCGCAGCCCGGTCCTGTTTACGATGTCGGCAAGAATGTCGATTACGATAGAGCGGGCGCTATTGAGGCCGAGCAGGTCGAACATAATATGACTGTGCTTCAGGCTGTCAAGGCCTATCCCGCTGCCAGTTGGTGGGCATTCGTTATGTCATGCACCATTGTAAGTTTTTACCCTTGATAGGCAGATTATTTCTTTCCTCTAACGTTTCAATAGATCATGGAGTCATACTGTGTATTCCTAATGGGACAGTTCATTGCCACAAAACGATTCGCCCAGGACTTTGGTGTCAAGAGCGATGTAACCGGCGAGTGGATTATCGAAGCTTCATGGCAGTCAGCATTCCAGTGCAGCGGTCCCCTTGGTGCCTTCATCGGTGTATTTGTTGCAGGTCCCATTACCAGTTGGATTGGATATCGATGGGCAACCATTGGCGGCCTCATGGCTTTGAACGCATTCATCTTCATCTTCTACTTCGGCAACAGTCAGGGCATGTTTTTCGCATCCCAGATCCTAGAAGGCATTCCCTGGGGAATCTTCGTGGCTAATGCCCCGGCGTATTGTGCTGAGATTGTGCCATTGAGATTGAGAGCTCCAGCAACGCAGATGTTGCAGATGTTTTGGGCAATTGGATCGATCATTGTCGGTGGTATCACATACCACTATCAAACCAAGGATGACCCGTCAGCATACAGGTTAGTCAGCTCCCGCAGATTAGTCATCGATGAACACCACTAACTGGAATAATCACAGAGTTCCTATTGCGCTGCAGTGGATGTTCCCTACTCCCCTCGCTATCCTACTTTTCCTTGCGCCTGAGTCGCCCTGGTGGCTCGTGCGAAAGGGCCGTCTGGCCGAGGCAGAGAAGGCAGTGCGACGTCTTGGACGCGCCAGTGCAAATGATAATCCCGCCGATGCAGTTGCAATGATGCGTCGCACGATCGAACTCGAGAAGACTGAGAAGAAGCCCAATCTCATTGAACTGTGGAAAGGCACCGATCGCTACCGCACATTGATTGTTTGCGGTGTGTACGCATCTCAGAATTTGACTGGCAATTTGATTGCGAACCAGGCCGTGTACTTTTTCAAACGTGAGTCCAGCCATATCCTTTAAACTTATACCAGACTAACATCAGTTCAGAGGCCGGCATGGCTGAAAACACCGCATTCGCACTTGGTCTCATCACTTCTGCCCTCCAGTGGATCATGGTCATGCTCTCTTGGATTCTCACCACATACCTCGGCCGACGTACCATCTATGTCTACGGTCAACTCATCAACTGTGTATTCTTGGTTGCACTCGGTATTGCGGCTTCAGTTGGCCATAGTAACGCGGCTAGCAATGCGCAAGCATCACTTGGCTTGATTGTTTCGGTCCTGTTCTGCTTGGGACCCGCCCCTGCTTCATGGGTCATCATCGGCGAGACACCCTCCGTTCGTCTCAGGCCACTGACAACCGGTATTGGACGAGGTGCCTACTACGTGGTCAATATTCCTTGCATCTTCCTCAGCAGCTACATGCTCAACTCTGATAAGTGGAACCTGGGTGGCAAGAGCGGCTACGTCTGGGCTGGTACCGCCTTCATCTGCACTGCCATGTCTTACATCTGGATTCCCGAGATGAAGGACAGGTCCTTCCGTGAGATCGACATCTTGTTCAATCGTAAGGTGTCTGCTCGCAAGTGGAAGGAGACCGTTGTCGATATGCAGGATGACGAGTAGACGGATGTTTACTTTGATCATCTTGTGTGGCCTGAGAGAGGCTTCTGTCGAAGCCAACGGGGGCCTAGCTCCATTAACTTTGTATTTTCCTCGCAGAAAGTAGATGCGGAATCGCTCCAGCGTCCAACAAATTAATCATTGGCCAATTTGGTCTTACTCTTTATATAATTTTGGAAAAGTAGTTCATAGAATAAATAATGCCGATCTGGGTTGTGAGTGCGTTTTTGACGCCCAAGTGGTCATAGTCATCTCCTTGCCTTTGTGAAAATGGCGCAGTTTCATCCCGATGGAGGTCGTTGTACTCCTCGATAGCCACGCGGACCTCGAGACTTCCAGCTCCACAGTCGGCGCTCGGACTCAGAAGGCTGAGATGGTGTATATTCCTCACTTGGGAAATTCGGATGAGGACAAATCCACTAGAAATGGCTTCGTATTTATTGGCAGACGGCAACCTTTGGTTTGGCGAGGTCAATGATGACGTCCTCGATAACCATCAAGGAGTAGCTTGACAGCTTAATCGTTGTGACCACCCCAATTCTCCGGGATTTCCACGCCGAGGACAGGCACTTGGCCAAGGTCTCCCGAACTGACCAGCTCAGCGGTATTGTCGCGGGCAGCCTTGACGAAGACGAGTTTTGGAAATGGGAAATTATTATCCCATGACAGCGCCCACGGCACTGCTGGCACAGGAAGCGAAGAGAGAGAGAGAGAGAGAGAGAGGGAGACTGAGTCTATTGGTCTATCTAGGAACATGAAGACGAAGACGACTAAGAGAAGAAGAAGCAGAAGGGAACAGAACAGGGTCTATAAGGCCCTGAAGCACAAAGGAAAGGAACAGGCCTAGACCTGGCAGGAAATCACCGGCCTGCTTCATGCAGGGCCAAAGAAGACGACAAAACCCTGCAAGCCCTCGAGGTCAAAGGGATCGAGTCATCATCCCAGATTCCAAGTACATGTCGCTTGGGCTTGGGTCATGGAGTGATCTTGGGAGTGAAATGTGACATCTGGTTGCAACTCCATCTTGAGGTAGTTTACCTGAACGGCAATAGGCTTTCCTATGGTACCGCGGGCGGAATACAAATCCAGTTGGCACTTTTCAGCTCGGCTACCCTTATTTTTGGAAATACATTTGTCCTTGACTTGAGAAGTTATATTAGCGACCAGTGTGTTGTTCCAGTATTTACAATGGGTAGATTACGGCATAGAATTTGGATGAGTGGATGACTTGATGTGTGATCGTGTAGATCCCGCATTCACCAATTTTAGTCGATAGGAAAAATATGTAGAGACATGTAGAAAGATATTGTCAGCATAGACGGGGAATGTAAGAAACTTAAATAATGAAATTAAATGGTGAAATGCATAGAATTCGTGCAAAATATATAATAAACACGTTAACTTTGGACCCTTACGAGTCTACAGTAGCTGGGATCGGTCAGCGGTTGAGACCCCTCTTAGGTGTCATACCTGACTTGAGACGAGGAAACTTGAAACAAGGGGCCGAGAAATGCCAGGAAACTACAATTTTAGATGGAAATATCTCACACGCAGTCTCCAGGCTTCATGGGGCAAAATCTCTCGATCCCACGTGGATCGCATTGTGGACCTGGTGACTCGATACCTGAACTTTACCTTCAAGTCCGTCCTCTCGGTTGTCACTTTTCGTGACAAGCCGTGGAAGAACCTAAAGATTGCTCTCGATAAAAAGGTTGACGACTCCCATGAAGATCTCGACAAACTCTTACAGGATGAGCATGGTCATCCAATTACATATAACCACTACTACACCGACAAAATCCAGAAGGCGCGACAGGGGAAAATGCCAACGAGTTCTCCATAACTCGCCAAACTCCTACAGGATGGGCAAGGTCATACAATCACATACAATCACTACTACACCGACAACATCCAGAAGGTGCGATCCAGACGGAGCGACGAGAGAACTTGAATGGATTACTCGGAATTTCAGCGACATCCATGTTCGAGCCAGATGCTTACCGTGGTAGACTAACTATAAATTACAGAACTGAGTTACAGAGAAATGCCAAGACTACGTGATCCGTTACAAGCCCAGATCTCAGACCAGGAACCCCAGATCAATAATTCGAGATTCTGGCATGTAATTCTTCTTTGATGACCCTTTTGAAATTGACACGAGAAATGCTATGACCATGTAATGTATACGGTTTTTTTGATACGATGAAATGTAGTTTATTGCTACAGAATTTTGATAAAAAAAGGATGATGTTAATGGCACGACAGGAACGTTCATCAAGACTGATCAAGTGTCGTAAGATAGGATTATACGACTGGGTAGAAATTTCTTATTTTGATGGATAGAGAAAGACATGTAGAAAAACATATAGAAAGTCGTCTATAGTATGTAAGACGCTTTGAGAAAACTTAAAGGACAATGTGCACAAATGAGTATGGAATGGATCATTCGTACATTACTTTCTGACCCTCCGAGCCTACAGTAGCTGGGGTTAGAAATAAGTAGGCAAAATCGGTTAAGACCCCTTGAGCCGTCACCTGAGGGCACAGGAATCTGGCAAGATTGCAAGTGTTATTATCGACTGGTATAGTGACTCGGCTTATACCAAATCAAAGACCCCCAGTTGGCAGCGTCATGACTTGGGCGAGCTAAAGAGAAAGTATTAAAGACCTCTGCAACATCCAGCGATTCAGCCACTCTACGAATATGGACGCACAGCCAAAGGATTGGAGGGTGACAATCAGATTGCTCGGAATCCCCTACTCGGAATCCCTACGACATCCATAGACCTGCAGCCACTGCGATCTCGGAAAGAAGAGCAAGGAGCAAGTGATTTACCACTGCCCATCCTTCGCAGAGCTTTGGCATCGGTTCATTGGTCCCTCTCCACTCCTCTCGCCACGCAGAATATTAATGCAACCGGAATCAGCAAGGGTAGTGAAAGAGCTAATCCTCCGAAGCTGGCTTTTAAGCCAGTCTGGAGCCCTGCCAAGCACATCTCGCGTCCTCAGCCCGGTCACTACCGTGGCATGATGCACCGTCCGTACTGATTATCGGGATAGTGCAACGTCTAACCATTGTTCTGCCCTGAGCATCATGCCAGAGACCATCGATGACAGCCCGTTCCATAGTTCACTTCGGCTTGTATGGCAAGCCACCGCTCCCAAAAGAGTTCACCCTGCCTACACGCCTTGGCTTGTTGCATTGAATGCATGGACAGCGGACTGGGGCAATATCATCCTTTTAGGCCTCACAAGAGAGAACCTGGCAGTGTCTGTGACCCGTGACCCCAGAGAGCCAGATGTAAGCAGAGATTGTAGGCCACTCTCGAGTATGTTTGTGCAATTCGATTGACTTGGGAGCAGCAATTGAGACGTAGAAGCGGAGGAGGGGATTGGGCTTGGCTAGGCTTTTTGAGGAATGGACGGTGTTGGCCGAATTTCTGGCGGTTTAGAGAAGGCAGGTTGACGATTTCTGTGAGAATTTGCCTGATGTGAAGTGCTCGTTGGTGGAAGGATAGACAGACACTCTGATGAAGCCGCGGAGGATGGAGCAGCAGCGGAGTTCGTCGGCTGATTGTGTTGGCCTTTTTCCGGGGAAGTACAACGACCGATCGGGCTCAGGATTTCACAGGATCGCGACCAAGACTAGGTCAGCAACTCTTTGCACCTAGGACAAACGAGGACACTTTTGAGGCAGAAAGGCGAACCTTATATTCTCTGAAGAAGTGTAATAAAGAAGAAGAAACAAGCTCGACCGGGAGGCCCTTATACAAGAGAGAGGAAGAGAGAGGGAAAAGGAACGTCTAGGGGAAAGAAAAGCCCACACGGGAACTCCCATCTGCGGCGGTCGGCCTGATAAGTTTCGAGTCCGCAAAATGACTACCAATTGTGCGGAACTCTGCTGGCCAGGCAAAAAGAGAATCTTAACGTTCGTGTTCATGCTCCTAAGATCCTCAGCGAGCCCATAAGCGCCACAACTTCAAAGGACCCCTTCTGGTGTTAATAGTAATGCACTGGCTTTTGTTTCTACCACTGGCTTATGTTTCATGGCGATGTTATGGGTTTCTGCAGAAGTGTTCCGTACCTCCCGCGCAAAGTGGAGTCGTTTCTCAAGGGCTTCACTGAGTTCTGCCGCGGTATAACTCTCTGATTATCAGTATATGGAGGTAATGAAAGCTAAGAAAGGTGTGACTCTCTGTTACGCAACACTGGGATCCAACGTAGAACTAGAAATAGACGAAAAGAACGAGAAAATGAGGATATTGGTAAGATATGACTTAGGAATACTTCAATTAAAATGTTATGGACTAGGTAATACACGAATAAGAAAAAGGAACGCAAGGAAAAGATAGAGAAACTTCGGAAGAGCATAGTCTAAGTCCGATCTCCTTCATTGTCCATGTTCACAGCATCCCGATTCTCACGCTCTCGGGCCTCAACCTCCTTCTCACGAAGGGTGGCAACAGCAGGAACAGGGGCAGCAGGACGGCCACCAGGAACGGGATCACCAGCAGGGACAGGGTCTAGCAGCACAGGGGGGTCGGCTGCGGGAGGGGGAGGTGGGTTGTGATCACCCACTTCTTGCCCACGCGAGGGGCGGCGGGATGAACGCTCGGAGCGGGGCGAGGGGTGTGTAAAGGTTGGCGATAGCGAACAGGAGCAGGGCGAGCAGCAAAGATGGCGAAAGCGGCGTCAGCCGGCAGCGAGGACAAAAAGATGTCATGCTAGTAACCTTCAGTATACATGAACACCAAAGGCATATAGAGACGGGAGTTGAGAGGCAGAAAACTTCCATGGATCACGGTATAAGGGCCGGTTCCCTCCAAAAGATGCTCCAAACAAACCGACTCAATCTCCCAGCGACGCTCGATGGCATCAAGACAGCGCAGGACATAGCACTGACTGTCACCAGCCTCTAATGTATCGAACTTATCAGTACATCATCAACATCCAAGCAAGAGTATCGATCACAGAACTTACGGTGGCCAGGCCAGTTGCAGTCAATGCAGTTGCCAGGGTCTGCGGGAGAGCGACCACTAGGAGGCTGGAACTGTCAATTGCCTCCGAAATTCGCTCCGTTGGCCATTTCGAAAGGGGGCGGGGGCGCGAGAACTTGACTTTTTTGATGAGAAAGCGAGCGAGAGACGCAGCGAGCGAGCAAGGAAGGGAGGACGGGAGCAAGCAGGCTGGAAGAGAGATTGAGGAGATGCAAGAGGGAAAAGAAATCTACGGTGGGAGGAGAGGAAGTATTTATAATTATTTTGGGGGTCCTGAGGCTATCCCCAGATCACGGATTCGACGCATCTGATTGGTCAGTTTTTACACCAGGCACAAGGACAGCCGATCCTGCGTTATGATTGGCTGGATGACAACTCCTCCAGCCAATCAAAACGCAGGATCCGCCCAGGCACCACCTCTATACAACCCCCGATTCGGACATCAGCCACCAATCCTCCACAGGCTCCCTGGAGATCATGAAGTTGGACACTGTACATTGAAACTTTTCAATACCTCCTGCACTCAAATTACCCGTTGAGTAGTCGTTTTGTCAAGGATGCACGCACCTTGGCTCCGAAAAGGCGATATCGGGAGCACGTCTTGACAGCAATCTCAACCGCTTCGAATCCTTTCTTCCCAGGGAGCAGGCCAATCACCAAATGGACCGTGAGGCTGTGGATGGAATTGTGAGGAATCAGGAAACATGAGAGCATGGATCACACATTCTTCTTGCCATAATAGATATATTCCTAACAGATACATTTGTCGATATACACCCGAAGCCGCTTTACGCACGCACGCAGCAGAGTGTCATGCATCTCCCGCTAGGCCCAGTGAAAGCACGTATGTCATTCCTAGACAGAGGCTAGAGCAAAGAGCTATCATTCATCATCGACTAGCATAGAGCACGACAGGCCATTAACTTCTCAAAGGGCAAACGCTTCCACACCGTATCAGGGACAAGAAATCCACCGCCGTGTGACGGGGCCAAGTTCTGCGCCATCTATCATGTTGTAGCGACAATGTACAGGGTAAAAGTTCAAACTTCTCGTCACGCGAGCTGTAGAGCGAGTTGTACACTGTCTCAGCCCTGTGATCAAGACTCAGTGGTAGAAATTCATTTCTTGTTCTTGATCGTTGATCTATGTCTTCTATATCTGCAGTAGTGTCCGCCTCATGTAAGGAGAAAGGCAATCCTCGATGATGATAACCTCATTATGAAGAATTTTCGTGACGCCGTAAGACAGTGGATATCTGGCGAGATCGACAATCTGCTGACTTTTCAACAACCCGCCATTGTGAATCTTTTCCTCGAGGGCTGCGCCGGCATCTTCGATTTCTGGTAAAGCTCGCTCAAAGTTATGGCATCGGACTTAATGATAGAATCAAAAACGAGCGTGGGTCTCGACTCCTGCAAAAGAAAAAGAAAAGAAAAGAAAAGAAAAGCTAAGAAAAGCGCCAGACATGACTATGATAAGTGTGCATCAGGTGTTTCATGTTTATTGGGCATGGAAAGACATAAGACCTTGCAGCGCATTGAGTGCCTCGGATATTTTAACTGGCTGATCCCTATCGCCACAAATTGGAAGGCGCTGATTAGGTATCCCTTTGTTGCCAAGTAACTAGTCAATTTGTCAGTAAAACTACGATTCACTAGTTATCAAAAATTGGGCTAACACTTATACTATGTCCCTTGTTTATGCAGTATTGTATTGTATACCTAAGAGACCCTCTCACAAATTTTCTCCAAGAAACCTTTAGACTTAAGTACCTGTTCATCGAAGAACTATCAACACTTAACCGACTGCTTACTCTATTACTTTTCCGGCTACTTAGATTCAGGAGTTTAGAGGCGATTATTCCTGAGATTCAGATACTTAGTTAAATTAATTTACCTATAGCTTTAACTAGCTTTTAGGGCTAAGTAGGCTAACTTTCCCTGCAGAGAGCTTTTAAGCTAAAGTTATCTACCTATGTACCTACCGGATAATTTGTATAACTAGCCTGTAAGAAGAATCTAGGGTAATCGTAGCCTAGTATACAGATAATTAGGGCCCCTAGGCCTACCTTATTGTCCCGAGAATAGACCGAATCCCGATCGCGTTAAAAACTTAAACTTAATATAGTTATATAAGGTAACAAATCTGTCTTACTTATATATAAACTTTACAATAGAAATTCGAGTTAGCCTAAGGTAATTTTATTAGGAACCCCCTTCTCAGACGACAGTAACGTAACTTAAGCTAGAACAAGGAGTAAGTTTTTATTAGTCTTTCTTAAAGGTTGAAATATCGAAGTTCGTTCTATTATTTCTTACAGAGGGTTACCTACCTTCGGCAGAGATTAGCGGGCTACGTCCCGGAAAGGATCTATAGCCCGCCTCGGAACTACAGACTAGAATATTCGCGCTGCTCTCTGAATAAAGAGATAGCGTAGGATCTTTGTTAACAGCTAGCGAACTAGAGTAGCGCGTATCTCTACCTATTATTTCGCGGATACACCGTGGCGTATCGAGGCTAGTGCGCTGTATTGTAAGTCAGTAACTACGGAGCGCTTCTTTGCAACAATAATAGACGGAGCAAGAGTTTGACTGTTTGACGGAATGTCTTCTAATAATCTATACCTTCGGTTCACTATTGCTCCTTGAACTTGTATCTCCACCCCCCACTACAGTCTGGCCATGACTGTGCCCTTCCTCCTACCCTAGCCCCTCCATATGGCTTCTCTGTGTGGGTACGCTTCGAATCCCCGTGACACATAAATTCCCTTCTGCTAGAGCAGCTCTGTCAACAAGGAGAACCCGCGACCATCTGTTCGTCCCTCGTCTACGTCCGTCTCTCCCACGGAAAGCCACCACCGTGACCCCTCTACTTACATCGAGAAGCGCTTGAAACCCCCTGTTTCAAAGCTTTACCCATGATCCCAGTCGGCGTGGTTGGTCCCCAGTGCAACACAAGCCTGCACTGCTGGCTGAACCTCCGAATGTTCCCTCGCAACGTGACAGTCATTTCGGAGTCAGCGACTTCAAAAAATCAAGTCCGATTTGAAGTGCTCATTCAGGCCAAGTCAAACCTTTCACAAAGACGCAAGGCCTCGCGCCAAATGGTATGGCAGCATCGATGAATAGTCGAGGCTACTCACTCATCTCATCGCTGTTCGTCTCCATTCCTCTGTTGGTTGCAATCCTATCATCCGAGCCTGCCATCCCACCTCTTGATCCCAAGTTCTTGAGAGCGCATTTCGCAATTTTCCCAGGCATGATGGGCCAGCCAACAACCTTCACTTCTTCGGATTTCCCGCGTGAGAACGTGAGGACCTATATCCTTCATTGTGAGCTGGCGTGGGCCGGCTACTCCACGCTGAGCGATCGAACGTCGCGACACTACTGGGTTGTTGAAGCTTCTCACTCATTCGGCCCTCTACCTCCGGAGGATGTATCAAAGTGAAGTTCTCAAATTCCCATCTTGAATAAACTAAGCGTGCTGTGCTAGCGACCTTCTATTTCTCCTTTCACATCTCTCTCTACGCCTCTCGTCTACACTTCTCTCTACACATCTGTGTACGCAGCTCTCTATACCTCTAAATTCGATCCGGACTCGCTCCAGCATCGGCAAAATATTAATTATTGGCCAATTTGGTCTTACTCTTTGAGATACTGTTGGCGACGAAGTACAAAGAACCATCCTAGTCTCGTAATGACGAAGTCGGTTTCGCATAAGCTTCGTCTTGCTTTATCTTGTCTACCTCCGAAACCCTATCCGTGCCAGCGTCACAGGCTCCCAGCCTAGACGCGAAAGCATTCGACAATGGATGAACTTGGTGGCTAGGCTCTTCTACCCCACAACATGTTCCGGATTCTACTTTATGTCAGATGATAATTAACAAGGCCAAAAGATCAGTGATATCTGCGCTGAGCCAAGGGCCGATATATATTGTACGCAACATCTCAGGGCACGCCATAACATAAAAGCCGCGCTGGATCAGAAAGGAAAGGCCTCGCTCTCTGCCCCATAAAGCAGATATGGCCTGGGGAGGGGTGGGTTAGGTAGTGAGTAAGCGCGAGGTCAGAACTAGTCAGCGTTGACACTTAATTACAAGGCGCTGATGATGACATTGATCACATCGGCTATCTCGGTAATTACCTAAGGCAATGGCGTTGTTTAATCATCTATGACGTGAACCTTGCTTATCGGAATGTGGGTCTTTTTCTCTCAACCGTTCGGGACCTGTCTGTTTTGGAGATCAGCTTTATTACATAGTAGACTCGTACGAATATTCTGATGTATTTTGCACCACTGCATATGTACATTGAATGAATACAATCTGGTATCGGAACGGGGAACAAAATGGTTAATCTAAAGGTAAGCCTGAAGAAGATTTCCCAAGCCCCACAAGGCCTGCTTCAAGGATCGTGGGCCTTGGATCGCAGATATGTCCTCTATGAGGTTCCAACAAGGGAAGGAGGACGATAGTATCCTATATTTCTAGTAGGAAGGAAATCTCTACGAGTAAAGAGGCACGATTTCGACCAAAAATGTGATGGGGGCCACAAGTGAACAGCAAAATCCTAGCAAGCTTTGATCCTCCCCCACAGCAACGCCCGGATTATTCAATTTACACGAAATCCCGAAATCCCGAAATCCAGAATCATCGAAACGCGATGATGAGATCCTTCACTTCTGACTTGACCTAAAGAACTAGATACTGAGCACAACGAGAAAAGGCCTCATCACAGACAACTGAGACATCCTTTACATCCAAGAGTTTCTTGAAGATTATTGGGTAGGAATCGGTCCGATATGCCGTCATTCGCTATCTTGGTGAGATCCACGAACCGAATTGCGGTCAAACCAGCTCACACTACTGCCATCACAGTATGGTCAATGAATTGGCTCTGATTGTTGCAATTTCACGAGGAATCTGAGCTGGGCTTGAAGTGTGTGACAAAAAATAATATAAAAGGAAGTCAAAGGTAAGGTCGTAAGTATTGTCTATCAAAGTTCCAAATCTTCTCAACGCTACGTGCTAGATAGAAGTTTGCACACCAACTCCTGACGATTTGCTCTATTTTTTGCCTGCATCTTCACAATGCTATTTCCATCTATAATTCTTCTTCTTCTGCTGGCAGCATTCGATATGAGTGCGAAGGCACTACCTACAATCACCCAGCCACTCGCGGACTACATGTGGCCAACACAATTTGTGAGAAGCGGCGAGGCAAACATTCAAGTCCTCGTCCAAGGTGCAGGACCGACTGTTGTTCTCTTGCCTTCTTACGGACGTGATGGCGGGGATGATTACAATTACTTCACCAATTCCCTGGTAGATGCAGGGTACCTTGTCCTGCGTCCGCAACCACGCGGTACCTTCCAGTCAACCGGACCAATGAAAAACGTCACTCTGGGAGATCTTGCAGCAGATGTCGCGACCGTGATTGATGCACTAGGTGGCGGGCAAGCTATCGTGATTGGCCACGCCTTTGGTACATTTCTCGCCAAAGTTAGCTCTGTCTTGTATCCGGAGAAGATCCCTGCAATCGTTGTGGCAGCTCCCGGCGGCATCGACTTGCCGACCGCTATCGCCGGAATGCCTTTTATTGCTGGTAACACCTCTTTGCCTCTTTCTGAGCGACTCGAGGCTCTTGAAACGGCGTTCTTTGCACCCAATCATGACGCGCACATTTGGCTGGAGGGTTGGTATCCCGAAGTTCTTGCCATGGAACGTGCGGCCGTGGCAGCCTACGGTAGCTTGGCTTCACACTGGGGTGGTGCCGATACGGCACAAGTTTTGGAGATTATCCCTGCGAACGACCCGTTTCAGCCAGGGTCGGAATGGAATGTCACGACCACTCTATATCCGAACCGAGCAACCTCGAAAATCATCGCGGATGCCTCCCATGCTCTGTTCCCTGAGCAGGGAAAAGCTGTTTTGGAGGCCATTCTGCCTTGGCTGAATCTTCAGAGCTCCAAGGTGTAAACTTGAAGTATGCGATGTGATGAAATGGTATGGGGTGACGGATCTCGGAGAGGCAAGCCTTTATTGGAAAGGCAGGAGGAGGGGAGGGGAGAGGAGAGGAGAGGAGAGGAGAGGAGAGGAGAGGAGAGGAGAGAAGATACGTCCTCAGTCTAACATAGAAGGTAGAGCCTACATAGAAATGGAGAACTCAATTCCTAGAAATTACTTCGAAATTTCTTGAAAGGTGGCTTTGTGAAGAAATGACCCGCGAGATATTCCTTGATTTTGATTCTTTTTCTAGGACATCATCGTTGCTACATGTTCCCCGTCCTGAAACTCACTAAGCATTTGCTGTACAAATTGCATCATCTCATACTGATATTCCTGCTCCTTGATGATAAGGGGGTTTCCGACATTTGTAGACTGCTCCATGTAGGCCCTCTCGTTAAGCACCGGGCGTCCATTTCTTAGAAAGTAAACAGCCAGACGGTATAGAGATAGGCTATTGGAGATTAGAACACCCCTTGCCATTTTGTCGTAAGGATTGGCAGGATGACCTCTGAATTGCTTCCAAATGCCATACCACGTTTGCAATCCTCGTTCTAGAGCAGACAGATCCACTGGCAGAATTGAGGTCTGGGCTTCCAGTAGTAGTGAATGCATTGCCAAGATCAGCAGGTTCAACCCAAATGTGGTTACGTGTGATGCCGAGATAACCTGACCGATCAACAAGCCTCTCACAGAGGATAAAAAACAGCTAGACGGATCCTGTGCCGGAAATTGGGCCCACAAGGATGCAGAGCAGGCATTCCAACTGGAGTCATCACAAGGAAAAGAAGCCCTTGTATCTGTTGGCGAGAGGAGGGGCTTGCTGCCGCAGAGTATTGATTGGTAGCAGTCCACTGCATAAACGCCCCAAAGAACTCTCTTCTCAGACTCCTTTCGAATCCAGGCTTCCCAAGATCGTGCATTTCGTGCCGCTTTGGAGCACTCCCCGTGAATTTTGAGGAAGCCTGCATATCGTATCGTTGTGATGAGGAGTGGATGTAATAGTCGCGACGCGGCCCGCTCAGCGACTCCACCGTTCGCCATAATAGCGAATTGCAAAAGTACTAGGGCTTGCGTTTCTTCGAATATCGGTGACTGTCCATCGGAACGGAGACAACATTTGGCCAGAATTGAGGGAAGGGATCCATAGATAAGCCGTGCGTCTGATGGGGATGACGAGTGACTGCCAAAGCCGGCACCGATGAAGCATATTGTTCGAACAAGGACCGACGGCGATGAGGCCAGACAAAATGTAGGCATATGCAATAGAGGGAAAAAGGGATGAAATTGAGAAAAGAAAAGCCTTGCGTATATCTCCAATCGGAGCACAGGGATAGTTTCCGGACGTTCTAGTTCCAGAGTATAGTCGGCTGGAAGCCGGAAATTGTCCGGGTAAAGAAATCCTGCACAGGATACTTGTTCTGGAGCGATGTGTGAGTATGCCAGCGCGGTGATGTGGTCTTGGGGCGGGGTGGGATCGCCGGATGTTGAGGTCTGATCTTCTGCGCTGCATGTCCAAGAGCTCATGTCGATGAAGTTTTCGAGGTCAGCTAGCCGAGATAAAAAGTCGGGTTCATCAGTCGATGGTGATGCCAAGAATGAAAGGTCATCATGTGGCTCGTTCAATGACTGTAAGTCTGGACTTTGACTTTGACATGGCATATTTTCACTGCCTATTTGTGGCGATTGAATGGAGTCGCTCTTCGTGGATCTTCGCGGTCGCTGCTTCCGCCCGGCTCTCACACACGGCCACCCTTTTTGCAGACATCGTGAACAGGGCGACCCCTTTTTGTCCACATCACATCGGACCTTGGAAGCGGCGCAAGCGACACAGCTCTTGTTCATTTTCCGGCGTCAATCGAACGTAGACGACCGGGAAAAGCGGCATCGGGGATTGTCGGTTTGGTGGGTGGCTGGAACTTGTAAAGGGAAAAATCCGGTGGCAGTGGTGACGCGCGCCAATTTCCGACATCTCAGCCCGACGGGGCGTTTGTTGGTGGCAGCCACTTACTTTTTTCTAGAACATACAGATCGAAGCATGGATTACTAGCGCCATTGGGGGTTCGTGCTTACTCTAGATAACGTTGGATCAACAGATTCTTATCAACACTTACAAGTGACGATCGGGTATTTTATGTGAAGTCCCGAAATCCCGACAGCCCGTATCGTCGAAAGACCATTCAAAATAGATGTCGACTGCTTTAAAAGTCAACCTGTTGACCACAAAGAGAACTCTACCTTCACATCAAAAAAGGGGACCATTGAATATCAAGATTCCAATTATTCGAATCCCTATCTCAGAAACAAAACAAGTCCGATCATCATGTCGGAAACCCAATTCACCGAGACGACCGGAATGTGTACTTCGCCGACTCGAACATGGTTCGATCGTTTCTGTCTTGTGCAGAGACTGGCAGATCCCAAAACTCACTCCCCATGGCAGAAGCATGCCATCACCATGGTAGTCACTACAATGGCCTTCACTGCACCCTTTGCCTCCTGCATCCTCTTCCCGTCCTTCACCACCCTCGTCGATTATTTCCATACAACTGAGACCAAAGTCGCCCTGACGACGACCGTCTTCCTCCTGGGTCTAGCAGTTGCTCCATTGTGGTGGAGTACATTAAGCCAGGAGTACGGTCGCCGACCAGTGCTCGTATTCAGCTTCCTTCTCTCAACGGTCGCCGTGATCGTCTGTGCCGTGTCAAATTCACTCCCATTGATCATCGTCTTTCGCCTCATTGAGGCACTGGGCTGTTCATCTGCACAAAGTGTCGGAGCGGGTGTCATTAGCGATATTTATATTTCCACTGAAAGAGGATCAGCGCTAGGATGGTTCTACCTTGGCACCTTGATCGGACCTTTGATTGCTCCGATCATTGGAGGTGCCCTTCAAATTTGGCTTGGCTGGCGATCGCCGCTTTATTTCATGGCCATCTTCACATTCATTACCGCAATCCTCACGATGTTATGTCTCCCTGAGACGTTGATCAAAGCTTCCACTGAAGACCAGGAGGAAAAGCTTCAGTGGCACCAAACAGCAAAGCGTGACTTGCTGGCCCCATTGCCAAAGTTGAAATTCCTGTTGGTGCCGTCGATATCTTTGACAATCGCCTATGTGAGCATATGTTTCGCCAGTCTCTATTGTTTCAACACGACTCTTCCTTATGCGTACGCGGCGCCACCTTATAATTTCTCTGCCATTGAGACTGGACTCTGCTACATCAGCAATTGTCTTGGTTACGCGATTGGAAGCGTCGTCGGTGGAAAATTGAGCGACGCCAAGCTGCTCAAATACCAGGAGACGCATGGTGGAGAGATTCGCCCGGTCGAGAGAATCAGGACCGTATGGTACGGTGTTGGCTTCGTCCCCGCTGGCCTGATCATCTATGGCTGGCTGGTCGAAAAACAGGTCTTCTGGGTCGCCCCTCTGGTTGGAGCATTCCTGTTTGGACTAGGACTCATGCTTGTCACCTCGACCATCATGCCCTTCCTGGTGGATATCAAACCGGGGGTGGGTGCTTCTGTTGTGGCTGATTTGAACTTGGTTCGGAACGTTCTGGCCGCTATTGGCACTGTTTTGTCTCCAATTGCAGTCACAAATATTGGATTCGGATGGTGGATGACCATTATGGCCCTTCTATGCTCCTTGGCGGTCTTTTTGATCGTGATTGTTATCTGGAAGGAAGGGGCTGAGAAGAAGCCAGACTCAGAATCTGTTGTGTGAGACCTGTTGTCTGTAAAATAGATGAAAAATTATGAAATGACCCTGAGTACGATAGCATATGGATAGTACTGATCATTCTCTCTGCATGTGTTCAATCCACAAGTAGATTAACAATTCGAGTCAAAAATGCGTTCTGAAATATATTCCGGCAATGCCCACGGACTTATGACGTCCTCCTTAACGTTGTGCGCTACCTATATCAGCCCCGACTGTACGTTGGACATAGTGCTCTATTGGTATTTGAAATATGAACATGATTGGTCAGCTAATGGAGTGGGCTAACTAGTCCGGAATGTGCCATTTAGGGTTTGTCCCCTGGGCCAAATAATATATCCAGGGTGCAGACGGGCCGATGCGGCCTTCGGCGGTGTGCGGCGCTCGGTAGTTACCGTCATACGTAGTCTTACTGTATGAGATCTTCGCCAAGCGTGGCGAAGAAAGCTCGAACATCTGTTCAAAATTTGGCTGCCTGTTCATAATTCAATTTTGCCCTTTGGATCCTCTGCGATTGGTACCGAAGGTGGCGCAGCGTTGTATTCCAGCGGTAGATTGTCTGCGACAACTTAGGAAGACTTGGCACTTGGCAGTTTCCAGATTGGGTCGGGACGCCGGTCTTGATGATAGGAAACTCAGAACTTCGGTTCTCCTCAATATTCTATTTAAGTACTTCAAAATGATTGGCCTCGCACATTATATCTTCTGCCAAATTCCTGACAACTTTGGATAATGGATTTATACCAGAACTTCTTCCAATATATTATTACCCTGAGCTCCCAAACCTGAAGACTATTACGATCGATTCCAGTCCCGAACAACCCGTCTCAGTATCAAAATCACAAGATTGGAAGAGCAAAAATGATGACCAAATCCTGGATCCTTGCTGGTTGCATGATGTTTGCCTTCTCAAACGCTACATCCACGAACCTCCTTCAAGAACGCAACATTCCACTTAACCTGGCTCTGGAGATTGCAGAGTCTTCCGTCCAGGCCTGCGCCAAGGACGGATATAGCGTGTCAGCAGCTGTGGTTGGCCGTGATGGCATCTTGCGTGCTCTGCTTCGGGCTGATCAAGCAGCTATCCACACACCCGAGGCGGCGCGTAGGAAGGCCTATACATCTGCGTCGTCGCGTACGGCAACCAGCGCCATGGTGAAGAACATTCAAAATCCTGGCGCTTCTCAGCTTGTATCAATTGACGACTTCCTCATTCTCGCCGGTGGTGTGCCAATCAAAGTCGGAAACGAGACGATCGGCGCCGTTGGTGTCGGTGGTGCTCCCAGTGGTGATCTCGACGAAGCTTGCGCGCTGGCCGCACTCCGGAAAGTGGCAGGCAAGCTAGACTGAACTACCTGACAATATCCTGATCGGAAGCATGGCTTGTGGGCCATCGGCACATTTGACCTGTACCTTCTATAGTTGAAGTTTGTTCTGTTTTTGTACCAGAAAATGCTATGACATTGCTTTTATGGCAATGTTCACTCTTAATGGCAGGTACAATAAGCAGTTAACTGAGAGAGGTAATCGAAAATTGGATGTATAGACAAAGAAATATAGCTTGTTTCTTCATTCAGGTAGACGGCGAAAAACTGAACCATCTCATGAAGATAAACAACAAACGTTTGTTTTCATTCCTCACCGAGACCACTAAAATGATGCAATAATCCGCTCCTGAATGTTGATCCCGAAAGGGAAAGCATCCAAGGCATTTGACCTTAACTCGGTCCTTTCACCGAAGTCAAACCAGACCTTCGATATACCCCCCGAATCGGCGAGGCTTTTCAATATGCTCAGTGAGTACTAGAGCTTCATGGGCACTCAATATTCCCACATGAGATGGAGTGACTAGGAAATTACAGCGCCAAATTGGCCAGTACCTGGATGCACAAAGATGGATTGGAGGCTTTGTCGACACAGAACCCTGCCTACTCGTAGAATAATGGCGCTCGGCCCATCAAGGTGGTTCCGCATACCTACGATGCGATCTAGACCATACAGGCGATTGGCGACCAACTCATTTAAAGAAGTCTGAGTATGATATATCTTCATTTTCTTCTTTCTAGAACTCTTCAAAGTCAAGTGTATGCTCGATTGTGGCTAGTGCCTGGCCAACATGGATCTCACCCGTTCTAGTCAGCAGCCTCTTCAAAGACTTTCGGCATCACGTTGTTGCCTGTTGCCGATCAGCCGCCATCGGGATCTCGGAGCAAATGTGATTACGATCAGAATGAGAAGACAGATATAGTCCGGGTTATGCAACAAAAGGGGACCCGAGGGAACGCAAATCAATGGTTGCTTCTTTCTAACAATAAGGTATCCGTAGCTTTCAAAGTCGATGCGGGTACAACTGTGGGCCACAGATATATTCCGAGATAGAGAGTGGGGGGCGTATCCTGTCTGCGATACCAACGGCTGTTCCTTCTTGATAACTCTATGCATACCTGCCTCTCCAGAGTTTCGAACCTCGGATAATACTGAAAATTGGATTCTGGCCCGCTGAGCTCAGATACACCCGCAACTACTCTATCCATCAAATATATCCAAAGCCCAATTGCCTTTCATATCCTCTCTGGAGCCGATTTACGGCTTTGGACTGCCCTTTCGTGCTCCAAACTCGCGAGAATAAACGATGCAGTGCCATGGACGCTGTTATACAGCAAAGGCTGTGAAGTATAGTACTGGCATTACAATTAGCTCGAGCAAGGCAAATTGAAATTCCAAAATGACCAACCTCATACGAAGCCGTCGAATTCAAGCTGCAGACTGCGACCGTTCCGTTATAGCCCAAGGTCCCATTGCTGTTCTGTACAACAAATGCGTCCACGATGTGCCGGTAGCATTTACTTGCTGTATCGGTGGACTTTGCAGCTAACCGTTTCGGGAGATATCCAAGTCTTGCGGCTTTGTACAGCGCATACGTAAACATGGCAGACCCACTAGATTCAATATAATTTCCAGGGCGGCCAGGAAAGGTCATGAGTTGCCACCAGCACCCGGTCTGAGCATCTGCCGCGCTGATAACAGCATCGCTCAGCCGGACCAACCGCCGCTGAAGATATGTTCGCAGCTTCAAGGGTAAATTTGGAGTCTCCAGCTCCAATGTATCCACCAGAGCCATTAGGTACCAGCCCATAGACCGACTCCAAACATACGGACTGGCCCCGGTAACGGAGTTTGCCCAGACAGCCTTCTTAGAGGCGTCGTATCCGTGGACTAGAAGCCCAGTGCTGTTCTGCCTGCAATGCGTCCAAAGCAGGTCTAACTGCTTCATGATATCGTCGGCAACGGCTGAGCTATTGTCGGCAGCGAGGGCGGTGGTGTAGTAGGAGAGAAAAGGTATGACAGAGTACATACCGTCCAGGTAGCTCCATTGCGGGTAGACGAAGTACCAATACCCACCAATGATATTTCGGGGTTGGAGATTGATGGACTCTCGCAGCGTATCCAGAGTTACCTTCAACGTGGCATTATGGGTTTCTTCATATCTAGAATGGTACTTTATTACCGATATCGAGTAAAGGGTATGATACGTGGGACGGCAGCTTACTGGTGTAGCAAACTCTTTCCAGTCGAAAATCTATCCAATGGAATTTGGGTGTCCTGTGTGGCATTCAGGAGAAAGGGTACCACACTGTGCGTGCTGTCTGCCAGATAGTCATGCAATCGGCTCTGAGAGGATATGGGCTCCGGAGTATGGTAGTATTCCAACAGACGCAGGACGGCTGTCTGAAAGAATCCGACTTGAAGGTAAGTAGATGAGGACGCCTTAGGACCTGGAGGCATCATGGCCTGTCCTCGGTCGATGACACTTTCCGCCATCCAGGCGGAGTATGGGCGTGTCGTGTCTGCTGCTGAGGCCGAAGGAGTGTCTATACAGACGCTCAAGAGACAGATGAAGAGAATGCGCATCATGATGGCGAATAATTTGGTTGTGTTTGCCGCAAAATCCAGCTGTTTTGGATTGGTGTTCCTGGATCCAGGGATCGTTAGTAGCCCACAGTGGCCCCCTTAAGTGGCGTTTCCCACACCGCCTTGAAATGCTTGAAGTCTGACCACTGGCGCTCATTAAGCATCAATGTCTGTTCACAGGAGCTCGCGACCTGGTCGGAAAGCCATTATAGGACGGTCCCTCCTGATATACTGCCAGTGGATTCTTTTTCTGCTAACTTCCATATTACAAAGCTCACTCCTCCGATGTGTTGGGGTCGCGATTATGAAAATGGGGATGATTTATGAGGCTTTGACAGTGGTTCCGACCGGCGAACACGCACTTGAGCGAGGGGGAGCATGCACTTCGGTCCAATGAACTTGCGTACAATTCCAAATAGACAATAGAATAGGGTATAGCGGACTAACCAGGATTGGAGATGAATGCTATGGCCTCTATGGAATTAACCCCCACTAGGAATAGACTCAAGGGGGCGCTTACCACCCGGGTAATTCGTGGCTGAACTCGCTCGCATACACGAGCTGCACCTTCGTCGTTGGACACGACCTGAATGCACGTTGGACTCAGTCAGTGATCATCATAAGAGCGTATTGAGAAGATACGAAAGAGGATGAGTGGGAAAAGGCCATGGGCTCAATATTTGACTACACAGCCTGACGAGACAGTCCATCTCGAGTGGTAGAAGGATCTAAATGCTTGGTAGATTAGCTGAGGAATTCAGATAAACGGTCCGGGTGCGACCGCTTGGGAGTACCATTAATGCTTGCCTTGGAAACCTGGATGTAGCAGCAGCGAGGGTGTCCAGCTTAGCAAGCACATTCTTTAGGCTCAGCAGTATAAGCGTGCAGGATCAGATCGAAGATTAAAAGGTTATCATGTGCTCAGCCTGTCTATCTGCAGGATGGATATCAGGGACGACCTGCGAAGACGGATCAGATTGCCCCGTAAGCGCACGCAGTCAGTCCCCATCGCAGAATAAACTGAACATGTTGGTACCTCATCGGCATATTTGATATTTGATTTTGCTTGTTCTGCGTGTCCGGTATGCTGTAACGTGTTGCTTGCGAGGGTCGACGTGAGCGATTATGGAACTGGCCATGACACGTTTCCGGACCGTTGACGCCCGGAAACTTGGGAACAGGCCTTTGATTCTACCAGGGCGCTCGCTCATGTTAATTATCGATATTGTGGGTTTCTCCAAAGGCTATCTCGTCATCAGTCGGTGGAGCTGATGAAAGTGAAGAAAGGTCCGACTTTCTATTACGCAACACTAGAATAGAAAGTAGAATTAGAGGAGAAGAATGGGAGAGAAAGATAAGGATATCACCGAGATTAGATTAAGGAATACATCGATAAGAAGTGATGAGCTAAGTAATACATGGATGGGAAAGAAGAAAATCAAAGGAAACGGAGAGAAAAAGTCTACTTCCGATATCCAACATGATCATCCCGAAACAGACGCTCTTGCCGAGTAGCGGCGTCCATCTCACGGCGGGAATAAGCAGGATTCCCAGGGCCATGGGGATGGATATTACCCCAGCTTCTGGGCACGCGGGGAGGGGGGTTGTCCGGGGGCTGTGATTGCGAGGGGCGGCGAGGCGAAGATCAGCGCTCGCGATAGTGGCGAGCGGGAGGAGGAGCAGGTGGACCAGCGAGGGCGGCGGGAGCGGCTTCAGCCGGCTCCAGGGACGGAACAGTCGAATGCTATTCAGGTTTGTAACTTTTAGTATACATGAACACCAACAGTGTGTGTAGATGGGAGTTAAGAGGCAGGAAACGTACATGGATCACGACACGGCGACCGGATTCCTCCAAACGAGCCCGCAGACGAGCCTCCACGAGAGCCTCCACACGAGCCTCGAACTGAGCCTCCATGCGACCCTCCGAACGAGCCATCTCTATCGCGTGCTGGGCTTCCATGGCGCGGCGAAAGCGCTGGAAATCACACTGATTATTGCCAGCGCCTAATGTATCAAACTTATCAGTATCTCATCTAAACTGGAGTACGGATCAGAGAACTCACGATGTCCGGATCAGTTACAGTCGTAACAGCACCCAGGAAGATGAAGAACCTGCAGAATGAAATGATCTCTTGTCTCTTGGACGTGATCGAGTGTCAGCGTGGGAAGCGGACCTAGCATTGTTATGGAATTTTATTCTTACACACACGAATTCTAAAGGGATCTCCTCTCCATATTAAACAAGACTATTTCAGTTTCTAAATCCCCCTTCATCCATTTTGTAAATGAAAATTTCAAGCTCTCCTGCACTTACAGCACCAGTTTTGTCTCGGTGGTTCGCATAATCTTGTATGGTGCCACCCTTGTCCGTATCTGGCGATCTTATGAGGAGTATTCGACAATGCAACCCCTCTACCGGGGTTGCATCGTCGAATACCCCCTCTATCCATCAGCTGGTCTCCGGCTCCAATAGGCGTCATCAGACTCCTGTCCGACCCAAACCCTGATAAACCAGATCGCCCGATGCGTTTGATGACCACAGATTACTAAGAGCGTAAGCCAGAACTGCTCGCATTTTGCTCTAACTTCTACTTCAAGCCGAATGACTAATGGATAATATCCATGTTTATGTTCGTCTTCGCCCTCAGGCTGCCATCGCTCTAACTTTTCCGCCGTCGCAGAAGGTCAGCAGGTCTACTAACATTTGCTTTTCCTCCTTCAGCTACGCCGTGAAAAGCTACCAGAAGATTGAGAGGGCGATCGAATCCGTCTCCCTGGGCGATAACGAGAAAGTGGGGGACTACGAGGGAGTGAAAGCCTCTACCGGCACGAATAAGATTGCGAGCTTGGTTGCAACGATCAATACGGTCATTAACAAAAACATCCAGCTGAACAAGAGGGTGACTTCAATTGAGGTCAAGGCCCAGGCCACTTCACTAAGTCCCGGGAGAGGAGCAGGTAAGCAGGTTCGACTTCTCCAACGGGAACAGGGTCATGGAGCGATACGTGATGCAGGTTAACAACTTGGACGCCCCCGTGAGCCTCGCCAGAGGCTCAAAATCGTTCGCGAACGTGGACAGCAACAGCAGCACGAGGGCGAACGACTTCGCAGGCGAGCAAGCTGTATTGCTTTTCACGGAAAACCTTTGCCATAGCACCATACGACGTCAAGGCCTCCGAGAACCGGTCCACTGAGTTCCACCAGCTGGTCAACATCGACAACAATCCCCACCGCAAGCGGCCGAGCCTTCCAGAGACCAAAGAAAACCCCAAAAAGCGTCGGAAAGATGGAAGCCGAGGATTCCAAGCAGGCCAACGGTGGGCGAGAGGAGAATGGAGTGTCCGTGAGACAGACAGGGCATATGTGCGTGTGCGCGAGGGTGGGTGTGTGTCGAAATTGACGAGTTGAACGTTTGTGCAATAATGAAAACGGCCGGGAGGAGGTGAACAAGAGGTTCGAGGTCCCATGGGGATGTATCGACGCAACTGGAATGTGTTCCGCGATGGATCTGGAGGGTGTAGACTTTATGATGGCGTATTCCAGAGATGGGGCGCTCATAACCATAGGGAGGTGACCAGGATGTTAAGCTTTGCGCCTTGAAGAGAAGATTCATGCTTCAAGAAAGTGAAATGGGCCCTTCCTAATTGAATGGTTCTAAGTCAAGATGGTAGGTCGCCCGCGCCGGAGGACTGATTTATCAAATGAGCTGGCGTCTTGTGGTGATCGGTCTTGGTTGAAACCATCACTTGGACCGGCTTGTAATCCACTCGGGTTATTAAATGAAGAAGACTGGAATGGCACACAGGAAAAACAGTTGCTTTGGTTGCTAATTTGCATTGTGTGCGGGAGATGCGGAGCTCGAGATTGGTGTTCGTGAGGGCTCGCAGACTGAAAAACCTTCCGAATGTTGCGGATACTGCTTGGAGGTGACTCGGGCTCTCAATTTCCTGAAAGCTTCGGGAACGGATCACAAAATGCCAACGTGCAAGTCGTCTCATCTCATACTGTTGCATCTGTCGTCGAAATATATAACAAATGGGTTTTAGTTGTGGGGGTTTGTCGCGGGTCTTCAAGATTCACGTATCACAGTCGGCACGTGGGACCAGCCCGAATTTAATCTGATCATCCCGGAGAACTGCATGAACTCGCATTGGATGGATTCAAAACACTGCACATCGCACTGATGCATCCTTCAGGCTAAACATGTGTGGGGTGGAAAATGAGAAACGTGACTTCAGTCAGCAGACCTGAGCACCAGGGCAGAAATTCAGCGTTGTTGACCAGAGTCAACTTTTTCTCTCACCACCACACGCTCCATCCAAACCATCACGGTTATACCGATTTCTCATCCAATTCTACTATAATTCATCTGAATCTACTATAAATCACCCGAATCTGTCAAGATGACTCGACCAGAGGTTGAGAGTACTCGGGTTTTGCGAGGCACCCTTTGCGTGGCCGTGGGGCCCACTGAAAAGCTGAGTACCTCCCCCAAACAAATAGCATAGTTCGAGATGAGGGTATCGTCACTGATGAAATGACCCAGGAATTGATGAAACCTGATGGAAACCGGATGAAACGAGTTGCCGAAGATGAGGACACCGGTGAAAGTAGTCGAGCGGTTTGCCTGCCATTGCGGGATGTGACCAACACACTGGGAATAGAAAAGGGTACGGAGATCAATAAGTCTGATGAAAAGAAGCGCCAGCGGACCATGGATGTGGCGGGCAGTGGTGATGATGATCATGGAGTGGGAAAAAGGTCCAAGACGGTGGTGGATGGAACAAGCTCTGTGGAATAGTTCGGTGCGTCCGAATGTGTCGATGATCATGGAGAAGGAGGAAGCTTGAAGCAAGTTGCGAGAGGAAGAAGCTCTGTTGGATCGTTCTGTGCGTCTGAACGGGTTGGTGATGATGGTGAAGATTATGATGACGATGACGGCGAGGATTATGAGGATGACGACGACGCAATTGAGGGCATCTATCTCGAGGAGGGTGAATAAATCAGTGAAGACGTCGTTGTACCTCTGTGTGCCCTACCAGAAACTGTCGACCTCGACCACTTCTTGATGGGGATCATTGAACGCACATTGACGAAGCCAAACAGCCCGCAATTGGAACGGATGTGGAAAGAGACGTGAAAAGAGATGTGGACAAAGCACGCGGAGGAGGCGACGGCACTTCCATGGTGAAGCCCCCTACTCATATCGCCATCGACCATACCGTCTGGATATTGGTCAACGCAGTTCCACAGAAAGTTCAGGCATTCTGTGTCAAACCACAATGAGACATCCCCGAACTCTTGCCGTTTGACATTGTGGAGCTGGGGGATGGAACCCTCATTTTGTACGGCGATTTTTGTGTGAAACACATTCTTGATGATGAAGATGAAATGGAGGCATATGCCAGGTATACTGGGCGCCCTCCAAAGCGTATGAGAGGGTACGAGAAGGGCATTGAGGCAGCCGGTCCTGGCCCTCACGCAGTGCGGCACTATCGCTATGCTTCCAGCGACGGAGTCGAGTCGAATTTCCGAGACCTGACTATTTTCCCTTCCGGTACCGACGCTGCATACGAGCCTATTTAAGAGTCCATCTTCATAGTCCGCCTCAACACCACTCAAGATCGCATCGGCTATTATACGATGTATTCGCCGAAGGCATCATTTGAATTGGCAGCATCTATACGAGAAAAGCCACAGCTACCCTCCATCACCGCCATGGCAAGGTCTCAACGGAGCGTGGTCACTGTTGCAAGGAGTCCCCAGTGGCAGTATTTCGCAAAGTCCATCACCTTGCGTGAACTGCGGAGATATGACGTATCCTGTTCCCGTAGCTCTGCGGCTCTTTTTCAAGTCCATCGCGTGATGAAGTAGATGTGTAAAATCAGAATTCTCGGTCTATAGCTTGCTGATGTTCGCCACTAAGAAAATGATCTCACTCCATTCACCACCGACACCACATACACCTGCTAGCGCAAAGGACAGCAAAAACGCCATGATGGTCCTTATCAGATGACGATCAATTTTCACCGTCAATGGACTTTGGAACAAACTGAGTGGACCAACGATCATGTATTTCAATAGTCATTGTAGCCCGCAAATCGTTCGCGAGGATTAACAGTACATGAAATTAAACACCGACACACACACTTTCTCTGTTTCATCTCTGTCTTCTATTGTCATATCTCATCTTCCAAGTGTCGTCACTTCAACGGATCCCACACCTTGAATTCCCACCCGCCAACCGAGGAATGCCTTTTACCAATGCCAATCCTCTTGGTAAGCCCCGGTGGTACCCCATCAGTCGTAAAGATATCATCTAAACTCCTTATAGGCACCCTGGCCTGCTCGGGCTCCATGCGGTCTGCAACCAGCTGCTTCACGCTCAGTCTGGCACGAACTTCTTCGATGTCCTTGATGCGGGTAGTAATCAAGGCTGCTATGGTAAGCCAGATGCCCATTCCGATCATGACGCCCACGGATGCCACGAGAAAGTAGAGCGGCGCGGTGGGGACTCGTGCAACGATTTTCGTGGTGCGCTGCCAACCATCAAGAATCGGCGACGCCTGAAATGACCCGGAAACCGTCGACAGCAGGACCCGACTATACTCGAGCGCAAATGCGTTGGCCATGTCCTGTGTGTTGTTCGCTAGGATAGCACCCAAATCTGCGGCAGCGCGGAGCCTGATCTCCCCGGAGTTGAGGTTGCTCTCTGCCGCCATGAGCGCTGTACTCACGGAGCGATTGCTGGGAGTCGCCGTAAAGTCCGTAATGGAGCCGTTCACGGCAGTGTATGTGACATCGTTCACGGTGGTATTACAAAAGAAAAGATAGCCGACGCCGCCGAACTCTTGCGCAATGACCCCCAGGTCGTTATTCTGGATGAGCTTGAGGGCAGCACCGGCGGAAGGGTCCGTGAAGCCTCCAAACCCGACGTAGAACGGGTTGCTGATGGTTTTATCCAACGATGAGGCGTTCTGGGTGCCGGTGGCGTCGGTGAAATAATGCTTCGAGAAGTCCTCGCGCGGACCATTTACCAATCCATACCAAGCAGTATACTTGGCACAGTGAAAAAATGAGCCAGCTCCCGAAGTGATGTTAGCACGACTAACATCGCAAGCTGCTGTGGCAGACTGACACTGTGTAGAGGCTGAGAAAGAGGTGGCGGTGAAATCGTGTCCTTGAAATCTACCGTTGCTAGGGGATCCCGAGGAAGGCGTGGGTGCCGTCAGTGCTATCGACGACATTCACGCTTCTGGTCGTGGAGATGTTGTTGAAAACCTCGAGTGTAGTGATAGGGTTCAGGAAGTACCCGCCTCTGATACTTGGGGAGAAGGAGCAGGGGTTATTCCACTGATCGTTGTAGGTATTGTCCTGGGTGGTGCAGTTGGAGTTGAGAATCATGCTGTATACGGCCGTCTCGCTGCGCAGGGGGCCAAATTGGGTGAATTCGGTGGGATCCGTTTTGAAGTGTAACCATGTCTCTCCCACGAAGATCAGACCTCTAGTTCATAGCCATTCTTAGTATCATTTGGTATCTCTGGGCGCTGCAGGGGAATATCTCCTACCCGAAAATCAAGGTCAGGCAGGCAATTCTCCCCAGATTGAGTAATTGTGGGGGAGGGTTCGTCTGCTTCTGAATCTTGCTGAATCGAAACTTGAGCCACCGCCAGACACTGAAATACCCGGCATTTTCGACCAGGTCCAGTGTCAGGTAATATTGGAAGGGCGACAAAAGCGCGTCCGAATCGCCATCTCTGGTTTTGGTGAGCACTGCCGAAGCTAATGGGTACGCGGCTAAGCCGACGGCGACACTGGTCAGGAATCCAGCAACCAAACTCGACAGTGATGCAATTTTCATGAGTATTGTCGGGTTGATGTCGACATATAATGCTCCATGGTCATTCTGCTCGACTCGGTAGTGATAGATCAGGCCGAGAAGAACTGCAACGAGGGCAGCCAGAGGAAGGGTTAATATAAGAAATCCCAAGAAAATGTTCGCATATTTGCCGGTGATCCTTCGGGGTGGTTCCAAGTAGTTGGTTGATACGGTAGCATAAACCGGAGGAGCCATCGTGGGAGAGTCGTAGGATTGTGTAAGACTGGTTCAGCTCCGTAGCCAGTGGTGGGCGCTGACTTAGGCTCTTATGAAAGCCTTCCAAAGTCTGCCTCGTCGGCTATTCTTGACATACTTGCGAAGGTCCTGCTAGGCTGGCATAAGCTGAACGATCGGTCAAGTAAGCCCCATGGCCGAGAACGAAATCGGCTGGTGGCTGGGCGGCTAGAAATGCGCGATCTCTCTTTGCAACCAATGACATCCCACATTTAACGAACCTCGAGGCGCAAAAGGGTCCAAACTAGTTGGAGGCACACCCGAAAGCCAATCGGCCCCCGGGCACTATGCATTAGCGCCATCACGTGCAACTCCTGACAGACCAAGCATGAGCCAAGGCCATTCAGGGTCCAGCATGCAAGGAAATTCTTGGAGCTGAGGCTGAGCAGTACACTTGAACGTAGAGCAATGGGATCATGGAAGACACACTAGCTAATGGTTGAGCTACGTAGGTCTGGTTGGAAACGAACATATCATTATCATGCATTAAATGGCTCAGCTAATCATATAGACCTACGCAAATTCTCACAAAGAACGTGTAAATGCTTAGTATCTTTTGGTTCTACCCGAAATAATCCTCTTCGCTATTCGCGATCGCTTTGAAGTTGATCGGTATTTTAATGTCGAAGGAAGTCCATGATTCCTATCCGCTGAAGCTCTTTAAATGTTTAGTCTCTCACACAACCTATCAGGAGTCCAGCTAAGCCTTCTAGAATGACCATGGGTAACGTAAACCTATACATACCCATTTAGGTATTGAACTATACAGTGACGTGTAGGTATCGTTGGTCGGGTCATGGTCAAAACCCGATTGGTTTAAATATGTTACTAATGCTGCTATAAGCTAGGTATTTGTCAGGTAATATTTTGTTTTAATCTATTATATCACGTACTTACGCTATCTAATATCGATATATCAAATAAAGCACGTCAAAAATAGTCGTGTTAAGAAATCGGATTAGTGACCTGTGGTTCTGGGGGTAGTATACACAGATATATATCTCACTATAAAAACATTCGGGCAAGGTGTATGTTGACGAAGCCTGTTTGAATTGGGAGAAAGCCTATTTATTGTGCTGTAGATGGAAAATGGCTTACTATCTACCCACCGGCATAAAAATATTTGCCAAATCTCCAATATTATCTCTATCGAAGTCACTGAGCTGGGCCCCGTAAAATTCATCTGGTACAGTATGCGCGAGTACCGATCCCACAATTCTTGCTGAGGCTCGTTACCTCCGAGGGAGACGAGGTCATCATCTCGAGGGTTGATTATGCTGAAGCGTATGACGGTTCATCTCGATGCACTGAGGAGCGTTTCCGAAATTGCGAGCTTAGAAACGAGCAGCTTGCGGCATAGTATCAGAAGAACATTGGTAGACCTGATGTTATTTATATCACGTGGCCCTTTTCCAATACAGATCGATGTGTTCGCTCTGCACTATTATCCTGCATTGCATAGCAAGGGTTCGATGGTTCCTATTCGTACGCTTGGTGTGCTGATCAATACCTCAGCCAAATGACTCCTCGCTGGAGCCGACCGGAGATCCGCCCCTGATACGAAACCTCGAGGGAGAAATCGTACTTTGACGGGATATGATCTCATAATGGCCGGTGAACGAATACCTTAGAATCTTCCACTGTGCCATTCAAATCGAGAAATTACGGACACGGATCATGAGTTTACCTTGTTGGCCGTGCCAAGCATGCCGACCACGGGGGACGGAACCCTTGAAACAGCCCGCTCCGCGGTTATGGCATCCAGGAAATGGCAGTATTTAAGCGCTAGAAAATACGGCCCACAGCATCAACTATCGATATATAAACAAACTTCATTGATACGCATCCTTTAACACTCCTACCAAAGCAATCCAACCAAGATGGCTCCCATCCATGTTGGCTGTCCGGTTTACGACTACCAGGCGATCGACGTCGTTGGACCCTGCGATCTGCTCAATTCCGCGAGTAAGATGCTCCTGGAGGGTATCAATTTTTACGCCCCCGTGAATCCGAAACTCCTGGAAAAGGCGCCCGAATTCGTCTTCCACCATATCGGAGAGACCATGGAGCCGGTGCATCTGCTTACAAGCTCTGTAATAGTGGTGCCTACGGTCGCGGTGGACGACGTCCCCGAATTGGATATACTCATCGTCGGTGGGGATAACCCTGCAGAAACAAAGCTTCCTCCAAAATTGCAGGACCTCATTCGCTGCCATGTTGCCTCTGACAAGTTACTGTTTACGACCTGCACCGGAGCCGCGGTTGTTGCAGCCACTGGCGCTCTAGACGGCAGGAGGGCCACAGTCAACCACTTCGAGTACAATTGGGTAAAGAAGAGATACCCGAATGTCAAGTGGACAAAGGAGAAAAAGTGGATTGTTGACCGCAACGTTTGGACTGGGAGTGGAGCTGTGGCGGGGATGGATATGGTTGCCCACTGGATTAAAGAGACTTATGGACTGGACCTGCTCATCCAGGCGGCATTGTCGCTTGATTATGAACCAAGGGACGTTGACGGACTGTTCAATGTCTTGCCCCAGCGATACGATTTGACTGGAAACAAGATTTCCACTCATGTCTTTCCTGATGAGATCTGAGGTTTTCAATTCTGAAACTGCAGTTTCGCGGATTTGAGGTCTGGAGCTTGGATAACTTGTCAAAACTCTAAAGATGATGAACCTGTCATGCTAGAAAATGTATCCATCAAAGAAACATCGCACCAAAGCTTCTCATCTTCTATATTCTGGACCTCCGTAGCAATAGCTCTTTGTAGTGTGGGTAGATTCTGAGCCTGGGCGACGGGACGGCTCGAATACCGCACTCCAGGGCAGCGGTGCAGCACTCGAACAGATGAGGCTGTATCATTCGAAGACTTGAGCTCGTGGTGAGCATGGCGGCTATCATGAACCTGTGCGAGATTCTCTTTTGCCAATGCATAGGATGTTCTTACACTTCCTATGATCTCGGGCAACCTCAAAAAGAGGCTCTTGGTGGGTATTTGCCTATCTGGCAATGGCTCAATAGCCTGCAGATGAGACAACAGTATATCGATGTATTCCTGTAGATCCAAAATTTGCTGTGCAAATTTCACGTCCCACTGGGGTACTTCTGGCAGTCCCACGGACAACCTATATAGCACAAAGACTGTGAAAACAACCTGACACCACGCAGAAAACGGTAAGCTACCTTGCTCCGTAGCAGGGAAGGCGAAAAAGGAATCAAGATATTCTTTCGCAGAGCCGACGCAGTTGATCAAGTTCCTCATGACCATTGGATGTGCAGATAAGATGGTAGAACCTTCCTGCGCCTTTGTAGACGATGGTCTTCTCTGTCCGTAGCAGTATACCAAGCCCATTTCTTGAATCCGAATTTTGACGGCATAATAACCGTTGATCAGCAACACTAAAAATGTCAAGTCAGCTAAATTATAAGCGCTCAAAACTTGAGAAATTCCTACCCTGATTTCGAAGATCCATTGATAGAGACGACCACCACTCTTCTAACAACGTCGTGAATCTTTCAGCATGGATGTATAACCGAGGACTATAAATGCCTTCCGACCGATGAGTCTCACAGACGTCCTCAGTGAACTGTAGCACTTTTGTCATTGGGTGTATCAAGAGGTCTGTCTCAAATTCTGGTTGTTGCTCCAACATCATCGCGCATCGAAGCATACCATTATGAAATTGAAGATTGTTGGGCTTTCCCGAAGACAATGCTATTCTAGTGAAGTCAGCTCAAGCATATTGGCGCTTGTTACAGAAAGGGATTGGCACCTTACATGTTAGACATGTAATAGCAGCCTAGATAAGCACGCCATATTTCCCGGATATAAGGATTACTCAGCTCGGTTCGTGTCTCAACCAGCTCGGCAGCCTCTTGATCGAGATGAAGGTCAATGACCATACTGATTGCGATTTGTAAGTACTGGTATGCTTGTTGACTCCCTGGAACAAAGTGGAAATGGAACCTGATATTGATAAGCTTGATGTTGCCTCCGAGGCCGACAACTTAAAAGTGACGTGGGAACCGGGATCGTACCAAGCAAGGTGGACAAGTAATCCCTGGAGTAGGTCTAGATCCTTCTCGCCGGCCATGACAACCCGCTGGCTGAGGGATTCTTTAAATTGTCGGATCAGAGCGTCCTGAAGATGACAGTATTTCGAGGAGGCAGCAGTAACAGCTGCAAGCAGTAGGAATGGGCGCTCTTCAGCCATTGATGCAGCAGTACAGGAGTATGGAAGCCGCACAAATGGAAAGTAGGACGCCATGCCGCGGAACCTGTCTAGAAGATGGTCGAGGACGACAGGACTGAGTCCCAAGTCGGTGACCCACGCGACGTCCATAGCAGCGGATGAATTCCACGGATTTTTTAGGGTGTTTTCAGTGGAATCTTGATTCTCGCTTGACAGAGGGCCTTCGCCCACTTCAGGATTAGGCAGGTACTCTTGGCTCATCCATTCAGCTGTTTGGTCTGGCCTGGCGCTAGAATATTCAAGAATTGCAGGCGGTTCAAAATTAGTACCAAACGGGGTTTGAACTCCACAGAGGGGAGCGCTCGAGCGCGAAAGAAGGCCCATAATATCAGTGAGCTTGGACTCAAGATCGACCAATCGCCTTCATCTCCTTTCAATAAGCACAACTGACCTGTTGACTAGACAGCTCTCAGGGTCACTTACGGTTTTGCTCGTCGTGAAACTCGAGCTCGCTGTCTCAGCTCTGGAAATATGCATCGAGAGTTTGATCTGGCACATCTACTCAAATTAGCGTTGGATTTGTTTTACGGTCAGGGATGTGACGCGCACTTGGTACAAGACTGTCCTTCTCCGCGTCGAATACATTTTACCTTGAGGGCACGGCATTTTTCACACGCGGTTGTCGCTTGCTTCCGCTGAGGAGACAAGTCTAACAGAACTGCATTATCCATTGTCAGTCACTCAGATCTTTCGTGATCTTGATGTTGTAGGCTCTAAGGCCGAGGGGCTTCAATGTGCTAAGACATTTTAAGACACCACCAAATCAGGCATTCCAGCTGACAAATCCACTTCCTGCCCCTCATCTGAGTGATACGACATGAGAGGGCGCATCGGTGTTGAAAGCGGGTCTCGCCGTCTCCGAGTCATCTGGCCTCCTTGAATTTCACGATACCGACGTTATATAACATATTTAACCTGAGCCTCGAAAATACATAACCATGTCAGCTTGAGTAATGCCATAGTGTCTTGATGTGGCTGGCTAGAGTATGTACATAGGTAAACTTCGATTATTAACGTAATTCACAAGCGAGCGGATCACCTACCCCCATTGCACAATTTCAAAATTGATTATCTTAACCAACACCCATTAATTTAACTAGATAATACAATTTTACATGAAGTAATCCTATGGCCAATTCGGCCACATCCACTGCAGGTAGGCGGAGCCCTCCTGGCCGGTTGAATCGGCTGATTAGGCAGATCAACCTCCTCACGCGATACTACCTCATCAGCTTCTACTGGCTTAATTGGCTGCTGAGCTAGCTGTACTCCGTAGACCCTCTTCGATTGATAGGCCCCTTTCGTGTGCAATCCGCGTAGTCGATCGAGTGCGCTTTTGACGTTCCTTTTCATTCGCTGCGCGTAGATCAGCGTTCTCCTTCACTAATAACGCAGTGTGATGTAACGCTTGATAGTGGCCCTTGAGAATCTGATCAACCACTAAGTTCAACGGACTTGGAGGGCTTTTTGACCGCCGATCTATTAGATCTTTCATCATTTAAGCCTGCTTTTGTAGCTGGGCTACTGTTCTAGGCGTTTTTGGTGTGAATTAGCTAGATCTGCTGCTTAGTCGGCTTGATAGTGGTGAAGGCGTTCAGAGGGAAATAATTAGCTTAGAAAGCACTCTATCAGCATTAACTGGTACGATACTAGTAGCTGTAAAGCTGCTTTGAACGATATTCAGCTGAAAAGCATCTGCCCTTGCGCGTGGATAGTCTACAAGAAAATCAAGCTTATCGATATGATTACAGCTAGTACGGGCTAAATCGCTCACGAAGCAACCGTAGGCACGCTTTAGTACTGCAAAGCACCTAACATTAAGCGGTTAAAGTAAGTAAGACAAATTTAAAGGTATACAGAGTAGTATAATATTATTTTCGGCACAGATTCGATCGAATTGAGGTGTAAGATGGCTACTGTGCCCGTTAAGGACTAATAGCCGACCGTAGTTTTCTGCTTGTATAACCACTATTTGCGATAATATAAGGCCTATTGCGAATCCAGTCTTATCAAAGTTGTAGATATCCTTAGGTTAGATACCGTTCTTATCAATCGCGCGTTGCACTATCAAAAACCTCTCTTTTATAGCCTTTAGATCCTCGTTAAGAGCGCGCTAGTAGTTATATCGCCTAGAGAAGCGTGTTCGAATCTCATTACGTCGTTTAATGAAATTTGATACCCAATTGATACCAACAGTCAGCGGAGGGGTGATTCCACGCGCTGCAAGAAGAATATCGGCTATTTTTCGTACAGTAGCACGCCTAGGCGTTGCTCCACGCGAATCTTCGTCTAATTCGGCCAATTTATGCGAGTTTGCGCGTGTATTATTGCGCGATACTCGGTGATTAAGACGCGTATGTAGTGTGCTGTAGGGTATATCGTATAGCTTCGCTGCTGCGCGAATAAATTTGACACGACTATTTTTAATATCATTAAGGGCTATTAGGATCCTGCCCTCCTGATTGGCCGATTTCTGCGAAAATTCAGTGCGAATTGGTGGCATGGTAGGCGGTTGAATTAGGTAGGGTGGTAAGAAGACGCGATTTTGGGTGGGGTGATCCGCTCGCTTGTGTGATCCGTTCGCTTGTGAATCAAGTTAGTTTAGATAACAGGAAGCTAGGCAATTGGGCACCCGCTGTCCTATCAAAATCGTGTAAGCGCATCAGCGTATGATATTTTACGTTGTCTTTGAGAAACGCGTCGCTGGGTGTGGTGTTATAGCCGGCGGTGAGGGCTCGTTTCGTTAGTGGATTCCGGCTATGTACTAGGTGTGATTCCTCATCCTCGTTATCAAGAACAACTACTTCAGGGGAATGATAAAATGTAGCGGGGAACAACGGAAGCCAAAAATATGTATGGAGAACAGATAATAGAACGAGAAATAGACTTCAATATGGAAATCCACAAAAGGCAGTATTGAACGTGGAAGGTTCAAAATTCCGGGGGGGAACGGAGGTTTGCACGACACAATGTATGAACAAAGGATTAACCCTGCAGAGCTCGGAGACAACCGAACACGAGAAGAAAGGAACGTGACCTGGGATCTAACTTAGCACTAATGAGGGAGAGGCTTGGCGGGAGAGGAGGGTGTGTGTTTCTCGCTGTGTTTTTGGCTGTCAACGTCGGCGTCGCGCGGCTGTGGGGTTGGTAAAACCCTTCCACTCCGTTCCTCCATTTCAGGGCATATATCCGCGCGTACGTATATATAGCGTGTTCCACTTCCTGATAACGAGCTTAGAGCCTCGTTATGGCCTGCCGTGGCCTAATTGCCGTTACTATCATCAAGCTGCCCTCGCGGCGCGCGATTTCTGAACCGTTATGACGCCTCGGCGAAGTACAATACGGCCTTAACCGTCGTCGCCCTTAAGACAGTGTCTGTTTTACCTCTCTTACCTTCGGTTGAGGACCTAGCAGAAACGAGACGCTTCTAAATGCTTCCCGTACATTCCATAACTCCCATCGAATTTCCCTTAGTCCTAGACAGTCCACCAGCACGTACGTAACTGCTTCCTGTGCGCTGCACACGCACTCGTCCTCACTGCGGAAGCCATAGGCCTTAGCGTAGGTAGATGATCAATTGTGACCGGTGCGAACCTGTGCTAATAGGTATACGCAGGCTCCTATATAGCCTTCGTGCGTAGGTGGCCGGCAGGGCCGTCGATCTTCCGTAGATAATTGCCTTTATTGGATGACCTCTATTCCTACTCTAACTGAAAGGATACTCTACAGTATAAGCTAGTCATCTTGATTTTATATATTTTTCGACGAAATACTTCGTTAGTATTGATAAAGGATCTAGTCGGATAAATTTACAGTACATCATTATGATTATATAATTCCGTACATAAACATAGGCAGACCAACCTCATATGACAGTAATTCTTCTTTTTCAAAGTTCGGAGACCCTTTACCATCTTTCTTTATATACTTAGATGCGAATTGTCCCTTAGTGTGATGGTATAAACCCTGATGTTATATAAGAGCTAGAGTAGGGCTTTAAAATCCAGGGTACTACCCCAATCCATAACGGTGTGCAAGACCTACAGACATTTAGGGAATATAAGACATTAATTATTGTATAAGAAATTATCTTGTGTTTTGGACTACCTACTATAGTATTTCAAGTGCATATTATTGGATGCAAGTTATAGCACACTTCTAGGTGAATAAGTAATATTCTATATACCCTTTAGCTAATGCCCTTTATATAGGGCATTTCCTTAGAGCGATAAGAGTATTCTGACATATCAGACTATGTGTCCGCACAGAAGCATTACCTAACTATCAGGCTGCTCGTAGTATGATTTGCAATGTATAATTTCCTTCTATTTTGAGAGCTCTCCTAGTGTCCTTTCATATTTACGTTTCTCAAGTGCAAGATCCTCTTGTAGCTTGAGGATCTGTTATTTCAGTCTTATAATGTTATGCTTTTGAGTTCAGTATCAGGGAATAGCAAGATTTGGTTCTAAGATAACCTACTAAAAAAGTAGACTGGATATTTCGTGTTTGTTGTTTTAGAGAACTTTTTCTCTTGATAGCTTCAATTGATAAGTTAATGAAAACTCCCTTAAATTCCACAAAATTATAGCCACGTCTATATCGAGGGACTTTATAGGTCGGCAATTTGTTATAATAAGCGATAATACTGTTCCGCTTAGGGGCATTCTTCTAATCTTGATATTGACCTATTGTGTCGGAGGGAAAGGGGAATCAAGAGACTGACGATGTTTTTTCTATAACGAGCAGAAATAGCTTATGTAGTCAAATATTTATTGTTCTTTGGTTATCTATGAATAACAGCTTAACTCAGAAGCATTACCAGAATTCACGCTTTTTATTGTATGCAATAGCTTGCTAACAGGCAGATAGGACTGTTGGATGATAGACCTGGAACTTAGTGTTATGTCAGCATGGATCGGAAAGGGATTTACTGGATACTAGCATAATTGATATATAGTGTAGGCTCTCTTTTGGCGTGTGGTAGGTGTGTCGGTGAAGCTTTACAGCAAAACCCTGCGCTTTTCGGTTTACTACAGAGAAATATGTTCGAGACTGATCGCTTATTAGTGTTGTAAGAAAGGGTATACCATTGAATGATCGGCCTTTATAAGTACCCAGGTCGTTGCATTGGCCTCAAGATCCCACGGGAACGCTCCGCCGAACCAGTGAGAAGTAGGGCACGTTTGGTCGTCCAAATCGTTCTACGAGTAGAGATTACAATCTTTCCTGCTATCTGGATGAACCTTCAATTTTCTTTTCCTTTTTTACCCTGCCATTCCCGGTCGTCGGCTCCTTGTCCATCTTCTGGAAATATACCCTCTTACTCCGCTGCCGCCATCATCTTGACTTTGCGTCTCTGATTCGCCCAATCATAAATGCTCCAACTGTGCAACAGAACTGATGCCTTTCTACTTTCGATACAACTCACTGCCCGACCATGCCTAAGACTGAACCAGATGCGATCATCTAGTTTGATAGAGGCGGCTGTTCCAAGCAGGCATACCAAAGTGTGCGCTTCTGGAGCGGTTCTCATCCACGTATCCATGCTTCCACAGGATACCGCAAATCGCAGCCTATCAACAAGAACTTGTAAAACGTCCATGGAGAATGGAGCAAGATATTCGTGGTCGTCAAGAAACAATAACCAGAAAATCAGGGCAGCCATGTGGCAAGCCTGAGTTATTGCCTCGGTGTCCGATTCGAGAAAGTCGTCATTGGGTTTTTGCCCGGTATATTGGGGCTCAACATACAACAACAAGAGACCTTCTAATTTTGCTGCCCACTTCGCTCGGAAACGGGGTTCATCTGACCCAAAGGAGGTGACGGATGCAATCTCTCCAAATATCTCGATTGTGCTAGGGGAGAGGTTATAGTAGCCTCCTTTCTTACTGGCTGCTCGACGGAGAATGGCGCAGATGAAATAACTGGGGGGAATAAGAGGAGTTGGAGGGATGTCTAAGAATGGTATGTCGAGTGTGGAGTCCATAATAATGGCCTCGGAGAGAACACCTCTGCAACCAGGAAACAACATGAGAAACCGCTTATCGTCGTAAGGAATGACTTGTAGTTGGAAATACGTACGCGGTGATAACCTCTGACAGGAACGTGCCAAGGGTGAGGTCCGCGAAGCTGCCCTTTGCTTTGATCATTTTCATCAACGCCATCTTGTGAATGGAAGATGATCCTTCCTCACCAGAGGCGGCCTGAATCGGTCAGAAATAGCCTATAGCCTGGGGATGGAGACACTACTGCAACAAACATACCGAAAGAAACACTAAAGTTGCAACACAAGCCATGAGAGACTCGCTCAATACTGCATCCGGGTCATAGAGTCTCTCCTGGAGCAACTGCAGTGCCACGGTTTGGTGATATAATGTTATATTGCTACTTTCGGCACCTTGAAACGCATCCAGATGGGCTGATGCGGCATAAAGAGTAGTGTGGAATGCACAAGGGTCACCGAGCGCGTGTTGGATCCACGTCGCCCTAGAAAAAAACGCGATACTCCCGTGATCGACAGGGAGCGGGTCCATCCCAAAAGTCTCAACGACTGTTGAAGATAACAGTAAGCACAAATCTTACCGAAAGATGTTCAAAAACAGGATCTGCACTATCAGGTTGTCTCTACTTACACGAATGAATAAGCATACGCATGTGGGGTTGTGACTCGACTGGGCTTGGTAATGCGCTATTCAACCGGCCGATATCAAGCGAACGAAGAAAGGAAGCACTTGGGCCTTCGGCCACGAGAGCCTGCTTGGGATAAACACAATGAGGATACAGTCTGTTGACATTCGTTAGCTGTTTAAACAAGTTATTAGCTTCACTACCACCAGTGATACCTTGAACATCGCCCGCAGGTTGGCCATTGTCTGTCGCATTTTCGTTTCCTTGAGCAACAATTGAGACACGCCCCACTAGCCCTCGCTTTAGCTGAGGCTAGGGGTACAATCGCTGCTTGACTGACACTGTTTTGATTGTACAGAGATAGTTCTGGCTGTTGATCCATCGTGAGATATGGCAACTTGGGACAGCGTAGGCTTCTGTCATCTTTCACATTTTCCTGAGCTGACAAACGCGCAGCCGTTTTGTACCAGCACTGTCGTTTTTGTCTGGCAAAGGTCAGCGAGTTTATGGAGACAGCAGACCAAGAGTACTCACTTGAAACATGCCGTGCAGCTGGGAAATAGGCGATCGCATTTTCTTTTCTTTTGGGCGCAGGATAAGCAAGCGTATTCCGCAAGCGGGTACATCTTGGGCGTGACAGAAGCAGATTGGACTCGAAACTCGACGATGGCGAATGTCGAGAAGCAAAGCGTACAATACAACCTACAAGATGCACCGAGTCTTTGAACGTTTGATAGGAGGTTTATCAGCAGGACAAATGCAACACCCCTGTCCCTTAGGGAGCGGTCAGAAAAGTGTTTCCTATTTTCTTAGCTTCAGTCAGCAAGCTTGGACCCGCTTCCTCCGGCTAACCAATCAGACATTATATCGATCGGAGGATCCACCAATGGCCCGATGCATAATTGTTGGGCCTACCAGATAAGTAGACAAGGAGGCCGATTTTCAGTAAGGCACAAGGGGCTCGGAGCTTCCTTGGCTGACCTTTACGTAGGAAGGCGTCAACCCTTGATGTTTACTGAGACCTCGTTTGCCTGTTCACCTCTCAAATTTCAACTCGGTAATAATCTAAAGAAAATTAGGTTCTTCTTGAGTCAAATCAGAGAGCTTCTTTCCGAATCGAGGGGTTCGGCTTGCCGTTCGGTCGCGTCCCGAGGCGCTGGACCAGCATATGTAAACCGAAGCAGACTGCAGACTAACATTGGGGTGAAACATACGATTGGACCAGCTCCGTCGCCTTGATTCTGTGTCTGTTGCATTTTCCATAAAAGGCAGTAGCATTACTAAGCCAGATATGCTCTAAGTTAGCCTACTAAAAGCCAGTCTTCTGCAACCCCCAAAAAGGGTCCGACTATTGAACTCCAAACCCCCAGACCCCAACCCAATCCCTCAAAAATCTCAAAAGACCTCCCAAGTCGCATAAACTCAAGGTCTTGGCATCTCTAAAATCTGCGAACTAATCACGATTTAACTCTGTTTTTAAACCTGTTTTGGTTCTACTTTTCTAATACTTTATGATTTTACTTGACAATAGTGAAACTCTAGGTAAACTTATCGAACTGGATGTATATGCATATATACCGCTCGGGCCTTTCAAAATCTTCTATGCTCTGATTGCTTATGTTATAATACACCTAACATGAGATTATTCACACTTGGGTGCCTCAGGCTCCAAGCCAACGGATCGGCGGCCTTCCGGCAGCTATACGCTAGCACGTTATCAGTACCAAGGGATCTTATGCAGGGGAGCTCCCTTTAGAGGACTTCACAGAACCGCGTGTTCTACCCCGCTTCCCCTCTATGTTCAAGGGTAGATCTCCCCGTTTTAGACGATGAGACTGTATATAATCCACTCCCCATGAAAGAGCTTCACGCTCCTCAAGATACAGTTTTTGACCTTACGGAGCAATCTGACTTGGTTCCTTTCTCCTACCTGATTGACAGGCCTCTATCCTGACTTATAGAGTATATTCTTACAGCTTAACATTTTATGAATTGACTGTCAGGAGTGGCTTGAATTGATGAGCGACCACCGCGGTGTGGCATTAATTATAATCGATGAGAGATGACCAACCTTCATTTCAGAAAGCATAGCGGTGATTTCTCCGAATGGTCTAGAGTCAGATTTCGTAATCTAGGAAAATATGTTGCAGTTCTAAGCCGAAAGGAAGGATTAAGTACAGGTTGCTAGTAATTGTAGAGGATTCTATCCATATCCTCTCAATGACAGATTCTCTTGAGGGTCACAAAACTCCCGAAAACTACCAGCTTCAGTCACATAACTCTTTCCACAATGCAACTCCTCTCTGTATTTTGTCTCCTTATCCTTGCGACTCCCACTGCAAAGTACTGGAATATCAAAATTTACAGTGACACTACCTGCAAGAATTACATCAGCTCTTGGAGCGTTGGTGGCGACCCGTGGACTTTCGGTTATAACTACGATATTCACTGCGCAAAGGTTACCAATGGCCCCGATGGTGGATCCTATCAATTTTGGTCGGACGATGGGTGCCCAAAGGAGCTTGGAAACTTCGTAATAACTGAATAGCGTTCACTACTTCGGAGCCTAATTTTTGAGCGAACAACTACTATGTAAAATTTTGACTGGTCTCGACTTCATTAGTCAATGGGCTCCCTATAATATTTCGTGTACTGGCCACGGCACAATGTTCTATTGTTCCTCGTGCCCAGTACAGTGGTGTACATACCAGCGCGTTGGAAACGCCTTTGAACACCCGATTTCAAAATTCTCTTGCTTCTTCATACTTATTGTTGGCAATAATTCCCTTACCGTCATGGATTTCGACCTACTCGCACAGATTCTGTGTACGGCGATCCAGTGATGCTGCATTCTTCATGAACTCGAATTCTGAAAAATAGCTTCAGGGAAGGGACGAAATGGTGGCAAGCGCCCAGCGGGAATGTTGACCGTGCCGATCGTTGCCGAGTCAGGAATTTGTAGAGACCCCGTCCCCACATCAGCCAAGCGTTCGGTCCGCGGCGTCTAGTCTTGTAGTGATGCCAAGCACTTGCTGCTCAGGAACGAAGCCGCAACATCTGAGATACGTCCTGCTCTATATATGAGAAGTACCAAGGTTGTTGAAGATAGGCTGCAGTGCACACTGGAAGGTTGACGAGAGTGTAAAGAGGATGAAATTGTCTAGAAGGGCGAAGAGGTCTAGATAGCTACGAGTGGGGCCGCTCCGCCCGCTTGGCTGCCACGTGACCCACAATCTATTTCCAACAAAGGTGACTGGAAATCAACGTGGACTTCACGTTGTATATATATCCTCACGCATTTCCTCAAGAAGAATGATCAAGCTTCCTTTACATTTCAACTAGTCTCAGAACTGTCAGTTACTCCACGGCGGCTGACCTGGGGCGACTATTAAGGAGCCAAAATCACGGCATGATTTCACCGCATACCTAGATCTTTTTCACCTCCCTACCAGGCTACCCTGGCATAGTCCTTACCAGCTTTTCCAATCAATTGTAAAACCAGGTTCAGTCACCATGCTTCACACTTTCTTGTCTTATTGTAGACAGCAGTAAGGACGCCCAATATTTCCACTTTACTTTACTCAGCTTAGTTCGTGTCGTCCTCCAGATGATTCTCAAGCCTTCTTGACAACATTTTTCTAAGAGAGAGTGAGTGCTTTGGATGATAAGTCTCGTAGATCTCCAGTTTCGCGAATGACCGAGATTGGGCTAGAGTCAGGATTTCACCATTCCAGTTCCTTTCGCATCCAGCGTCAGATTTTGGATCCACCGTAAGATTTTAAATACAATTTTCAGCTACTGAACTGTATATCTGCCACACCACACGCGGGTATTAAGATATTCCAGGCACGACATTTCTCCTTTCTCATCTTCCTTTTCCTTGTTTGCTGCTATTCTCCTCCTTCTGTTCAACACCGTTCATTTGGAGGATCGCTAACTCACAATGTCGGTTTCAAAGGAGGAGCAACCTAAGGCCGACGTGAACCTCACTAACCACGAGGAGCCTCCAAATTTCTATCCCATAGGCCCAAAACTCATCCTCATCACTATCAGTTTAATGTTGGCCGTCTTCTGTCTCGATCTTGACAATACGGTATGATTTAAACCCCCGTGGTCAACGATTGCAGCGCGTTGACAAAATCACTCAAGATCATAGCCGTTGCTATTCCTCGCATCACAGCTGAGTTTCACGCGCTCGATGACGTTGGTTGGTACGCGTCGTCATATCTGTTGACAACATGCTGGCCAATAAAAAAGGGAATGACCCTAAGATAGCTTTTCAACTATTATACGGAAAGTTTTATACGCTATTTCCGGTCAAACAGGTTTACTTGACCGCATTATTTTTTTTTGAGCTGGGTTCCCTCATTTGCGGCGCTGCGCCTAACTCCACTACATTTATAGTTGGATGTGGTATCGCTGGCCTAGGAAGCGCTGGCATGTTCAGTGGCGCCTTGGCCACCCTAGCGCATACAGTTGAGCTTGAGAAAAGACCAGTCTTCTTCAGCACGCTTGGTGGCATGTACGGCCCGGCCTCGGTCGCTGGACCATTGGTAAGATGTCAGCCTATTGGAACATTCAAAAATGCACTTCTGAAACTTCTCTAGCTAGGTGGTGCATTTACCGATCATGCTTCTTGGAGATGGTGCTTCTATGTTTATCTTCCCTTTGGTGGCGTTACAGCCATTGGACTTCTTACTCTACTGAAGCTACCCCCGAAGGCAAAGACTCAGAAGACGCCCATGGATATAATTTTGCATTTGGATCCCATTGGAACAGTCCTTTTCGTCCCCGCTATTGTTTGTCTACTTCTCGCACTTCAGTAGGGTGGGGTGACTTACGATTGGTCGAGTGGCCGTATCATTGCCTTGTTCGTGGTTTTCGGTGTCGCCATTACTACATTTGTCGCGCTTCAGATTATCCTCGGAGATAGAGCGACGGTGCCTGCCGAAATTACACGTCAGCAGACGATTGCATTTGCCTCTTTCTTTGGTATTTGTGGGCGGGTCATTTTTTGTTATGATCTATTACATTCCTATCTGGGTAAGTTGCATCGCCCCTCTGATGGGATGCTATTTGTTAACTTGTTGATAGTTTCAAGCTGATTACGGAGTAAGTGCCGTACGATCCGGCATCGAATCCCTCCCTATGATGCTATCTTGCGTTTTTGGTATCATAGCAGCGGGTGGATTGACGACCCGTTTTGGATACAACTCGCCCTTCTTCATCGCTAGCAGTATTATCATGTCCATTGGAGCCGGTCTTATCACTACATTTACAGTCGATACATCTCAAGCTAGATGGATCGGATTTCTCCTTATTTATGGCCTTGGAGGTGTGGCTGCTCAGCCGTGCTCCCTTTGTCTAAAGTGTCCATTGGGACCGCCATTGTTTTGTTCCTCCAGCTCCTTGGCGGATCCTTGTTCGTCGCGGTCGCGCAGAACATTTTTGCTAAGGAGCTTATCAGTAACCTCGAAGCCCTCCATATTTCTGGCTTTTCCTCATCCGACGTGATAAATGTGGGAGCAACAAAAATCCGAGCTATTTTCAAGGAGTCTGAATTGCCAAGAGTACTTGTGGCTTATAACGACGCGCTAGTAAAGGTCTTTCAGCTTTCTGTTGTCCTCGGTTGCTTGAGCATTATCGGAGCTCTGGGCATTGAATGGAAGAGCGTGAAGACTAACAGGGCGGATGAAAGGGCCGGTTGAGAGAGTTTTGACTAACTCATGGATTATGCAACCCCAGGATCGACCTTATACGGTACAGGGGCCTCTGGATAGAATCTGGCATTTGTGGTGCCCAGGATCTCTAGGCTTTCCCTAGCAGCAAAACTGAACAAAATTAATCAGCACTGATCATGTCAACCTTGATACCTACTAAAATTTCCTGGCACATTTCACCCCGTAGTCTAGAAACATTTGCGACCAAATCCTTAAGCTAATTTTGAGTTTTGAGTTCAACCCATTATTAAGTAGCGAGGCGGAGCCAATGACGGGCAAAGTATGTTCTGTGTTGGATAGCACAATTGGCAATTGATAGCCTGTGGGGTTTAGAGAGCTGGGCGACATGACAATCAAATGAGTCTATGATTCTATTCGAAATTTCTAGGCCAATCTCTATATTGCTGCTTCACCAAATCAAGGGGGCTTTATTGAATTTATTTCAATTAGCTTATCGATGATATTAATAGTTCTCACAGACACAACGAAATCAAATAGGGTATGTCATGTGTCCAAGGTAGTTCGAGCATCGTATAGCTGAGTTCTATTCGTAATATTTTCGGATACTATGTTCAATATGAGTTCTGATTCAATACAGCAGTGTCCATTGTATACCCAGCATTCTTGAGCTCGGATGCATCACTCGGTTCTCATGGGTGTTCTTGTTCAACAGACAAGATAAGTGCCTCCTCAGACGGGCCCCGAACTGTGATTGAACATTGGAATGGAGCTGGATGGCTAATAACACCCGGCTCAAATCTCGGGCTCTTTACGATAGGATTTCCATCCTGTGTAGCGTTGCTAATATTGAAAAACCGCGAGGGTCTGTGCTACGTTTAGGTAGACTGTTTTATCCGCTAAGAAGTGACCGGGATATATACGGCATCCGAATCCAACGGCGATGGAGCGCGGGTCCAGTTCTGGAATATGCCCCTCTATTCCTAGGAACCTTTCTGGGTTGGAAACTATCGGGTCAGAGAAGATATTTAGGTCGTGTATCATAGCCGTTCGTACAGTGTTAGATCCTTAGGCTAGCAGAAATATATTAGACGAAATACCAAATATTAAGTATATTAATAGAGCCCTTAGGAATAAAGTAACCTCCCTAAATATCATCCTTAGTTGATATATGAGATACTCCTCTAGGCCCAACAGGGGGCTAGCGCAAGACCTCCTTGACTACAGCATTGATGTAAGGAAGACAAGAGCGATCCGCCATTTTGGTAGCTGTCTATACCCTAAACCTCGTTCAATTGCATCCTGTGCTCTGTGCTGGATATCTGGAAATAAGGCTATAGCAAGGAAGAAACATACAACAGATAAGACAGTCTAAGTCTATCAGCGTCTGACGAAGGGAGGGTAGAAGGTATGTTTTTTTTTTTCGCACTGACCGTATCAGCACCCCCAGTGTAGAGTAACACAGTATTCTATTTTGCGATGAGTTCTCGTTCCGATCCCGGCTTAGGAACTCCCTGTGTTTTGAAAATATTGGCTAGGTATGATAGTTTATATATACTATTACCTAGCCGTGCCTTGACAAATGCGTAGGGACTATCTGCTATACCTGTCCTTTGGTCCCTCTATCCCTTTGCTGTGCGCTAGAAGCCTGCCCCTAGGAGCTATACCAGGATATGTTTCACTATCTGTATCAGGCTTAAAAGTCTTCTTGAAAAGGGAAGTTAGTCGTAACACTTATATACGGGGATAAGGTCTACTATCCAAGCTCCAGGGGCTGCGGCTTTGACGAAGTTATCGAGCGCCTTGTTAGTAATATACTCTAGATGGTCACGACCAAATAGCTCAACGTTGTAGCTATAAGCGATATTCAGGATAATAGCTCCTGCTTTTCTAGACGTATTAAAAGCTTAGTCCGTAATCAAACCCCCTAGCAACGCAATAAGCCTCACGTTTTTATGTGCCGGAGGAAATTATTTAGCTCCGAAGAACTCGCAGCAAGAAGCGGTGTACTTCTTTCTCTCGAAAAGAGTTGAATTGCATTACAGCAAACTCAGATTTGATCGATAGCTGGAAAGCTTTACGATAGGCACGAAATCTCTCAGTATGGCCTTGGAAAATTATGCCGTCCTCCCACCCCACCCTATTCTTAATCGTCAGTTCCTGTATCGATAGCAGGCAAGCAATAGCTACTTAGATACTCACATCTCCGACGCAAAGACTATTCTTGGTCTTGACGAGTGAATCGCTGAGCGTTTATTTAATAGATCCACTGCCGGTTCCAGAGCATTGACAATAACGATTGTTTGCCCCAGTACTTCCAGGGAACTAACTGGGTTTGAATCCTGATAAGTACAGATTTCAGGACAGGGGTACTGTATATCAAAGCCAAATCCACATTTGACAAGTAGGGTAAGTACCGTAGACCTCTTTATGCTTCATCCAATACACCCATTCCCGCTCGCCTTTGGGGGGCAAATCCATAATGCTGCCCAAGATTGGTTTGCGCTGAGGGCCTGGTGGAAGAGGACCGCGCAGCCTCCTACCTAGTAGCGCTCTTTTGAAAACATAAAGAACCAGTAAAGCCAGGGACAGAATCGCTATCGAAGGAAAAGCCATAGTGCCTCCGATAGTGCGAAGGCTCTCGAGTACAGCGAAACAGAGGACCCGGCCAATAATTTTTACCTAGCAGGATCAGCGACAAAGGGCTTCTTTCTAGGTCCATTTTATAATGTCTCCCATGTGATTATTTTGCTTATTTATCATATCGCCCGCTGCGGAGTCATTCTTCGGGGCCCCAGAGAGTTTGTGGCACAAGGCCTAGCTACATTGGGGAGTTGTATATCCCCTTAAGTTCTGTTGATTAGATAACGGGCCAACTTTCTTAAACGAGGCCGTCAACTATTATTCATCTCGGTCCTTTATCGGCTGGTTGGTGGGGTCTATCTAGTATCTCTTGATAGCTCCTTTTGCTGGACCGAACAGAGTGATCGGGCCCTTTTGCTGTACTCCACATTGCTTGATCGGTGGTAAGCCTTCGCTTCGGAAAGTCTTATCTGTGCGGTCGGGTTTACAAATGAAGCCGGTAAGAAGGGCTACGGAGTACATGCTGCGGAGTACATGCTGCGGAGTACATGCTGCGGAATCGATAGCCACATCGGGATGCACGGCTTTTAGATGCTCTATTTGTCTAGGTCAATGTAGCAAGTGACTTTCTGATAGCAAATCAGACTAGTCGCCGGCATTCTATCTCCGTTCAAGCTTGTTGCACTATACGAACTAGATGGTAAAATGATGATAGATTCCTCTGCGTCTGGCTAATGCAGTCACCTTCAGTAGCTGCCCGAGACCCCCTCTGGATAGGTTTTGGTTCGAATGCTGCCGATATTCTTAGAGGTCCAGCTATACACCAGCTTGCCCAGTATGAATCTGCTCCTGTACGGCCAATTTTGGGATATCTATTGCTCATGACCCAGCCAAGAAACCCATCTAGACAATCTAAACAAAGACAAACCTAGGTCGCTCCTCTCTAGGCAAATAGCAACTCTTTAGGCCACCCTTTGAAATCACAGCTAGCGAACCTCCACCAACGCTGTTTTTGTACATATACATCCATCGCAGGACCAATTCGAACATATAAGGAATTAGGGGAAAGTTCTTCCATACGCCATCTCCGAATGACTTGTCATGTGATATGATGCTCAGTAGGAAGATGTTTATCTGAAATGCATGCCATTAGTTATCATAGAAATTCTCCCCACTTCTTTGCGCTCTGAACGAGAAAACTCACCCAGTATTCATATTAGGCCATCATCTCCTTTAAAGTTTTGCCCACCTCCTTCTTGAACCAAGCATCCTAGTCTACCTTATCGTAATTTTCCAAATTGACCAGTGTGTCTATCTCGTTCCCAAGGTGACCGTGAAGCTCTGGCATAAATGAATCGATAAGGTTCTTCGCTTTTTCTCCATGGAGCTTCTCCTTGCCCCGTATCACCGTTTTCAAGTATTCTGCGTATTGCGTGATCCTATCATGAAACCCAGCGTGCTCGTTGGTATTGACGTCCATCAAGCCTGGCACCCCAGCGATCTCGCCCATTGACGGGAAGAGCGTGCTATCCTCACTTGTATGATGCTCGTGAACCCACTCTGTCCACTGGAATGCGTAATTGGCGAAGTCAACCTTGTCCGAGTCAGTTCCTCGTGTCGCGACATTAATGCACTGGTTGTACACCGAATTGATCGTGCGAATCAGGCAGTTTTGGACAATCAACATCTCCGCCGCCATTGCTCTGGCCGGAGTCAGTGTCTTCCCTACCTGTACCATTGTTAGTCACACCGCCTCCCGGGGTTGGTATAGTCAATGTAGCTGTTTCGAAGCGCCGCTCCTGGAAGGGCTAATGAGGGTACAGGGGCTGTCGACCCAAGGCTTTGATTCGCCCATCTTGTGCCGATATTGGGGATGTAAGTGAGGAACGTATGTCCACTAAGCAATTTCGATTGAGAGGAGTGTAAGCTGGGATATATAAAGATATTTCAGACATGCTGCCATGACAGCTGGACGCTCATGGAGCCTAGAGCCTGGATTAGCGGGCGATGCCCTGGAACCAGGGGTTTCCCTTTTTACCGTAAACTGTAACAAAGTTGAGCTTTCGCGAATCTTAGATGTGGAGCCCCTGACCTCAGCTGGAGGGGACGCCTACCAAACTACCGGCGTTATTTGTCCTAGCTGAACTCAGCTCTTCCCCACTTCAATATTCTAAATCATTGCCCAGATCGGGATAAAGCTTCAAAGCTGACCCTGCTCCAGTCTCGCACTGGACATGCCAAAGTTGGTAGAAAACACGGCTATCGTCTTAGCGCGACCGGCGTCTACTTTGTATGCGTTTCGACTAGATTCGGAGGTCTCTGCGCTTGCTAGTACTACTAGCCGAACCAATTGAATATGTCAACTCAAGAATTATTTGTACGTGATTGTCTAGATTAGTGGTCGATAATGAATTGTCTTAAAGTGGGTCCAAGGTACCGTCAGACTGTCAGCTCTGATTGACCAGAAATCAACCCTAGCATTGCAAGGATTTTGAGGCGATAAAATAGATCTCAATAGCCTATCAATAAACGAAGTCCGTCTCTTACACGACCGCTAGCGTGCGGGCAGCCGTGCATCGTGGCTTATCGGCCACACCCTTACATTTTGAGATAGGGGCGGGTTTCTAAAAATTCAGGGTCTATACAGTAAAGGGCAGTGGCTAATTCAGACTTTGAATAAGGCCTCAATTAGAATTATATGTAGAATATGAATGTCTTCGACACTGCTGGTATAATGGCCGTTAAAAAGCCCCTAGGAACATTGTCCTCTGAAGAGCGCTTTCTCAATGATATATGCAACGCCAGCAAAGTCTTGGGTGTATCTTACTCGGAAAAACAAACGAGAAGTGTTTTGAGCAATTTCAGCAAAGGTTTTCATCGGGGCTGTGTCCTGTGGGGTACCACTGACCAGTCAACCGGAAACTTGAGCTATCGCATTTACGAGCGCCATAGTATTGACGTCCTGCTCTTGCCGCAAATGCCGGTTTAGTTTTGAAAGACAACGGCCTTCTTTCGCTCGTCCAATCCTGGTTGAGCGTCTGTGGGGAAGAGGGCCAGCAACTTGCTGACTTCGACGTGACCCGGGAACTTGTCAAATTTTGGGTGTTCCTTGGTTCAATGCGGCCGGTGGGCGAAGTCCTAGGCATCCTAGGGTTACCTGCATGTATCACAGGGCACCAATATATGTTTGAGTACTTAATTCCCACGCATTTGAGATATGTTGCGGTGGATTTGGAGAGAAGGCCTATCAATCTTTATTTCCGGACCACTCAGCAACTTACACGAGAAGATGTCAATGAATATGTCACCATTTCTGGAGAAAATCCCATATCGATACTCCTTTTGAGGAAACAAGGTAGCAATTTCCGAGATCTGGAAGAACCCTTGCTGTTACAAGGGATTTTGTAACGGGGAAAACGTCCACAACGACCTTCACACGTCGGAGTTCAGCTAGAATTGGGCACTGATCAATGTATCGCCACATCGCGTTTTGAAAGCGCAATTGCTGAGTGAACAGACCGAAGCTAGCGAAGAGAAGCTTTCCCGCAGGTATTCTTGGATAAGTAGCCTCAACAGGGGACGCTGTTTTCCTCTGTATCGTAGCAATGTTCTCGTTGATCTATAGCCACCTGCAATATCAGATTTCGTATGGTGTTAGACGGAAATACTGCTTAGCAAATCATACCGCACACCCATTGGTTATCAACAAGTCCAAATTGCTATAAAGCCCCTATCTGGCAATTTAACTTAGTTTGTTGACGTGGGCATAATAATGACTAATGCATGCGGGTTTGCTCAGTTAACTAACTTATAAGTTAGTTATTCCTTCTTCCCGGGGTCCACGGCTGCTTCTGTTCCGTCGGTGTTAAGGTTGCACGGGACCGCCGGGTGTACGACACTGTCGGGAATTACGTAGCCTAGCTAAATATTATTCAGCCGTAAGCTTAAGAATAACGTACAACCTAACAAATACCTAAAGCGGATTAGCCGCGATGCATTGACCTTGACCCTCGGCCTTTCCTAATCAATTTTAGTACCACAATCGCCATTTTTTGTGTTTGTGCCCAACGCTCTAGCCGTAAGGAGTCTATGCACAAGGGGCTTATTTTTAAGTCGGTAATCCTGAAATACTCCCGTAGCACCAATTATCCAATCAAAAGCTTTGGAAGAAACAATACGAGCCCGTCGGCACAAATGCAACGTTCAATCCGATCACTGGGGGTCCGCACATTCTCCTGACATACTTAATGAATCAACCGCAACTGCGAAAACGCATTTTTTTTACTCCGTGGGCAAAGTCTCCTGACACCCTTGAAGAATCAAGCGCAGCTGCGAAAATGTCAATTTTTATGACCCTTGGCAGAGCAAGTGTGACGCTCGCCTTTGCGGGTGTGGTCGCATCCATCTATCGAGTATGGCAAATCCGTCGTCTATTTCGGAAGGCAGCCAGCGAACACGGAGTGGTACGTAAATTCCCTCTATTGGCAGTTGATCAATATCCTTCTAATCCTCAATAGCCAATGCTGCCCCATTCGTGGATTTTTGGACATTTGCTCCACATCGGCAAAACTATGGCAAAATATCCTAGCGATATTCATGGCCAATATATGCCTCTCCTCCTTGCCAAAGACCACCCGGAATTGGAGGTACCTGGACTCATGTACATCGATTTATGGCCTATCGCGCCCCCAATGCTAGCCGTATTCCATCCTGATATGATGGCCCAGTTCACGCAGATCACCTCACTGCCGAAACATCCGTCACTGGAGAGTGAGTTCAGGCCATTCACGCAACTTAACGATTTACTCAACATGTCGGGGGAGAGATGGAAGACATGGCGAGGTATATTTAATCCGGCATTTTCAGTCAAAAATATTTTGTCGCTTATGCCCGCCTTCATTGAGGAGATTGATGTCTTTGTCGATAGACTTAAGGTCGCTGCCGAGTCTGGCGAAGTCATTAGACTTGAAGATACGGCTATTAACTGCACGGTCGATATCATCGGCCGAGCTATCCTGTATGCCCGCGCTTTTGATATCACCTTCTATAATCTTCTCTGACAGCCTGCAACTTTTTAGTGACGTTCGTCTACATTGTCAAGTGAAGAGGAATGAGCTACAAGAGGCACTGAAGCGACAGATTGCCTTATTGTGGGCAAGCAATGCTCCCGACCAGCTTGTCATGGCTCTCAACCCACTGCGCCCATTCCGCATGTGGAACAACAATAGGATCATGAAAAACTACCTCCGACCGCACATCGAACGAGGAATTCAAGAGCATCTGAGTGGGAAATCAACTGGACACAACACCATCCTCTCTCTAGCAACCAAGGCTTTCCTGTCTAAAAGAGATTCTTTCAACGCAGTCGGGGCGGACGAACAATTCATGGACATCGCAATTGCCCAAATAAAGGTCTTTCTATTTGCAGGACACGACACTACAGCGACAGCTCTATCATACTGCTACTACCTCCTCAACAAAAACCCATCAGCACTAGCCACTCTGCGTGCTGAACACGACGCCGTGCTCGGGAGTAATAAAAGCACAGCACGAGCTCAAATCGCCGCCAACCCAACTCTGCTCAACCACCTCCCTTATACATCGGGCGTCATCAAAGAAGCACTGCGCCTTTTCCCACCCGTCGGCTCAATTCGCAGAGGCCAACCAAACTTCTACCTAAGTCACCCAGAAACAGGGAAACAGTACCCTACAGACGGATTTATGCTGTTTTCACTAAGCCTTGGCGTCCAGCGAGCAGAGGAGTTCTGGCCACGAGCCACAGACTTTCTTCCTGAGCGCTGGCTCGCAAAAGAAGGCGAGCCGCTGCATGTTCGGAAAAACGCATGGCGGCCTTTCGAGCAGGGCCCACGGAACTGTATCGGCCAGGAGCTGGCGCAAATCGAGCTTCGGGCGATCCTGGCCCTGACGGTGCGTGAAATGGATATTGAACCTGTTTTCCCCGATGACTCGCCTGTTGTGTTGGGGGAGAAGGCGTATCAGGTTATGGAGGTTGGCATGATTACAGGACATCCGAAACTCGGAATGCCAGTTCGGGTGCAGATGAGGGCATAGAAATTGGGAAGGCTCATGTAGAAGTTCCTTTTTTTTGAATTGTTACTTTGGTATTTGCGAATTTTCATGTTTTTACTAGGCCTCCACACGATGCGGTCTTGAATTCAGAGGTTAAGATGGAATTTCAGTGAACCGCGTTCCCTTGCGCTCTTTAAAATCATTTTTCATGGCGAGGGACATCCGCGCCAGAATGCGGGAGACGATTGGGAATGGCGGGAAGCGTTTTTGAAGGCCTCTTTGGTGCTGACGGGGAAGCGGTGTAGTGAGAACGGACTGGGCGAGATATGGGAAGGGAGGAATTGCCCATGAGGAGAAACTGTCGATGCTGCGGATCTCGCACAGGACAAGGAGAGGCACAGCGGAGGTAGGCTACTGAGCCAAGTGGAAGGGAACTCGCTAGGCGAAACCAACCGAGGGCGGATTGGATGGAGGGGAGGAAATTCGCGTTCGGTTTGCTGCTACCCAAGTCGGAGGGTGTGGCCACGGAGGATCGCAGAGAGATGGAATATAGAGGTGGTAAAGTCACACGATGACCCAGCTCGGGAAGTTGATTGAGAAGGTCCTCGGAGGGTCGTCGACCTAGGGCGGGGGGGGGGAGGCCGTGGTCGACTGAACGCGCGGAAGCTGTCGTAGCGAGACAAACTCGCTCTTGGAGTCGTTCTTGAACTCTGGTAGCGCGGACGGTCGCAGCAACATAAGGAAAGGTTGATTACGCGGCGATAGTGACGGCTTTCAGTCTTGTTTTCTTCTATCTCCTACTTGTAACTGCGAGACTTCATGCTCCACCACAGAGTTAAGCTTAGCATCATCCTCGGCCGGGATATCTTCTTTCCGCCCGGCCCCTCATCCACATCCATCGACGAGGGTAGCTGGGCTAAGTAGAAAGCTCAGGGGAGGGAGACTTGCAACACTTTGAAGTGGCATAGGAGATGACAGTCGTTCTTTTGTCTAGACCTAAGACCTTGCCCCTACTAGGCTATCTAACAGCTCATAGTAATAATCCTCACTACTTTGGTCGGCAGGCACTCTCAAGTTGATTTTAATATAGAACAGCTTCCTCCCGTAGATAATTCGAAATATTGATCCGCGCAAAGCGCGCTGCAACCTCTAGTTAATAAAGGGGGGGGTTTCGGAGGACTCGAGGAGGAGCGGAGTTCCCGGGCGAAGGCTAGCCGCAGGGGGGTCGTCGACCTCCATCTAGTAGAGACGGACGAGTAGTTGTAGGGTATAGGGTAGATCGTGTACTGAAGGTCTCTCGGAACCTAGTATGTACTTTGTTGACTGCCTATCGGACGTATTGCCCGACGCTCCTGAGGCACTGAAGTAAGTAGTATGGCTTGGCGGAGAAATTTGATGGGGCTAATGTTAATACTAGTAAGGACTTATGAGATTTGCCTTCCAGACTGGTCGATTTTTGCTAGGATTCAGAGCCGATTGGTAGTATGGTAGGTAGTTGAACAAGTAGATATATAGTAGGTAGGAAGACGCAATTTTAGGTAGGGTGTGCCGAATGGCCGTGTGTTCCGGGTGCTTGTGAATTACAGTAAAACGTGCTGTGTCTGCAGCAATTCTTGTGTATGAAGCTAGTGTTGTGAAAGTTTTTGTATAGTCACTGCAAGTCGTTGTGGTGTGAATAAAACATCGAGGAGTTCAATAAAAATAGATCTATGAGTGCAACTATAGCTACAGAAATATCCCAATCGCTCTGCAAATGTTTTGATTCGGATCGCTAGCCAAGGAGCCAAGAGACACTACTTATTCTTGGCCTAGCGCTAAGAAAAAGGAAGGGGAAAAAACAATGAATAAAAAGGGATAGAAATAATTTAGAAGGAAATAATATAAGAGGAAATAAAAGTACCGAGAGTTTGAAGCGAGGGCTGTTTGGAAGTCATCCGTCAACGCTATATAACCGGCCCCTTACAAAAATTACATTTTATTACGGACCCCCGCTACGCAAGGGTCCTACACAACGAAATCATTCACCTTAACAATATCGTATCTCAATCCCCCTCCCTTCGCAATTCGCATAATTTCTCAACCACTATAGCCGAAGTAGATCTCTCGATTAAATCACATATTCAATCGGCCCTTCTTGACCTAGAGGACCAAAATAATAGGAGGGCTATGCGGCCGTTGCTTGAGTAGCTCTTTAAGCGATGAGGCTTGCTTTTGTAGCTGAATCACTGTTTTAGGCGTTTTTGGTGTGAATTGGCTAGATCTGCTACTTAGTCGACTCGACGGTGGTGTAGGCGTTCGTAGAGAGATAGTAAGCTTAGAAAGCACCCTTTCGGCATCGACTGGTACTATTCTAGTAGCTGCGAAGCTATTTCGAATAATATGCGGCTGAAAAGCCTCCTCCCTTGCGCGTGGGTAATCAGCTAAGAAATCAAGCTTGTCGATATGATTGTACGCATTGCGAGCTAGATCGCTCACAAAGCGACTATACACGCGCTTAAGCACTGCAAAACACCCAACATCAAGCGGTTGTAGTAGATGCGATGAATGCGCAGGCATACATAGCGGTATAATATCATTTTCAGCGCACATTCTGTCGAATTCAGGTGTGAGGTGGCTACCATGACCATCAAGGATCAATAGCCGATATCGACCACGCATACGCGTATTAGTCGATGGAATGAATAGCTTTTCTAGCCAGCGTAAACCAATCTGATCGGTAGTCCAACCGTTATTCGAAACCTCGATTCGCCAATCGCGCGGTAGGTCTGGTAATTCAAACCAACCAGCAATATACACCTGGCCCTTAAAGATCACATATAGTGGTAGTGAATAGCCATCAGCACTAATCGCTTCGATCGCAGTGACCCATTCGCGATTCCTAGGTTGCAGTAGTGCCCGCCGACTATAGTATTCTACTCGTGTAACTACCTTCTGCGCTGATATAAGGCCCATCGCAAAACCGGTCTCGTCGAAGTTGTAGATATCCTCTAGTTGTATACTATAATCATCGATCGCACGCTGTACGGTCGTAAACAACTCGCGTATCGATTTAGGGTCCTTATTCAATGCGCGCTGGTAATGTATCGTTTAGAGAATCGTGATCGGAGCTTATCGCGTCGATTAACGAATGATGATAGCCAATTTTTGCCGACAGTAGCTGGTGGTGTCTCACCACGCGCAGCTAGTAGTATATTAGCTATATCTCGCACAGTAGATTGCATAGGCGCTGCTCCACGCGCATCTATAGAGATAATCCACTCAGTAAGCGAATCCTCTTCGCATTGAGTCAGTGTATGACCAGATGGGCGTTTATCGACGTGTGAGGATCTTCCCTGTGTGCGCGCGTGTAGTGTGGAACGCGGTATGTTGTATAGCTTCGCTGCTGCGCGAATAGAGGTGATACGGCTATTATCGAGATCATTAAGGGCTAATATGATCTTGCCCTCTTGACTGGCCGATTTTTGCCATGATTCCGATCGTTTTGGTGGTATGGTAGGTGGTTGAATAAGGCAGGTATGCAGAAATACGCGATTTTGGAATGGGTGTCCCGACCGGCTGGGTGTCCCAACCGGCTGGGAATTACGTTACAGGCAGCATTCTTAGTCAATACGGCTAAATCGAAGATCCGACAAATACTAAGAGGATGATGGCTATGTCGCTACTCCGTACTGTACAAAACATTACACACTCCCCCTTTACTCCTGCCGTGTTTGTCTTGGTTGCCTAGATTGTTGTTTGGTAGTCTTGTATAAGTAGCTTTCTCTGGTAGTGCTGGAGCCTTCATTCTCGCTCTCCCCAGACGTCCAGAGTACAACGTGCTCGTATCTCTTTCGCTCTTCTTTTTGATCACACTACCCTTTATGGCTTAGGGTCTTCGACACTGCTATTAAATACATCTATTCTTGAAACATGAGCTCTATGCGTCGCCCTCCTGATTCCACCTGGGAGCTGTTTTATCACCTCAAAACCTATCTGAGCTGGGGATATGTTATCTATCGTACAACCTACACCCCTGAATCTGAGCCACATTTCTCTGCCGTGATCAAGTACCTCGAGGCCTGTATCAAAGAAGAATTTTTTGAAGAATGTGCAAAATATGCTAGCAACGGGGGAGACCCTGCGATATATGACGGAATATGGGCCCAGCACAGTTCAACTGTTATTGAAGATGCGGCACAGTTCAATGGGGCATCGATTGATGCAATTCGCGCTCACTTCGAGGCATGGGTAGATGCACAGGGCCAACGTGATAAATTCAACAAATATCGAATGTGTATCGTTATTGATGAGGAATGCCTCCAGACTCTACTTGGTGCATCGGTAGAGACCCTGGACCAGGAAGCAGAGCTGGTTCAAGGTGATACTGTGCGGTATGTGAAGGTTGTCGAAGCATGGCCGAACTTGGCCGACTTTGAGCCCTTTCCGGGATGGATGAAGTGTTGGCCACTCGCCTTATGGGATCTTTGGACGATGATGTGTGATAGTGATGACATGGGCCTGTCTTGGAGCAAAATCGATGATTTTTGCCCGGAGGTGTATTGTGGATGATGAGAATAGAATTCGAGCAAGCACAATAAGATTTGAAGAGAGAGCGTCTACTCTGTACTGGGGTATACTAGCTTTGTGTAGAATTCCTGTTTATAAGGAAACTTCCTTAGTTCTGATGCAGACTCGACCGCTCTGCACCTCTGTTCTGAGACGTGCACTCTATATTGCTGTAAATGGGGGAACATTAGCCTTACTCGCCTCTATAGCAACTTGTGCTGGGTTCGATTTTCACCGCCCGCGACTAGAGCGCCAGCAGGCGGAACGTGACTTCTAATATAGAGTATGCTGTCAGCATATATGAATGAGAAATACATCGGACCCTGAACAACGCGAACATATAATTCTAAGAAAGCTGAAGATGCCGCCTATAGTGCATTTTTGGCCTATTAGAATTACCATGTGACTGTTCCGTCCTTCGATCCACTACTTTAGTCCGACATATGCTAATTGAGTGACCAAATGATATATAGACATTGTGTGGATGGAAACACATTACTAAAGGCTAAGAAGGCAAATATGTGGCCGAAACTGGCAGAGTACCGAAGTGATCTATGTAGCGGACAGAGTAAAGTCTAAGTCATGATATTTCGAGATATATGCTTGACCCTTAGACAGGGAAAAAAAGATCGCCTCAAGTCAATCCAGACCGACCGATTTCCGTATCTGAGGCGAGCCTCCTCAGGCTCGCTAAAATATTGTTCACTTCCTTAGCTTGATCGCCCGTCCGAACCGCCTAGAATTGAATTATCTCTTTCGCCCACTTCTCTACTTACGCGCGGACCTCCGCAGCACTGTGTTTAAGGCTGTCTCGGATCCATTCATCCCACCAGTCCTGGACATATTCGACAACATTCCCGGCATTCTCCTAGGCTTCCTCTGCCCGGCCCTATTCTGCCCGAATTATGTTTGCCGTTCTTACTATGTGGGAATTGACCAGAGGATGATTCAGGTACGCGATGATAGTGAGAGGTTCCCGAAGCCATATAAGTGCTTGTATGGGGTCGTCGGCCTTAATAGCAGCCTTTATTCTTTTATCGGATGTGACTGTCCCAGCGCGCTAGACCTGGATAGAACAGTAATTAGAATACACCCACTTAGCTGAGCAGATTCACCGGCACATACCCTGGATTTGACGTTATTTAAACGGCTAAGCAGAAGGGTGAAGTCTGCTCTGTTTTGAGTACTTCCTAATGCCTGTATAGCGCGCGAAATGGGCACCGCGGACTGGTCGCCGCCTATTATGACGGGGGGATTTGTAAGGATTGGTGCATTCAGTGCCTGCCTGATGAATGTTGCTGAGAGCCGGCTGTTTCTCGCTGTTGCTCTGGAAGGATGTTATGATATATCCTGGCATGAGGTTATTCCCAAGTGTTGGTGCCTTAGGCTTCCCGGGCCTGATAAGCCGGCAGGCCTTCCCCATGTGTTGGTGCATCAGGCTTCCCGGACCTGATAAGCCGGCAGGCTTTCTGTGGAGGCTCGCTGGGGCTTCGGCATCAGTACGTGTACGAACTCCTGCAGGGAACACCCTTAACAGAGGTTACATAAGCCTCGTGTTTCACCCCGCTCCCATTTCCCTACCAAGGATATATCTCCTTCCTGTTTGAGCGATAAGACTGTATATAAATTGACCTATGTTGAAGAGGTTTTACAATCCTCAAGAAACAGTCTTTGACCTTTCTACACTATTGACTTAGCTCTATTTCTCCTACCTGATTGATAGGCCTCTATTCTGACTTATAGAGTATATCCTTACAAAATAGCACTAAGGACCTGTTCTACTGCCTCTACCGAAGGGGCACCGAACCCTCCCTGTATCGCGGAAGAAATCCTAATTGCGACCGACTAGGGTTTAACCCTAACCGATCTTAATGCTAACCTCGTAGCTACTTAAGCTACTATAAAAAAGCTGTAGAGGCTTAAAGATTTATAAGACTAAGCCGAAACGCTTAGATTATAGCTTATAGGACGAAAACTAGACGAAACTCTATTAAACCTATACTAGGACCCCTACGAATTATTAGGAAAGGGTTAAGATATTAAGCTTAAAAATATTCCTACGTTTACTCTTAACTCTTTACTATAATAACAATAAGAATAGCTCCTAGACCTCTAATAGTAACTCGAAGGAGATTTAAGGCGCTATTACGACAGTCGGACTTAAATCCTTAGAGTATTAAGCTATATAGATATAACCTATTAGTAGAGATAGTACTAATATATTAACGAAAAGGTACTAATTACTAACTAAAACCTTAAAGAAGATGTCGGATTTACAGGGTCAGCATAAATCCTTCTGCGTGTACAAGCAAGCAAGCGTGCACGGTTGGTCAAATCAGTATACGATTGGCGAAGAATCGTATAGGTCAAGTCAGGTCGTCGTACGATTCGGCTCAGAATCGGAAGTTAACTTATGATAGAAGAATACTCCAACTTCATCACAATCATTAAACTTGATTCAACTAGCTATGGAAGACAGGCAGTATTTATAACTTCATGAAATCGAGGTAATACGTTAGACTAGAATCTCATGGAAATCAGGAGAAATAGAGTATTGAAGCTCTTTCGTTATATATGCAAGTTGTTGATATCAATCGTTGAAGATCGTTGTCACGTGGACGTTCCGTCGTATTCTGTCAAGTTCGATAGCATAGGCTTATACACCCACTCATATCGACACACCCCCTCAGCTCTTAATGTAAGGTCAAAGTGAGAGCTGAATAAGAGATATCAGAAGGAAGGGGATTTCTCTGTAGGTAAGATCTCTATACCTAGCTACTGAATAAAGGCAGTATGTTTTTCTGCAGATAAACGCTTTGTAAGGCCGTCGGCTATTATTTTAGCCGATTTAACCTATTCAATTCGCAATCGTTTAGCTTAGACTTCCTAGCGAATCCAAAGCTAGTGGATATCAACATAACGAAGTTTGGTCTGAAATATTGATTTCTCGCGCGTAAGCAAATCAACTGTCTGCTGATTATCGCATTCGATCATATCTAATTAGTCAGTTTCGAATTAGATAAAGGAAAAGAGGCGTTTGATCTAATAGAGCTACTTAGCCGCGTGGCTAATAGCTAGCAATTCGGCTTCTGTAGTCGACGTAGTGACAGTCTTTTGCTTGCGCCATTTCTATTCAATTAGGCTACTAAATAAGCAGAAGATAAATCCTTCAGAGCTCTTTCGGTCAGGATTGTTAGCAAAGCTTGTATCTAAGGCGGCAGTAAAGATAGAAGCTCTTATTTCGCTATCAAAGCAGAGCGAAAGGTATCTCGTCGTATAGAGATACAGTATTAAATAGTCGACAGCTACCAAATACTTCTTATTGCATCAAGTAAGCGATTTAGCTAGCAATTAGTTAGCGAATACAGTATCTAGTCGGGTCTAAACAGCAGGGAAAAGGGTAGATCCACACTAAACATATTCCGGCCCACCCCCGGGGGGGGGGCTCATAGTAAAAAAGTCTTGGCAAAGGGGGGGGGGGTGTGTTAATACGCCCCCCCCCCCCTAAGTACCCGAAATCTTGATATTTTTTGATCGGGTTTTTTAAATCTTTTCATCCGATAGCGGGTTCTATCTAAATGTCATATAATATTCCAGGATTATCACGTCTAAGGGCCTTACCCTAAGGGGGGCCATTTGGCTGGGATTTTTTTGATGGGGGATGCCAAGGCCAGGGCCGGCGGGTAGGCTATACCCGATTGGGCCTGCCAGATTGCTGGGGTTGCTAAGCCTAGATTCGTGGCCTTAGCAATCAGGCCGTAGTGGTCTCCATTCGCCAGTTGCTAGCCAGCCTACTTGCGATATCTAGCTATCTAGCTATGCGATTCTATCCTGGGAAGAAACACTAGGTAGGTTGAGGGCCCTTCTAGTATGCGAGGCTATCCCTGTCACGTGACTGCCCCCGGGCCTTCGTGAAAATGAGGTTGAATAGGTTTAGAAATTTTTTGACTGCTGACTAATCAAGATTATTATAGCTGGATTGCCCTCGCTTCGGGTATTATTTTGATACTATTAGCAGCCTAGTAGGCCTAGTAGTCGCTGAGTAATCGAAGGATTTAGTATTTTATCCTTACTAGAGGGGGCACCCTGCCACTAAGGGTAGTGTAGCAGCGGGGGCACCCTACCACCGGGAGCAGTCTAGCAGCGGGGGCAGTCTAGCAGCGGGGGCAGTCTAGCAGCGGGGGCAGTCAAGTAGACAGCACAGTCTAGTCGAGGGGGCACCCTGCTACCGGGGGCAGTCTAGTAGCGGGAGCACCCTACTAGCGGGGGCACCCTGCCACCGGGGGCAGTCTAGCAGCGGGGGCACCCTGCCACCGGGAGCAGTTTTGTAGCGGGGGCACCTTACTAGAGTGCTAGCCTACTATCTGCTAAGCGGGGACCCTTATAATATACTAAGCAATCTACTAAGGGCCCTACCTCCTAGGTGCCCGCCCTCCTAGGTGCCCGCCCTGCTAAGGGCATGGCCTACTATCTACTAAGGGGCACACCCTACTAAAGGCCTAGCCTACTATAGGCTAGGCTATAGCTAACATTAGCTATAATACCACTATCTAGCTATATATGTCACGGGCCAGTGCCCGATGTTGGTCACGTGTATCACGGGACCTTGGTATGTTGACGTGGGGAACGCGCGGGATTAACTTCCCCTCCTTAAGCTTTTTGTAAACAGCATGTTGGCCTAGTTAGATTGAATCTAAGTCTTGCTTCAGCCCTTCACATACAAAAAGCTTCCTTCTACACCCAGAAGTATCATTGGTCATTGGAAAAGCCCTAGGAAAGCGACCTAGGCACTCATTGGAAACACCCCTGAATCCCCAGCGATTCAGCGACGAACACACATCGGAACGGAATCCTCGCGCATAGATCTCTTAGCGCTCGAGACGTATTAGAAAGCCCTAGAAGATCCCAATTCCTAGGCATATTAGAACATTGGACGAAAAGCGACCGAAGCATTACCGGCACGCTACGTAACCCCTAGCAGCAATGCAGCAACAGGAATCGACAAGCCCTCCCGGGTGGGCGCGAACGCTGCTACAGCAGATAGCACAGACCCAGGCTATGCAGAACGAAGAAAGGGAGCGGCGTCACCAGCAAGATGCTGCTCAAGAGGAGCGGATGCGTCGCCTCGAGGCAATGCTGGAGCAGCAGGCCTCACCAGCCGCAACGACGACCACAACGAACGAAGAGCAGGCGACACCAGCGCGATCGGCCGCCGAATCGGTGCCGATTCCCCCCGAACTGAGACGATTCACCGACCGAAGCCACGCCTACCAGACCCAAAACCATTCGGTGGAAGCACGAGCGACTGGCCAACCTGGCGAATTTCGATTGAGAACAAGCTTAGCGTGGACGGCGAAGCTATTGGTTCTCCCCAGGATCAATTTATCTACGTATTCTCTAGACTAGAGAAGCTAGCATGGAAGAACACTGGAACCTTTGTGAAACTCCGCCGAAACACTGGCGAACCGCAGGCCTTGCTCGATTTCCTTGAGAGTATCTACGGAGACCCGAATATTAAGGCACGCGCAGCAAGACGACTCCACCAGATTCGACAACCAGAGGATATGAGCTTTTCTAGATTCCTTCCCCGACTAGAGAAGGAGTTCGCGGATGCAGACGCTCTTGAATGGCACGACGAAGCAAAAAGGCAGATCCTTCTTAGCGCGCTCAATAAGACCATGACGAACGCGTTAATGAATCGAGGTATCCCTGCTACCTCGTCGGGCCTAATCTCCCGGCTCCACGAGATCAGCTCGGATATAGATGCCCTTAATATCAACAGAGAGGAACGAACACGTCGTCCGCGCTCGACTAGGCAGAATAGCGACGAAATGGATTGGGCACCGACCGTGTCGGTAAACCGTGCCGAACCACACACGAAACACCGCCGACCCGAAAGTGGAACACCGAAGCAAGCTCAATGGGTCAGCCAGGACGAGATAGATCAGCGACGGGCCGAAGGGAAATGCTTACGATGCGGGAGATCTGGACACCTTATCGCGAGGTGCGCGTTACTACCAGCACAACGGCCGAATAGTGCGCGTATCGCTACTTCCTCGAGCAAGAAAGAAAAGGGGCGCACAGTTAAAGTGAAGAGGTCGAAGCCTACGAGTGACCTAGATCTAACGACTTCCGACGACGAGAGTGTGACCACCGAGGACAATTCGGAAAAGAGAGTAGCTCCTGTTCTAAGCCGCGAGCAGGAGCGAAAGGGGGTCGAAAAGCTACTAGAACGTGAGACACTACCGTTTATAGTCGATGCTAGAGTGAATGGAATTCAATTTACACAAGCTCTTGTCGACAGCGGTTGCCGCTGTTATGCAACAGTGAATGAGTCCTTAGTTCAGGCGTTTGACCTCCCGCGTATTAAGATACGGCCACGAATCCTTGACGGAGTGGTGCCGAATCAGTACCAAATCACCCATGTTACCCATTTCGACCTCGATGTCCACGGCCAGCAACAAGGCCGGGTATTCGCGTATATTATCGAACCGCAAAGCGATAGTATGATACTTGGGGACCCATGGCTACACGAAGTGAACGGACGATATTCGGCAAAGAAAGGATACCTAGACATCTTCACGAAGTCTGGAGAGCGAACTAGATGTTGGAACCGCGCGGATCGCACTATTAGGCCTATTGGAGTAAAGAGACTACGCGTTGCGCGGGCCGAGGCATCATACATCCAACATCTTATACAGAGCGTATCGGGCGCAGATCGCCTGCGAATCGGCAAGGTTTCACTAGACGACATCGAGAGAGCACTCCGCCCTAAGAAGCATATTAACCCAAAGGATAAGCTACCGAAACACTACTGGCGATGGTTGGCCGCTTTTAGCCAACAGCTAGCCGACCAGCTGCCTCCGCATAGACCAGGAATCGACCATAAGATCCCTCTGAAACGTGACCGAAACGGTGTCGAAGAGCCACCACCGTATGGTCCACTCTACGGCATGAACAAGGAAGAGCTTCTTTACCTGCGAAAAACGTTGACGGACCTACTTGGGAAAAACTTTATACGCGTGAGCCAATCGCCTGCAGCAGCACCAATCCTACTAGTTAGGAAGCCAGGCGGTGGCGTACGATTCTGCGTAGATTACCGAGGGTTGAATGAACGAACAGTGAAGGATCGCTACCCTCTACCGCTGATTCGAGAGACATTACGGAACATGGGCCATGCCCGCTGGTTCACGAAGCTTGATATTATCGCAGCCTTCCATAAGATTCGTGTCCACCCTGGAGAAGAATGGAAGACAGCATTTCGGACGCGATACGGGCTCTACGAGTGGAACGTGACTCCCTTTGGGCTAACTGGTGCACCGGCAACGTTCCAGAGGTATATCAATCAAACTCTACGAGAGTACCTAGACGACTTTGTGTCGGCATACGTGGACGACATAATTATCTACACCAACGGAACGCTAGCGGATCACCGCCGAAAGGTCGGCGATGTGCTGCAGAAACTAATGGATGCTGGCCTACAATGTGACATTGCGAAGTCGGAGTTCGAACAGGAGTCAGTGAAATACCTTGGCTTTATCGTCGAAGCTGGAAAGGGGATCCATGTTGATCCAAAGAAGGTAGAGGCTATTAGAGCATGGGAGAGACCGAAGTCTATACGGGATGTGCGAAGCTTTATTGGATTCGCGAACTTCTACCGGCCGTTTATACCTCGATTCGCCGACCTTTCGGCACCATTAACACGGCTTATGAAGAAAGACGCTTTCTTCAAATGGGACGATGACTGCCAACTAGCCTTCATAGAATTGAAGGAACTCTTCATAAATGCACCAATCCTAGCTCACTTCGAAGAGGATCGTCAAACAGTCGTGGAAACTGACGCCTCTGGCTGGGCTACTGGAGCAGTTCTATCGCAATACGGGCCCGATGGGCAACTACGGCCATGCGCCTATCTATCCCAGAAGCTATCCCCAGCAGAATCGAACTACGAGATCCACGATAAGGAGCTCCTGGCGATTATACGGGCCCTACGCGAATGGAGACCGGAACTGAAGATGGTGCCCCGATTCACTATCGTAACGGACCATAAGAACCTTCGATACTTCGGTAAAGCACAACACCTTAACGAACGGCAGATGCGCTGGGCAGACCTCTTAACAGAGTTCGATTTCGATCTCCGTTATCGCCCTGGTAAGCTTGCAGTAAGGCCAGACGCACTATCACGACGAAGCCAGGATATGCCACAGAGTATCACCGACGAAAGGTTATCGAATCGCTTCCGAGTGCTACTCAAAAGGGTCAAGGTCAAAACGGGACGGCTAGACCCTCGATCAGCCGACGACCAATCTAACGAAGAGATCGATTTCGAGAGAAACATCCCTCTCTTTGAAGAAGAAGAACTCCAGGTAGAATGGAAAAGGGCAAGGGCGTCCGACTCGATCTACCAACGAATCACCCACGCTTTACTAACGGGGGAGCGCCGAATCGCCGCCGAAACGAACATCAAGACAAGTCTATCGGAGTGCCATTTAGACGATCGAGGGGTACTCCATTTTAGGCAACGGGTCTGGATTCCCGACAACGAGGTTCTACGCACGAGGATTATACAGAAGATCCACGATTCACACGTTACGGCACATCCTGGGCGAGACGCCACCTATTCGATACTGTCTCGACGGTTCTTCTGGCCAGGAGCGGCGAAAGACGTACGACGTTTCCTCCGGAACTGCACAGTTTGTGGACGAAGCTCTGTATGGCGAGACACGAAACACGGGTTATTAAAACCACTGCCAATCCCCCAGCGAATCTGGGCCGAAATATCAGTGGACTTTATCACAGAGTTGCCACCCTCTGGACCCACAGGAGTAACGAACTGCATGGCAATAACAGACCGGTTGACGAAGGGCGTGATTCTGATCGGAATGAAGAATACAACGGCAAAAGATGTAGCAGAGGCGTTCCTCACACACTTCTATATGCATCATGGGGTGCCACTAGCGATTGTAAGCGACCGCGGCCCCCAATTCGTGAGCTCTTTCTGGGAAATAGTATGCGAAAGGCTATCGATTCGACGCCGATTATCCACTGCTTTTCACCCCCAGACCGACGGCGCAACAGAGCGTGCTAATCAAGAGATCGAACGAATCCTACGTGTGTTCACGACGTACGCACAGGATAACTGGAAGGATCTACTGCCAATAGCTGCCGTAGCAATTAATAATCGTGATGCTGCTTCAACTGGAATCTCGCCATTCTTCTTCACCCACGGCTACCATGTTGACCCGATTGGCATTGACGAAGCAGGGCAGCTAGAAGACGCCCTGACCCCACCGCGAAAGGCAGGCGAAACGTTCGTGAATCGCCTACGAGAAGCCACCGATTGGGCCCAGGCCGCTATCGCTTCGGCACAGGCCCTTCAAGAAGAACAAGCGAACCGACGTCGACAGGCCGCGCCTGTCTATAAAAAGGATGACTGGGTTTGGCTAAACCTTCGGAACGTACGCACACAACGACCATCAAAGAAGTTAGATTGGCTACATGCTCGGTACCGAGTGGTAGACGTTCCGTCACCGTTCACCGTCCGACTCAATGTGCCTACTGGCATACACCCAGTGTTCCATATCGAGTTAGTTCGCCCAGCAGCAACGGACCCGTTCCCATCTCAGCTAGTAGACGATTCGCAGCCACCACCACTACTAGTTGATGGAGAAGAGGAATACGATGTGGAGCAAATCCTAGCCGTACGACGGAGGAAGATTGGGCGAGGATATCGTGACGAAGCGTTAGTGAAATGGAGAGGATGGGCAGAACAGACCTGGCAAACATTGGACTCAGTGCAGGATTGTAGCGCCTTGGATGCCTTTGAAGAGCAGTACGGCCCCGTTTCGGATGTGATTCGCCAGCAAATCGGCACCGAAACCCATGTCGTCGCACCCCTAGCGAGCTCGACTAGGAGGGGGTATTGTCACGGGCCAGTGCCCGATGTTGGTCACGTGTATCACGGGACCTTGGTATGTTGACGTGGGGAACGCGCGGGATTAACTTCCCCTCCTTAAGCTTTTTGTAAACAGCATGTTGGCCTAGTTAGATTGAATCTAAGTCTTGCTTCAGCCCTTCACAATATAGCCTAGTATCTATGCTTCGCCCAATAGCCCCTAGCAAAATTATAAAACACCCAGGCCGCCAGAACTATCTCAGTATCTAACTCCCACCTAGCATCCGCGAAATCCTTTGGTAACCAACCCCTCTGTGAAGGGCTGAAGCAAGACTTAGATTCAATCTAACTAGGCCAACATGCTGTTTACAAAAAGCTTAAGGAGGGGAAGTTTATCCCGCGCGTTCTCCACGTCAATACGCCAAGGTCTCGTGATACACGTGACCTATATCGGGCACTGGCCCGTGACAATACCCCCCTCCCAGCCTCAATCTCGTTAGGGGCACGACGATATGGGCTTCGGTGCCGATTTGCTGGCGAATCACATCCGAAACGGTGCCGTGCTGCGCTTCAAAGGCATCCAAGGCGCTGCAATCCTGCACTGAGTCTAGCCTTTCCCACGTCTGTTCTGCCCATCCTCTCCATTTCACTAACGCCTCGTCACGATATCCTCGCCCAATCTTCCTCCTTCGTACGGCTAGGATTTGCTCTACGTCGTATTCCTCTTCTCCGTTAACTAGTAGTGGTGGTGGTTGTGAATCGTCTACTAACTGAGATGGGAATGGGTCCGTTGCTGCTGGGCGAACTAACTTAATATGGAACACTGGGTGTATACCAGTAGGCACATCAAGTCGGACTGTGAACGGCGACGGGACGTCTACTACTCGGTATCGAGCATGTAGCTAATCTAACTTCTTTGACGGTCGCTGTGTGCGTACGTTCCGCAGATTTAGCCAAACCCAGTCATCCTTTTTGTAGATAGGCGCTGCCTGTCGACGTCGGTTCGCTTGCTCTTCTTGAAGGGCCTGCGCGGAAGCAATAGCGGCCTGGGACCAATCGGTAGCTTCTCGTAGGCGATTCACGAACGTTTCGCCTGCCTTTCGTGGTGGGGTCAGGGCGTCTTGTAGTTGCCCTGCTTCGTCAATGCCAATCGGATCAACATGGTAACCGTGGGTGAAGAAGAATGGCGAGATTCCTGTTGAAGCGGCATCACGATTATTGATTGCCACGGCGACTATTGGTAGTAGATCCTTCCAGTTATCCTGTGCGTATGTAGTGAACACGCGTAGAATTCGTTCGATCTCCTGATTGGCACGCTCTGTTGCACCGTCGGTCTGGGGATGGAAAGCAGTGGATAATCGGCGTTGAATCGATAGCCTTTCGCATACTCTTTCCCAGAAGGAACTCACAAATTGCGGGCCGCGGTCGCTCACAA